CTACTACTACTACTGCTCCTCATCAGCAACGACGACCAGCTGCTGCTGCTGCTGCTGCCGCCTCCTCCTCCTCCTACTACTCCTCCTCCACCACCACCACCACCACCACCACCACCAACGACAACACCACCACCACCACCACCTCCGCTCCACCTCCTCCTCCTCCTCCTCCTCATCCACCAGCAGCAGGAGGAGGAGGAGGAGGTGACCCTCACCTCCTCCTCCTCCTCCTCCTCCTCCTCCTCCTCCTCCTCCTCCTCCTCCTCCTTGCAACATGCTCAGAACATCTGCTCCTGTCTTGCCGAAGTTCTTGGGAGGTTGAGAGGAAGAGGCATGTGTCTTGTACTGATGGCTGACCAGGATAGTATGATCTCCTCCTCCTCCTCCTCCTCCTCCTGCATGATGACGAAGAGGAGCATGTTGCGGTGCAGCAGAGGAGGTGGTGGACATGTCCTCGTACATGGCTCTGATCTGAGAGACTTTGGTGGAGCCAGAAAAGTTCGACTGGGAGGAAGCGGCTGAGTGAGCAGAAGGAGCGCGTCCTGGAAGCTGGCGGTGAGGAGCAGAGGTAGTCTCACTTTGACCACGGGAGAAACCAGAGGAGAGAGACGAGCGCGACGAAGGTCGGAAGTTTTCTTCCTCCCGCTGCTGCTGACTGCTAGCTGATGAAGTCCTGGCGACGTCTTTACCCCGTGGGAGATGGGGAGCAGGGGGATGAAGGTGATTCACTTCAACTCCACCGAAATCTTCGTGCTCTCTCGGCTCTGGCTCTTGCTGATGCTGCTGAGGATGACGAGGATGATGATGGTGATGATGATGATGATGATGATGATAATGCTCCTGCTGCTGCTCATGGTCTTGATGTTGAAGATGACCATGAGATCCTTGATCGGAAGACAGAGAATCGTGATGTCGCTGATGATGCTGATGATGCTGCTGATGATGCTGCTGCTGCTGATGATGATGATGATCATCATCATCATCATCATCATCTCCCAGTCCCTCGTGATTATGCTCATATTGAGCACTGCCATGGTCGATGCGTGCGACGATCGGCTCATCAGCCTGCCTCTCCCCTCCATCCTCGCCCCTGGTCCCTTCGTCGTCACTCCGCCTCAGCTGCTCCCTCCGCAGAGTCCGTGAAAAGTCGTCCAGGTCCTCCTTCCCCCAGCCTTGTCGATCCTGTCCCTCCTTCGTCTCCCCTGCCCAGTCCCGTCGACGTTCTCCTTCCTCCACTCGCTCTGACTCTGGGGTCGAGGCGATGGTGTCTAGCTGCAGTGTCGCCCTCCCTCGAGTGTTGAGCCCCTCCGAAAGGTCCTCCTGCTCGCTTTCGCTGCTTTCGTCCGGGAGCTGAGAAAAATGTGAGGTTGTGGCTGACAGAAAGGAGAGAAAAGCATGACACAGGGAGAAAGCGAGTGAAACTTGATGAAACGGGAGGAGGATCTCAAATTTCTCGTATCATCACCTGCAACCCATCGTTCGAGTTCAAGAACAGCTCCATGAGATGCTCCACCATATCGTGTCTTGAACGCCCAGAGACGTCCTGCAAGATAGATCATTCCAATCGCAGCAGAGCAACTAGATGGAGAGGTGGGGGGAGGGTAGCAGAAGAACGTGGGAGATGAGAGTAAAGAGGTTGGGCACCTCAATGCCATTCATAGCAGCAATCTTGTGAAATTTCTCTGGTTTTACCATCCACAGGTACTCTTTGAGCTCCTTTGAGCCAGGTCAGCATCTTTACCCCATCTCTACAGCTCACCTCCAATCCCTCCGATGAAATGTCATCATCATCCTCTTCATTGTAACTCTCGTCCCCGTTGGATCGACGAAGTCGGCCATCACCTGACGCCAGCTGACTGGCACTCTTTCACACCAGCGGTCAATGTCAACTTGTCAAAGGGCGAGACTTAAAAAACACCTCGGAGAAATAGCTGTCATCTTGCGTAGACATGCCATGGTAAACCCCAGCTCCGCCAGACTGCAATCGATCGACGAAGTTGCTGGCATTTCCATCTGAGGAAAGTCCGTCGTTCTCAACTGGTTTTGTTCCTTCCCTCTCGATTCCATTGCTTGTCTTTCCCCGAGGTTCCTGCGCAGACATTCATCAGTCATACTCAGAATCATTTCAATCCAATGGCACCGGGTGCTGTGGGGCTGACCTTGAGTTCGCATCTGATCCTGTCAAGGAATCGAATTGCCTGCAGCACCTGTCAACCTCCTTTGAAGTCAAAGTCAAGACAACCTGAACTCGCTCGACTGCTGTTTATCAATCTCGTTCAGTCTCTCGTCGATGCTTTGAATCTGGACATGGTCACAAAGAACAGCTTGAGTCTATCCAGAGCAAGGTGTCAACACCTGCATTCTTAGATCATTCTCGTCTCTTTGTATTTCTCCGGCGGAGATCCCATACTTGCCTGTGATTCAACGTCAGCACTCAACAAACGAAGAACGAGGGGTTTGAAACAAAATCGAAAAAGTGACATCTACAAAAGATGAAGAGAAGAGAAGCGGCATGACCAGAGAATTCCTGATATATCTTCTGCATTTCTTCCATTTCGTGCTCCAGCGCCTTTCGCATCTTGATCAACTGCTGTTTCTCGTCTTCGCTTATCTCAGAGTTATCCTCCATCAGTGCTTCATAATTGCCGTCATTCAATCTCCTCCCTCCCCTCTCCTGGTTGGGTTGACCGCTCAGCCCCACTCCTGCTCCCTCCACCTTCACCTCCCTCCCATGCTCTTGATCTGGATGCATTCGGCGATCCGAAGAGCTCGACGATTTCGTCCTGCTCATTCCCCGCTGCAATTCTTACTCTTCAATCGTCGCCAGCGACAAAGTCCCCTCCTCCTCCATCATCACAACCAGCTGACCTCTCTGCTGGTTCTCTTCGACTCTCCTCCTCCTCCACACGCTCTTCAGCCCGCACGCCGCGACTCGCGGCTCATTTCGCCGATCTTGTCAAATCGAGAAACAAAAAGGTCAAAGGCCTTGAAACCTACCACCCCTGTGTATGAGTGAACCCACAAGACTACCCACCTACGTTAGAAGTACAAATCACTGGGTGTCATTGGGGTGGTCCAGGACCCCGTGTCGTGCACCTTTCGATTGATGAGTACCTCTAGCTTGAGGGGGTACTGGTACCCCCCAAATGTACTAGAAGTTGCTGGCCTAGAAAGGGGTAGGTGACCTCAAGTAGGGCATCAACTACCCCCTCCGAGGCTCGGTGCCAATCAGATCACCCCCACCCCTTACCTACAGTGACAGGTATCATTCCTACGGGTCCAATTAGTCTAGGAACTACCCCTACTCTGAAACCATCCCACCCTGCCCCACCCCCCAGCCCGTATTTCCACCCCCGGCAATTCCAGGCACAAAATGCTCGCTTAGCTCCATGCGGCCACTGATGGATCAGCCGATGATCAGCCGCGGCCATGGTGAGGAGGGGGGAAGAGGAGGGGAATGTGTGATGAGAAGAGGGAGGGGGAGGGGGAGGGGGAGGGGGAGGGAGAGCAGAGCTCAGAACAAGCATGAGAACAGTCGCCGATTAGTCCGAGGGGGAATGTGACGTGTGCTGGAAAAGGCACTGGGAGAAGAGGTTGAGACAGAATGAGGGTGGGAGAGTCGGTAGAAAGTGGGGAATGGAGGGCTCTCGGAAGCGACTGAAGAAGTTTCTTAGTGCTGGATGTGTTCGGCTTCTGTAACTCTTACTGAGCAGGACGATCTGCTCAACGACTTGCCGAGGCTGAGAGTTACCTTGCCGACTACTACAACCAATATCGGCCAGGAATCGGTGGCAGGAGCAGCTGGAGGTACTTGCGCAACAGCAGAGTTGTGGTGAGTCGACAGGAGTTGATGGAAGTCGAGGAGGGGTTCGTACTGCAGAACCTGAACATTCACTCAGGTGGCAGGGACTCTTGGGAAGCAAGAAAGTGCGGAACGGACGTACTTGTTGGCTATTCCCAGATCAAGCCTGGTTGTGACCAAGAGAAATGAGAACATGTCGAACGATAACAAGGAAGGGAACGTCTCGTCTCAAGAGGTCAAGGGCGAAGAACAAGATACCTTCATCATTCGCGATACGTCGAAAGAACTATTTCCCAAGTTTCCGATCAGACAATCATCTATCTCAAGGATCCTCAAAATGGAGCCTCTGAAGAACGCTTCGAACCAGTTTGCAGACTCTCCCCGGCCTCGTCTCCGTCCAGCGATGTGCAACATGGACCACAAACAGATTTTATTCCAACATGCTAGCCCTCTGAGGACAAAGTTTGATCTGGAAGGAGGCAATTTTGATGTTTTCTCCTCCACAACAGGTCAGCTGCCTGCTCCTTGTGCTCTTGCCAGCTGCCATGACCTCTTACCTGCTCCTCATGCAGAGAAATACTCAGGATATCCCGCCTTGTGGAACGGGCGGACCAGTCAAAACCTAAGCTGCCGCAATGCCGGGGCAAGCATGTTGCAAGAAATCAGCGGGAGGTGCTTTGACGAAGAGAATAAGTTCAATCCATTGAAGGATTGTGCTGTTAAATTGGAAAGGAGCCATCTGGATGGGGCAGACGATGCTTTTGAGGAATCCTTCCTGTCGGATGTAGTGGAGGAGAAGGAGGAGGAAGAGGGGTTGTACCCCAAGTACCATCGATCGGAGATCGAACTCATTGCTCGAGACTCAATAGACCTGGAGAAAGAGATCAAGCAAGCGAGTTTGATTGCGTCCAACAAGAGATCGCAAAACAGCTTTACGTCAAGGAAAGCAAAGAAAAAAGAGTTTTCAATCGACGAGGTTTCATGCGTGTTTGAGCGATTCTGACACACTGACTGAAATGTTGTCAGGAGGATATCAACTCGCCATGGACCCCCCCTGAAACCCCTGAAAACAACTACGACTTCAGAAGCAACATTGACATTGAATGATGCTTGTTGTTTGTTTATTGTTTTGATATGTTCAAGGTCTATCCTGCTGTTGGCGCGGGACAAACAATTTTGAGTTGTTGACTGTTGGATTTGTTGATTAGTAGACTTTACCTGTACATACTGGTTTCTTGCACCTGATGTAATGAAAAACTCACACAGGGCAACTGATATCAACTCACATTATGCCTTGCAAGATGGTCTTTCAATGCTGGAATATTCTTCATTTTCTGAGTCAACGTCAGCACGAAGAAGTGAAGCGTTCAACGATCGACGCACTTCTTCTGTGCGATGTGATATCATGTCGTCCTTGAGCCATTGACTGCCAAGTTGTCAAGGACGAAGCGATCAGGCATCTGTCACTTACAGCGCTTGTTCCTTATTGATCGAGATCTTGCCGTTCCTTTCAAGATCCTCCATGAGCATCCCGCTGTCGATGAAGAATGGCGGCTGATATTGACCGTCAAGAGAGAGACACTTGCAAGGCTGAGAGACCTGAAACGAGTTCCAATGCTTCTTGTTCTTCAAGCATGGGGAGTCAAAGTCTGTGGATATGACGTGCAGGTGAAGGAGCTTCAGAGACGGGATCTACCTCGTCATGACGCGTTCGAAGTCAAGAGAAACGTGTTTTGCAAGGCAACCGGTGCAAGAACTTACAGAATGGTATCCTATTCTGAAAGAGAGCTCCTCGCAACCTGAATCTGTTACAATCGATTCAGTGTAGGTGTGTCAGTTGTGCCAAAACACCTTGTCGAAGATGTTTTGTTAGCTTGACGGCTATCTCATGCATATGTCTACACGTTCAAGTTTGACACTGAGAACAGTTGTTTTGAAAGCTTCAACCTCAAAACTTCGAGATTGCTCCTCTTGAGGTCATGTATGGACATGATTTTCTCTTTGGGCAGGACCAATGAGTGATATCTTGGAACGATCAGACGATCGGTGATGCACAATTTCCTGCGCACCTTGCCTTGGGGAAGCCATCATAGATAACAACACAGCGTCTGCAGTGCAGCAACAAACTTAATTGGACAAATTAGATGGATTGAAAGAGAAATGTTCACTTGTCCTCCAGCAGTACAGATGACCGATGCTTTCCAAGGTTGTCGAGAATGTCCAACAGCGCCTGCATGAATGCTCATCAGTAGACATGGAGCATTTGCATCATGCTCCTCACATGCTCGAAATGTCCTGAGAGGACAGGTCGGCCTCGCCGCTCGTTTGGAGCATACGGCGTGAATCTCGACTCTTCCGCAAGGATTCGCTGTTCAACAGTGAGGTGTCATGACATGGAAGATGCATGGCAGACAGTCTGGTTGTCGTCTTCAACTTGTTCTTTGTCCAAATCCTCCGTCATTCGCCTCTTCTTCGGCACTGCCTGCCAAGTTCCGTGGCTGTTAGCATGAAGAACAATTGAGCACTTCGTTACCCCCTTCCTCTCTCACCTCTAGCGATTCCCTTTCTCTGCCCTCCTCCGCATCTCTTTCTCTCTCCTCCTCAGAACTTTCCGGGAGGGCAGTGTCACACAAAGGGCAGGAGAGTCTCCATACAACCTCGGCAGAGGGACTACGGGGGGGTCTTGCCAAGTGTTGTTCCTTGTTTCAGCATCATCATACAGGGTAAGAAGCCGTTCCTTTGCCGCGATACCTCAATGTCTGCTCGAGCCATTGCACGTGAACGGGCTTTGCACCCTCGAACCTCTGGAAGGAGCGCCTCAAGTCTTCCACCTGCCCAGCTGTCACGGAGTGACATCAGCATCCGACCGCCGCCTACCTTCTTCCTGCACGCTGCGACAGTTTTGTCGAACACAAAGTAGTCAGCGCGTGCCCCCTCTCTCTTCTCCACTAGCCCTCCAGATTTCTCGATCATCGACTTGATCATCATCATCCTGAGAGCGCCGCATGTCGGGGACAGGAAGAATACCTTGCCCTCCATGGAGCTACTGCACTAAACCAAGCGCTCTCAATACGAGGACTGGGGAGGAGGTGTATATATATTTCATTTTTGTGATACTTGTTAACTCGGCGGCTGGTCAAGGTGTATATCACCCCTACCTTTTTGAGTTATCGGAATCTCGTGAAAGGTCTGCTCACGCGAGTTCGATTCCACTTGCTGCCGCTTCCCTACTCTTTTTATGGTTTCCGGCAATCATGCCATCCGCTAGTAGAGTCACCGGGCCCGGCATGTTTCAGTCCCCGGTCCGACTGATTTTTAACTTAACTTTGAGTGAAGCTTGCCAGTGTGCGTATATATGTGAGCTCGCCTCGGCCATGCAGCTCAAGATCTAGTAAGTCAGCAGAGCCTTCGTATCATACAAATAGAGAAAAATGTGGAAGTGCGGGGAGGATCGCGAGAGTATCGGGGACGTGAACAAGAAGCTCACGCAAGTGTCTCCCCCCTCCCACCCATGCAGGATGAAGGCAGGCAGCCAAACTTGTAAGTGGTCAACCTAGAACAGACTTGTGTCAGTGGGGTACGACTGGTGTAAGGCTTCGACGGTGATGTCTGAGACTGCTCTCAAGCTTCCTGCGCAGCCGGTAGCGTGACATCCTCCCCAGTCATCTTCACCAGCAATGCTCCTTGTCTGGCTGCTCCCAAGAGTTTGCGCCCTCGCGCTGCTGGGGATAGTGATCGCGTGGGTCATCCTCGCAGAGGGAGGCTTCGGCACGAGCAGCGCGGCGCTGTTCGGCTGGCATGCCCTGGGCATGACTCTCTTCCTCATCGCCACCTCGGAGGGTATCCTGATCAAGAGCTTCCCGCTCTGGAGCAGGATGGACCTGTGGATGGGGCACGTGGCGTTCCACCTGCTCGGCATCATCTGCGCGCTCCTGGGGCTGGTCGCCATCATCCAGTACAAGAGCTTGTCGGGTCAGGGCAACGGAACGCCGACTTGCCCGATGACCGGCTGCCTCGAGTCTACGGGCCAGGCTGGGCTTGATGGCACGTTTCCGTTCAGCACCATGTACAGCGCGCACTCATGGATGGGAGTGCTGTGCCTGTTGCTATGGGGCGGGCAGCTGGCGGGGGGCGTGGCGTCAAGCTTGTACCCATGGAGGGGTCCCGAGCAGCGTGAGGCGGCGAAGAAGCACCATCGCTTCTTCGGGCAGGCCCTGTACGTGCTGCTCATCGCCACGTGCTGCATGGGGTTCCAAGACATGCAGTCAAGCGACCTCGCGGGCTTCGGGTACGGGATCTACTCTTCTCCGTCCCTCCTCGCATGCGGTGCAAGCCTGGTGATATCGATCTATGGGCTGACGACCCTGTATGCACTCTTCTTCAGCAAGACTCAGCCCGCGAAGGGCAAGCAGGATTCGAGCGAAACATGGAGCACTGGCAGCTGTTCGACATGGCCGACCCTGTGATGACGGTAAAGGCAAGTTGACCTCCGAGTCGCACTACGCACGTTTCATCATGTTTAGGGCCTCTGTTGGAGTCTTCCAAGCAGGGAACAGAAACTAAGCCCTGAATGGCTTGACTCGTATGCTGTGTATGCCAGGACTTGTCAGGCTCTGAGTCAAAAGCCTTGAAGGCGGGGAGAGAGAGGCGGGGAGAGCAGAATAGAAACAGATCGAATAGACCATACTCAGATGAGACTCGTGACGCCTCAGGCTAAGGTTGCTAGCCTTCCAACTATTCTAAACTTTTCACGCAAAGTTTCAAGTTAAAAATCAGTACGAGGACCGTGCAGGAGAGTAGAGGAGGAACTACAGTGTGCTTCAACTTTCTCAAATAAAGCCTCCGACACTCAGTGACTGTTTGGTAAGTCAGGTTGCCAACTTGCTTGAGTTGTCCGCCTGGCCCGGTGACGGTCGGGCCTGGTACTCCGAGGCACTGAGCCGCAAAGACTTGAGGACTCAGCCCGCCTTGGAGACTTTTTTTTAGCGGCGCAACAGTAGTGAGTGACTCTTGGCGACTGACATATAAAGGAAGCGGTGAGGTGGTACCAATAATGACCTCGTACTTCCCCGCAAAGGTATAAGGCCGAGACGGCAGTGCCTGAGGTGTAGGGAGGTTGATACTGGGGACGTGAGCGGGAAGGGATACAAGGGGAAGCACTTGGCGTGAACAGTCTTGAGACAAACAAGAAGACAGGCCTCCATGAGGCAGCCGATCGTGTGAAGCTTCACCTAGAACACACCATCAGCAATGCTCCTTGTCTGGCTGCTCCCAAGAGTTTGCGCCCTCGCACTGCTGGGGATAGTGATCGCGTGGGTCATCCTCGCAGAGGGAGGCTTCGGCACGAGCAGCGCGGCGCTGTTCGGCTGGCATGCCCTGGGCATGACTCTCTTCCTCATCGCCACCTCGGAGGGTATCCTGATCAAGAGCTTCCCGCTCTGGAGCAGGATGGACCTGTGGATGGGGCACGTGGCGTTCCACCTGCTCGGCATCATCTGCGCGCTCCTGGGGCTGGTCGCCATCATCCAGTACAAGAGCTTGTCGGGTCAGGGCAACGGAACGCCGACTTGCCCGATGACCGGCTGCCTCGAGTCTACGGGCCAGGCTGGGCTTGATGGCACGTTTCCGTTCAGCACCATGTACAGCGCGCACTCATGGATGGGAGTGCTGTGCCTGTTGCTATGGGGCGGGCAGCTGGCGGGGGGCGTGGCGTCAAGCTTGTACCCATGGAGGGGTCCCGAGCAGCGTGAGGCGGCGAAGAAGCACCATCGCTTCTTCGGGCAGGCCCTGTACGTGCTGCTCATCGCCACGTGCTGCATGGGGTTCCAAGACATGCAGTCAAGCGACCTCGCGGGCTTCGGGTACGGGATCTACTCTTCTCCGTCCCTCCTCGCATGCGGTGCCAGCCTGGTAATATCGATCTATGGGCTGACGACCCTCTATGCACTCTTCTTCAGCCACGACTTATCCGCTGAGGGCAAAACAACAGCCAAGAGAACTGAGCAGCAGCCGCAAGTTTTCGACATGGACTCTGTGATGTCGACAGCGATTGGGCCCGTTATTGGTCATGAAACCGTGGCAGAACGCAACATCATTCCCGCCGGTGCATCAGTAGTCACAGTATTCGAGCATAGCGAGTAGAAGAAGGATCTAAGAAAATGTAGTGCTCAAGTTCCAACACTTGCTCTGATCCGTTATGAAAATCGGAATCGAAATTACTTCCACACGCTCCACATCGGAAAATCGTTTGAGAAAGGGCAGCACCTTGACTTCACACCACGTTCATCCTCTCCATTGTCTTGATCCAAGCCTCTTGCGTCAAACAGAAGCCGAAGACTTGATCCTTGAACTGCTCGTTAGATGCGCCCTCTGCCTTCTGCTGCAGCCATGCCACGATCTCCCCCAAGCATGCGAGGTAGGTGGTTCCCTGAGAGGGTGAGTGAGCACAAGTGAAGGGTAGCAGAAGAGCCAATGAAGCGAAAGATGCAGAAATAGGAAAAGGACCATCAAGACAAGAAACCATCAGCCACAAGGAATGCTCTGAAAGATGCAAAGAGAAGACTGAAGAAAAGGGTTCGCAACAGGTCTGACAGACAGCAAAACAACATCAGCCTCATGACTTGCAATACCTTGAGGGGAGCCTCGCGCAACCATTCGCAAAACGTCTCAGTGAACTCCAGCCCGATCCTCTCAGCCTGGTGATCGTTGAAGTAGTTGTGCGGGTTCCTCTCCTGCTTGACGAGCGGGAAGCCAAACATGATGGCATGGTCGAGCTTGTCGGCTATCGCCATGACGACGTACCTGCAAGGGCGCGGTTACACGAGTGTCCCTGTCTCGAGCAGGAGCTCAGGTGAGAGTATCGTTACCCTGCCCAGATGTCGTCGTATCTTCCGACGTTGGGACTGAGACAGTATCCAGGGATGACCTGGAGGGAATGCGGGGTCAGATCGGCAGGAGATCAGAAGGAAGCAGGAAGCGCAGATCGTGAGCACGCCTTGAGTTGTGTGTGTGTATGTTCATGTGTGTGTGTGTGTGTGTGTGTGTGTGTGTGTGTGTGTGTGTGTGTGTGTGTGTGTGTGTGTGTGTGTGTGTGTGTGTTCTCTCGAGTTTGGGCACAAGATGATGTAGATGAAAGAAATGCTTCCAAAGAGATGGTTATGAAGGAGAACCAAAGAGGCCCAGAAACATCAATACATGACATGGCAATGATTTGCAGCAGAACACGAGACAAGTGAGCGACGTGCCCCTGGCATCACCTCGCGCGAGATGGCGGTGTTCTGAGAGTTGAACGGACACCAAGTCTTCCTCGATAAGGAGAAGCTGTCTTCTCGCAGATACCTCTCAGCTGAGATGTCATTGCACAACCTTGTGATCGCATCCACATCTGGATCATCCAGCCACAGCCCCGCGTTGACCACCACCTGCACCCCTCTCACGACCGGCCCTGCCTCGCTCGGTTCCTCTCGGCAACAAGGCAGGAAACCAACCTTTCTGTTCTGCTGGACTGCACGGTGGATCGGTTTGGGACTTCTCCATCTTGGAGCAAGTCAGGAAAACGATGCAAGGGCCTGGTGCGGGCACCTCTGATTCATGGGATATCCTCGAGGATAGAACTCAAACTTCCTCTTGTCTTCGAGGTATTCACAGACATTCAACCTGCCAACGCTGAAGTCAACGCGAGCAAACAATTTCCTCCTCATAACCGCACTCACCATCCTGTATTGGAAACCAAGGAGGTGTGGGGAATCTGATCTTTGATGTGCCGGATGTGCTCGCCGATAAAGTCTTGTCCCTCAACGAAGTAGTTGTCGTCATCTGCACTCATCATCACAGCTGGTTGGACAAGAGATGATGCCGAACGTGCCTATTGTGATGATGATTTCACAACCGATCTGATAAGCTAAGAGGATTGCTATATTCCTGCGCTGAATGCTGTTCCATGGGATAGCGCTTGCAAGCTCTGGGAAGTCTTGCAACTTCCACCAACACACATCAGACAACAATATCTTCATCACAAGCAGCAGGAGTGTTCTCACCCAGTTGATCTGATCGTCAACAGTGAGATATTGACATTTCATTTTAAATTCCTCCGCGCACGCGTCACAAAACTGCTTTGCCTCTGGCGGAGTCTTCTTATCCCCAGCAACCTTTCACAGCGACCAGTCAGCTGGAGAAACAGGCATGGCATACACGCACTATGAAGATAGCATCGCTGTGTCCATTCTCCTTCGCGTTCTTCATGTACGCATGGATGGCCTTGGGTACCTGGTGCCAACATCCGTTCGTTCACAAGAGTTATAACCCAACCGTCAGGTCGACTTGTTCCCTCTGACTGCCTTGTTATGCTCAAATGTCTCTATAATTTCTCTCTAAACAGTGTTTCAAGCAGGTCCATATGCTCCTTCTCCATGCTAATTTCATACGTCGCCCTGCCTTGACCTCCGCTTTCAAGTTGAACGTCCCTCCCTCGTTGAGTCATGGGACCCAAGATTGTATGAAATCTAACATGAGTTGTCCTCGCAGCATATTCACACGACGTTGTGAGACAACTCACTATCCGATCGTCTCATCACTCTCGTCACTCTCATCTGCTTCAAGGGCTGCAAGCAGATTTGATGCAGCCCTTCTGCTGTCCTCCCGCTTCCTCTTCTCCCGCACCTTTCTCATCCTCCTCCTCCTTCCACCTCCTTCTTTTCTTCCTCCATATTCACATATCTTCTCCTCCTCTCCTCCTCCTCTGTCTCACGTAGATCGTCGTCGTCACGATCGCCGTCCTCCCCATGGTCGCACAAGCTCAGCCTCCTGTCACCAGGCTCTCAAGAATTTGCAGTAAAGAAATGCCAACGATTAGGCCGGCATATGGAGAAAATATGGAATATCGGGGTTTAAACATTATTTTTGAGTGTTAATTATGTGAGGTTTATTGTCAAGCCCGCCTCGTTTGGAATTTATTAGTATTTTTTTGAATTCTTATAATTTCTTAGAAATTCTTGTTGAGCAAAACCCCTCTGGTACCAATATCTTCAAGTTTGGTACAAATTTGATCACTACTCATTTTTAAAATTGCTCTAAGCGTCATTGTCGGACGATGGTTGAAATTTGAGAAAACTATTTCGAATTGGAAAGGATAATTTCGAAGGGTGGAAGAAACTTAAGTTTTACTAATAGCTCTTTGTACCAGAATCAGTACCCCACCCTCCTTGAAAATTCTGATATACACCCATGATATCCTACTAAAAAGTACCCCTTTGAATCCCAAATTCGAGTACCGTACCGTGGCAATGTGCTCAAAAAAAAACAAAGTACCCTACCTATCGTTGTGCTCTGCCACCCACTTACTACCCCCTATTCTTCTTCACTACCCCCTCAAGTTCAGATAAATAAAAGGGTAGTACGAGACACTTGGGATCACCCACCGGTATTAAAATAGAAGCGGGAGGGGGTTGGGGTGTATCCGGAGGGGTGGGGGTAGCGGAAATAGCTCTTGGGTGGTTGAGTGAAGCGACGAAAGGTCGCGCGCCATCAGCCATGCCGTTCGCTATGCTCGCCGGCGCCTCCGCCGCTGCTAAGGTGAAGAGAAATGCAGAAAGCTTTGGTTTCTTCCTCTTATGAAATTGAGTTTTATCGGTCCTCTTGTTTCTCCTTTGTGTCTAGTAAGGTTTGAAATGCAAAGAGCGATAATGGAGGCTGCTGGGAGGGTGCCTTCTCGCTTGTTGTTGGGCCATGTTGCACAGTAGTAGTCTCTCACATTATTCACGAACTCATCTAGCTCACTAAAGTCATTCATCTCATGGCTGTAAATTATCAATATGGTGGAACTCCATGTTTGTTAGTGAAGTTCCGAGGTAGAAAGCTTTCACCTTCCGAGAGTAATATGAAGCTGATGCGCTGGGGATGTTCGATCACACGACCCAAAGATATTAGACAATTACCATCGAGAAATTTTTCTTGAAAATATTCAGATCTGTTCATTCTTCGCTGGAGCTCGGGTTGTAGTTGATTTCTGTAATTCAACAAGGACAAGGCAGATTGCTACACGTCATCTCTTGTCTTATGTAACATGAATTCAAGATTATTAGAGGATGATGTTAGATATGTGATAGCAATTTCTGCAGCTCTTTTACCACCTCCTTTTGTTTTGACATGCTTCACTGTTGATCGGTTGTGCATCTGACGTAGTTACAGGCACTTGCGCCCACAGCATGCACAACCATCGAGGAGGTTGGATCCACTGGTGTCGGAGCTCTTACCCTCGGCTTCCTTGCCCTTGCTGTCTCCACCGTGGTGATGGTTGCTAAGGCTGCTAGTGCTGATGCCGAACGACGCAAGTTCTACTTCTGCAACACGTTCATCTGCGGTGTCGCCACCTTCTCCTACTTTGCTATGCTCTCGGGACAGGGATGGACCGCTATTGCTGGATGCAGACAGTTCTTCTATGCTCGTTATGTCGACTGGCTCATCACTACTCCTCTCCTTATCCTTGACCTCGGCCTTGTCGCTGGTCAGGACTTCGTTACCATCGCTGCCGTGATTGGAGCTGACAGTAAGCCCTGTGTATGAGATCTAGTGTGGGTGGCTGACTTACCTTCAGTGCTCATGATCGTTGCGGGCTACATGGGTGCTGTCTCTGTTGTCACCACCGTCAAGTGGTTCTGGTTCCTCTTCGGAATGGTGAGCGCATGCAGATCTGATTGACGGCCTTGTACTTACTTCTCCAAGGCCATGTTCCTCCCTGTTGTCTATTCTCTCGCCAGGACCTTCCGCGAGACTGTCATCACCCGCAAGGAGCCTGACATGATCGACCTCTACGGCAAGATCGCTTGGCTCACCATCATCATGTGGTCCTTCTACCCTGTTGTCTGGCTCTTCTCCGAGGGATTTGCTTCCTTCTCCGTCTCCTTCGAGGTAAAATTTCATGACTGTTAACGGATGGGCAGTGATCGTTTCTGTCAGGTGGTTGCCTACACCATCATGGACATCATCAGCAAGTGTGTGTTCTCCTTCATGATCGTTTCTGCCCACGATTCTCTTGGATCCTCTTCGTCGGCACCAAGTCAGGCTCGCGAATATGTTTGAAGTAGTGATTAACTCGAGGAGATGATATATTTTGGTTGTCTACATGCACGTAAATAAAGTTGACATTCTAGCGGAATCCAAGTCGGTCACAACTCCCCTCGAGACATCATCTTCTGTGCCTTCTCGATTGCATCATCCACCTGCATTTTGAACGCCTCGACCTGGGCAGGACATGACCGACTTCTTTGGGTGGGACCCTCTTCACCTTCTCTTCGAGGGCCTTCTGCGCCTCTTTCAGCTTCTTCTGCGCCTGCGTCGCCCATGAGGTTTGCGGCTGCTTAGCGCTGTCAGCGCACCTTAGCGTGCGAGGGGTCGAGCTTCAGCGCCTGCTCCAACCTCTCGATGGCGTTTTCGATTTTCCCTGTACCCGCATGTTATATCACCACTTCCTTGTGAGAAGTCGCCGGGCTCACCAGTGGCCAGGAGCAAGTTCCCGATGTTGTAATATGCATCAATGAAGCGGGGGCTTAGCTTTATGGCCCACTTGTAACTTCTCTCCGCCGTCTCAGTCTTGTTCATGGCGGCAAGGCTTTCAAGACAGGTCTCAACTGGGGCAAGTGGGCACGGCAGCGAGTCTCCTACCTCCCTCCCATGTTGTTGTAGTACTTTGCTTCCTCGGGCTCCAACTCAATCGCCTGCAGTCTTTCTGTCACCTGGCAGCCATAGGACAGCCTCACATCACTTCTCTATAGGATTTCACCGCCTCCTTGTAAGAACCAGCCTTCTCCAACGCAGTTCCTGTGGCCCAGGAACTCATCAGAAGAAGCTGAAGCCGATGGGATCATCGAGCCCTACCGAGGTTGTAATGCGCAGTCGCATCATCCTGATCAAGCTTCAAGGCTCGTTTGTACCTGAGAGAACGTGAGCAAACGGCCAACGCCGTCAAGAGGGGAGTTGATACATTTGAACAGCTTCCGTATGTGAGCCCATCTCTTGATAAACGATTGCCAGATTGTTCAGAACCCCTGTCGTCACCTGCTCGGGAACATTTAATGCAAGGTCATGACATGGACTGATCTATCTCTTACTTCCTCCTTGAGGGCCATGGAGAAATATTTTACCTGCCAACGAGTTCATGAACAGGAGAACCACCTTCGACAATCACCGCCATTTCATACTGCCTCAGTCTACTGCAAAGCGTGCCAAGTTCTTGCATGGCAGGTACATATCTGGTTCACGATCTCGATCAGAATGCCTCTTGAGTACGAAAGGAAACCTGGGATTCTTGGAAAAGGCTTTCTCAAGGCATGCCTTGGCTTGTTCCATTTGGTTGTTCTTGAGAAGCGTGCGGGCCGCCTGCACGCCAGACAGTAGTCACTACTTGGATCTTGATGTTCATGAACTTGAAGGATAGAAAGGAATTTGTTTACATGAGTCAAAGAGTCAGGCCTGTCTTCTCTCGATCTGCCCATCAAGACATTGTGAGCAACGGCAACTGCTACATTGGCGGACTTACGGGCAGGCATCGTCTTTCAGGATGGAACTCTGGACGAGGACGCTAGCCAGAAGCAGGAGAGCCAAACACTTCAGGTCCTTCATCCTCCAACAGTTGCAGGCTGACAGAGAGAGGCTCTAGGACAACTTCTCGACCTCCGTCACCACTTCCTGCAGACTCTTGTAGATATTCTGTGCGTACATGTCATTGACATTCCCATGTTGAGAGGGCGCGTACCTGAATGATAGTTTCGTTCCTCTCCGGTTCCGCCCTTGAGAAGTTGGCCCCCACCTTGCGGAGTTGTTCTGAGTTTCTCTCGATGATCTTCTGGATCTGCTCCAGAGTCTCCACGGTGTCAACTGTACAAACGTGTCACCCGAGGCAAACAGGCGATCTCTTCCCACTTATTTCTGCTCCTGCTGTGGATTGTGGAGATGCCGACGGCTTGTTCTCACCCTCCTGTGCTGCCTTGCTTGTCGGTGTCGTGGGGGGCTCAGTCTTGAGCTTCTTCTCGGGGCTTGGCTGCGGCAGATCGGCACTGGAACTGCTGCTGCTTGCTGCAGCTGCAAGTTTCACAGAGGTGGCGAAAGCTGATAGGCTTCGGTTCTGTTCCGCGCCACCTTGAGGTACGGGGGATGAGAAAGAGGCAGACTTCCCAGGGGCTGAGGAGCAAGTGGGTGAGCGATAGAGTGGAGCTGTCTCTTTCACTGGCAAGGGGGGGGATGAAGTTTTGAAGGCTGTTGTAGGCTGCGAAGAGAGTGCTGGCACAAAGGCTGATTGAGAGCCAGGAGTAGACTGACCTTCTTTGGTTGAGCTTGTCACTGCTGATGCACTCGTCGAGCCAGCTGGACCTGTAAGTGCTTTGGATCCAGATGATCCAGTCGATAAGGGTGCTCCTGATCCAGTCGTTGGCTGTTGGGACGGGACCGGCACGGATTCCTCTGGCTTCCCAGCTACTACTCCAGCTACTACTCCAGCTACTACTCCAGCTACTACTCCAGCTGTTTCTGATGCTGCTACTCCTTCTCCCCTTCCTTGCAGCCGATCCTCTACTTGCATAGAGATGTTTACCTACCCCTTCAATGTTCCATAAAGGACCCGGTATATTGCCACATGTGCATCTACCCCCCTTTTAAACATTCGATGTGGGGGTATGGGTACCACCCATGAATTTCTTATTTTCTGTAAACACTCTGTTTCGGGGCCCCTCAATTTTTGAAATATCTAGAGCATATTATCTTGATAATTTACAGAATTTCAGTGTTCGTGGATAAAATTTAGTCAAGTCGAGCTAGTTTTGTATCAAAAGGCGAGAAGCTTAGAACTAGACTGGGTGGGTCGATGTCCACTATAACCCCTCATAAATACTCAATTTCGGTCTCATATTTTGGGGTGGGGTAGTATAATTCTTTGGTGGGGGGAGCAGAAGGCGAACGGGGTGGGGTGGTGAGGTGAGGAGCGCAAGACCAGACATGGCGGACGAAGGTGAAGCGGAGAGGGGAAACAGGAGGAGAGGGGAGAGGGGGAGGAGCAGGAGCAGGAGCAGGAGCAGGAGCAGGAGCAGGAGCAGGATCAGGAGGAGCAGGAGGAAGAGAAAGAAGAAGATGCGAGGAGTTGTAGATATAATAGATGGAGGAGATGGTGGAGATGGTGGTGGAGACAGAGAAGGTGGGCAAGGACATGTTGGTGGAAGCAGAAGTAAAGTTAACGAGAATATAGCTATGTTGAGAGAATGATCAAGAGGAAGGTTGGCTTTACATTAGATATTGTTTGAACAGATTGATAGCGAAACAAGTTGCTAAACCAAGATCTTGTCTCTAGAATTGAGGGATCCTTTCCATGCTTTCCTTTGACCTATCCTTGTCCTGCTGTTTGATTGGCTCCTTGGCAGATTCGGGAGAGGATCAGGACCTCAACGATATCATGTCGATTGCTGCGAGACTTCGAAATAGGTTGATGAAGAGCAGCTTTGAGAAGCATGAGAGCTTTGCGATGCTCTGCGAGCAAGGTGAGCAAAACTACAACCGGCTGATACGACAAGGGAAATCAGAAGAAGAGGCTTTCGACGAAGTGCTTGTGGAGATTGTGGGGTTGTTGTCGCAGGCGGATCGGAGGGAGGGCGAGGCTGGCGCGGAGGAGGAGCAAGACAGCAGAGATGTCGATGCTGCTCGCGAGATGGCCATTCAGACCAACGAGGAGGAGGCGAAGAAGAGAGAGAAGGAGAGGTGCTGCAAGTGCATCAGCGGGAACATCCTGGAGAGGGAAGTCATGCAGGACTGCGCGTTCGAGAGCTCGCACCTGCTGAAAGAGCTCGGAAGGACTAGATTCTTCCGGGTCTGCTGCGCCAAGAAGGTAGAATGCTGTGAGGAGCACTGCAAGGGGCGCTTCAACGAGAGCAGTGACATCTTCTTGTTCAAGAAAGCCGTCAGGCAGTTCCTTGAGCTCGAGCGCAAGTGTATGAAGTGGTATCCCTACCACTGGCTGCCCTACTTCGAGGACGTGGCAGAGCAGCTTGCAACCATCTTCTCGAGCTGGGAGGGCACGGCAACGCAGTCGGACGAAGAGTTGTTCCGCTCCTACGTGTCGGAGGAAACCTTGACAATGGCGTTGGACATCATAGACAACCTGTTCAAACAGAGCAATGACAGCGTCACTGCGCTGCCGGAGCGAGGAGGAGCCATTCCAGAGATCCTGGTGGAGGCTGCGAGGAGGCATGGCAACACGGATATGGCCGCTAGCTCGATCAGCAGTAACGGAGTGGAAGTGATTGTGCTGGACTGAGGGCCTTTGGGAGGAGGACATGGCAGCAGGTGCATATTTGTAAATTAACATTTGAAAGCAGAGTCCTGCCAGCCCAGTCGATATATTCGATGCTGGGCTGTCCAGACGAGATAAGATAAGAATACAAGGACAGCAATATCAGTTCTCTTTGCCTCTCTTGGCCGCAGGCTCCTCATCAAAGGTCCTCAGGACCTCTTCAACGCACAGCGACCATCCTTGCATCAAGCTCTTCATCATCCCTTCCCCTTCAGTCATCTCCTCCTCCTCCTCCTCCTTCTCCCGCCATTGATCTCCGTCCCCAAGATGACAGCCAGACATCTGCAGGAGCAAACCAAAAGCTCGGTCTATGAACAGAAGCTTCTCTCTTTCACATCCACGACCCTGCACTTCCTCCCCCATCTCCGCCAGCTTGTTTCTCGCATCTGCCAAGAAGGACTGGACATGCTCTGACCTTGCAGCAGTGTTGCGTCCTGCGAGCTTCTCAGAAATCAGTTTGTGGTAAGCGAGCTCAATGTCGCTGAAACCGGCGGCGAGAAGTCGGTCCAAGGGAGCATCGCTCTCTCGCTTCCAATCTGCTCCCTTCTCAGTCGCGTGCTCCTCCTCGCACCGGAGGTGCCCCTGCCTCTGCCCAGGCGCATCATCCAGCTCCTGCTCCTGCCGCATGCCATCCGAGTCCCGTGGGGAGAATCGTCGCTGCGAGCGCAGGTCATCCGACGTGGGTCGATGGGACCGCGCCTTGTGTTCCATGGCGTTCAAGATCTTGTTGGGGGATGATGAGCTCGACTTGGGGCTTCCGTGCATCGAGTACCAACTCGCGTACATCTCGTTCACGTCCGCAAAGCTCCTCTTGCTCGTATTCTTCTCGACTGCAGCTGGGCTCGATGCCTCGGGTGTGTCGGGACTTGCTGCTGCTCTTCCCGGGGATGCAGATTGCGGATTGGAAGTCTTTGATTTATCTGTCTGTTTGGAAGGACTTGTGACCTTGACCATGTCGAGTCAGTGCAAGAAGCTACAGCAGCTTTCTCACGTTTGTGAAGGCCTTCAGCCAGTTTGGTGCCTTAGATGCATCAAACTCGCGTCGAGGGGGAGCCGGGAGGGTGACCCTGGGAGAGGAGGGGGAGGGTCAAGGTGTGCTTCGAACAGGCATGCGTCATTACCGCCTGCTCGCGGTAGCTTCTTTGCTGGAGGCCTGCGAGTCCAACTTGGTCATCTGGACTCCGAGCCCACGGATTTCAGATGCGGGGACGCGGAGATCGTTGACTATCGCACAGACCTGCGGGGCCTCAGAGTTGGAGCAGGAGCAACACAGCCGTTAACGTGTTTCTCGATGGACTTCGCATCATCGGTGAACTGAGAGAGCGTTACGCTCCTAGTTAAATGCTCGCATATCCCGTGCCCAAGATGTCCTTTCCTCGCGTTGTCCGGAGCATTCTTGACAGCCCTCAGGAGAGTGACCTGGGTGGATGCGGATGAGCTCGAGAGAGGATCAGGCTCGGTCGCACCTGTACGGTCCTGCCCTTGACCCTCGCCTTGTGCATTCTGGAAGATACCTACAGAGGGAGAGGCGGTGACAAGGAGGACGAGGGCACAGCAGGTCGACCTCTGCTGACAGCTTCTCGATAAATTGGAAGACTTCCGACATCTCATTGAATCGAACCCCCCAAGTTATCTTCGAGTGCAAAGACGTCAGCATGGCAAGATCTAAGTGATTGAATTTCTACCTGGGCTCCGACAGATTTTCTGATCGGCCTGCTCTCCCATGGACGGTTGTCAATGCCTCGGCTGAACTCGAACAACAAACGGCCAGTCTTCTCTCCAAATTGCTCCTTCACGCGCAGTTCAGAAAGTCATGTCAAGAGGCTCATCATCATCTATCCATCGATCGATTGAGTCATGGTGAGTATGTCAAGTAGAAATACAACAGCTAGCCGCAGCGAACGCATGCTCAGGGATGCTTGTCGCTGGAGGAGGAAAAGGACCGTACGTCACCTGCAGGAATGCTCTGGGTCTGTTTCTCAGGTCTTGAACTGAGTGAACCTCCAACCTGCTCGAGTTCCAGGGTTCCAGCGTCAAGAAAAAGGTAAGAGAAACTTAGCTTGCTCACTTGGACAACTTGTCGACTGTGTTGTAGCCCACGCCCGGCAATTTGCTCACTGGCAGCTCTGCGAGAAAATCCAACACGTTTTCCTTGGGTATGAAGAACGAGCCGTCAGGCTTGGCTTGACTGGTTGCAATCTTGGCCAAGAAGCGATTTCCTGCACATAACAGCATGACGAGAAGGGAGAAAGAACCACTCTCGAGGCCAAGAGCGTGCAAATAAAGAGTGTACACAGAAAGTATGCGAGGGAGGGTAAGGATTTCGCAACACAGGTCTTGAACATGTGAAATGAGAAGTGTATCGCTCATGGAAACATCAACAAGTGCTGAAACGGTGAACAAGAAGACGCGCAGCAGATGAAGAGATGATGACGATGATGTCCGAACCTGCACAGCCAACACTGGCGGGACAACCAGTCGCCTCCAGGATTTCCTTCCGTATCCTGTTTGCAACAGCTATGACAACCTCCTTGAGGTTTTGAACGTTCTCTCCAGCAACTAGAGACGTGATGTCGGCGAATGCCTCATCGACACTGACTCCTTGCACATGGGGAGTGATGGCGAAGAGGCAGCGATACATGGTTTCTGCCGTGCTTGTGTACTTGTCAAACTCGTATGGGATTGTTATCAGCTGCGGGCAGAGCTCCTTTGCTTTCCCAATGAACATCCCTGCTCTGACACCAAACTTTCTTGCCACATAGTTCGCCGATGATATCTCTGCATGCTGAGCGTTCTCGCTGGTTGCGTCACCCCAACAGACTGCGACTGGCTGGCCCTGGAGCTCTGACCTTCCCTTGACTCCAACAGAGCAGAAGAAACAATCCATGTCGACATGTGCGATAATCCGACCTCCATGAGCAAGGGGCGGAGGCAGAGGAGGAGGAGGAGGAACAGAGTCAAGGATCTCTTGGTAGCGAGCTTTCCATGTCCCGATGAAGTGTAGCCTCGAAGCCTTGAAGAAGGACTGCATGAAGTTGGGATCATCCCTGCTTGTTCTCGGCTTGGAGTTCAGCAGAGGTTCCTTCCTCCTCACCTCTTCCTTCATCTTCTTGGCTGCCGCCATCGCTCGTTCTCTCGCCCCCTCCGATCCATCCGCTTCCGACATGGTAGCGAACTTTTAGGGATGAAAATTCAGGCTCGCCTCAGCTTTAAATTTGTGTAAATTGAAGGACAGTGGAATACAACTAGCTTGGTGTGGTTTGACGATAAATTTTCAATTTCATATTTCAATATTGGTCATATTCTTTGATATATTGAAATTTGATCCAAATATTTCAGATTGCGTAGAGTGCGATAGCAGGGGAACTGGGATACATGGTGCGGGACATACGACGTGGAGCAAGAGGGACGGGCCAGAGGAGGATGAAGAGGCAGGAGGACATAGGAACTACCTCATGGCATCCTGTTCATCGACATCCGATGGCTGCCTCTAACTGAGTGGGAGTGGTGGTGAGTTGTAGGCTGTCGAGTTTGTGGTGAGAGCTCGGGGTCGTTGTGCGACAAACTCATAGGGGTCTGAACATCTAGAGCTGATCTCGGACTCACCTGATAGTTTCTTGCTGGTCTCTCTGAATAACTCAGGATCGAGCGAAGCTTCTGGCGAGCATGGACAGAGGGAAGGAGGAGGAAGCCATGGAAAATGAGCCTCTCAGGGAGCAAGATCAACTGCAAGAGGATGAGGACGCGGCCCAACACTCGCAGATCTCCCTCCATGGGCTCCAGCTGGACAAGAGGTGACCTCTGAGAGAGCTGGATTTTTCCGGCTCACCATGTTGATCCTCGTGGTGACAGAGAGAAACGCTCGGTCATGCAGAAAGCTACTGCGCAAGCGAAGAATCTCAACATCGACAAGACCATGGCGCTACGAGAGGCCCGAGGGAACAAGGTTGATGCTAGAAGTACTAGATGTGCTTTCGTCATGGTCTGACAGTGTGCAGTGTAACTATATCCTTGGTCTGGCATCCTGCATTCTCGCAGTTGCACTTGTCGCTACCATGAACACCCTCTTTGAGGTTTGCAGGACTGATCGATGTTGTGGTGTATGACCGACACAATACAGTACACTCCTCTCCTGTTCCTCTCCATTGCTGAGTACAATGTCGGAGAGATGGATGTGACGGTGCTTCCATCAAGCTGGACATCAGTGAGACTGGCCCCGTTCGCTACTCCTTCACAGTGACTATGCCTTGCAGTTGACCTATCTGAACTACAGCAACGTGAGAAGTACTGTAGGAGGGGAAGATGTCTTGTTCAACTACTCTTCTCCCCGTTGGTCCATTTATACTTCAGCTTGGAACACAAAACTCTGCAACAACCAAGGTTGGAACTTCCGGGACGCAAGCGATCGATATCTTGGCAAGGACGGATCGAGTTGTGGACTGCATGCTGAATCTTCAACGTCGTCATGTGTTGCAGGTAAGGGCAGTGATGATAGCAGTGACAATGTACTGATGTTGGCTCTCGCCCTCGCCCTCGCCCTCGCCCTCACTTTCACCCTCACCTTCATCCTTCCCCTCGACTTTTCCCTTCTCATTTCTCTTGCCCGTGCTATCCCTCCCTCCCTCCCTCCCTCCCTCCCTCCCTCCCTCCCTCCCTCCCTCCCTCCCTCCCTCCCTCTTCTCTCTCTCTCTTGCTCTTTACTGACTCACTCGCAACAGAGCAGTGCGGAGCTCCGGACAGTGCAGATTTGTACCTCATAGACTCCTACCTGGAGGAGAGGATGGGTCTTGGATCGCACTGGCACCTGGAAGCAGCCCCTCCGGGAAGTGTATATCTGCACAAAGACCTTGCAACGATGCTGAATGCTACAGTCGGGAGTGAGTTGATCCTTCAGTTCTCGCTGAGCGATCTCTTCAGTATTGCTCTGCCACGAAGTTTAACAGCTCCACTGGGCCTCCAGGACTCTGAACAGTTCCGATCTTCGACTACGATCTTGCTCCCTGTTCGGGTGAGCTCCATTTTTGAGCAGACGGGAGGGAAGTTCAATGAGGAGGCGACGAATGCTGTTGTGATGGAGTACGGCACGTTCATCGAAGCTGTGTCAAAGAATCTCAACCCCAATGCCAACTATCTGCAAGACTCTTTCTCGAGCATTGACTTGTATGAATACGCTCAATATGTTTGCTACAACCTCCCGCCTCCTCGAAGCGTGTTCTACATGAAGAACGACTACTCTGTCGTGCAGACCAAAGTGCTGCACATGATGTCGAGACTGGTCACCAAAATAGGCTTCGAGTACATCGATGCATCGATCATGTTGTTGGGAGAATTGAGGGTGCTCAGGACGGTTTCTATCTTTCTTGGTCTGATCATCAGCATCATCATCGTGGCACTTGTGTTTCTGCTGTGCCTTCTCATGTACTCGCTGCTCATCATCTCAGTGGAGAACAGAGCTTTCGATCTCGGGGTCCTGCGAATGGTCGGCATGACCCGCCGGGGAGTTATTCGACTTCTCCTCCTCCAGACCTTCTTGACGAGCATTCCTGGCTGGGCCATCGGCCTGCTGGTGTCCAAGTTCCTGGTAGCAGCTGTGCTGGACCTGCTCAAGTCGATCTTCGAGTGGAAGACAATCCCACAGGTCGAGACGTTCTCCATCCAGTACGCGACAGTGATCGGGCTGCTGGTCCCTGCCGTTGCCGTCATCCTTCCCATCCGCAAAGCCCTCTCGGTATCTCTTACTGACGCCCTTGACATCCGGAGGAACAAGGTCGTGGCCGTCAAGGTTTCGCTGGAGCGCGCGAGTCAGAAGATTATCCCGACACCGCTGATTGTCATCGGCAGCCTGATGACGATGTTCGGCGTGCTTGTGTACTACATGTTTCCTCTTGCTCTGCTCACCTTCAACCTGACTCTCCTCCTCTACATCTTCTTTGCTCTGCTCATGGGCATCCTTGCTGGTTTGGTGCTGCTGTCTATGAACATAGAGAGGCCTGTGGAGTACGTCATCACAAACATTTTCTTCTGGTGGTCGGAAAGTTCAATGCGAACCACCCTGCACAAGAATCTGATAGCCCACAGGACCAGAAACCGCAAGACAACACTCATGTACTCCCTGTCCTTGGCCTTCGTCGTCTTTGTCATCGTCTTGCTATCCATGCAGATTGAACAGTTCAAACTGAACCAGCTGAGGAAGAACGGGAGCGTGCTTGCCATGTACTGCCCGACTTTGGTCAAGGCCGCGTGGGCAGCGCGACAGATAGAAGAATTTGTACAGGAGAACCGGCTGGTGGAAGACTTTGCGCTCGTCTCGCATTCTTTTCGCTCTGTCACATCGCAGAGCAACAGCATCCGAACTCTCGGGAGGGTCGTCTCAGCTGGGAACGATGTCTACGCCGTCACCCCAAACTTCTTCAAGGTGGCGAGCGAAGGGTTCCTGACGATCCGAGACCAGCTGCCCAGCTACTTCGACCAGCTCACTGAGAGCATTTACAGTGCCATGGGCTCTCAGTCGATGCTCATCGGGTCCCTGTACATGGACAAGATGGCAATGACGCTGAATTCCTCCTTCCTGCTGCAGCTGCAAGGGGAGCCAGCCATGTACGAGAGGCTTCGTCCCATGGCCTTCCTCGATGGAGTCCCGAAGCTGACGATGTCAAGGTACCCGGCGAGGCAGTTCCAGGACGCCATCGTCTCGTTCCCGACGTTTGCAAGGCTCGTAAGGCATCTCAAGGATGGCTACTCGGTGCGGGACATCCCGCTCTACTTCACTCTCTTCAAGCTCAAGGACGGGCTGTCGCAGGAGGAGGTGGACGAGATCAGCGATCAGATGTCAAACCTCGCTAGCGACATCGGCTGCCGCCCGCGAGACGTCAGGAACAGGTACCGAGGCTTCCAGATCGCGTCAGACGCCATGGGCATCTTTTCGTCGTTGACAACGGGCGTGGCGCTCATCGTTTCCTTCTTCTCTCTCGTCTCCTCCATGTTCGCCAACATTCAGGAGCAAGCCAAGGAGCTCGGGTTGCTGCGAGCCATCGGGGTGACGCGCAACTGGATCGCAAGGCTCTACACCATGGAGGCGACTGTCCTTGTCCTGAGCTCTGCCCTCCTTGGATTGGGCATCGGCGCCATTGTGGCCTCTACGGTGAATCTGAAGCACGAGGAGAGGATCATTCTGACGAAGTTTGTCTCGCAGGTCACAGCACAGCAAACCATGTTCACGCAGCTGCCGCTCCTCCTCAAGCTGCCTCCAGAGATCATCGTCGTCATCCTCCTCGGAGCTGTTGGCTCAGCTTGTCTGTCCTCCTACTTCCCGGCGAGGCGCATCATGCAAGAGAAGATCGTGAAGCTGCTCAAGGCTCGATGATTCCACTGGCCTCCCAGTCTCCTGCTCCTCCTGCTCCTCCTGCTCCTCCCGATCTCGTGCTCCTGCTCCTTACGGCGTCAGAATGTCGTCGGGTGCGGGCTTTGTAGCTTGCACTCGTTAGGCTATACTGGGGCTGAAGCCCCTCCTCCTGCTCGTGTCCTCGTCTTGGTCGCTGATTGATAGAGAATGGAGCTGGAGGGAGGGAGGAGGGATCAAATAATCCCTTGACCAGCCTCTAACTTTCTTGTGACTTACTTTACTTGCCCAGGTCAATGAAATCTTGTCGTTTGCTCGTGCTACTTGTCTGAACCCTCCTTTACATCCCATAACCCTCCAGCCCCTCCTATCCGACACACTTCTTGCCTCCTCCTCACCATCATCATCATCATCATCATCATCATCATCATCCATCACCATCTTCATCATCGTCCACCACCCACACAATATGTTCCCTCGCAATCTCCTTCTCATCCTCGTTTTGTTCTTGCTACTGCATACAATCATTCTCATATCTAATTCTCAATCTCGACCGCCGCTTTCCCTCGACTCTTCCTCGCTATGTCCTCACAACTTTCTGACCCATCACAGGTATCTATGGGGAAATCTGATCGACAAGGGAACATTTCCTCTAGAACAACCAAATCAAGACAGCGGGTCACGTTGTCACAACTTTACTGTCATTAACCATACAAGAGAACACCAGCAAACAGACAGTGCCGGTCGTCCGTTGACTCGCTCCGAGACCGAGCAGCCACGGGGCATCTCTTGGCGTGACGGCCGGGGAGTCAGGACGAGAGTCGAATTGCAGAAGCAGCTCAGTGACCTGACGGGCGAGGATGAGGTCACCTAGGTGAAGTCCTCATACACTTCAAGTGCGGCAACGTACCTGAATGTATCCGAATGATGGCTGTTCTCGAGGGACGGTGGAGACGAGCTTGACCTACATGCTGTCACTGACAGCTCAGTGAGATGCCTTGACTTCATCTCCATCATCCCCGCATCCTGCTGTTGCCGCATACACTCAGCCCGGCCGTCGACCCAGCAAGTCGACGTCCGACAACCGTGGCAAGAGCTCCCCGGCGGAAGCGTCTTCCGCCGTCAGTGAGCCGCTTCAACTTAGCAGGCTAGATGGGCCTGCCACGCGAGGCTCGAACCCTAACAGACTGAAGGAGCCGCCAGTAACTACCGTTGTAGAAGAAATTGAAAAGGAGTGACGGCAAGCATGATCTGACTGAGCCTCTGTCTTCAAGTTTGGAGCTCCGATACCGCAGCCTGGTAGTACAGGGAAAATGGGCCGTGGAGATCCGAGACTCAGGATCCCATCGCTGACCACCGTGATCGCTCTCCACACTCGATGGAACCGAATGACTGACGGTAGCGAGCACTGTGACAAAAAGGCGTCGACTAACTTAAGTCACTTCCGTACTGGCAAGTCACACTGTACGCCGGTCAACGGTAGTCAGTTCAGGTCACTGTCAAGTGATTTGAGAATTCTTCTGTTGTGTACAGAGTGGTAATCGATCCCGCGCAATTCAGCACTATGATTCCCAAAAACAATGCAACTGTCAAAAAGGTAGGGGTGATATACACCTTGACCAGCCGCCGAGTTACTAAAGCGATCAATGCCAAAGTATATATACTACTCAAAACACCATGAATCATTTTCAAATTCCCAACAGCTGTAGCTGCCGCGTTCTACCCTACCCCCGTAAAATCTGGGAAATGCACCGGTCAAGTTAGGGAATCAGTGCACACCCACCTAGGAAATATCCACAAGGATAAAGGATATAGCACCGGTAGTCCACCTGGTTCATTTTATCCGGGAATGTCCGAGCCAAAAGCCATGCAGGTATCCACGGTGAAGAAAGAAATGCTCTCCTCGCCTCCGCAATACCCACCACCACCACCACCACCACAAAAACAGACAACAACAACAACAGCAGAAAAAACAGAAGAAACACAAACAAAAAACAAAGAAAATGACGTCAAAACAACGATGTCATTTGTCGGAAGAAAACAAAAGAACCCAGAAGCCAACGGCCCCGAAACAACCGTGTCCTTACAAGAGGACCCGCGGTACAGCAAGTACTTCAAGATGCTCCGTGTAGGAGTAGACAAGGGAGCGGTCAAGAGCACGATGGTGCGGGAGGGCCACGACCCGAGCATCCTGGAGCGGGACCCCTCGTCTGCGACGGACATGGGAGCCTTCGCGGGAGTCGTGGTGAAGCTCAAGGACGACCCGCGGTACAGCAAGTACTTCAAGATGCTCCGTGTAGGAGTAGACAAGGGAGCGGTCAAGAGCACGATGGTGCGGGAGGGCCACGACCCGAGCATCCTCGAGCGGGACCCCTCGTCTGCGACGGACATGGGAGCCTTCGCGGGAGTCGTGGTGAAGCTCAAGGACGACCCGCGGTACAGCAAGTACTTCAAGATGCTCCGTGCAGGAGTAGACAAGGGAGCGGTCAAGAGCACGATGGTGCGGGAGGGCCACGACCCGAGCATCCTGGAGCGGGACCCCTCGTCTGCGACGGACATGGGAGCCTTCGCGGGAGTCGTGGTGAAGCTCAAGGACGACCCGCGGTACAGCAAGTACTTCAAGATGCTCCGTGTAGGAGTAGACAAGGGAGCGGTCAAGAGCACGATGGTGCGGGAGGGCCACGACCCGAGCATCCTGGAGCGGGACCCCTCGTCTGCGACGGACATGGGAGCCTTCGCGGGAGTCGTGGTGAAGCTCAAGGACGACCCGCGGTACAGCAAGTACTTCAAGATGCTCCGTGTAGGAGTAGACAAGGGAGCGGTCCAGAGCACGATGGTGCGGGAGGGTCATGTCTTTTTGGACTTTTGAAATATGGTTTTGCGCTAAACCAGGTGATGTTTTTTTCCTTATGTTGTTTGTTTCTCAATTTTTTCCTCAGGCTGTATCATCGGCTGGTTCTCGCAATTTCAAGCTTGTTTTTCGGCACCATTTACAGCATACCAGTGTGTATGTGTGTTGACAATTCGTTTTTGTGTTGTATCGTGCACAGGTTCAGTTTGTATGCCCTGCCGCTTTGATTAAATTTATCCTGATCTGATTTGAGCCTGGTAAAGCTGATTGTAGGGCTGATCTGAATGTAGTACTGGTAGTGCTGGTAGTTCTCATTGTAGTGCTGGTAGTGCTGATTGTAGTGCTGGTAGTTCTCATTGTAGTGCTGGTAGTGCTGATTGTAGTGCTGGTAGTGCTGGTAGTGCTGGTAGTGCTGATTGTAGTGCTCCGTCGTTGTCATGATCATCGGATGATCAGGAACCTTACAAGAGCCACGTGAGTTATTATGCGGTGCCCTGTAGTCAATATTTTCAAATATTTTCAGTCCCAAGGCCATATAGTCAATACTGACAATCTTTCATGGCAGGGGACCAGTAGGTACAAACAGCAAGAAAGTGATGAGGAGGAAGAGAAAGAAGGAAGACTAGTGATGATGAGGAAGAGAAAGAAGGAAGACTAGCGATGATGAGGAAGAGAAAGAAGGAAGACAAAGAAAATGATCAGCAGAGGCAGGGGCAGGAAAAGGAAAAGGAAAAGAAACATCAAAAAACTCAATGAAAGATTGAGCAAGAAAATGATGGGCGGGATGATGGAGGGAGAGAAAGGATGTACAGAGAATTGATGTTGTGATGGATGATTCTATAAATGAGATGAGTATGGATGAGAGATCAGAGAAGATTGAGATTGAGATTGAGATTAGAATCACGAGGGTTTATACAACCAGCATAGCATTTGGAGCAACACCTCTCAAGGAGGAGAGATGGAGGGATATAATCAGCGCAGGAGCAGCAACATATGAAGAATGGCAGATGAAACTAGATTACAATCTGAGATCAGAACTGTTGACTGGGGACGCTCCGTTGCACCGCCTGTGCAAGAGACTGTCTCATGGACTGATTCTCTCTCTTCCAGGACTTCATATGGCCGACTCCGTCGAAGTCTTCTCGTCCCAGCCAGTGTCTGTGCCGATGGCTGAGGTTGGCGCGAGCGATTCAAGCGCGTCCAAGACAGCCCCTGCGATCATGAGGCCGACGTCGTGGAGGGGCAGAAAGTTCTGTCAGCCTCCAGGGAAGTCAGGGCAGGCAGGTAGCGGCATGTGGAGGTTTGTAGGGCTGCTAGAGCCGGAAGAGAACGCGGAAGCGGCAGCAACCAAGACTGTGGTGTGCCTCATCCCGAATGAAGGAGAGTTCTGCGGGAGGATGATCAACATGGGAAAAGATGGGAGCAACTCGAATGTTGTGAAGCACCTGCGAGCAAAACACCCCGAAGAATACAAGTACTTCCTCGAGACCTCCAGCAAAGCGCGGCTGGTGAGCTCCAGGAGGATAGACGTTCTCGGCCCCAACCCCCACAAGGTCAGTCCCGTCGGCAGCCCCTTGCCGCGTCCTCATACTTGCCAGGTTGCTGCTCGAAGTTTTGAGAGGAAGAGGAAGAAGCCCAGGACGGACAAGCAGGGAGACGATGGACATGGATCAGATGAAACTCAGGTGCTTCCCCTTGCCTTGCTTGTTGGTTTGACGCGATGCCTGGAGATCCTCACCGATGACGATGTTGCCAACAAGATGAGCCCCGCCGCGATCCTCGAGGTTCCCCGCGCGTCCCCTTCCCCTCCCGCTCACGCCCCGTTGCTCACCCAGGTGCTCTGCGAGAAGGGCAACCGAGTGAGGCACCCCCTGTACATGGGGACCAACTTCATAGGACGGGATGTGGATTGTGACGTCATCATCAAGGACAAGGCTGTCTCAAGGAAGCACGTAAGAATAGACTTGAGCAACAATCAGGACACGCAGGCGCATGTGGTGGATCTGGGTAGCACAAACCCCACGACTATCCTGAAGCAAGGGAAGCAAGTTCCTCTGCAGATGCAGACAGTTCACGTGGTCCACCTGCCCTTCAAGTTCTGGCTGGGGACGTCGCAGTGTGTTCTGATGCCGATAGGGAGTTTGGACTCCAGTGAGACGAAGAAACAATCTGCGGTGTTGCGGCGAGAGAGCGAAGGAGGAGCGTTAGATATCACCAACGACTTCTCAGCTGTGGACGATACGAGCGAAGGGGAGACTGGAGCGGTGCATGCGGAGGGGAGTTCTGCTGAAGTGCAACAGAAAGGTGAGGCAATCCTGGTATGATGAAGAGTAACTAGCAAGTTCAGGGAGCGTTGAAGTCGCCATGATGAACACATCTCTTGCTCCCTCCTTCTCAGCAGCTGACTAACAACTCCCCCGCTGGCTGCACGGCACTCCGATGGTACAGTAGCTTCTTTCCCGCGACCCCTTTCCATTTGTTCGATATATAAAATTGCTGACTACAAAGAATCCAACGGGAAACCCTCAGCAGCCAACAGATAACGGAAGTTACAGCCTGTCGTAGTTAGGTGACGCCTCGACAAAGCTTTCCGACTTCCTCTTGGCAAGAATGCTGGGATCCAACCCCTTGATCCTTTCTGTCTGCGCCTGCAGCTGAGCCTGGAGCTCTGTCATCTGAATGTGGAAGGCAGACTGCCTCCTAGGCTTCTCAACTTTCTCTTGCTCGTCTACTGATCGAGGGCAAGTCTTGTCGTGGTGGGCCCCTTTGCTCTGGACGAACGTGACACTGCCAGAGACGTTGCAGTACTTGCAGACAACATGCTCTTCCTCGTTGCTCTCGTTCTCGATGAGGGAGGAGAGCTTGAGATGCTCCTTCCCTCCACTCGTTCTAATCTGCATCTCCTGCATGGCTGACTGCGCCTCGAGCACAGCACTGCTGGAGCCCTGGCGACGAAGTTCGCCCATGTTTGCACTCCAGCAGAACTCATTCGATGGAGCGCGCTTCAGGTGCGGCATCTGCTCCTGATACTTGATGACGTCACTCTGCGACTTTCGGCCCATCGGGGAAGCAGCTCGCAACCCGACAGGAGACACTGCGCGCGGTCCAGATGGCGACGCCATCTGATATGCCTCAGCGTCGGGAAGGTCATAGCTCGACGAGATCTTGCCAGTTGAACGAGTTTTGTCTCTTTTGGCACTGGCTCGCCCCGGGCTCTGTGCTCGCCCCGGGCTCTGTGCTCGCCCCGGGCTCTGTGCTCGTCCCGGGCTCTGTGCTCGCCCCGGGCTCTGGGGCCTTCCCGGGCTCATTCGTCGGTCATTGGAGGGGCTTGCGGCACGGTAAGGACTGCGACTACGACCGGAATCGGGTTCAATGTCAGACTGAAGCTTCTGTTGTGAGCCATCCCTCTTGGGAGGAGGTCTTCTTGCGTTCCGCTGGGGGGAAAGGAGCAACTGATTCATGCTTCCTTGCTGTTGAATGAGCATGAGGAGCTTAGTTTGAAGGTACTGCAACTGTTGCTGCGTCATCTCAATGTTGGGCTCTTCTGCATCTTTCTGTCCCTTTCTTTTCGTCACCTTGGTGATGGCCTGATTCATCGCCCCATCGTACATGTTGGCATCCCACTTCTTGGGGTTTTTCAACCCTGCTTGCGTCCCACCTGGCGTCCTGCTGGCAACTGACTCGTGGCATCGGGAGCCCTGCCCGATGTACCACTTTCCGTTCCTCTTCTCAGGTTTTGCCAGTCCGATCAACTTGCAAATAGAGTTACACTTGTGGGACGTCAAGAACTTGTCAATGCCCTCCTGTCCCAAGTTGCCCATGCCGAAGCTGTTCCCGTCATGACTGTGGATTTGAGGGTCGGTGAAGTAATGCCCGACACCTTGAATGTCGCAAACGAGGATGAGCTGATTCGAGTACTCCCAGGTGAAATGACTGAACGCCTGGGGCACCTCGTACTCTGTTTCGACATGACCATCGTTGTCATTGTGCTTAACATATTCGCCCTGCAGATAAGGCTCAACATTGCACTGGAAAAACGAGACATGTTAATCGAAGGTCACATGAAGCCTATAGCATTACCAAAGCATCCTTCACTCCCTTGCCAACGAGGTGAAGAACTTTCACTGGCAAGAAGCGACAATGATACTGCTCATTCTCCTCTCCAAGGGCAAGATCGAACTGCTTTGCAAAGCTGTCCGCCACTGTCTGTGTCATGGCTTCATCAAAGTAGATTTTTGCAATTTCCTGTGCAAAACGGTCAGCAATAAAGATCAGAACAAACTTGAGCATGAATCTCGTTCACCTCTTCATCTTCGTCGTCAAGGGCATCATCCTTGAAGACTTTGGCGACACCCGGGGCGTACTTGCCGTCTTTGTCGATCTCATACATTTTGTAGCACCATCTCATTCCTCCCTCTTGGAATGGTTTACGGGCTACCATGACGACGCATTCTTGACTAGTCCATTTCTCTTTGTACGCCTGATATGTGTCCGTCAGTAACGTGAGGGCAAGCAGGAATTGAATACATCGTAAGTGTATTTCAGAGCTCTCTGTGGCTCAGGTTTTCTGGTATCAGCATTCGACATCGTGTTGTCGATGATTCAATCTGTCAATCCGCTGGCTAGTCGAGACCTTTCAAACTCTCTTCACTCGCCCGTTTGGTCCTCCTGACATCCTCGAAGCCCAAGCCTGGTGTTGTAAGTTTTGATTCGGTAAGGAGCGTCGCGTCTTGGATGGTGATCGCAAAGTCTGTTGTGAAAGAAGAATTTCTTTTTGAGAACAAGTTCAGTGCCAGTGTCGAATGCTTGGAGCCGCGGTAGAGCAGCAAACCGCAATCCCTTCGGAGCTTGCAGTGGAGAGTTTGCAAGGGCTTGACCAACACTGCAGAAGCGTCTTGTAGGTACAAGAACGCTTCTCGACCTTCACGGTGCCAGTGTCCTCCTCCAGCTCTTCTCTCCTTCCTCGGCGCCTTCGCTGCACCTCCTGATCTCTCCGCTCCTCAAGCTTCTCCTCTCTTCTCCTTCACTTTCCACTGTGCATCACCATCCACGCCACAGGACCCACCTACCCCCACGTCTACACCACCTTCTCCACCACTTATATCATCTCTGGACCCCACCCGCCTTCAAGTGCGCCTCCTTCAGTGGACCCCCTAGTACTACTGAGCCTCGGAGCTCGGGGGGTGCGTGCGATAGGGTCGGGGGGTATCAAGAGGGGGTGGTCATTGTGGCAGGCAGGCATGATTCCCTTGAAGCCAACTTGGATGCTTCATGGGGTGGGTGGTTCTCGTGTTGGGGAGATAAAGGGGGTCATCGGACCATGGCCCGGCCCAGGACTGGGTGGGGTCCTCTGTTGTGGTCAACAATTGACGGGACAAATACCACTAGGGGTGGGATCATGTTCAGATACTACCAGTGTCGTGGGTAGGTACTCCAAAAATTTAGTACCCCACCAGAGATATTTTGATAAAAAAAACAGTACCCCCGCGTCCCCTTCCCAAACCTTCAACCACCCCTACGATGTACTTGAAGAGCAAAGCTCCATTGACAGTGAAAGGACCCACCCATATGCTTGAGTACTCCACCCCCATCATGCCACCACCCCTGAAAACTTTTAAAAACCATAACCCGGGCCACCTACCCCTCGGCCTCTAGGCTGCCAAGTCTACAAAGTCCCACCCCACCCTATCAGTCCCATGATGAACCACCGGGTCCTGGAAATGTCCAAAAGATTGTTCTCTACGACGTACCAGAAAGCACTACCCCACCCTACCTCAACCATAGTAGTGTCTCACAGAGTCAGGACCAGTAGTACCTTACGACACCCCTATCTCCATAAGTCGGGGAATCATGGCTGAATGAACGGGTACCGATCCATAGGGCGGGTCCTATGATCCAAGAGTCCTCCTAGGGGCTATCTCAGGCTATATCGTTTTAGATTTTGAAAATCTTGTTGGTATTCTCTGTACGAGCTTTATATTTGGAATTTTGTCACAAGTTTTGAACAAATTCTTTAAAACTTCACAGAATCGGGCCCCCTGCCTCCTTTAAGTTCCGGGAACAAGACCCTCACCTCAGTAACTCAGCAGTCAAAGTCCGATCGGACTCAGACTCGACTCTCATCGGACGGTCGAGTCCCGGAGTCAGCCACGGTGCGCGGCCTGGCCCACGGCCGCCCGGCCGGGCAGTTCCGGGCCAACCTCCCATGTTGCCACCGGCTTAGTGGCGGCACTGAAGACATGCCACGGTGCGACGGTGACCGACCGGGTCCGACCCGGGCAGCCGCCTCCCGCCGGGCCCAGCCCGCCGGGCTTCGAGGCCCCCTGGACCCGGTCAATTTCCGACTCGGCACAGTGTTCAGAAAGTGCAGTTCCGAGATAGCTCTGTTAACAAGGACAATACTAGAAATATTCTACAAAACAAGGGCAGGTGCTGGTACACGGACAGTGAGTAAGAGTCGATGTGGGTCTCAACTTTCAGCTGGCGTTGACGACTCTTGCGGATGCAGAGCAGAGTTCAATGCCACGAAGAGAGAGGTTGTCTCCTGCAGCAGCCGCATCAGCATGAGCTCGCCGACTTCGTTGGCCACTGACCTGATCGAAACCACCGGCGAATTGATGGCACTTGAAAGCGAACCGCAGAGCCTGGACCAGAATAGTTACAGCAGGCAAATTCCATCACACGCCTGACCTCCTCCATCAGGGCTCTCATATGCTGAACTTCGTTCGAATTCGCCTCGTCTTGCAAGCGATGGTAGGCAGACAGCACCATGGACATGGCGTAGTTGGCAAGACCGACTGTACCATGCTGAATCCTCTTCAGCAGGTTCCAGTCGAAGGGAATCTTGTCGTGTGCGAATTTCCGCTGTTTAGGAAACACATCAGCCGATCGGAAGAACTTACGCGGGAGGCAAGCAAGAGACAAGACGGGGAGGAGACCTGTAGATCGTCTTTTTCGCGGACATGCGTGTCAACTTGCGGCTTCACTTGTTGGAACTTCTCCATCACATGAACCAACTCGTCTCGAACGTTACTTCTTGCTCCCCACCTTTCACTGGTCACATCCATGCTGTTCAGAAGAGTTTCAAACTCATTCTTCTTTGCTATGGCCTCTCGCATCACATCAAGCTTCCGCTCGGGCCAAACGCTGGCGAAGTTTTCAGCCTTGAGTACCATTCTTTCATCGCTCAGCTTCCCCAGACGCCTTTCGACTTCAGCGACAAAGACATCCAGTTGCTCCATGTTCTTCGGTGCAAACTTTGAGATTTGCCGGGCAAGATCGAGGATCATTTCTGCATATTTCTCCCTATCTGCGACCACTTGCCGCATGTAGCTTGACTTCATCTCAAGCTCTTGCTTCACTGCGTCAGCAATGGCTGCTTGCGGCTTGCCATTCTTAGACGCATCCTCCTCTCCATTCCCCTTTCGTCCTGCATGACCGCCAGAGGCAGCCGCTCTCCTTCCAAGGCCTCGAGTCATGCGAGAACGTGCAAAAGCCATGGATCACCTGTTGAGAGCTTGAAACTGTTGAATCACTTCCCAAGACTTGGAGATCTTTGGCACTCCACCCTGCTGTGACGTCTCGTTGCTACCCGCAGCTGCCTTCATACCAGGAGGAGGGGGAGGAGGAGGGGGAGCAGGTGCTCCATTCGATCCTCCTGGCAGACGAGGTGGGGGAGGGGGGGGGGGAGGGGGAGGAGGGGGAGGAAACATGCCAGGTGCTCCAGGAGCAGGAGCAGGAGCAGGAGCAGCAATATTGCTTTCCTTGCTCTCACAAGTTTCCACATCCGCATCATCCACGATGATGTCACCTTGGAATCAAAGTCGGTAAGGATTCACTCCAGCACAGCAATGCTGGGCCTTACCCACAACGGCTTCGCCATTGTCGTCTTCACCGGAGTTTTTACCTTGAGGCGAGCATTGCGCACTAGGAGCGCTCTTTTCCTTCACAGCGACCTTCTTCCCTGTCAGGAAAAATGGGTCAGGGCCGAAGAAGGGCGTCCAAACGTCGTGCTTGACCTCCAAATTGAGGATCTTGCTTTGGGAAGGCCGTGGATGCAAATTCGGGGCCCCACGAGAGCAGCGAAGACATTGACTTCTGAGATTCAAAGGAGACTCTGTTCGTGGGGCCATTCGGAGGAACATCACGAGGGGAGCTGCTTCCCAAGTACGATTCTGTTGTCTTCTCAGGAAGGTTGGATGTCATCATCCTCTTGCTGTTCAAGTGATTGTTTCCAGCATCCTGTGCAATCACGGACATGTCAGCATTGCCATGCTCCTTCTTCTGAGGTGCCTGCAAAGTCTTCGGCTCCGCTCCTCGTTGCACTGCAAGCAAAAACATCAACAGGTAGCTCACAGCTTCAACTCGAAATTCTCACCTGGGGCCTCCTTGGCTCGAGGAGCTGAAGACTCCTGCACGACCATGACGGTCAAGAGAAACAATACACTATCAAAAGAGCAAACAGAAATAAACCTGCGAGGTAGCAAGATCAGCAATGGGCATCGGAAAGCTCATTCCGGACAATGCGCCCTCTTCTGCTGTCATATTGTAGTCGTTGCGAATATCCGATCTGAAGGACGGGCAAGGTGTGAGAGTGAGGTAGAAGCAGTGATTGGATGATACCTTGCCCCATTCGAGAGCAAGAGATCGCAAAGTTGATGATAGCTGAAGGCGTATGCAAAATGCAAAGCTGTCTGCCCGCGCCAATTCTGAGCATTGACGTTGAACCCGCTGCAATAAGCAAACATGCATTCAGCACACACCGTCTCTCAGAGCTAAAGTCACATATACTCACTTCTCGATCAGAAACGACACTATCTCCGCGCTTCCACTTTGAGCCGCCAGGATAAGCAACGTGTTCCCGTAGGCATCGCATGTCGTACTGTCCACCACCTTCTTCTCAACTGCACGCTTGACCGTGCTGACATCACGTTTCATCACAGCCGAGAAGACTTCATCGACATTTCTTTGAGCCACTTCCTCCTCGCAAAGATACTGCACGTCCTCTTCCTCATCTTCAGAAACGTTCTCATGACCGCAGCTGGCCTGCTCTTTTTCAACAACTTCATATCCATCTTCGCTGAAATACCCATCAGAATTCGAAGCATCTTCACTCTGAGCTTTTCCTCCTGTGATCGACTTCTTGGCTAGCCAGCTGAGTCTGTTTTGCCTCTTCAATGCCGGGTTGGCTCCTCGCATGGCCAGGTACGACCAGCTCATGAACCCAGCGATGCCGATCGCTGCTGCAACCGAGCCAGGAACTTCTTTCGCCATGAGGATGCCTTGCTTAGCCAGCTCCCCTCCTACAGTGCGAGCGACGTTTTGGAATGAGCTAGAACTCATCCCTGCTACCTAGCCAGTGAACCCCGACCGTTTTCGGAACACACGCACCGTTCTGTAGAACTGCTCGACGGAAGCTCCAGACAAGACAAACCTTGTTGACAACTATGACCTCGCCTGCTGTCTCCTTTCCTCTGTATCTTCTCCTCGTCCTCCTCTTTGTCCTCCTCTCACTCCTCTGTTCTACTCCTTCCTACTGCACTAGGGACGCGACTCCTGCATGATAACATTCTGGAGGGAGGTGTTGACCTCAATTAAGAAAGTTCAACTCCAATATTCCTGACTAATTTTGAAAATTTGATAACAGCTATTATGTTTTTAAAGTTGTACGCTGGTAAACGCGACTGCTCATGTTTCTTGAACGGCAGTTTTGTAAAATAATTTTAAAGTGTACCATACTCCATGAAACAAATCAATCGATGTAAAGATTCAATTTTCTGTTTCAAAACTTCAATTTTTGTTACGAAATAAATGAATTTGATCTCTATTTTGAAAATAAAATATTTATTAAAGATTCTTGCTATCTGGTAAGCGAGAACACGTAGTAGACCGACTCAAATCGATTTCCATCAGTCGATTCAAATCGATTACAACTCATGTATGAAATCGATTCCACTCACTCCAAAACCGACCTGAATCGGATTCAACCAAAAAGGTGAAGAGCCGCGATGGCGCGGGCGCCGCGGCAGTATGCGGGACTGGCAGGTAAGAGAGAGTTGCTTCTAGAGCCGTCAATGCTTCCTTCCATGTCTGTTGAGGTTATCTGATTGCTCTCTAGTGCTCGCAGGCCTTGCTCTGGGCCTCTGCCTTGGAGTCATGCTCCTCTCGAGAACAAATCGTCGAGTTTCCTTGGGAGCATCTGACCCCGGATACATCGACTGGGTGAAGGGCATGCAGTCCCCATCAGACCCTTCCTTTACAGATGATCTCGTTCCAGCAGCCCCGGTCGAGCTTCCCATCAACTACTATTACTCTAATGCCAGATGTGGAAGGCCCTGTTGCGATTGCTACTCCGACCTGTCCAAGTGGATGGACGGGGCAGAGCAGGGCGAAGCAGGGAAATCTCCAGAAGCAGAGATTGCAGAGCATTACAGCATTCCCGATGAGAACTTGAGGAGATATCGCAAGGCCTTCGATTCATTCAGCAAGAAGCGGGGAGGTAAGATTCTCACAAGAGACACCGACGGACACATCAAGATCAATGATCTCCAGCAGCTGGTCAAAATTCTTGGATCAAACCCTTCAGCCAAACAGCTGGAATACAGTATCGAGCAGGAGGAGCTGCCGAAGGGAGGACTTGACTATCCGGCTTTCCTGACTGTGATGGCGAGACATGCTCCCTCATGGCCGGTGATGATTTCCGAAGCGATTCGGCTGCCGTACTCAAGCGACAATGTCCGTGCAAGCAATGATTTGCGGCGAAAGATCATTGCTGCTATTGCTGCAACGGCTGGGGTGACAAGCGATCAAGTGGAGCTTGTGAGGGTGCGACCGATTCCCGGGCACCAGGAGGAGTGCGCGATCGATTTCAACGTGGACGCCAAGAGTGATGATGCTGAGACCCTCAAGGACTCGCTGGCTCCTGCAAGGATCAACGAGATGCTTCCTCGCTTCGGCCTGCAAGAGTCTACCTCCCCAGTAGCAGTGTATGACAAGATCATCCTCCCCCTCCCAATCTCGCAGGTTGATGATGAAGTGCAGCACAAGGTTCTCAACATCCTTGCTGACGTCACGGGAGTGGATGTCACTCAGATTTCGTTGAACAAGGTTGTTCCTGATCCGGAGGACAATCAGCAGACAAAGCTTGTGTTCTTCATTGAGGCGAACACCAACGAGGTTGAAGACATTGGTGCGAAACTCAGGAAGGACAAGATCAATGAGGAGCTTGTTCGCGAAGGCCTTCCGACCACCGAGACCTTGATGCATCCCAAGGTGCAGCCTCACCCTGACTACATGAGCTTCTTAGGCCCTGGATGCGCCCGTTGTGCCAACTCGCCTTACATGGATGGGGATAATCTTGGCAAGGATTGGATTGGCAACTTCCCTTTTGACTCACCGGTCTCCCCTCAAGTATCTCGGGAGGTCAAACGATTCGACTCTCACAAACCAGATTGTTCCTGTGAGAATGATATTTAAACAGAACTCTTTTCTTGTTTGAACGAGCTGTGTTAGATTGGCAGACGATTGTGTGAAATAGCCGGAAATAAATGTTTGACATCAGTCCCGGTACAAACATGCATATTTCGCTGTCATTTGGGTTTTCTGCTACCAGACGAAATGGTACTTGTTCAATTTATAGACCGCGACGAACAGAAACTAACAATGACACCATCCACCTAGTAGATTCCAACCTGGTGCTCGAACTGATGCTTGTGCCCATAGGTAGCAGGATAAGGCAAAGCATGATTGCTGCCAGGCTGAGCGGCAACCTTGCATCCATCGTCAATCATGCTTCTACGTGCACAACTCAACAAGCTTACCTTGGGGCTACCCTTGGGGATATCCACCACGTAGTAGGCAGTACCATCATCGTACTGAGGCGTGATGTCGGAATTGAAACCAGCGAACTCGGATGGTCGTGCCATCATGTACTCCTGGTTGGTTCCAGCCCAGATTGGTGTGAGAATGGAAAATCTGCAATGATGTCAAGATTCGCATACCAAGGAAACCTTCGGCACATCGATTCGACAAGCAACCACTTTGAAACTTTGATGTGGAGACAACATTTCATGAACATCGGATTGAAGCCATTAGCATTAAAAAAGAGGGACAACAATCAAATTCTTCCTTTCATTCCTGCGCTACAAAACAACAGGGCCTCTTTCGCAGTATCCTGACTGTACTGATTCCCTTCATCCGCCAGCCCAATGTTTCACTTCGCAACCTACATCTTCTCTACGAAGCGCGCATATATTTCCGTCAACCATACTTGTTTCTCCTCTCTTCGCCTTGACACATCACTTGTTCGCTCTTCTCGCATTTCGCATTCTCATCTCACTCCCACTCACCTCAGCATTTCCGCGATGCCTCTTCGAGGGCAACTTACCCTCATCCCCCCTCATCCCCAGATGCAATGCCGAATCTGGGCCCGCATCAGCCATTGTAAGCTGGGGCGGGCCGGGATTGACCTGGGGCAGGCCTGGAAATTAAAAGAGATGCGTCCGAGAGCGATGGCGAAGGGGAGGGGACGAGGGAGAGACGTTGAGAAGCAGTTGGAGAGAGGGATAGACTGCGAGAACATGTCAAGACACAGGAAAGACATGCTTGATGGCGTGTGATGGACAGAGCTTGATCGCTATGCCGTAAGAACTTATTCATGACTGTGGGAAACTTATCGACACGGGAAATGACATGATTGCACTAATATCATCTGCCGTGTGAAGACAACGTCTTATGAGCTCTACATTGCAAGAGAGAGTGCTGAGAGATGAACTATGGTGCAGACAGACATAGAACTCTCTCTGATCCTTTGAATGGAGACCTGAAAAAACGCTGAGTTGGAGGAGTAACATGTCTTCTGCCAGAAAGCAGCTTTGCGTTGCGTTCTTACTTATGCTGATAAGACACATATACAACGAGCAGCAGAGACTGGACACAATCTCTCAAAGGAACATTTTTCATAGGAAACAATGCAGGCCATCGTTGGGGAAGCTGATCAGCAGGCCGTTGCGAACTCAAGGGTCCAGCAGCAAGGAAGAGACGAGGTTGAGGGGAGGAGGCGAAGACATCAGCTTGTCAGATATCCAAGGGGACATATCAGTGCCGGAGAAGAGCCCGACGCCGAGAGAGCCATCGCCCCCTTACTACCCACCTCCTGACCACTCCAACATCAGCAACTTATTCAATCTCCCTCCCGGCACCATCTTCACTCGAGACGTGAGGCCGGAGGACCCGAACCTGACGTACTGGAGGTCCCCCATCGAGAAGGACCTGGGGTGGGCTGGTCCAGTGTGGGGCGAAGACTGCCCCGAGGCTACAATGGACCCTCCTCCAGGGCATATCAGAACATGGGGCGACTGCGAAAACAACGAGACGTTTGTCGGGTGCTATGACGACGGAACGCCGGCGCTGTATGGGGAAGTGGAGCATCATTTCCGCCATGAGATGAACAAGTCCTGCGATGAGCTCTCTGACTCCATGGATCACCTTCCCGAGCTCATGTACCTTTACCGCCAACGGCCAAACTACACGGGCATGACTGAGTTCGACCCCAAGGTGCACGAGGGCTACAACGGGTGGATTGGGAGGGGCTCGACACCAAAGGAGGAGATGGAGGACGAGTATTCTGATGGAGGATGGGGCGTCAATCATTACGAGGTTGGGAGGAGCATACAGTACGTGAATGTTCCGATGCAGCATCAGGACTTCATGCGGGTGGGGAAGGAGGCGCGGGAGAGAGACGACGAGATGAGCGGAGGAGGGAGTGATAAGGGGAGTGAAGGTTCCGACGACCTGGACAGAGACGATGGCAATGAGACGTCCAGCAGCGCAGAAATCGATGCGAGGCAGCTCAATGTGCACAATCACACCAGGGTACGAACATGGCAAGAAGTCCTGCAAGCGCACAGGAAGCAGTACATGAACGTAACTTGGACCCCCGACTACTGTGAGATTCCTGCACAAAGAGCTGAAGATGAGCCGACAGATGTCATTATGAGTACGAAGATGGTCAATGGCAGCCGCATACGGCGAGAGGAAGACATCTGCAGACTTTTTCTCGAAGGCGAGCCGGTCGATGCCGGATTCACGGGGTGGACATTTGAGGAAGTGAAACGTGAAAACCTCTTGAGGTTGCAGAAGTGGAGGAAATGGAGGAAGTGGCTCGAAGAGGAGAGGGAGAGAAGAAAACCGCTCTGGTCCAGGAATCTTACGGTGAGTTGGCTGACTGCATGTTGTACATCGTTGATACCTTCCTCTCTCTCTCGCTCGCTCGCTTCCTCCCTCGCTCGCTCCCTCCCTCTCCGTCTCGCTCTGTCTCGCTCTCTCTCTCTTGCTATCTCTCGCTCTCTCTCGCTCACTTTTCCTGTCGTGTTGCTGTCCAGTCTTCATGTCTTCCCATATGTCATTTCTCTAGCTCGACTCTGAACTCTCCGTCCCCTAGGAGTGGCAGGACTTCAACATGACCTTTGTAGACCTCAATGGGAATAAGTTCCCGGCGTCCAAGGGGAGAACTCCGAGCGAGGTTCATGCCAACACCGTCTCTGCCTACCTCAAGAATGCCTTGGACCAAGCAGCGCACGCGCACAGGCAGTTATACAAGGAGCGGGAGGAAAGTCTCAAGAGCATAGAAGATCCAACGGTCTCCCCTTGGATATACAAGAACGGGTATCGCTTCCGTCTGCGGCAGATCATCGGAGGAATATGCCTCCAGCCTGAAGTTCAGGTCCCCGGATCTTCGTGGGTGTTTGGTTCCAAGGAGGCTCAGGGGGCGGTGGATGCATGGATTGCTGCGAATGAGGTGAAAGGGCCTGAAGACTGCTGGAACTGTATGGAGCATGAAGCGTCTCAAGACGAAGAATTCTACTGCAAGACCTTAGAGCAAACTCCTGACAACGCTTCTGCTCTGTGCGATTACGGCCTCCTCCTTTATCGTCAAGGGAGAGAGGCGGAGGCGGAGGATGCGTTTGCTCAGGCGGTCAAATGTCCCATGAAGACTGCTGCTGGAGCCAATTTCCCACCTCACGTCACAGCCTACCACAACTTGGCAGTGATCAAGGCGTATGACGGGAAGATGGATGAGGCAGAGGACTTACTGCAGCGATCTCTTGCTCTCTACCCAGAGAACGATCGGGTGATGGTGAAACTCGGGGAGATCATGGAGGACGAGCACAAAGACTTCGAGGAGGCTGAGAGGCTGTACTCGCGTGCTTTCGTCTTGAACCCCTACGGGAAGGAGATGCTTTATGCATATGGAAGATTTGTTTTCACGTGAGTTGTGCAGACCGTCTACTCCCTGCATTCCTTCTCGCCATGCACACTCCCTCCTCCCTCCTCCCTCCTCCCTCCTCCCTCCTCCCTCCTCGCCTTTCTCCTTCCATTCTCTCATAACTTTGTACGCAGTGTACGTCGAGACTTCAACTCAGCTAAGATGCTAATAGAGATGTCTGTCAAGGTCGACCCGTTCTGTGCCCTCAAGCAGTTTGTCTATGCTGTCTTCTTGCTCGCGGTGATGGGGCGAAGAGACCAGGTGAGAACCGCATGAAAGAGAGGTAGCGAGAGGCAGAGGCTTGAGAACTGACACTGAACAGGCTAAGGACGGGTTGGAGTGGACAGTCAACGATGATCTGGGAAAGAAGATGGCAGACGCTTCCGTGCTCTACGCCGTGCTCCTGCTGAACAGAGAGCTGGAGCCAGAGCTGAGAGATACCCCGGACTACGATTACATCAAGTCCAAGAAGAGGGAGAGAGTCAGGATAGAGCAGAAGATTTTCTTGCCGGAGGGCGACGAGAGCAGCGAGCTGGAGCGAACGCTCGATGCTGCTGACCTCTCTAGCTACACTCCAGCCTACAGCCAGCTGGAATACCTCAAGATCTTTGCGGTCTGTCGCGATCTAGAGCAGGCACGTGAGCTCTTTCAGCATGCTCTCGAGCTCGAGCCGAACAGGGTTGATGCAGCGCTGGGACTGAGCTGGGCAGTGCGGGAGGAGTCAAAGGGAGGGAGGGAGGAAGTTCGCAACAAGCTGGAGGAGCTGTTGGGCCTGTTCCCCAACAACACTCGCCTCCTGCGAGCTTGTGCCGAGTGGGACTGGCATGAGAAGGGGAACCTCTCCTCGGCTCACGATCTCTACCTGCGGGCTATGAAGGTTGCTGATGAGAGGATGACGATGGAGACAGAGGGAGGAAGCCGGAAAGAGGAGAAAGAACAGCGGAAGAAGGAGGAGGAGGAGAAGGAGGAGGAGAGGTTCCTGCTGCTCAAGAATACCTTCTTCACCAACGACACCATCATTGACAAGTTGCCCCCGCTGAAACGCGAAGCCTTGATCCCCTTCTCCCAGCACAAGTTCAGCTGGAAGAGCTTGTGGTCAGCTGAGGGGTTCCTAGACGACGCTTCCTATGCCAGGGTGTGGCTGGACTTCGGTTACTTCCTCCTCTACTCTGGGCACAGGGAGGAGGAGGGAGAGGAGAGATCGATCCTCAACGCCGAGATGGCCAGCAAGCTCGCTCGCAGGTTGCTGTCGCATCGACCCAAGGATGAGAGAGCTGCCGTTCTCCTCGCCCTCGCCGAGGCCCGTCTGAAATCGCTCGAGGACGGGATTGCGCATCTCAAGTCGTGGTTGGAGTACAAGACCGTGATGACGTCAGCACTGCCTTCTCTTGCCAGGAAGGGTCTGGTGAAGCGAGGGCAGAAAGCCACGCTCACGTCCTCCTACGCCCTGGGGAAGCCATGGGCGCACGACGCGATCGCGGTGCTGGGGGATGGGATGATGAAGTCGAACTCGTCGCAGAGCCGAGTAGCAGAGAGCATGCTGAGGGCGGTGCTGAGGCTGAATCCCTACCATCTCTCCACCCTCCTCGTCCTCGGCGATCATCACAGCCGCACAGAAAGGAAGGAGGAGGCGTTCAAGTTCTTCAAGCGTGCCTTCCGCATGTCTCCCTTCCTCATGGGCGAAGCCTGCGTACAGGAGTTTGCGGCTATTGCCAGCTCTCCCGACGGGACCCACCTTCCTCTTCCTGCTGGGGTGAGCCGGCAGCAACTTGATCAGCTGGCCGCAAACATGACGGGGAGGGCGCCATGGCCCTTCCTGATGGCAAGGAGGGAGCGGGAGAGTGTGCTGAAAAGGATTGGAAACAGTCTGTCTCTTGCCATGAAGAGCAGGAGCGAGGACGAGGAAGTCGTGAGACAGTCGACGAACAAGAAGAGACAGTATTCTGCGTCCTCGCCCTCTCTGTTCAAGAAGATCAGAACCATCGGAACAAGCGCCTCCTCCTCCCTGCTCAAGTACTTCAGCTGGAGGAACCTTTCCTCCTCCTCCTCCTCCTCCTCCTCCTACTTCAAGGATCTTGCAGCCTCTTTCAGTCTGCGGGGTGTCAGGGGAGGAGAAGAACTTGCATTGCGAGGAAGAGCACCGGCAAGAGGGGATGCGCGGAAGGGAGACAACGAGGACCCGTCGCAGCTGGGCTTCTTCAGCTCGTTTCTGTCGTGCCCCGGGGGCAAGAGGAGGCGATGGAAGAAGCTCGAGAAGAAGCACGAGGAGCTCAAGGAGCAGCTGGAGGAGCTGAGAAGACTCAGGAGGAGACTCGAGGACATGCAACAGGCGTCCTGCTCCCTTGACAAGACTATGAACGAAGAGCTGGAGTTTGACTTGGATCAGCAGCGGGAGTTTGACCAGCTGCGAGTTGCGAAGAGGAAGACAAGGAGTGAGATCGAGAGGATGGAGAAAGTCCTCGAGAGGTACGGGGACGAGCAAACGATCAGTCGAGTGCTCGAGGAGACTGGCAGCTTCTTGAAACGAGTGAAGAGATCCGAATCGTCGTCCGGCAGGCTGGAGCAAGGAAACAGTACAGAGCCAATGCTGGTGAATGTGAAGGCAGACGTGATGGCAAACATGTCTCATGACAGCCTTGAAGTTGCCGCACCTGATCGAAATTTGACCCGGCAGCTCCTCTGCTCACGGGCTGCGCTGCTGCATCTTCGGGGGAGGAGTCGACACGCGAGGAGACTGCTGGGCTCCTGCAGGAAGTTGGCGGAGGATGAGCTGTGCAGATCGGAGCAGCCAGCAGTGGAGCACGTGTTTCTCTCCTCCCTGTGCTGCTCCCCTCTCCTCAAGAAGCCTTCAGTCCAGCAGTCTCTGACTCTCCTTGATCGGGCAGAGCAGCTCCTCCCTCACAACCCACTCCTCCTCCTTGCAAGGTACAGGTACCAGTTGGCTCGGGTGCGGCATGCGGTGGAAGATGACGACCAGGGAGGAAGAGGAGGAAAACTTTCTCAGCTGGAGCTTCGTCGTCTCGCTGACTCGCTCCAGCAGCTTGTCTCCTCCAATCACTCTTCCTGTGCTCTGTTCCTGCTGGCGGAAGTGCAAGAATTGCTAGGAGACTATGTCTCTGCCTCCTCCTCCTACAACCTCTCAATCGCCTCCTATCGCAGCAGCGCCGACCCGTTCATGCACTGCTTCGGCGGCTTCTTCCTGCTGTCTCCCTCCGTCTCCCTCCTCCGTATGGCACTCATCGACGCGTGTATCCTCAAGGGAGATCGTTTCCTTCCTCTCCTGCAGCAGGTGATGAAGATGGCTCCCTGCTTGTTAGATCAGGAGGAGGAGGAGGAGGAGGAGAAGCAGACAACTGAGAAGAGGCAACACCCAGAAGAAGACAGGGAGGAGCAAGAATCGCTCAACCCAGCTGCATACTACGACGGGAGACTGCATGGAGCAGCGAGGGCAGCGAGACAAGTCCTGCTCTGCTGCAACACAACCCTCTCCTCCTCCCTCGAGGCTACCGAACGAGCTCTCCTCCTTAGCCCAGCAGACAACCTCCTCCTCCTCCATCGCGCGAGGCTCCTGGCTGAGCTGTTCCAGCACGAGGGCTGCAGCATCGAGAGCGTCATAAGAGGGTTTCGTCTCCTCCTCGCCCTGTACCCCTACAACGAGCAGGCGATGCGGGGGCTAGCGGATGCTCTACAAACAGCAGGTGAGCACAAAGTCCCGCCTCTCCTTCGCCTTCTCCTGCTGCTACTGTTACTGTTGCTCCTGCTCTTGCTCCTGCTCCTCCTGCTCCTCCTGCTCCTGCTCCTGCTCCTGCTCCTGCTCCTGCTCCTCATGCTCTTCCTCTTCAACTGTCCCGTTCACCCTGTGAGTTTTGAGCTGCTTCCCTCTCCCTCCTCCTTCCCCCTCCTTCTCTTTTCCCTCTCATCGTCTGGCAGAGGACGACGAGCTGCTGGAGCATATCGATGAGAGCAGCAGGAGGAGTGAGCACAAGACCTACTGGCAGCTGAGGAGGATCGAGTACGCGATCAGGCTCGGAGACGAAGAGGAAGTGGAAGAGGAAGAATTCTTCGCAGCAGTGAAGGAGCTGGAGGAGATTGGCCGCCAGGACCCGAGCAACGGGCATGTTCGCTTCCTGCAAGGGATGGCGGAGGACGAGGAGACAGAGGGAGGGCGGACGAGGGCGCTTGACCTGTACCAGCAAGCAATCGTCCTGGATCCTCAGCACAGGATGGCGATGCGAGCTTCGGCAGAGTTGCTGGAGGAGGAGGAGAGGCTGGAGGAGGCGCGCAGCATGTACGAAAGAAGTCTCCTCCTCCTCCCCAACGACCTCCAAGACCTCCTCAGCTGCGGCCGCGTGTGTGAGGGCGTGGAGGACGAGGCAGCGGCAGGGAGGATGTACGTGCGAGCTCTACAGTTTCAGCCTCGCAATGCGCAGGCCCTCAACAGCTGGGGAGTGTTCCTATGGAAGAGGAGGAAGGACTTGGCTTCTGCCAGCTGTGTCTTCCAGGAGGCAGTCCAGCTACATCCAGCTGACGGAGTTCTGCTGTCAAACTTGGCGGCTGTGAAGGAGGAGGGGGAGGAGGAGGAGAATCTGCTCGCGGCCGATCGCCTCCTCTTGAACGCGCTGCAGGCGAACTCCGACGAGCCAGACATTCTCGTGCGGCTCGGCAAGCTGAGGTGGAGGAGGAGAAGGTTGGAGGAGGCCCGCTCCTTTCTCGACGCCGCTCTCAGCATGGACCCAGCGCACGAGGAGGCGCGGATCCTGGCGATGCAGCTTGAGGACAAGATGAGAGCAGATGGCAACGGGAAGGAGGAGGGGGCGGTCAAGGACGGACGAAGGAGGAGAGAGGAGGAGGAGGAAGAAGGGCCGCAGCAAGGACAGGAGAAGGAGGAGGGGCAGTTGAAGATTCATATCTCCTGAGTTGCATTGCACAACGCTGAGAGCTGCTGCTCGATGTACGCCCGGAAGAGACGCGCATGAACCTCGGGTGCCGCCGCGTGCGACACTTGAAGGGTGTCACGATGATGCTGCGATGAAGTAAGGATGATGACAGGGAGGGGAAGAGAGGAGAGGAGGGAGGGAGCGGAAGGAGACGAGGAGGGAGGGGCTGCAGAGAGGAAGACGAGGAGAACGACTGAGAGGAAGGGGGAAGAGGAAGAGGAAGAGGAAGAGAACGACTGAGAGGAAGGGGAGTACAGGGAAAAGGGCTGTGGGAACTGTAAATGTTTAAAGTGATATACCTCGAAGTCTTTCAAGATCGCAACCAGCGACGTCATGGAGCAGTTGGATCTCTTGATTAGACTGGCAGCGTGTCTTCAGTCTTTACCCCTCCTCCTCCCCCCCCCCTTCTTTATTCCTCCTCTCCTCCCCCTCCTCTCCCTCCTTCTACCATCCCCTCCTCCCCCTTCGCTCCTCCCTCACCTCATGACTTTCTCTGCTGACGATGAAAAGTGCACATCCCCAAATGTAAAGAATACAAGATCACGGCCTGCACGAGCTATTACCTCCTCCCTCCCTCCCTCCCCTCCCCTCCCCTCCCCTCCCTCCTCCCCACCCCCCACCCCTGCCTGCCTGCCTGCCTGCCTGCCCACCATCCCCTGCCTTCCTCCCTTCCCCTTGTTCTTCCCGACCTGCTCGCCAAGCAGCCAACACTTGGATTAGAAACTTAAGGAGTGGGTCCCCGCCGAACGCTCCACATCCCCATTTCCCCGTAGCTATCGCAGGCGCTCCGCTCCCCTGGTCCCCTGCCTTCTTCCTCCCCTCCTCTTCATTTACCGTTCCTTCCTCTCCTTTCTCCTCCTCCTTTTTCCCTTCCTCCTCCTTCCGAGTTACTTTCTCCTCCTCGCGTGGTCGGAAAGCGCACCAGCACTTGATCAGCTCTCTCTCGATGCTCGCCCACCTGCGCGGGAGGTCATGAGGAGGAAGAAGAAAATGTCGAAGATACGAAAACTGCCGCGCAAATTCTCTTCTTCCGAAGAAAGTTGCATCCATCGCAGTTACTGTCGCCTTTCCCTGTTCATTGCTCCTCCCTCCCTCCTTTCTTGTCTCTTCCTCGTCCCTTTCCTCCCTCTCCTTCTTGTTCTCGTCACGCCTATTTCTCTTCCTCCTCTCTTCCTCCCAGTCTCCACAGAACCGGAAAGAGGAAGCATAGCCCTCGTACGCTGAGAACCGTTCGCTCCCTTCCATCAGCAGCGTCTCGCCGTCTTCCAGCTTCTCGGCGAGGAGGAGCGAGACAAGAAGCTCGGGGGAGATGGAGAAACGAATTTCTTCCTGCAGGCAGCCCGAGCTAAGAACTCCTCCTCCTATCTGCAGAGAAAGTCAGTCCAGCATAGAGGCGGTTGGATAAGAATCGCAGGAGGAGGAGGAGGAGGAGGAGGAGGAGGAGGAGGAAAGGAGGAAAGGTGGAGGAGGACGGAATGACAGGGTAGGGAAGCGCCAAGAGGAGGAGGTTGTGCGCGGAAGAAGAGAAGGAGTCCAACCATCTCGTTTGCGAAATCTGCCTGCCAGGTTAGGCCATCGGGGTCGTGATCTTCGATCTTTCCGTCGTTAAGGATGGTCACGTTGATGTCCAATGAAGGGGAGGGAGGACAAGGTAGGAAACTTTCATCGTCGATCATACGGCGAGCAAAGACAACATGGCGGCCAGCCAGGGTGGTGAAGGCTCTGAGAGATTGCTTCCTGATGTAATGGAGGATACATTTTATCTTCTCCTTCTGTTGATTCAATCTTCTTTCATCTCTCCTGCAGCATCACCATCAGCTTCACTCACATCACCATCCATCGACGATGACAAACAGACAAGCACATCCAGCCATGTACAAGGCGTCATTACCATTGCTGCCCAAAGAGGCTTGTGAAGTTGAATCGCTGAAATCTGTTGGGCTTACCAACTTCTTTTCGTTCTGGGAAAGTGCAAAGAAACGCATTGGAGATCAACGAAAGGATTTGTAATCTGGGATTGAGAATCAGGTGCAAAGGCAGGCAGAGATGGTTCAACGAGACAACAGTGATCATCATCACACAACTTACGAGTTCAGCTTCACACTCCCTTCCCGTCCCGATTTCAACAGCTCAACTGGATCACAACAGAACTCTGGCAACCGCAGTGCCGTGTTAATGATGAAAGGAAGCAGCTGCTTGAAGAAAACATCTTGTTCCTCCTCCGACATGTCTTCCAGGATGACAGATTGCAACGCAACAAACTTCCCTGACAGCTGTGTCTGTCCAGCTTTGCTCATGTACCCTGTTTTCAAAACTATCACATGAAAAGAGGAATATCACAACAGAAGACAAAGTTGCATCACCGAACAGAGCTTTCTCAAACGCGCGATAGTTCTGCAAAGGATCTCCTAGGGAGAACTTGTCCGGAGGCGTCAAGAGCTCCTTAAGACGAATCCACCTCGGCCTCCCATCCCTGACTGAGACGTTGTGAGTAGAAAAAGGCATCCTGACATGATCCTTGTCCCAGAGGTCAACACAGGAAGAGGGAAGGTACTGCACAGCAAACAGCGTGAGGACTTGCCGAGACTTTCACACCATGGTCTCACATTCATCGGCTCCTCCTTCATGCTGGTAGTAGGATCCTCCCTGGCCTCAAACGCACTTTCCTCCGATTGCTCGAGTTTCGGGTTCTCCATCGAAGCCTTCAAGTCCATGACAGGCTCCTGCTGCTCGCACTCCTCCATGTTCTGCTCATGACAGCTGCGCGAGACTTTCTCTCGACCGACCTTGAAGTTCTCGATCACTCCATTCCACTTCTCGTCCCACTCCTCGCAAGTTCGTGGAAGCAAATCCCCAGGCTCTCCTGCCTCCCTGTTGGGAGGAGGGGGGGCGGATGAGCTATGCAGCTCGTCACTCTTGGAGAAGAAGAAAGTGTCTATCCTCTTCTGCCCCTTGGCTGGGGTCTCCTGGCTCACATTCGCCTTTCTCTTCTTCTTCTCGCTCATGGCCTTCCTCACGTCGTCGAAGGCTCCACCAACCCGAGCCTTGGACTTGGACGCCTCCTGCTCACTTGCCTCCTGGTGGCTCAGCTGCATCTCTTCGTTCTGCTCTGCAAACAGCTCGGAGATCTTCATAGCTCCAGAGGCTTCAGAGGCTTCAAGCTAGCAGGACAAGTCAGAGCTTCCAAACTTGATCGCACTTCAGAAGTTTATCTATACAACTCTTCCGTATGCCCCAACCCGGGTGCTCATCTCAAGTACATGCGCGCACTCTTTCTCTCTTGTCTCGTCTACCATGATCTGTCCTCACATGTCAAGGAAGCGTCCTCGTCGTCTCCCCCACCGCTACCAGCTCCTCGGTTCCAGCCCGCGCCATTGCCCTTCAGGAGGGTTCGTGGTCCCTCATCCCCGCTCAGTCCCATCTCAGTGATACGTTTGAAGATGCGCGGAGGATTTATTTTTGCAACAAGCCATGAAGACCGAGAGGAGAGGGGAGGAGGAGGAGGAGGGGAAAGAGAGCAGAGGGGAGATGATGAGGAAGGATGAAGTTGAAAGGTTTAGGTTGAAAGAGCATGCAAGAGCACCTAGATTGAGAGAAGAGAAAGGAGAGCTTCTAGGCGCTGAAGGAGTGAAGGACAAGGTACAGGCGGCTGCAAAGGAGGACGAGACAGGAAGAGGGGATAAGAACTTCGTTAGGACCACCACAGGAAAAGGACGAAGGTGGCTGATGAAGATGCAAACTAGGAAGGCGAAAGAAGGGCTGATCGCGTGAAGCAATGATTCACCGGCTGTCGAACTGGCCAAGAGCAGATCATTGTGCAGGAGAGAAGGAGGTTTGCTGAAGAGAACACAAGAGACAACAGAGACAACAAGAGACGAGACTGCATGCCATGGCCATGCGATGCCTTTGACGTTTGTCTGTGTTGTCAGGTCCGTGTGAGCAGAGCAGAGCGGAGGTGGAGATGACCAAGAGGAACAAGAAGGTCGACCCCATCAAAGAGCGCAGGAATGCCATGCTCTACGGAGGCAGAGACAGCAAGTGGCCCATCGACATCGGGTCCATGATGGAGACTCCTGTCTTCTACCCCACCGAGGAAGAGTTCGCAGATTTCTACGCGTATGTTCAGAAACTCGACAGGTTAGTAGGACACATCGGAGTGTGTAAGGTGGTTCCTCCGGCTGGTTGGCAGCCCCGAGCACACGATGTCTACACGTTGCAAGACTCCAGCCCAGAGCTGGAGGAGGCGGTCACAGTGAAGCGACCCATCAAGCAGAACGCTATCGGGGGGAAGGGGCTGTACATGAACATGCACGAGGAGAAGCGGAGCATGAAGCTCGCAGAGTTCAAGAGGATCGCTCAGAGCAAGGCGTTCGCTCCTCCTGTCGATGGGCAGAAGAAGGTGCTTGACCAGGATGACATCGACCTCCTCGAGCGTCAGTTCTGGAAGAACGTACTCTTCAACCCTCCCATGTACGGGGCTGACTGTCCTGCTCCCAAGGGGATGCGGTCAGACGGCAGAGAAGGGCTCTTTGACCCCTCGCACTGCGGCGACTGGGACGTCAGCATGCTCCCGAGCTTGCTGACCTTCGGGCTCAAGAAGCGCGTGCCCGGTGTGAACACTCCCTTCATCTACGTGGGGATGTACCGGGCGGCCTTTGCCTGGCACTGCGAGGACATGGACCTGCACTCTATCAACTACCTCCACTGGGGAGCCCCCAAGACCTGGTATAGCGTGCCAGCGACCCACGGGCATAAACTGGAGGCTCTTGCCCGAAAGCACTTCCCCACGCAGGCGGATCAGTGCAAGGAGTTTCTGCGGCACAAGAGCAACATGATCGAGCCTTCCATCCTCCTCAAGGCCGGGATACCCTTGACCAGGACTGTGCAGTACGCCGGGGAGTTTGTGATCAACTTTCCGGGCGCGTACCATAGCGGGTTCAACAACGGATACAACTGCGCCGAGTCTTGCAACTTTGCAACGGAGTACTGGGTGCCGTTCGGGTGCCAGGCGAAGCCTTGCTCGTGCGCAGGAGGGAAGGACTCGGTGAGGATAGACGTGGACGCGATGCTGAGGAAGGTGAAGGACGTTAAGATCAAAGGAGTGCAGTGGGTGCAGTGCGATAAGTGCTGCAAGTGGCGGCTGCTCCCCCCCTACATGATGCACCTGCTGTGCGACGACGACGCGTTCGAGTGCAGCCTGATCGAGGGCATCTCGTGCTCGACCAAGGAGCAGAAGAACAAGGAGGATGGAGGTTGGGAGGTGGACGGGAAGATGCAGATCGGACTGGATCCAGACAAGGAAGAGTGGGTCATGTGCGAGAACTGCAGCAAGTGGAGGAAGATCCCTGATGGCATCATGATCGATGCGGAAGCTGTCTTTGTCTGCCAGGTGCTCCAGGGTATGACCTGCGATTTGCCCGAGGAGGAGTGGACGGAAGCCGAGGGAGGCAGCGGCTGGCAGCTCCTAGACATCGGCTCCAAGGGGACCAGGCAAAGTGAGTGGTCCAAGGAGGACGAGGACAAGTTTCAGGTCAGGTTCCTCAAGGAGGAGCTGTCGGCATACAGCATATCGGAGAGCTCCATCAACGAGTGCGGCGAGGACAAGGCGAAGCTGGAGAAGCTGTTGGAGCGCGTCAAGTCTGAGTGGCAGTCTCGCTGGAATCGTATCCATGCTCGTTGGCAGAGCGAGCGGAGCGCCAAGAGGGAAGGAGGGCTGCTTGTCCGTAAGCCAGCCGTCGACTCCGCTGCCGCAGTCGCGCAGAAGCTGTGGATGCTGGCGGTTGATCTAGAGGCGGTGAAAGAGAATGAGCGGAAAGTGAAGGACCAAGAGCGCAGGAAGAGGAAACAGGTGCCTCGATCACTGCCCCCTTCCTCCCCTTCCCTTGTGATGTGGCTGAGCAGGAAGCCTTGCGAGCAGAGGAGGCGCGCTTCTCCGAGGAGTTCACCGACTTCGTGCACAGCTCCTACCCCGAGATGGCGTTTCAGGACTCGTTCAAGAACGAGATCCACGACCTTGTCAAGAGCGTCCCCGGGGCCTTCCAACCGCCTCCTCGCGTCTGGCGCTACCATCCTGTGAACCTGACGGTGAAGGGAGGGAGGTGTAGGAAGGTTCTGAAAGTTTCCGGCAGGTCATAGCGTACAGCCCTCTATGTCTCGAGGGCTTGTACCAGTCAGACGACAAGCTGATGCTGCAGCTGAAGAGGTTGCTCTCCCCGATCGCCAAGGATGTATCCCTCCTGAGGTACCACCTGCCGCAACCTGCCACAGCGATCACGGCGCATGGGGCTCCTCCTCCCCTGTCATTCAACATGCGGCCTGACTCCGGCACGCTTCCTCCCATCACCTTGGGCAACCCCTCGATCCAGGGCTCGCTGCCATGTCCTACCGGCACTTGTCCTGCTTCATTCGTGTCCCCATGGAAGATGGTACACCTCAAGGCTGTCGTCAGAGGCAGCAAGGAAGCGGCCCTGCTGGAGACTCTTCTCAGCTCTCCATCCTCCTCTCATTCCTCCCTCTGTGGCATCCTCGTCAGGAACGTCAACGTCTGTGTCGGCTACTGGCGTGAGCTGCACGCGGAATACACCGGGAAGCTAGAGAGCTTCCTGGCCAAGATAGCTGGGAGATTCGTGGCTGAAAAGCTCGTGGACATGCTGGCAGAGGCGAACAGAAATGGGAGGAGTGAGGTAGATGCTCAGGCGGGCATGCAAACAAGCTATGAGGGGGACATAGCATTGACCTACGACTCCATCGTTGGAAGGCAAGGGCTGCTGCATGTCGAGGAGGAAGTGACCAGGAGGTTCTGGGAGAAAGTCCAACACGCTCAGCTGAGATGGTACTCAGCGGCAGGAGAGAAGTTCGCCCTCCACTCGAGCCCTCTTCTTCCTCCTTACGAGACCAAAGCTCAACCCCCTCGGCCCGCATCCTTCTCTCACGATGACAACGCAACTCACTTGCAGCAGGGCATGTCGAACGGGGATCAAGCAACAGCGTACCCGGCTCACGTGAAGGAGGAGGCTGAAGAAGCCATCGAGTTGTCATGACTCTTAACTTGTACAATGGAATCTAATGTGAGATAGCATATTGCCAATAGCTGCGTTTTCATTCAGTTGGTTGCGAATGAATTTTATGGTTTAAAAAGCCACCAACTCTCATCAAGGATCACAAGTCTATATTTCATGAGAGCAACACACAAACGAGATGAAATGAGCTCGTATGCGCCCTCCCAACCTCATCAGATCCAGATGGTTCGTCAATCAGCTCAACTAGCCTGGGATGTTTTCTATTTAGACATATTCGCGAGACTGCGATGGAGCGCTTCCTCCAAGATAGTCATGGCCAGACATGATCATGAAGCCGAGCACGACTGTTGAGATGATGTCCAACACAGCATAGGCACAGACCTCGAACGAGACCGAGAACGATGCGAATCCCTCGGAGAAGAGCCACACGATGGGGTAACACATCCAGGCAAGGATAAGAAGCCAAGCGCCCTTGGAGTACAGCTGAGCTCGCTCGCCTCCCTTCACATCCACTGCATTCTTGAAACTCAATGCCAGGTGCACCAACGTAGCAAAAAGCCCGACAAGACCAATGAAAAACCAGAACCACTTCACCGTAGTGACGACCGACACCGATCCCATGTAGGTAGCAATCATGTAGATGGCTGAGACACACAGTCAGGACATGTGTACAGTTTCAGCATCAGCTTACCATTCGATCCGCAGGCCCCGAACATGAGGTCCGGTCCAGCACCAGCAAGGTTTCCCATGAGGATGAGAATCAGAGTGCTAGTGATGAGCCTCTCCGCAAAGTGCGAGTAGAAGAACTGCCTGCATCCAGCAATGACCGTCCAACCCTGTCCGGAAAGCATAGCAAAGTAGGCCATGGCAGCGAACCCGCATGCATACGAGCTCAAGTAATAATATCTGTGGGGCGAGATCAGCAACAGCCCACATGAGGAGGCGGGGCTTACTTTCGCTGCTCTCCTGACGTGTTGGCCTTCGAAAGGAAGACAATGCACGAAACGATGAAGATCAAGAAAGAGATAGTGAGCGCACCGACTCCAGTGGATCCAACCTGATAAGCAAGACGATGTTCAGTTCTGACCTTGCCAGATTTGCGAGTGTGTTCCTCGTTTGGATGTTGTGAACAACCATACACAGAAAGGATACGAAGACAAGCAGGGATTCAAGACAGCTTCAATAGACAGATCAAGTGTCATTTGACAGGCAATCAGAGTTCGGATACAATCTATCAGGGACAACATGGTTATAGAATATGACAAAGAACATCATGGCAATCAGAAGGTTACAACTCCATACAACTTTCGTATAGTCATGACAATCATCAAGATTGCAACCAAACCAAGGGACATATTTTGCCAAGTCAAATTCACAGTTCCGAAACCTCTCAGTCAATCCTCTGTCTTGGACAGGATTTGACAAAGGTAATCTCAGCATTGGTGATGGCGAAGAAACAAGACAGACTAGCAAGGAAAGCGAAGGGACAGCATATGTGTATATGCAGAAGCTTCCGACATTACCCCCCTTCCCTCGTCTCCCTCAACAGCTTGAACGAGTACATGTCGTAAAACAAGAGCTAAACATCTTCACTTCTCAATCTCCATGTGTTCCATTCATCTCCGTGTCCTCACCTCTTCCACCGTTGTGCATGCGACGGGGATCTCGTTCAGCATCTCCAGCATCTTTCGCCTCGCGCCTCTTCGCCTCGTCCCCTCAAGGGCCACTCTACCCCCACCCCCATCTCATCCTCACACATGGACCTACCCCGTTTGAAATCAGACCCTACCCTGTGGTGATGATGTACCTTGCACACTACCCATCAAAAACCAGTACCCCCAGCTTTTACCAGTATCACCCCACGTTATCTCGGCACAACCTCTTATAGCTCCACAACCCCACCAGTCACATGACTGGACTGGGTAGGATGACCCTACCCCTGGCGCTCATCATCGAAACCCCGGAAGTCAGCTCAAAGGGATACTACCCCAGGCTTTGATAGGGTGGTTGCCTAATTTGGTGGGGGTGGGGGTGCCTGTATTCTTTCAATCCATTCGGAGTTTGATGAAATCGGGACCTACTCAGCCCAGTAACTAAAAGTTATCCATACTAGGACCGGCCCGGCCGACTCGGAGTGCAGCAATGGCTGCCCGGGGACTCGAGTTTTGCAGCAGGCAGCAGGAGTCACAGTGCCCGGCGGCCGGGCGGCGTCACGGCCGGGCCCGGCCAGATCCCGACAGTACGGAGAACTTAACCGTTCAAGTCCTACCGGGAGGACTCGCGTGAGTGCCAGAGCGGCAAACTCGGAGAACGGCCGCGTGACTGAATCATCGACAAGTCCAAACTTGAAACTTATAATTCTCAGATGAGATGAGCCCTCCCGGCATAAGTCACATTGAAATCAAGCTATCTCATGTGTAATCCTCTTGTATAATTTTCGAAAACTATCTTCAAGCAGCAAATCAATCTTCGCTCTCTTTGACATCCCTCCCCCCTCCTGCAAAGATTTCATCAAACCGTCTTGTCTTCTTTAGAAATCGAAAGTACTCACTGCACCAGCAAACGCCAGAGAGAGCCAGCGTTACACAGTAAATGCCAGCTGCCGCGTAACATGCGCTTGCACGCTTTTGACGATCCTGTCAATTTAAAATGAATACTCCTTTGATGTACAGAATAAAGCAAGCAGAAGAGAAAGAAGGAGGATGAAGAAACCTCAGCGGTTGCGACAAGGCCATGGCCACCGACGTATGGGTCACCAGCTGAGACCATCATACCCATAACGACTAAGACAAGGATTCCAAAGACCGACAAGGTGCAACAACACACAGCGCCTGGGAATCAAGGTATGATTGTCAAAATGGTGCAGGAGCAAACCAGATCAAAACTTACAATTCTTTCCAAACATTCTTCAACGCCCTTTTTCTGCAGAACCGAAAACAGATTCGTAAGAGGTAAACATCACAAATATAAATGAATTAGAATACACTGCATCTAGAAACTTTTTCTATTCAGATCAAGAAACCTCGATTGATTAAAGTGTGTGAACGAATCTTTTGCTTTGTAGACATCCTTCAGGTTCAATGGACCCATTGTAAAAGAAATCCTCTTGCTAGCATAGATCAGGCATAAATTTGGAGTTTTCTCTCTGAGCTGCAATGCCTTCTGCTTGCACTACTCAAACTGATCTCCACGTCAGCAGCCTTCATAACAAAAAGCAGTATGTTCTTCCAAATAGATCCAACAATCAACCTGACAGTACCCATATACAAATACATAAAGCAAACTTGCTTCCTAAACAGTGTAGAGCGAAAGTTATTGCCACGTCGTCCTTCTTACAAAAAGACCACATCATCTGATGAAACCCCTTGAGTGCATGTACTCAGCACTCGATGAAATATCTCCTTTGCCGTATGCCCATCATGTGAAACTGCTTTCAAGGTGCTCGATGGCTTCTTGACTGTTCTCGCATCACACCTCTCTTGACTTCACTCCTTCTTATTTTTCTCGAGTAAGACCTGCACCTCTCCCCCTTCACATGCTGCTATTGTCCGCTTTACCCTTCCAATCGGCACTACGGCTCGCGCGGCTCTCCTTGTTCCAACAAAACATGCATGCCCTTCCTCTCTCTTCATCAGCATCTCTCCTTCATATAATCAGACTTCTTCATTCTTCTTTATCTCCTCCCATTCTCCTCCTTGCCGAAGCAGCCGGTCCTTTCCTATCTATCTTCCTGCCCTGTCTCCTGCCATACTACGCTCTCTAAAAAGGGTGGGAGTTGGAGGGGTACTTCAGAACGACAGGGAGTGGGTCATGCAGGGAGTTTTGGTGGGGTACTTGAAGGACTTTGAGGAGGTAGGGTGGGCAAAGGATGTCTCGAAGGCGGTCCTCGATATCATTCAACATTTCATATATGATAATTTTCAGTTAATTTTGAAAGCTGAAAGATATGCATTGCTCATGGGATGTCCATTTGATATTATTGATACATTTATAAAAATGAGATGCTGAAGGAAGAAGAATAGTATTCATCCATATACAAGGGGTCTGGGTGGGTCTTTTCTAATCTTTTTTTCGCAACCCCTACACCCCAAACCTGAAACCCATGATTAATAAAATCGAAATAAATTAGTTTCACCGGGCACAAAGGGAACAAACAGCGGCTATGTCATTGCCGGAAGGAATGGCAGAGACGCGTCGAGCTGACGGGAGATGCTGTGCCGGATGCGTTCACTAGTCGGATCATCTGAGACAAGGCCGAGATACCAACCAGGGCAGTTTTTTGGTTCGATGCTGCTCACTCTGCCAGCCACTTGAAGAAAGACTATGATCAAGTAGGCTGTCGTGAAAGCATGCTGAACTTTGTTTTTAGAGGAATACAACTCCCTCACAAAGCTGGAGATAGCCTTACCTATGTACATGATGACTACCCTATCCAGTTGTAGTCTAGACCTGATTCAATCCTGTATAATACTTGCCTGAGTGATGTTTTTCTGGTTTGGACACAATCACATGTTTTTTCCTACTACAGCTATCAGCACATTAGTTTCCTACCTGAAGCAGGGTTCTAGGGCAACATACAACATCCTAAGCCATAGGGCCTAGACGCTAAATGTCTGTCACCGGTACTGTCACTTGCAGGTGCCGAGTGACTGCAGTCCGGATATTGGATCTGGGCAACTTCCTTTGCAGAACATCCCAAGATTAGTTTCGAGCTCTTTCAAAATTGATGGCAAGGCTGAACTAAGAAGAAGTCTTCATTGTTGAATCTTTGGTACGATCCAGGTGTTGACCTCGATCTTGTTAAATGAATCCAGGAATGGCCAGAATCGAAGAAGGTATGAGAAAGATGTGAGACCCAGATGAGTTTATGTTGTTGGATAAAACTTGAATGTGCCTCGATTCTACTCATGTACATAATAAACACTTCAGACAGCAACATCGAGCACTGCAGCACTTGTTCGAATATGAGAAGAGATGCCGTCTGATAACCGTCAGAACAAGATTTTGATAGCGAGATTGCGGTTCAAGACATGGTTGAATCACAGAAGACTGTGAGTACAACTGTTCTCCTAGAATCGTCTGTCAGTTGGCGGACCCTGGGCTCGGAGAAGGCAGCCGCAGTGAGCGAGCAGGCAGATTGTTGTTTGAAATCCGGCCCAGTGTTGCTGTCGATGAAAACCTCGACGTAGACATGGTGAGCAGAGATCGCAGAGACTTACAAGCTGTCAAGGATAGGCTGTCTGGCATGAACCCACTCAAGTGCAAGTCAATCAAGTCCTATCTCAGACAGAATGCCCCACTCACGAAAGGTTTCACTGTACCTCAAACACGTCACACGCTGTCATCGCTGCCCTCACGCAGCTCCTCCTCCTCACCTGATCTCATCGTAGATGAAGCAGTATGCCGGCATCTGCTAGCACCAGTCAGCTGGGGCTGCCTCCCCTTCCATCTTCTCTCTGACCTCTCCCGTCGTCTCCCCCGCTCCGAGCTTCATGGCGCAAGGATGCCCGTACTGGCATACCCAGGCTTCCTCCACATCTTTCACCATCCTGTCTCCGAGGCCCCCTAGAGTACACCCGGTCAGAAGGAGCATGAAAGCTGTGAAGGGTGTCAGACCTGTGGCAAACGAGTACCGGGCGGGTGTAGCAGATTCTGTTGGATCGTGAAGGTTGTCGATGATATGTTGCCAGGAGGCGTTGAGAACGCAAGGCTCTAGCGAGGCGTTGTAGGCAGCACCAGGGTCAGTGGGGGGAAGGGGCTCGGGAGTCGTAGAAGGGAGAGCCATGTCCAAGGGCGATGTGGAGAGGTCTGAAGATGTGCTGTGTGAGAGCCATGTTGTTGTGCTGCCTGCCAGCTCCTCTTCTTCTGCTGCCACGGTAGTCCATGAAGTCTGGTACACGATCATGTCGTAGGACAGCGCCTGCGTCACTGAGAGTATCTGGCCGTTGTTGAACAAGGAGAGGCGCAGACTCGCTGCTGTGTCGTTGCTGAGAGCGCTGTATCTGTCTGCTACGCTACACAACAAGGATGAGTCAGACTGCCAGCGAGTGAACAGGCAGATCGTGTGGCCGATGAAGAGCGACGGGCTCAAGTCCCAAGCTTGCAAGTTAGAGCCGAAGGCCGTGACCAGGTAGCTCTGCTGATCTGACATGGGCACATTAACTGGAAAGATGCTGGACAAGGTCGGCAGGTTGTAGCTGAAGACAGCAGAGAGCGAGCCTGCTTGCTGTGCGAGAGTGACCAAGGCGTTGGCACTGACCTCCGATCCAGCTGCCACCGAGCAGCTGACGGAGCTTGTCGAGCTCCAGATGGAGGATTCACAGGCGGTAGAGGCCACACGGAGCTGAGTGGAAACATCCACAGATCCCAGACTTGAGCCCACGGCCAAGAAAGAGTCGCCACCGGTCCTGCCTGAGTTGGCGTGATGGATGAGGAAATCGAACAGAACCTGACGGGGAAGTGAGAGGGAGCGAGGCTAGAACCTTGCCTGCCTTCTGCGAGAAGCTGGAGAGAGACGGGGCATCTGCGGAGATGTACTCTTGACTTGTCCTGCAGAGAGATCACAAGACATGAAGGGTATCCGAGGCAGGCCCACCCAACGCTCTTGTCTGCCGTCAAGGCGACGAAAGCTCGCTGCTCGGTGACACAAGGCTGCTTGGCGATGACGCTGCTCGTCGACAGCCACTGTGTGCTCGGACTCGATGTACTTTTGACGCGAGCCTGAAACGGAACGTTGAGCAGTCAGGCAGAGGCAGAGCATGCTAACCAGGGCGGATGTTGAGACCCTGGCGAAGTTGTCACCCTGGAATGACAACTTTACTGATCCCGTTAGCGGGACATTGGTTAGATCTATGGAGGACTCGGGCAGCGACGGCGAGTCAAAGGATATGCTCTGCTCCGTGCTGCCAACCGCAGCAGCTGCAGTGACCTGTCCAGCTGTCAGTGGAGCGATGAGTCTCTTCCCTCGCAGCTGCTCGCACCTGAACATGGCACGTGTGTCCAGATCCGGGTGAAGGCTTCGAGAGCAAGCAAGTCTCTGATTCCCATCGAGTGAAGGCGCTTGAGCTTCCTCCTACTCTAGTCTGTCCAGACCCGTCGAAGCTCCCGAACGAACCTACTTGCTTCAACCTCCCGTCTGATGGCGTCAACAACTCGTTGATGATGAAAGCAGGAACATTTCCCGTCTCAAGCCGCGAAACAGCAGGCGAGTCAAACGTGAACGAGCCCGACAGCAACGGCAACGAGAGAGCACTGTCCCCCACCGAGGTGAAGCGAATGGACAAACTCGTACCAGTAGAGGCCGCAGACTGCAACCAGATTGACGTGTCGGACGTCCACCTCGACGCCTCTGCGCTCGTGGCCCCCAGCCTCGCCCGCCCAGTGTAGTCCACCACAGCAAAGTCCTTCCCCAAAACTGAAACCCAGACAGCGCCGGTCATGGGCCCGTTGGCCGGATGGCTGGCCAAATTGAAGACGCTCTTGTCGTAAGAGTACGACCCGGTGAGACTCGCCGGCTGAGCGGAGCCGCTCAGCACCACCGGCCTGGTCGGGTAGCCATCGTTACCTCCTGACGACCTCAGAGACACGATCGAGCTCTCCGACAGCCACCTCACTGATGGACTGGCAGTCCCGCCCATCCGGGTCGCGAGACAAGGTTCCGAGGCCCCGAAGTCGGAGCCCAGCTGCAGCATCAAGGACACAGGGGTCTTGGCAACGTTGCTGGGAAATATCGCGCTCGTCGAGAGCGAGTCGAACGACAAGAAGTGGGTCAACGACGTTGTAGATAGCATGCTGGTGATGGCAAGCCTGTGCGATCCGAGCAGCCCCGGGCTGGGTCGGAGGGTCACAGCAGACGTCGAGCGCCACGAGGTAACAGGCGAGCTGGTACCGGAGACTCTGCTGCACGGGGACAAGTTGACCTGCCCCCAGTGAGCGCCGCTAGCTGTGACAGGCCTGAGGAAGCCGGTCGCACCGTTGGAGCTCGACACAGACGAGGCCCGCTGAGCGTCGTAGGACAACACCTCCGTCTGCGTGTGCGTGAGGCTTGACATGGTCAGCTGAGCTCGCTGCGTCCTTCCGACGCCATGCGATGGCATGCAGCCTAGCTGCGAGTCTGACGTCCACACAGTGCTCTGGGCCGCAGTGTTTGCTATTTTCCCTTGCACAGACGCATCCCACCGCCCAAAGCTCGTCCCGAGCATGCTGATGATGATCGAGGAGTCCTCGCCCAAGTTGCGCAGCCTCCATTCCGGTAAACCAAACGCAGGCCCGTCGAAGCTGAAGCCTCCCGTGACGGTGCCGGCAGAGGCGAGGCCCTGCAGGCTCCTAGCTCCCACAGTGACGCTCAGAAAGCTCGAGCCTGAGCTGCCGGATGCAGGCGCAGTCACGACCGAAGTGTCGCTCGCCCACAACGTCGACGCGGAAGCTGTACAGCCGGCACGCACGGCGAGCGTCAGGTCGAAGGAGGCAAGGTTGACCCCCAGGACGGTGAGGTGGGCGAGGGAGCCAGCGTTAGGCCGGTTGGAGACGAGGACTGTGCTGAGGGACGGACTGTCGTAGGAGTACAACCCGGTGAGACTCGCCGGCTGAGCGGAGCCGCTGAGCACCACCGGCCTAGTCGGGTAGCCATCGTTACCTCCTGACGACCTCAGAGACACGATCGAGCTCTCCGACAGCCACCTCACTGATGGACTGGCAGTCCCGCCCATCCGGGTCGCGAGACAAGGTTCCGAGGCCCCGAAGTCGGAGCCCAGCTGCAGCATCAAGGACACAGGGGTCTTGGCAACGTTGCTGGGAAATATCGCGCTCGTCGAGAGCGAGTCGAACGACAAGAAGTGGGTCAACGACGTTGTAGATAGCATGCTGGTGATGGCAAGCCTGTGCGATCCGAGCAGCCCCGGGCTGGGTCGGAGGGTCACAGCAGACGTCGAGCGCCACGAGGTAACAGGCGAGCTGGTACCGGAGACTCTGCTGCACGGGGACAAGTTGACCTGCCCCCAGTGAGCGCCGCTAGCTGTGACAGGCCTGAGGAAGCCGGTCGCACCGTTGGAGCTCGACACAGACGAGGCCCGCTGAGCGTCGTAGGACAACACCTCCGTCTGCGTGTGCGTGAGGCTTGACATGGTCAGCTGAGCTCGCTGCGTCCTTCCGACGCCATGCGATGGCATGCAGCCTAGCTGCGAGTCTGACGTCCACACAGTGCTCTGGGCCGCAGTGTTTGCTATTTTCCCTTGCACAGACGCATCCCACCGCCCAAAGCTCGTCCCGAGCATGCTGATGATGATCGAGGAGTCCTCGCCCAAGTTGCGCAGCCTCCATTCCGGTAAACCAAACGCAGGCCCGTCGAAGCTGAAGCCTCCCGTGACGGTGCCGGCAGAGGCGAGGCCCTGCAGGCTCCTAGCTCCCACAGTGACGCTCAGAAAGCTCGAGCCTGAGCTGCCGGATGCAGGCGCAGTCACGACCGAAGTGTCGCTCGCCCACAACGTCGACGCGGAAGCTGTACAGCCGGCACGCACGGCGAGCGTCAGGTCGAAGGAGGCAAGGTTGACCCCCAGGACGGTGAGGTGGGCGAGGGAGCCAGCGTTAGGCCGGTTGGAGACGAGGACTGTGCTGAGGGACGGACTGTCGTAGGAGTACAACCCGGTGAGACTCGCCGGCTGAGCGGAGCCGCTGAGCACCACCGGCCTAGTCGGGTAGCCATCGTTACCTCCTGACGACCTCAGAGACACGATCGAGCTCTCCGACAGCCACCTCACTGATGGACTGGCAGTCCCGCCCATCCGGGTCGCGAGACAAGGTTCCGAGGCCCCGAAGTCGGAGCCCAGCTGCAGCATCAAGGACACAGGGGTCTTGGCAACGTTGCTGGGAAATATCGCGCTCGTCGAGAGCGAGTCGAACGACAAGAAGTGGGTCAACGACGTTGTAGATAGCATGCTGGTGATGGCAAGCCTGTGCGATCCGAGCAGCCCCGGGCTGGGTCGGAGGGTCACAGCAGACGTCGAGCGCCACGAGGTAACAGGCGAGCTGGTACCGGAGACTCTGCTGCACGGGGACAAGTTGACCTGCCCCCAGTGAGCGCCGCTAGCTGTGACAGGCCTGAGGAAGCCGGTCGCACCGTTGGAGCTCGACACAGACGAGGCCCGCTGAGCGTCGTAGGACAACACCTCCGTCTGCGTGTGCGTGAGGCTTGACATGGTCAGCTGAGCTCGCTGCGTCCTTCCGACGCCATGCGATGGCATGCAGCCTAGCTGCGAGTCTGACGTCCACACAGTGCTCTGGGCCGCAGTGTTTGCTATTTTCCCTTGCACAGACGCATCCCACCGCCCAAAGCTCGTCCCGAGCATGCTGATGATGATCGAGGAGTCCTCGCCCAAGTTGCGCAGCCTCCATTCCGGTAAACCAAACGCAGGCCCGTCGAAGCTGAAGCCTCCCGTGAAGGTGCCGGCAGAGGCGAGGCCCTGCAGGCTCCTAGCTCCCACAGTGACGCTCAGAAAGCTCGAGCCTGAGCTGCCGGATGCAGGCGCAGTCACGACCGAAGTGTCGCTCGCCCACAACGTCGACGCGGAAGCTGTACAGCCGGCACGCACGGCGAGCGTCGGGTCGAAGGAGGCAAGGTTGACCCCCAGGACGGTGAGGTGGGCGAGGGAGCCAGCGTTAGGCCGGTTGGAGACGAGGACTGTGCTGAGGGACGGACTGTCGTAGGAGTAAGCATCCTCTTTGGAGATAGACCTGCTGAGAGCCCGTGAGTTAGAATGAGGTTGGGTTGAGATGGAACGAAGAGACCTAGACGTTGTGTAGCCGGCTTGAACCTCAACCGATAGACCAGCCTGTGTTCCGGAACGAGCAAGGCCGACCATGTGCGAGTCGGACAACCACAATGTGGAGGTGCATGTCGACTGACCGATCCTGATCGTCTGCGCCTCTACAACCTCCAGGTCAGGACAATCTTCACCTTGTCTTTGATTACCTGAGATGCTGGCGGCACCGAAGTTAATGCCTATTGCTGTCACTCGAGCACCTCCGACCTTGGCACCGTTCCCATTCCTCACTGAGAGGAGCCGAGGCACATCGAAGGAGATCGAGTCCAGCAAGGTGTACTCGATGTTTGTCTGCATCAAGCTACTCAGTGATCTCAACGGGCAGCCAACCCTAAGTATGACCTACTGCCCGTCCTACTGCCCGTCCTACTGCCCGTCCTACTGCCCGTCCTACTGCCCGTCCTACTGCCCGTCCTACTGCCCGTCCTACTGCCCGTCCTACCTGGAGGGTCACCACGATGTCTGACAAGCTCGCTGTGAGTCCAGACGTGAACAAGTTACAGGTCGCGGAGGTCGTTGAGATCCACCGCGTCGAGTCGCAAGCTGTGCCCATCAACCTGATCTGCATGCCGGCAGAAGAGTTGAAACCTACCGCATGAGTGAGTGAGGGGCAGAGCTCTTGTGAGCCATCCCTCACCTGGATAGCCCTCGAACGGCTGAGCGCCATATACCGTGATGAGTGAGGGAGCAACGCTCGGGATGTTGTAAGGATTCGCTGATGTGAGGAAGTTTGTCTGGGAATGCACATGGTGTATGTTTGAAGAGAAGAAGCAGAGGAGGAGGAGGAGGAGGACCAAGCTTGAAGGTCTCCCCCGCATCTCAGCCGCCCTCCCCCCGCATGTCAAACAGCATTCACGGCTGCCGCAAGGGGTTCACATTGACATAATTCTATAACCGGTACGCTGGCCGTCCTCGGCCTCGGACTCGAGTCGGACTGAGTCCTGGACACTATCACTAGGTACCGTACTAGCTGTGACAGTGACCTGATCTTTACTCAAAGTTAAGTTAAAAGGTGAGCCTGACTGTCGCACAAGGGGCCAATTGTTTACTCAAAGTTAAGTTAAAACTCAGTAGTACGAGGAAACTTGGCAGCGCCCGGCCCCCGGCGGCGCGGCCGAACGCCGCACCCCGGTCGGATGACTGATGGCACCGTGACTGATCGTGCCGCTGTGAGCCGCGGCCAACTTGGACTCGGGATCATCGGCGGGGACAGGGCCGAGGCTGATTTTTAACTTAACTTTGAGTAAAAGTGGCCGAGGCCTTGACTCAGAGCTCAGCCGAGGAAAGATCCTGGACTCGGGGCCGGATGCGTTTGCAAGTCGGAACACCTGAGACCCTTGTTCGGCCCAAAGTTCGTCGGGCCGGGCCGAGCGATCCGATGATCCGACGGCGCCGGGCCACTGGCCACCACAAGGTAGCCTCAACGTACGTACTGTCACATTTGCTGCCGTAAATGATGGTGCAAATTGTATGCCAAAATTACTTCTAAAGTTTGAAATAAATGAATGTCAGGTTCAAGTTTCACATCCATTTTCACCGTGCATTTTGCTATGCTTATCTCAACGGACGTAACAAGCCTTCTACAATCCGTGGAGGACCCCCACAATTACAGACAAAATAGGGGTAATATGTATGACCCCCCCTTTTGCACATACCCCTGCCTGCTATTGGAAGTACCCCCTTGATTTCGATGACCCCCAGGATACCTTGCTTCCAGAATTTCATTAAAATATTTAATTTAATCTTACAATCAAATACTGTTTTTGAATAATAATTGATTGGCCTCTCATTTTCAGGAGGCAAAATGCCTCAGCAGTACCCCCAGATTTCTAGATTACATCGACGGTACTATGTGAGCCCTACACCTTGTATATCTATTATAATTTATCGATCGACTTATCTTAATAATGGCTTTCATAAAATTGGACCCTACCCGTCTAGGAGTGTTCTCTGAGCATGACCCCCGTCTGAGATTCACAGAACCACACCTACCCTACCCCCTCGTTGCAGCGAATCATTACTGAGCACCACCCACCTTGTCATGACCACCACCGATGTTTTGAGGTTGATGTGGTTTGGATAACAAACTTCAAATGTACGTTGATAATTTCAAATGCGAAGACAAAACTCCAAGTTGATTTCAATTGATCAAACTGAGGTACCTTGTCCCCTATGTTGCCATGCAGCAGCTGCGTTAGCTGAGATTTCTGCCGCCACCCTTTCTTTGAGTCCTCCGTCACTGATACTCCCACTACTCCTCTGTCTTCTTCCTCGACTCTGATCGTCTTCCTTCTCCGTCATGTCCTTTCCTCTTGCTGCTCCTTACCATGAGAGAAGCGTTTGCTGCGTCGCTGTCATCTTGCCTTCAGTGGCATACTCATCTCATCATCAATCTATTTCTACCTGCACTATACCCGCATGTTGTCTATCTTGAATCGAACCTCTCCTCCCTTGCAGAGCTATCTATTTGGGTCTCCCCTGTTCTCTCCTCCACTTTCTCCGCCTAATTCCTTTTTTCCCTCGAGATTTTCTCAGAATCTCACCAAATGTCACTTTGCAGGCGTCAACGTGCTGATGCTAGTTAGTTTCTTTCTGTGAAATGTCTGTGCTGGTTTTGGGGGCTATTTATATGTAGCAAGGGTGCAACTCTACTTGATGTGGGTTGTCGTGGCACATTTCTTGTTTCAGGCCGTTTTCACCATTTGTTTTTGGCACATGTGATCCACCTGTGCTGTTCTTGCTCCGATGAATTGCGGTTTACATCTGATATGCACGATCTGCCTGAGAATGGAAGAATGAATCGCCAATGTTACCTCCATTGCTCCTGTGTCAGAATGAGAAGAATGCATCACCAATATCACCTTCATCTTTCCGTATCAAATTAACTGAAAGCTTTCTCTTGCGATGTTGAACAGATACTGGTTCAATACAATGAGTGCCCCATCAAAAAGTGATATGAAAGCAGCGATCAAGGAGGTGAGAATGTCCTTATCTTGTTTCAGAAGACCTGATATCATTTTAGGTTCAAAGGCAATTGAAAAGTCATGGGATAAAACTCAAGGACTCATCGCGTCAAGCTGCGGACGCTCTTGAAGTTTTACAAAAGTTCCCTTATCTCAGACCATCAGTTGGAATGATGTCAGGTGCCTTGGATACATGTACATCTTGGATTATGTTCACAGTGATACACAGGAAGCGAGCAAAAGTTTTTCAAGCTTGAAGGGACTGTCCAGATGTTTTTTAATAGTAACGGTACAGCTTTGAAAATCTGATGACAATTGTAATGATGTTTTTGTTTTGTGCCTTGTTTATAGGTTATTATGTCCCTCTTGCGGTATTTTTGCGGGAAACTCATCCCGACTCTCCTCCAGTGTGTATGATACAGGTATTGTATCGTTTAGTTGCTGTTCTTTGAGAACACTCAAATCATATCATATCAGCCAACGCCAGATATGATGATCAAACCGCATCATTTTCACGTCGATGCCCATGGCCTGGTATACAAGAGAAAGGGTGTTCTTTGCAACTCTGTTCTTACTCCAGGCAGGTTTATTTGCCCTACCTTCATGATTGGACGAAGCGATCCTCGATCGTAGAAATGCTCAGGTATCCTGTTGTTCCACTTGATGACAAAGCTGACTTCAATACTTCTCTTATCAGGGAAGTCTCTGCAATTTTCACAAGTGATCCCTTCATCTTCAAAAAGCCATCACAGGTCTCAAGTGAACTTCTGGCGTTACGTCTTTAACTTCTGCTTGTGTTTCCAGCCGCCAGCCACTCCAAGTTACTTAAAGGATAATGCGAACAAAGGAGCAACAAAGTCGAAACCAGTTTACGAACAGGAATCTTGTTCTTGCTCGCAAATTCCGAATCTTAACAACTGTTGCCAGCAGACGGCGGGGGGGAAGCAGACAGTTCAGAGCCCGCCTCACCGCACGCCTCCGCAGCCACCCGTAGCACGAAATACTCCAGATGTTAACCAGGTGAAGGAATGAGACGCTGAGTGCATGTTAAGTCTGACCTTTCTTCAGATTCAGAAGACCATGCGCGCTCTAGGTAGTTGCTCGATCGGCTCGGCCATGGCAAAGCTTCTAACTTTTTGCCGTTCGATGTTTCTGCATCAGATCTGAAAGGGCCTGATTTGACCAATGAGGTGAAAGCTAAAGCGAAAGAAATGGATGAGCTTGATTCGGTCTGTCTCAATGTCTTCACATGCAAGAGGACGTTGACTTGTCCCTAGGTGCTGGAGAATTCCTTCCGATGCCCCATAAGGTAACTCCCCCCCTCTCCTCCGGTCTCTCTGAACATGAGCAGCATGGAGATTATGAGCGACCCAGTGTTCGCTGCAGACGGGCACACGTGAGCTCTGATGACACTGGGCCCGTTCGTGGGTGCTGATGGTGCGGTGCAGGTACGAGCGAGTAGAGATTGAGAGATGGTTACAAACGCGCGACACATCCCCCTTGACAAACGAGGTGAGAGATGGTGAAGAGCAGGAGCAGTTTGAGTTTGAGTTTCAAACTCGTTGTGACTCGCGCCTTTTTAACAGAAACTGCCGCACAAGATGTTGACACCCAACCACAACTTGCGCAGTCAAATCCTTGAGTACCAACAAAAGAACGCGTAAGGCCCATCTGGTGATAACAGTTGTGTTGACTTGGATCGCAGAATTCATTGAAGCGATGAGATACGATCTTTTCAAACCCAGATGTGCATTATAAACTCCTGAAAGGCAAACTGAGGCCTGTGTTCAGAGGATATCTTGATCGTCATCCTCTATAGTCTCGCTGCTACCATCCATCTGCTGCTGCTGAGGGAGCCTGGTGCCTTCTTCTCGGAACTGAGAGTAGATCCATGCTTCTATCGCCTGATGGCAGACTCAGAGGAGGAGATAACAGGGTGAGGAGTGCTGGTGGGCATGCGTGCATGCTTCGTGAAAGCTCGTCGTCTGCAAGTCTCGTCACCTTGTTGTCCTGCCAGTTCGCCTCCAGGAGGTTGACAGCATCCTTGGACGGCAGTCAGGGAGAGAGTCAAGGTCAAGGGCAGAACTCACTTCCTCGGTCATCGGGGGGATTTCTCCTCGCTAAACCCCGCCATTCAAGTCAGAAGCTGCGAGTGATCACATCAGACTCACCTTCCACGTCTCCTCGTCCTCCACCACCTTCTGGATGTTGCTGATGCAATGTTCAGCGGAGCAGGAGGAGGGAGAGCGCACCGGGCAGCAGCATAGACTTGGTTGTATCCTCCGAGCGTCGTCTCCTTCAGCTTGTCCTCGAGGCTCTTCCATGACTCGCCGGTAGCAGAGAGACAGAGAGGATTGAAGGCGTCCAGCTCGAGAAGGTTGTCAAAGTGACCCTTGAAGGAGCCATCGGAGATGTCCAGCCCGTGGTGCTCCTCCTGCTCGGAAAATGAGGAGAGGGGAAGGGGAGGAGAGGAGAGGGAGAGGGACGGTAGAGGGAGGAGGGGGAGGCAGGAGGCAGGAGGTCAGAGCTCGAGCGCGAGCATGTGGAGGCTCGTCACCTTGAGAAGTCTCTCGCTCCTCTCCTTCTCAGTCTCATTGCTGAACGTTGGCCCGTTGCGGTCGATGTGATGTTCCTCCACCTGACAACGTCGTCAGATCAAGCTGAGCTCCTGCTGGAGTCGGTACAAGGATCCCTCCTGGACGCCTCCTGCTGAACCACAACTTCCCGTAGATCCTATTGCCTACACTGCGAGCGCTCAGTCCAAGGGCAAGAGTGTCAAAAGCCTCACAGCCTCATGCTCGCGTTGTAGGCCACCGGGCCAGCATAGAAAGCCCCCATGTCGTTGTCCTTGAAGACACACCTGCACTCCAGTCACAGCAGCAGCCTCCTCCTCGGCTGACCACCTGTAGACCTCGCACAGGCTGTTCCTATCTACAAAGAGGCCGACGCTGTTCCCCTGGATCATGCTGCAGTTCAAGTCAAGGACCAGGGGGGACGTCTGCGAGCGCCCACCAATGCTCGGCTCGCAGTCGAGTGTCTTCGTGTTGCTGCTCAGCCAATCAAGGACGACTACGGGGACGGGGACGGGGACGGGGACGGGGACGGGGACGGGGACGAGGACGAGGACGGGGACGGGGACGGGGATGGGGACGACTACGGGGACGGGGAAGGGGAGAGCTGACTGGTTCACCTGCACAGCGTAGGACCCAAGGCCAGTGTACTCCAAGACGCAGTCACTAAGAGCAGCTCTTTCATGCATTCCGTCAGTAGGGCGACAGCTGACCCGCAACGCCGAGCCACCTGCTAACGTCCCGCATCTCGACGCCATTCTCTGCTCGTTGCTCTCCCCCGGTCCGAAAGCGTTTGTCCATGACCTGGTCGACTCCTTAGAACTCAAGGAGGGGAAAGCAAAATGATGAACACGAGAGGAAGTGAGAGGAACGCTGGGGGTAAGGAAGTATTACGAGGACGGGACAGAGAGGTCAGGGAGTGATCAAAAGGAGGAAACTAACCCATTCTCCGTACTCATCTTTCTCTCCGGCTCCAAGGCCACCGATACCTGATCGACTTTGGCATGAGGAAAAAAAGATACTTGAAGAGAAAGGTGGATGAAGGAGCGGAGCAAGCAAGGAGCAGGGGAGAGGGAGCGAGGAGCGAGGAGCGAGGAGCGAGGACAGGGAGAGGCAAGGAGGGAAAGAGGCAAAGAAGGGAAGGAGGAAGAGAAGGGGCGAGAAGAAGGTGAAGAGGAAATGGAGCTGGGAGTGGGCCAGGAGTATCAGGGAAGGCCGAGCTAGGAAAGAAGAAACAGAACAGAAAAGATATCCCACCACATGAGGAGCAGTTTATGCTGGCCCACCTAGAGCATTTCAATGCTGTGCCTTGCAAACTCCTGCGAAGAAAATGAGAAGAATGTGATGAGCCGATTGAAGCGAGGATGAAGAGTAGAGGAAGAAGCGACAGTGAGGACACGAGCGGGAACAAGAGCAGCATCAAAGGCAGCAGCAGCAGTCTGGTCCAAGTTAGCCTACTCACCTTATCCCACAGCTCGTGAACTTCCATCCCCTCCCCCAGACCTCTATGGTACATTGCGACGTGTCGTGCGACGCGTTCACAGCACAGGTCACGTTGGTGAAGTTTCCTGTGCTCTCAGGCTCAAGGAACCACATGCCCCACATCCTTGCTCCTTCCTCCCCCTGCACTACCAGACTGACTGTCTGCTCCGTGGGCGACTTGCCATCTCGTGTGATTTCCTTGGTCACCTCCGAGGCCTCTCGCTCTTGGAGGGACTCGTAGGGGTTGGCTGGATCAGCCCTCCATCCTCCTACGATCAGCTTCGCGCTGTCCCAGCTGTGCTTTCCTGCTCTCACCAAGACTCGTTTGCTCATCCCCTCTAGCGCGCTTTCCACCGCCAATGGAAGGAAATCGTACACTTCGCAGCCTCCAGGAACAGCATGTGCCTTCGACGAGCTGTGCATCACCACAGCGTCACCCGATCGCGGCAGATGCTCGTCTGCTCTGCCCATGCCTCCACGCAACGTGAGAAGCGGCTTGACAAACGATCTCCGACATGACGAGGAGCAGTAAGCGAAAAAATTCAGGAGGAGGAGAAAGAAGAGGGAAAGCTTCATGCTGAAGCCAAATGAAATTACTCGCCTTGTTTTTCCTCCTCCTCCTCCTCCTCCTCCTCCTCCTCCTCCTCCTCCTCCTCCTCCTCCTCCTCCTCCTCCTCCTCCTCCTCCTCCTCCTCCTCCTTCCCAACTCATTCTTCCTATTTCCCGCATCGATGCATTGCGATCCCCCGAGAGCTCGTATTCGTGAAAAACAATATAAATTAGTTTCACCGGGAATTTTGTGACGATCGAGCCGCCGGGCCGCCGGGCGCCGACGTGGCCCCGGCGATTAAATCGATCGCCAAAGTCGATTAAATCGATCGCCAAAGTCGATTAAATCGATAAAAAAAGTCATCAACGGTTCCAAAGGTGGGCGAGTCTTTACTTGGCAAGGGTGGGCCAAAACAGATACGAGGCCCTGAGGGGTAGGGGAACCAGGTAGGGTGCTATAATGGGGGTACTATGATAGGTAAATGGGGGTAGTGAAGAAGTTGTAGGACGGAGATTTCTGGACCCCTGGAGGGGTGGGGTAGGGTCACCCCCCCGTCTTCTCCTCAAATGAACATTTTCCGGGTACCCACCCGCATTGACAGAACCAGTATCAGTAGTAGTACCCCCATTTTTATGGTCAACAGAGGGGTCCGGGGTACCCCAGGAAACTCCGATGCGAAAAAGTGTTTTATAGCTCTAGATCAATTTTAAGTTGACCGATCGTTGCGCAGTAACGGACCGGCGCGAGCCAAGGAAGTTTTTGCCGGTCTAGGCGCTTGGAGGAGAGCGAAAATTGTGGGGTGGGTGGTAAAAAGTTTAATATGACTAAAATTAGTATCTAAACTTTTGAATGAATGGAAACAATTTTCATGACTAAAGAGATTTCGAAAAAAGATCGTCTTCAAGAGGTACCCCTGCGGAAGAATACAGGAGGAACGAGGAATGGCGAGTAGAGTACCATGGAGGAGGATCTGTACATGATGATGGAGGTATCGGAGAGGAGAAGGGGATAGTAGATGTTACATGGAGTATGTTGAGAAGCCGGGGCGAGCATGCGCGATCGAGGACGCACGTTTGAAACCAAGAGGATGATGTTGCGAGAACGAGTAGGTTTGCCATTGCCAAATGTGTGGCTTCCTAGCAGGCAGCAGAGTTCGCTCCGGACCAAGAGCTAAGTCGTGTGTTCTTCGCAAGTTGAACATGTAGATAAGCAGAACCATGGCAGGAAGAGACAGATCGCAAGAAACGCAACGAAACTGTGTCAATATCTTTGACAGGCAGGCGGCATGTTTCCACTTGCGTTCAGCTTGTTGTAAGGAACAAATGACTGATGATCTTCAAACGTTTGTCTCAACGTTAAGCTCCCAAGTAGTTGTGAAGGAAAAGAAAACGAGTATGGTTGGCTTTGGTCGAAGCATTGAAAGATTTTGAAACTTTCTCCGGTGTTTCACTGATAGGTTTGGTTCAGGTTTCAGCTCCCTTGCAAGGGGTTTGGATACTGTGGTCACCTGGATGGTGCGAGGTGCACGAGAATAACGTCAGGTGTCCCTACTCAGGGTCTATGCGTCAGCCGTTAATTTCATGTGCTTTAACATTTGCTGTTCCTCAACGATGAGATTATAGAGCCTGTAAAAAGAGGCTGCGTTCGATTTGACAGAGGTGGACGTTGAGTTTGTGAAGGATTTCAAGCACAAACATGAAGGGGATTGTCGCGAATGACCAGGTCTCGAGGAATCATGATAAAACCCAGAGGAGCGTGTTGTTCTTCGACATCCTCTCGGAGAAAGTATGCTCTCCTTTCGCTCTCAACAAGCTCACAGTCGCTGCGTCGTACTGGGGCATGGAATCTATTCCTCTGCGACATGCGTTTGCTTCCTGGAGGGTGAGTGCTGCTGTTTGAGCCTTGTTTTGCTTGTTTGATTGTGAGAGTCTGGACTGAGTCTCGTTGATCCAGATCGTGAGCGAGAGGATCAGAGCAGCAAAGCATTCTCTCAAGTCTGTCCTCAAGTTCTGGCTGCATGGCGCAGTGAGCTGCTTCCTGCGCGACTGGAGGCAATTCTGCATTCGCGAGATTGAATTGCGACGGATTCAAATGCGAATCAGCTTGAGGTGGAAAATATTTGAGGTAACCTCAGACCTGTTGCTGCCTGTGAAGTTGTACAATACTCGTTGATTGACTAGCTTGCCAGGCGACGAACGCTCTTCGAATGTGGCAGAATTACTTCCGACGAGAGAGGATGAGGAAGTTGAGGGAGAGCGTGATAGCTTCTCATACAGCTCTCAGCATGCAGTCGAGGTACAGCAAGGAGTGGAAGGAGTTCTTCCTGTGCAGCAAATACATGGAGCATGCACGAGCAGCGGCGGCGAAGGCGCTCACACGCAGAAGAAGGAAGCAGATCCTGAATTTGTTCTGGCACTGGACGTCGCGTAGCTATTGGAAGCGGGTGAGGCTTCATGCCGGTCGGCTAGTCGAGGAGAGGAGGACGAAGAGCTTGAAGGCGAGCGTGCTGGAGACCTGGTTGACCTTCCTTGACGTCATTTTGAGCGCAAAATCATTCTCATTAACATCGCAGTCGTCCAACAGATCGTTCCCTGTAATAGACGAGGCCTGCGCGGGTCTTGAAAGCCTCCTGTTCGGCCTCAAGATGCATGTGGAAAAGGCTCTAAGCCTGAACCAGAGCTGGGATGAGCCGTTGCTGAACGAGGCGATCGAAGTGAGGGAGAGGAATGGAGACGCGGATACAGCCAAGAAGATAGTGATGACGAGCAACCACGTGGAGAAGAAAGGAGAAAAGAAGGAAGTGAAAGAAACAAATGGTATCAAAGAGGAGAACACTGTAAAAGATGCAAAGGAGACTCAGCACGACGAAGTCGGACTCAAGTCTGGGGGAGAAGATGCTGGGGCAACTGCAGGCAAGAAGCAGAAGAAGGAATCTTCGTCCTCTACAGAAAAGGAGGACAAGGCAGCCGCCAAGAAGCACGAAGGTGCTGGGCATGAAGATGGTTTCGTGACGGCCGACCACTGGCCTGGCTGCGTGCTGAAGAAGACGAACCACGTGGAGCACGAGGCTCTGCAGGAGCTCATGGGCAACGAGATGCGCTCTTTTTGCCCTGAGTACCGGGGGAAGGCGGAGGAGGGCGGGCATGAGCTGGCCATCCTCCAAGACTTGACAGCTGGGCTGAAGTCGCCGTGCCTGATGGACATCAAGATGGGGAAGCGAACGTTCCAGGAGAGCGAGGTGAGCAACAAGAAGAAGAGGATGGACCTGCTCGAGAAGATGATCAAAGCAGCTCCCGAAGAGCCGACCCCAGCTGAGATCCAGGAGGGCATCACGAAGCTGCGGTACATGCAGTTCAGGGAGCGCCTGTCCTCCTCGGGTCACTTCGGGTTCCGCCTGGAGATGGTGAAGGCGGGTAAGAACTCGATCAGCAAGGACGAGACGAAGACGATCAGCTCCAAGGCAGATATCCAGCTTTCCTTCCACAAGTTCCTCAACGGCAGGACGGAGGTCTGGGCTGCCTGCCTCGAACGTCTCAAGCATCTCCGCACAGCGCTGGAGGCCTCGGAGTGGTTCCGCCTGCATGAGCTGGTGGGCAGCTCCCTGCTCTTCGTGTACGACGCTGAGGAGGAGAGCAAGCTGGGAATCTGGATGATCGACTTCGCGCATGCGAACAAGGTGCCGGTGACGCTCGACCACAGGTGGGGAGGAGAGTTTGCGCGTTGAGAGTGTTAGCTGACCTTTGCTTCTTGCCCTTGTCCTGCCCTCTCCCTGTCTCCTTCTTCGTCCTGTTCTTCACCCATCTACATGATCTCCTCCTCCTCCTCCTCCTCCCCCTCTCCCCTTCCTCCTCCTTCCTACTCATACTCCTCCTCCTCCTCCGTGCAGGAAAGAGTGGGAGGAAGGGAACTACGAAGACGGTAAGGGAGGGAGAGGGAGAGGAGGGGGAGACTTTAACAGTTTTGATAGGTTACTTGTACGGGCTCGACAGCTTGATCGAGATATGGCAGGACTTGTACAACACTTAAAAAGATCTCCCTCTCTCTATATAAACTGCTCTCAGCTACCCTATCTCCTCCCCCCTCAACGCTTTCTCCTTTGCTCCCCGCTCCACCTCTCCCCTCCCCTTCCTCCTCCTCCCCTTGCCTCTCCCTTCTCCATCTCACGCCATCGCCTCCGTCACTATCATCAAACAGCTGTCTTCCCACCTCACCGACCTTGACCTCTGCCTTGTACCTTGTCATCCATTGCCCAGCACTCCTCCTCCTCCTCCTCCTCCTCCTACTCCTCCTCCTCCTCTCTGGACCGTCAGCTTGTCCTGCAGGAGCTGGAAGGACGAGAATTGCTGCCAGGCGACACAGGAAGACAACTGGACGGCAGCTGAGAGGAGGTCGTTAAGAGCTGAGAAATTCTCCATAAGCTTCCTCTCTGCGCTGCTCCCCGTCACCTCCCTGAAGCTGGGGTACCGCACCGAGGAGGTACCCAGCTGAGAGTTGGCAGCGTCCGCGAAGTTTGCGGGGTCCTTGGCGATCGAGTCGACCTGCTCGGCGATGGCGTTGAGGCGCATCCTCATTGCGCGGAAGCAGCCGTAGAGGAGGACGTTGGACCCGTCCTCCCGCGCGATGCCCAGCAGACCGGTACGACATCCTTCCAGCTGATGCTGGGCAAGTGTGAGAGGAGAAGGAGGCAAGCAAAAAGGGGGAGGGAAGGAGGCGGGAGGGACGGGGAAGCGGAGGAGGGAGGCAGGAAGAGGCTGCGCATGACGATCAGGATGAGGGAGGGGAGGAAGGACGTACGACGATGCGCTTCATGTTGAGCTTGAGACGGATCTCAGAGGAGGAGGAGGAGAGGGCGGAAGCGATGGTGAGCAGCTGCTGCTGGATGCAGAGCAACTGCTGTGGAAGGGAGTGAATCACTCGGAAGGCATCCGCTAGAGCTGCGAGCTCCGGGTACCTGGGGTAGAATCTAAGATGGGGAGCCAAGGGAGTGAGGGGGGGACATGTGGGGACAGGAGGAGGGAGATGGGGAACAGAATGACGGTTGGGAGAGCAGAATGACCGGGAGGAGCAGCAGGACAGAAAAAGGGAGGGATATGGAGGAAGGAAGGAGAAGGAGAGGAGAAGGAGGATGTCAGCATGATGATGATGATGATGATGATGATGATGAGGAGGAGGAGGAGGAGGAGGAGGAGGAGGAGGAGGAGGAGGAGGAGGAGTAGGAGTCTCACTCTCTCTCGAACTTGTGGTCCAGATGCTTCCTCCCAGACGTCTGGATCGTCTCCTCGTAATCTCTCGCCGTCCGCCTCTTCTCAAGCAGGGCACCTATCCCCAGCAGCCGACTGTGCAGCATCTTCTTTCAAGTCAGGTGCAGAAAGAAGGGGTTGGGGACAGAGAGGACGAGGAGGCAGAGGAAGACGAGGACGAAGACGAGGACGAGGACGAGGACGAGGACGGGGACAAGGACAAGGACAAGGACGAGGACGAGGACGAGGACGAGGACGAGGACGAGGACGAGGACGAGGACGAGGACGAGGACGAGGACGGTGAAAGAGCAGGTGATATGGGAGGAAGCAGAAAAGGGCAGGGGGTTTGGGGCGAGCACAAAGAGGTGGTGGAAGGAGACGTACCGACTTATAAAGGATGGAGTAGGCAGCGTCCATGTACCTCCCCTCGTCAATCTCCTGCTGCAGTCTGGCGTCGATGATCGCAAGGAACGTTCGGCTGTTCTCCTCACCCACCGGGTCCTCGAACTTGTTGTCAACTCTGTACAGGCTCTGCGCTATCTTGGAGCTGTTCATGGTGAAGAAGACGTTGACGAAGGGGGAGGTAAGGTCCGGCTCCCATAGGTACTCCACCTCGTCGAGCAAGTAGCCTCGTCCTCTCTCTGGGACTGAGCTGGGAGCAAAGACGACGTTGTGGGTTATGGTGAAGTAGACGTACTCTCCATCCTTGTCCTTGTCCTCCTTCCTCTCCCTCTCGTTCTCTGACTCTTTCCTCCCCTCCTTCAGGCAGAACAGCCCGCACGTGTAGACCGGCTGCTTGCGGAGGAGAGCAGCAGCAAGCTCCTCCGTCATCGCCTGCCGATCCTTCTGCTTGATCTGCGCAGGAGAGAACCCTCGATGCCCCGCACGCGCAAGGTCGCATCCTCGGTGAGCTGACCTCTGCTCCTGATCAGCGTAGAAGAGGCCGAAGGGAACATGCTCAGAACGATCGTGAAGCTCCAGGATGTGGTCGAGGATGTGAGAGCAGGCGAGCTGGAGGGCCGTCGAGCGTTTCGGTCCCTGGATGAGAAGATACTCGGTGAGGTCCAGGCGGGCAAAGCCTGCTCGAGCCACCTGCTCAAAGGGTGAGGAGAGAGCGAGGGAGAAGAGAGAGACAAGAGGAGGATGTGGTGCAGAGCTACTTTGTGAAGAGAGCGGAGGCGTCAGCATGCTGGGAAGCTGGCGAAGGGAAGGACAAGGAGGAGAGGAGAGAGGAGAGAAGGAGACGAGACGAGACGAGACGAGACGAGACGAGAAGGGAGAAAGCTGACCGGGACACAGGGAGGAGGGTAGACGAGGATTTTCTTGACTCCAAGAGCAGAGGAGTAGACGTATGACCCGGGAGGGAACGGCCGCCTGTTCTTCAGCTCCAGCACCATCCTCCTAACCTCTTCATGTGTTGCCCACCAGGAGGAGGGGGGGTAGTTGGAGTTGAAGTGGACCCCTCCGTTTGCTGTTGCTCCACTGATCCTCTTAGAGGCGACCTTTCTTCCTCTCACTGCTCCTCCTCCTGCTCCTCCTCCTGCTCCTCCTCCTGCTCCTCCCGGGATCAGTGCTGTGCCTGCTCCTGCTCCTGCCAACAGGAAGAACCAAGACATGAGCGCGATGCTCGAACCGTAGATTGGGGAGGCAGAGGGAGCTAGAGGAGGAGGCCAGAGCCCCGGCTGTGGGTTGGGAGGGAGTTGCCTGCCGTACTTGGAAAGCATCTCAAACTTGCCGTCTCCTTCGTCTAAGGGGACAAGTCAGTGATATTGCGGCAGCAAAGAAGACAGGAGAAGCAGGAGAAGCAGGAGAAGAAGCAGGAGAGGGAGAAGGAGAAGGAGCAGGAGAGGGAGAAGGAGAAGGAGAAGGAGCAGGAGAGGGAGCAGGAGCAGGAGCAGGAGCAGGAGAAGGAGAAGGAGCAGGAGCAGGAGCAGGAGCAGGAGAAGGAGCAGGAGCAGGAGGAGCAAGAGCGTATACTACACAGAAATGGAGTGTCTCTGCAAGTGGATCGGAACGAGAAAAGGAAGGAAGAGGAGAGGAGTGCTGGTGCAGAGGCAAGGAGAAGAAGCTCACAAAGGAACATGCGCGCAGCCGTGTCCTCCTCTGCAAGCTTCACGTTCGTCTCGATCTTGGCGACGACCTCAAGGATGTCGAGGCTGTGAGCCTTGAAGAGGAGGAAGTGGAGGGCAAAGGAACGAGCAGCCTGCAGCGCCTTCATGATGGGGAGAGGATGGAGACTCTTGTCAGTGAGATGGCGGAAGAAGAACTCGAGGAAGAGATCGAGAGAGCAGTCGACGCAGAATCGGAGGATCAGAGTCTCTCTGGCGATGTCTGCGGGCACCTGGTAGGAGGAGATCGACTTCTGCATCTCCGCAGCGATCGGGAGCATGTCCCGCGTCAGGTCCTCCTCGAGATTTCTCAGCACATCCAGGCTCTTGGAGCGATCGTGGGCAAGGGGGTCAAGCTGGAAGGCGACGGACGAGTACGAGTGGTAGCAGAGCTCGAAGACGTACCTCAGCCACCTGCCCAGCTCCACAAGGTCGACAGGGCGAATCCCTTCGTCCATGTTCCATCCCTTCAGCACCTTGCCGATCCTCGCTATGATCACGTCCCCGAGGGTGTCCAGCTCGCTTCCAGCTCCTCCCTGGCCGATGACTCGCCCTACCTCCCTGCTCATCCACACGAGCTCGCCGATCACCGTGCCAACGATAATTTTGACCTCCACCCTCCCGCTCGCCATCTCCACGTCAAAATTGCGCTTCTTCTTCCCCTCCTCCTCCTCCTTCAACGACAAGAAGCCTGTCTCCGACAAGAGCTGCGCGTGCTCGCAGGCCCTCAGGACCGCCTGCATGGCCTCGGCGATGTTTTCACTGTGCTCCTGCATGGTTAGGAGGAATCGAGCGCCGCCGCGGAGGAGCTTGAAAGCCTTCATCTCGGAGTTCTTGAGCTCGATCTTGATCCCAGCAGACGCCTTCATCCTGTTCATCAGCAGCGATTGCTCTGCCACCTGCAGGAAGTCTCCTCTCCACTCTCCCTCCTCCATCTTCTTGAGGCACCTCGAGATGAACAGCTCCACATTCTTCTTGCTTGCATGCTGACCTCCTCCCTCCCCTGCCAGCAGCTTCCGAGACGCAAAGAGCACTGCGTGCTCGCGGTCATAGAAGACGCCCTGCTGGAGGGAGAGGTGGGGAGACTCGGTGGAGGAAAAGTACTTCTCCTGAGGCGACATGCTCTGGCTGATGACGTATCTCTTCAGGCAGCGGAGGAGGAGCCATCCTCCTCTCGACCTGTCCGTCACGTACCCTCCCTTCCTGGCCTGGACTGAGAGCAGGAACTCGACCTCGCACTTCCTCTTGTGGATAGCAGAGTTCTGCAGGTCGATGAAGAACTCCCTCTTCCTTTGCTTCATCTGCAACACGTTCCAGCTCGAGTACTTCTCCTTGTTCGCATCTTCCGTCTCCAGGCTCAGCGTCATATCCTTGAGGAGGATGTTCTCGCCGGAGGACGCGAGCTCTGTGATGTCTTGGAAGACATGATTGCAGAACATGTCAAGAGACACGTCGAGGCTCCCCAGGAAGACGAGGTTGTCAACAATCACAATCCTTGCTGGAAACGGCTCAGAGGGCGAGTGGAAGATCGCACTGCCCTCCAGGCTTCGTCCGAGCAGCATTTTGACCTCCCCCTGCTCTGCCTTTTGGGGCTCCAGCAAGCCCTTCAGCGCCTCTCTCAGCACCTTCTGTCCTTCCGGGCAGACTATCTTCATGAGACCCTCGTCTCCGTAGTAACTCTCGTCTCCGTCCGACTTGCGGAACCCAACGGGAAGCTTCTTACCCTTCACGTCATACGTGGTTATCTCATTGCCCCATCGCTCCAGCTCCTCCGGAATGTCGTTCTTGGTTTCGCCATGCTCCACCTCCAGGCAGTTGACGCGGTTCAGCGCCTTGAAGATCACAGGGTAAGGGTTGGCAGGGATGTAGTCTTTGTCGAACATGTCGCTCAAGATACTCTCGAACTGGGACTGGATTCCCGAGCCCTTGATGTACTGGTCGACAGCTATCACACGGACCTGTGACAGAGACTCTGAGAGTTTGGTCTGCTTCCTCTGAGGAAACAGTGAAGATGCTGCTGCTGTCTCCTCTAAGATCGGCGTGAGCTTCCTCTCGTCCTGCGATAACTTCCCACGAACCAAATCTAAGAAGTCAACAGAAAAGGCTTGAGATTTGACTCGCTTTCTGTAAAAAGTCTGCAGCGTTTTTGCCGCCTTTTCCTCAACTGGATCCACTTGAACTTCTTGAATCTCGTCTGTAGAAAAGGCTGCAATGATGTCAGCATCCTCTTCCTCCTTGTCGTCTTTTGCCCCAGGCTTCTCCTCAACGCCTGGCTTTTCCGTCGAGGCTTCATCCACGTAAGAATCGTAGGCTTCGTCCAACCAGTCGATATCATCTTCATCTTTCAGCACCTCCATGATTCCCAGATAGACCCAAACTTCCGAGGCCTGTTTCAGCTGAGCCAACGATGAAGCATCATCAACTTTGCTGGCCAATTCACGTGTTCAACCTTCTTCTCCTCATGGTATTCTCACCGCCATGCACCTTCAATCTTTACCTATGCACATATCCTCCTTCTCTGATGCCATAGCCATCGCGCTTTCCTTGCTTCATCCCGCTCCGGGCCTCCCTCGCCATTTCCCTCCTGTCCACACCACCATCGAGTTGCCCTCCTTTCCCTCTTTCATAAACCGATCGGGACGATTTGAATCGAATTTCTTCGATTTCAATCGGCTGAAATCCAAGTGGAATCAACCCAATCCAAATCTGCAACCCGAGTCGGTTTCAATCGGTTGGAATCGACAAAGACTTAGATTGGTTTGAATCGAACAAAATCATTCAACCGAATATCTGAGGGGAACGCAATGGTGGGTGGGTCAGAACCAGGACATGTTGTGTCGAATTGAAAAGATATGTACCCATAAGATGAGGGGTACTCCAAGGGAGAAAGAAGGGTGTACGAAAAAGAACGAATGAAATTAAGGGGTCTGTGAAAGGAACAGGTCAAAGTTGGGGGGTGGGGGTGTAGAAAGCCGAAAAGTAGTTATAAATTTGAATTTAGTACTAGTGAGATAGTTCTCTATAGTATTTTATGAGTGTAAAATATTTATGTTTATAAGTAATTGAAATTTGTAGATGTATTTTGATTGATAGCAATTTTTGGTACTATATTAAAACAGAATTTTCTTTAAAAGAAGTTATAGATTTTAATTATTGTAAAGAAAAGATGTATTTATATTTTTTTTCGTACCTTTACTTTGATAAAAATAAATATATAGTTTAACTGTATTTAAAATTGTGTACTAATCTACGCCAAATGGAATAAAAAGTCTTTTCAGGTACAGTTTCTTAATAATTTAAAACGACACGGCACCGTCGTAGTAGTAGTAGTAGTAGTAAAACCCTGCCGGCGCTCTATGGCAGCGGCAAAGATTGAGGCGTTGCTCTATTCCAATCTCCTCCATGCTTCGATTGTCATCCCTCCTCTCTCCTCTGCGATGATAGCTGATGATATCTCTGTTCTCTGTGCCGTTTTCCTTCATGTTGCTCCTTTATAAGCTTGAGAACAGCTCAAACGTATTTTTTCGTCCATGAAGGACTCTCCTCTGTTTCGATTGGCAGTAGCGCATTTAGCTTGCATCAAATCCCTGCAGAGTCTTTTCTTTCGTAGGTTCTTCTATGATTTCTCGTGATTTCCCATCCTGGTGCTTAATGTAATCGGGAAACTTGTATGAAATCTTATGTTTCTCACTCATCCAACATTTTCTGTTCTCTTCTACAGCCTGATATACACAAACAACAGCTGTTTTCTGGTAGCATGTCGATGAAATGTTGTGTGAAATTGGTTTTGTTGTTCGATTCCTTCCTCCCCCTTGGCTCAGGACCAGTTTGCTGCGATGTATTAATTGGATCTACATCTGCTCGAGCTCCTTCTCATTTTAATGGCATTTAACATGGTTGACAGACATTGAATCCTCAAAGTAGACTGTTCCGAGAAGGGTGACTTGTGGGATAGTTTGTTCTCCCACCAAAGGTAATGATACCTCCTTAAACATGTACTCAATAACGAGAAGTCCTGAAGGAGCCGTCAGACTCGAAAAATGACAGAAGAGATAGATAAGCACGTCCTTCGCAAGTACGAGATAGTTTCCAAACTTGGAAAGGGGGTGAGTAACTGATTGGTGACAACAATGTCAAGATGACGTGTTTCAAAGGCATACGGTATCGTTTGGAAGGCCATCGATAAGAAAACCCGTGAAGTCGTTGCACTCAAGAAGGTCTTCGATGCTTTCCAAAACGCAACAGACGCTCAACGTACATTCCGAGAAATCATGTTCTTACAGGTGACGTGTATGACAAACCTGTGTTGGAATCCTCACTCTCCTTTCAGGAGCTCAATAACCATGAGAACATCATCAAGCTGTGGAATGTGTTGAAAGCAGACAATGACAGGGATATCTACCTAGTCTTCGAGTTCATGGACACAGATCTTCATGCAGTCATTCGCGCCAATATCCTCGAAGAAGTCCACAAGCAGTACATCATGTACCAATTGCTCAAGGCTCTCAAGTACATGCACACCGCTGGGATGCTTCATCGTGATATGAAGCCGAGCAACATGCTCTTGAACAGCGATTGTCTTGTCAAAGTTTGCGACTTTGGTTTAGCGAGATCCATTGCGGCTCTGTCTAACAACAGTGTGTCAAACCCAGTGTTGACAGACTACGTTGCGACTCGTTGGTATCGAGCTCCTGAAATTTTGCTGGGGAGCACGAAATATACAAAGGGGGTAGACATTTGGTCCATTGGATGTATCCTCGGTGAGATGCTGGGAGGAAAACCTACTTTCCCTGGAACGTCCACAATGAACCAATTAGATCGCATTATCGAGGTTCATATTCGCTTTGAAACTATTCAGGCCCTCCTAACAGATGTTTCAGGTCACTGGAAGGCCTTCTGCTGAGGACATTGAGTCCATCCGTTCCCCTTTCGCTGCTAACATGTTGGAGTCACTTCCTCCTTCAAAGCCACGATTCCTCTCGGACATGTTTCCTAACGCTCCTCCTGATGCTCTGGACCTCTTGCGGAGATGTCTCAAGTTTAACCCCAACAAGAGAATAACTGCTGAAGAGGTAAGCAGCAGCTTCATGTGAACGTGTGCTCCCTTGACATGACCCACAGGCATTGAGCCATCCATACGTCGCTCAATTTCACAACGAGGCTGAGGAGCCTATTTACCCTACTCCACCCATTCGCATCGCCCTCGACGACAATACCAAGTTCTCCGTGTCAGAATATCGGGACAGACTGTACAAAGAAATAGTTCGGAAAAAGAAGGAAATCCGCCGAAGGCTTCGATGATTTAAGGGTCTCTTGCTAGAACATCAGCTCAATTTGGCGACGGAGAAAATCTCAACTTGTTCTCTGGGATTCATTATTACTAATGCGTGGAACGGGTGGTTAAAGCTCATTGATTCAACATCTTGCGTTCCTGTGGTTCACTGATCCTTCCCTAAAGCTGCTGCAGTACCTGATGTAGCAATCGCTTCTTGCTCACTCGAAAGGAGAGCGCAAGGGGGAAACTGGACTGCAGCGCAGATCTGGAGCGCAGAGCGACCTCGTCCTCCTCCAATGTCGTGGGGAAGGAATTGAGCTCGTCTTGGAGAATTTCCTTCACCGCCTGCCTCCATGTGTCACGCTGTTGATCTCAAGAGCTCCATGGCTCATCTCACCTGGCGAGCCGAAGCCTCGTCTGGGAACAAACTCTTGGCGCGATTCATGCTCTCCTCATCAAGTCCCTTCGGAGAGACGTAGGCATCTTTCGAACCCACCTCAGAGCCTCCCTTTCCTCCCTTCTTTCGCAGCTTGCCGTCCAAATCAGCAATCTCGTACAAGTCATGAACATTGTCCATCTCTACGAAGCCATAGTACTGCAGGAGCTGATCGTTGCTGCGATCGCCGTACGAGATGAAAACTTGATCCCCGACGTTGAAGTTCGACGATGACTGGACCTCGAACGCAGCTTGAAGTGCCTGGTAGGTGACGATGGACTTGCTCTGCCCGTCGTGATTGATCATATCAATCATGGGGGCAATGACGTAGTGGGTCAGTCCGAGAAAGTTGGGGAGGAGGAAGGTGTTGGCCAGGATACCTCCAACCACCAGCACAGCTCCAAGAGCAGCTTGAGAAGTTTCGAGGAGATGAAGCTGAGTTGACAGAGCAACTAGCAAGCCAGTGAGAAACATCTGGTCCTTGGGTAGTTTGCCAACGTAGGGCCCAGAAAAAGCACGGCTCCTTGCCATTTCACAAGCATTGTAGAAGTCTGCTTCCTGAAACTGTGGGTTGTCGCAGCTGATCTTGTCAAAAATGCTCCTCCATTCACGTTTCTGCTTCTCGATCTTGTCAATCAGGGGCTGATACTGCAGCTCCTTCACGCTCTCCTCATTCCAATGAAACGGAGTGCTCAAAGATTTGGGAAGAACTTCGATCCATCTCACAAACCTATGATCGACATGGTTACACCCCCCTCCCTCCCTCCCTCCCTCCCTCCCTCCCTCCCTCCCTCCCTGTTCTCCTCTCTGTATGATCTCTTACGAGGATGGCTCCGTGGAAGGCGACCTCGCGTGTCCTTTCTCCCACAGCAAGAGGACTGCAAGTTGAGCCCACCACTCGAGACCCTGCCATGTGCCCTCGGAGACATAGCCCTTGAGACGAGATGGCAGCCTGCCGTCCTGTCAGCCCCTGACGACTCTTGCTGTGGAGGAACAAGACCTGCTCTGCCCCTTGACCACCCTCAAGACTGAGGTCGATGGGACTGTCACTAGGATGTCCCCGGAGGAGACAGGAGAGATGGCCTTCATCCCTAGACGGTCAGGTGAGGACGAAGAGGAGAGAGGAGGGGCATGAGGTCAACCGCGAAGACCAGAAGCGAACTCCGACATCTTGATCGTAGGGTTCTGGATTCCGGCCTGCCAACGGTGAGTATTGTCTCTAGGGTATACGGACAAACCTTCTCCGCCCACTCCTCGAAGGACTTCCATGCTCTAGCCTGATCTGTCTGCATGCTCGGAGACATGCGATGATGCGGTTGTCTGCGAGCAGCTAAGAGCAGCCTCGTGCGTCATCCTCGCCCACCTCGTTCTCTTGCAAGTTCTTCGCGCTCCTCCTTCCAACGGCGAACAACCCGAGAGGGAGCGGCCATGTCCAGCTGCAAAAGCAGGTGCGGTGCTTCTCTCGTTCGTCAGCAGCACCTGCTCCCCTGCTGCATGGCAGCTCAGCATCGCGGCAGCCACCACCGCAGCCAAGGCCATCGCCATAGATCCGGCGGCCCACGGGCGGCCAGGGTGCAGGGGGTCGTAGCGGGGATGTGGAGCTTGTAGGACAATTCCCAAGTCATAAAGGGAACTCCAATCCTCTTCCTACGACTGCTAAACGATCGACTGCTACTGACTACAACAGACTACTGCTCGTCCTCCTCCTTTCTCATCATCCTCCACACCTCCTACTCATACTCATACTCCTACTCCTTTCTCCTGGTTGTCCTCATCCTTGTCTTCGTCCTGCTCCCCGCCCTCGTCCTCAGCTTGTTTGACGTTACTCCCGCCTACTCTCCAGCTCAAAAGTCGACCTGATTTCGCTCCCCTCACTCTGTCTCTCATCACCCTCGCTTTCTATCCACCTTCTCCACTTGCTTCTCTCGTTTCAGACAACTTTCTCTGACATGCACACTACATGTACTTGCTCGCAAGCTCCTCTAACCTTCATGTTGTGCTTCTTTGCCAAGTCGTGATGATACTTGAGCAGTTGTCCTAGCGAGAGAAGGAGATGCAGAGATCGATCATGTCTCATGGGGCCCGTCTTTGGACCTTCGCTATGATGTCAATGTCCCTCTCAACCTCTCGGGCATTTTCTTTCTCCCGGCTCCCCTTCTCTTCCCTTCGACTCGCGCCTCGACCCGCCTCCTTCCCGTCAGTCACTCCCGCGGCCTGCAGGTCCCGACAGCTTCGCCACATGTCTATATCATCGGATGAGACTAGCAAGGTCGGTGGCTGCTCCAACTGACGCCTCTCGGCTCCCTCTGACCTGCTCCTGCAGCTTCTGACCTTGGCGGAGGAGTACGTGCGATTGAGCAACGAGCACGACGTGGAAGCTTGTGATGGGCGAGGGGAGGAGAGGAGGCAGGGATGTAACTTGTGCTGACAGGTTTGAAGCAGCTCAATGCGAACGCATCGTATCAGTCGACAACGGTGATTGACGGCTCCTGAAGATTGACAGAGACTGACTTTGGTTTACATTTCTAGGTCGGAGCATACGAGGGGATAGATGCGATCTCATCCATGATGAAGACTTTCTTTTCAAACTTTCCTTCTGTCCACTGGGACGTCAAGGAGTACAAGATCTCCCAAGGCAACAGGGACTGCGTTGAGTTCGAGTTTGTGCGGACCCTGAAGAAGCCTGAGGGTCTTGTTCGGGAGGAGGGAAAGGAGTGGATCGAGTTCAGCGAGCAGGGGGGGAAGCTGGGGATATCCAAGATCTCCGTGGAGACGTTCAAGAAGGAGATCATCGCGTGAAGAAGCTACTGAGAAAACAATAATATTCCATCAAGAAAGAGCAAGGGGCACCAGTACCAGCTCCCTCCCTCCCACTCCCAACCCTCCCTCCCTCCCTCCTACATTCCACCCGCTCTAAGTCTCGTCCATGGAGACCTCGTTGCTCTCCTCCTCTATCGACATTGAAGGATCTGCTGCCAGTAAACAGGAGGATTAGGAACAAGTCACCGTTGAGCACAGGGCAAAACAGCCACTCACCGTCCTTAGCATCCTCCTCTCCCCCGCCGTCCTCGTCCTCCTCGTCCTCGTCCTCGTCCTCTTCCATGTCGAAGATGGCGATCCTCCAGGGATCCTCCACCAGGAAGCTCGCAATCCCCCTCTTTCCGTTCACCGCGAGCTTGGTAGCTGACACTCCCCCGATTTGCCGCGCCTGCAGCCCGCAAACATCCTGCAAAACCAGCGTCATGTCCAGCGGGCAACGACCACATGGGAACCTGCTGGGTGAATGGGAAGCCTTCCAGGTCGGCAGCTTTCGTCCGCCAGAGGGCATCAGCTGGGGTCCAGGCCACCTCCTCCAGCTCGAAGGTAGACAGGATGGCACGGAGATCTTCCTCGGCTTTGGATGTGCCAATAGCGAGGAGGCAGACCTTGTCGGGGGAGTAGAAGTGAAGGTCAGAGATGCTGGTGTCCGAGAAGATGTCTGTGAGCTGGAGGCTGGCGACGGAAAGGCTGACGAGCTTCCTGCTGGGTATGCAACCGATGCGAAGGAGGCTGAGGGAGGGAGCAGCTGGAGCATCCTGCTGCTGCTTGCTGGCGATGAGCTGGAAGACGTGCTCGTCGCTGTCGGAGGAGCCAGAGGAAGAGGACAGCGCGAGGCATCTCTTGTCATCCGTGAACCCTGAGAGGCGGATCACGTTGTCCACTGCAATCTTAGACGATATGCACTGCTGCGTCTCCCCGAAGCTGAACTCGACCGCGTCCTTGAGCCTCTCCAGGTGGACTTTGAAGGTGAGCCGCAAGCTTGAGTGCCCAGCAGCCTTGAAGGCGTTAAGGACCTCGTCGTTGACGCAGCGCTTCTCGTCGAAGCAGGAGATGACTGAGGTCGAGATGTCTTGCAGCACCCCTGAGATCTGATTGTGGGTGAGGTGATGCTCTACGAACCGGCTGATGGAGAGAGTCTCTTCCCCGGACAGGGTCGTCGATCCCGTCTGGTTCACCAGCCGGAAGGCCATCCGCTCCAACCACTGCGAGAACTGACCGTATCCCTTCTGAAATCTCCTCGTGACTGTCAGAAGCTCCGAGACCTTGTGAAGACACTGCGTGCTCTCCTTCATTAGGGACTCCAGCGCCTGCTCCCTCAGCCCGATATGCTGGAACCTCTCCTCCCACCTAGCCAGGCCCATTAACTCGCCGACACGGAACATCAGAGACTCTAGCACTGGGATCATCTTCTGCACGGCCTCCTGCTGGATGTTGACGCAAGCCGTGTCGACCACCTTCTCGAGTCTGCGCACTCCCTGCTCCTTCAGCTGGACCAGGAACGCTTGAAGAGCAGGCGACGCACTCCCACACACGATCGTTGTGATGAGCTCGCTCTCCACGTTGGATGAACTGTCGTGCTGCTGCAGACAGGTCGAGAGGTCCTGCAGCTTCTTGGAGAGCTGATCCCAAGCTTGCTTCCAGCTCTGACAGATGGACGTGAGTGAATGGTGGAGGGAGGAGACAAAACCCTCGACGATCCAAGCCTGGGACGAGACTTGAAGCAGCTGGGATGAATTGAGCTGCAGCACATCCGAATTGAGGACGACCATGTACAAACTCCCCTCCTCCACACGCTCTCCATGCTCCTCTATGATCAACTTCTTGGCCTCTCCCAACTTCTCAGCGGCATGTTGGCCGTTGGTGCAGCACACCACTGAGATGCGAGAGAGGTCGTCGGAGACCGACATGCTCTTGATCTCAACCCCGTGACGCGTCTGGTCTTGTCCTTGCACCAGCATCTGAACGCTCCCTATGCAGAACTTCCCGAGGACGTGGAGGCTCAAACCTCCAGAATCGTCGCCGGAGAGCAGAACAGTCATCTCACAAGACTTCTGGTCTAGAAATCCTTCACTGCTGCTCGTCTTTGGATTGGAGGAGGTCTTGTTGTCTTCGATCCCTCCGCACTCAGCAGGCAAGAATCTCGTAGTTCTGTCTGGAACCAAGGAGGAGGTTCGCTTCCCTTTGCACACTGTCCAGGTCAACGCAGTAATCCTCCGCGAATGCGCAAGAAAGCTTGCCACGGACTCGCACATCTCCACGTCGTACAACATCACTCTTCCGTCGGCATGACCAGAAGCAAGCATCTTACCATCAGGGCTCCAACAGAGTGCAGAAACTTTCTCTGAATGTTCCGAGAGGTTGGTGAGTTTCGACCACGACAGTCGGTGAATCACGATGTTGTTTTCGTTGTTCACGTACGCAACGAGATCCATCGTCGGACACCATGTCACCAGCCTCTCACTGGACAAGCTGCCAAGCGGCTTGTCTTCCGCATGCATTCGATGGAAACTTTTCATGATGGAGGCACCGCGAAGCTCGACAGGTGAAAACGTCAATGTCGGGTGATTCCTCGCATCGAGATCTGAGATGAACCGTCAGTCTTCCTCATTCTCTCCTCCAGATTTCTTTAGCGCACAAATCCTTTAGATTATATTTGGTGTCAGATGGCGTTTACAAGCCTATGCGCTGTTCGTTCCGTTTCCTTCCCCCCTCTTCGCACCCCGCAGCATAAAACGACATGTCAATTACCAATGATGGTTCTCAGTCCCCCATCTGTCGCTCTCCTTGTATATAACGCTCTTTCGCTGCTCGATCACGCTATTCCTCTCCCCTATCTACTGATATCCTCCTCCTTTGCACCTCCCTTCTGGCCTCTCTCCCTCGCTCTCACCCTCTCTCCCATCCTCTTCTGATCCTGGTCTTGATAAAAATCTCCTCTGTTTCACTTCCCTTGCTCTCTTCCTCTCCCCCCTTCTACTGCATCCCGTCCCTTCCTCTGTTCGCTCCTCCCGCCATGTTTCAAGTTTGAACTTGGGCCTGGCAAATAGCGAGTCCGCCTCACTGTATAATCCGAGGCTCAAAACCTATTTGACATCCGGGTTTCGCCGGCCCGGCCATGAGTGACTGGGTGTGCGGTGAATATTTTACTCATCGGAGGATTTCACACGTTGGGGTAGGGGTACAACGAGTACCCACCCATAAGCCTTAAATTTACCGACATTTTGAGGTAGGGGTAGTGACTTGGAAGGCAAGAGGTCGTTTTGAAGGGGAAGGTGACTACAAGGGTGGTCGTATCATCTCATACCGGTCCAAATAATATCAAAAGTAGGGGTACAGTGACTGAGCATGGACCGAAGGGTGGGTAGAATGGCAAGGGGGTATTCGAGAGGTAAAGGGTGGGGGTACCCTTATCAACGGGCTCTGTAGGACCCCGAATGGAGTGGAGAAGGGGTGACACACAACTGTAATAGTTCGAATAAAGGGTGATATACCCGTTGATTTGCTACCTACATCAATATTGGTTGATAATACAGTATCAATTTACATACTAAAAGGTTAGTTATGAAATCATTGTGCCCCCACCCAACTCAGATTTGAACCCGTGGGGAACGCAATGGCACAATGGCGGGGGCGCTCCTCGGCGGTCCCTACATGGTGGCTCTAGCGAAGGAAGAGGAGGAGGAGAAAAGGAAGAAAGTTTTCTGTTGGTAGATGATATGAAGATGATAAGATGATGAAACAAGAAGTTTTGAGGATGGTGAAGAGGAGAGGAACTGGAAAGTGCGTGTGTAGAGCGGGCAATTGTTTCACTGATGTCACAGCATTTGAATCTGCAAGAGGGAGGCATAAAGAGGAGGTGAACAAAGAAGGAAACCAAAGCTCATTATGAAATGATGGATTCTTTGAACCGTGATTCAAGCTTTCAAGTCTTGCAGGATTTCTTGCCTACTTCTGTAACACCTCAGTACGTTCTGGGACCCCGTTGCCCTTTTTGATGTTTTGTCTGATGCGGCAAGACCATTCATTCGAGAGATGCACACAAAGAGGGAATGATTGTATTTTGATCTAAGTATGATATCAGTCACTATACCTGTCTTGTTTCTGTGCAAGATGATGCTTAGCTACAATAATTCGTCGTGCTCATTTTCGCAGCTTTGGCTGAGTGTTTGCTACATGATGTTATTGCAAGAAACCATCACATACCTCATAACTCACCAACATTAGCATTTTCTAACACATACTATGACAACATGAACCAATTACTCTGTCGATTCGCATGACACTGACTCGTACTTCCAGGGTTTTCATCTATTGGGGTTCATGGTCTTATTTCGTTGCCATACTACATGATTGAGACATCGTTGACACTATCGCTCTGTTGGAGATAACACAAAGAAGATCGCTGAAAATTCGCCAGAAGTTTTTTTCGCTGTGGGAAGGAGGAGGAAGCAATTGGTTAAGTTTAGTGCGGCATGAGCCTTGGTCGAAAGCCTCCCTTTGCTCTCTGGGTGGGAAACGTTGACCCCGAGAGAGTGGATGCAAAGGATCTGTGGGAAGCGTTTGCAAGGTATGGAGACATGTGCAAACCAAGAGAGCATGGAGCCCGTGCTGTTGAGCTCCTGGTAGAAAACAAGGCTGCCATTGTGAATTTTGCAAGTTACGATCACGCTTGCGCTGCTCTGAGAGGGCTGCAAGGAGCCCTGATAGGCAAGATCACTCGGCCGGGATTATCAATATCATGGCACAAGAGGCAGCAGGATGAGCCGCCACAGAAGCAAGTGATCCTGACTGCAGAGAAGGGGCAGCGGGAGCGACCTCCGTTTTTTGGGCTGTGGGTTGGCAACGTACATGCGACTCTGGTGCAGGAAGAAGAGTTTCGGAACGCGTTCGAGAAGTTCGGGGAGCTTTGTAATCCGCAGATCCACGGGGTCCCATCCGTCAACATCCTGCCCGAATCCTCCAGCGCGTTTGTCAATTTTTCGAGGTACGAGGATGCGAGTGCGGCAAAGAAGGGCCTGCAAGGGAAACTAGTAGGAGGAGCAGGGCCCTTGCGGATCAACGCCTCGGATCTGATGCAGGAGTATGAGCAGCAGCAGCAGCAGCAGGAGCTGCCCCAGCATTCGCTCGCAGAGAAGCTGGCAGGTCGCTTCGGAGCCGATGCCCAACTCCTGTCAGCCCGCTTGGGGATCTTCACAGGAGACCCTGCGGCGCTAGCGTGCTTCGGGGATCTGTGCGGGGAGGAGGGTCCGATCTACGAGCTTCTGGGAGGGGAGATTTATTTGTACGATGCAGGAGATGTTATAACGTTCTTCCAAACTCGACCAGGCAGTACGGGGCTGGTGGAGTGACGTTGATGTGTTTCGGGTCTGTAAGTAGAATCTCATGTAATCAAGCTTTATTTCAGTGAAGGTCCACGTCCTTTCTTCCTACCAGACCGGCAGCAGCCTCGCGCAGGGCAGGTGAAGCAGCAGGGGAGGTAACGGACCTCACTCAGCGTTTCCGCCTCCTCCCTTGAGCCACTCCAAACTGGCTGTGAGCAGGCGAAGAGCTTTGCTGAATTCCTTGCAGTTGATCTTGCCCTTGTTCCCCACATCCACCTGCCAAGTTGAAGTCACTCATTAGCTGCTCAACCCCCGCTCCTCCCCTCCTCCCATCCCACCCAGCACACTCCCAGCTGACCTGCTGGAAGATTCTGTCAACCTGGACCGGGCTGAAGTTGTCATAGCCCAGCTCCTTCAGGAGCTGCCGAAACTCCTCGCAGTCCACCAGCTCGTCGTTGTCCTGGTCCTTGAGGTGGAAATGCTGCGCCAGCTCCTTGTCCGATAGCCGGTAGGAGGCCTTGTAAGCTCGCCTCACCGACCTCTCGAAGTCCCCAAAGTCGATCTCGCCGTCGCTGTTGCTGTCAACCTGGACGAGGTCGTGAGACACAAGGAGGAGGGAGGAGCAGGGACTGAAGGAATAATGGGTGAAGACAAGAGGAGGGAGCAGCAGATGGAGCAGGAGTATGAGATGGAGATGGAGACGGAAGAAGTGCTGAAAATGGAGCGGGAGCGGGAGCGGGAGCGGGAGCGGGAGCGGGAGCGGGAGCGGGAGCGGGAGCGGGAGCGGGAGCGGGAGCGGGAGCGGGAGCGGGAGCGGGAGCGGGAGCGGGAGCGGGAGCGGGAGCGGGAGCGGGAGCGGGAGCGGGAGCGGGAGCGGGAGCGGGAGCGGGAGCGGGAGCGGGAGCGGGAGCGGGAGCGGGAGCGGGAGCGGGAGCGGGAGCGGGAGCGGGAGCGGGAGCGGGAGCGGGAGCGGGAGCAGGAGCGGGAGCGGGAGCGGGAGCGGGAGCGGGAGCAGGAGCGGGAACGCAAGTCGCACCGCCTTGTAAGCAGCATCAAGATCTCCCGGAGAGAAATTGAAGCCCATGCTCTTGAGCGCCTGACCGATTTCCTCTTTGTCGAGCGTCCCCGACCCGTCGGTGTCCATGGAGTCGAACTGCTCCCTGAGGACGGTGAGGGAGGGACCTGAAGATCGGTAAGAGGAGGGGGAGAGAAGAGTTCTGAGCTGTTTTCACCGAACTTCCTCTCGTAGACCTTCTGCGCCTCGTTGTCTTCGGCATGTGCGGCATCGAAGGTGTGCTGATCGTCGATAGAAACCACCTTATCCACATCCACCTTCTCCAGGATGGCTCGCACCACCTGCTGCTGCAGATTCCTGTTCTTGCTCTCCACACGGATGATAACGTGATCGGCCCCGTCCTCTCCCGCTCCCTCGTGCGAGAAGGACACAACGTGTACTTTGTCGAACATCGCGTCCCAGTCAGCGATCTCGCAGACGAGATGGTTCTCTTCCATCTCGATGGTGATCTTGGTGACGTGGAAGGGGGAGCTCTTGATCTTAGGGAGCAGCGACCGCATCATGGTGGGCAGCATGCCAGGGCGGTGAGACATGATGAAGCAGTTGTTCTTCTTGATGATAGGCCATCTCTTCAAAACTTTGTTCCAGTCCCCCTGCTCACTTTGCTCGACCTGTACATGCGTTACCTCCCCTACCACTCCTACCACCTGCCAATCTTCCATCCCTCGTGCTTTCATTTGCAATCCCTCCAACCCCTTCCTCCCCTCCTCATCTCCGCTTTCCTCCCATCCCCCACCTCTCCTTCCCATCTCTCACCGAGGGGATCTCGCCGACAATCTCCGAGCCGAACGGAAAGTCTGCGAGCTTGAGGTGAAGGTCAGTGATCTTCTCCTCGGGGATGCACTTGATGATCAGCTCCAGCAGCTTCGGGTGCCGCTGCATCCCCGTCCCGAACGCTTTCGCCACAGCCGTCAGCGTGACATCCTCATGCCCAGCGCCGGTTCCTCCGGCGATGAAGAGGTACTTGTGTACTGGACTCATCCTCCTTACCATGAACGCGATGACGTCGACGTCATTCTCGATCTTCATCACCTGCTTCAGCGCAATGCCCACGTTCTGCAGGGCTCCTCCAAGGATGTGAGAGTAGTCCTCTTCGATCAGACCGGACACAATCTCATCTCCGATGATCAGCACCGCTGCTGTGTCTCCTGCTGTGTTGGACCGCTGGCCGTCGGGCCCAATCGCGCTCTGGGTGAGAGCCTTGATCCTAGAGCCGTTCTCCTTGCTCTCGTCCATGAGGCTCCAAGCTGGAAAGTACTTGTCGAGTCTGGAGGCGTCGATTTTCTTCTCGTACTTCTCGCCGTAGATGTCTGCCCCCAGCTGCTTGTAGTTGCGGATCTTGAGCTCCTCCATCTCCGCGTACCTCTTCCCGAGGGAGGTTGTCGGGTCGAAGTACTCGTCCACCTTGGTCAGCAGCGGCTCCATGTTCTGTCGGAGGAGCGCAGGATTTCTGACCGTGTCAATGACGGACCCGATGGAGGTGTAACCTTCATCGTACAAGCTGCAGTACGGGAGCTGCAAACACATTCCACATTCAGAAGTACCCAAGAGATAACAAGGGAGCTGGACTCACCTCCAACGCCTGGATGAAGTCCCAGATATCTCGGTAGGACCACTCAAGGATGGGGCTGAACCGCATCAGTGAAGGCTCCTTGATCGTCGAGCTCCAGGTGCCGGGGATTCCGGGGTCACCTTCAAGTTTGAGCATATTCAACCTTGTCTCCAGCTTCAGGCGGGTGAGGGTCGAGCTGAGAAAGATAGGAGCGAGGTCCATCAGCTGGATGCCCGACAGGTCCCTGCAGCCAGGGTCCGTCCGCCTGCTGCCCATGATGATGCACCGCAGGCCGGTGGAGGACGAGAGGTAGACGAGCGCGTCGATGAAGTCTCTGGGGTTGGTGATGTGCATAGTCCATAGCCTGTTGAGCTTCTCGTCTGCGACCGTCTTGAGACCCTCATCGTACGTGAAGTGCTCGTCGGCAACTTGTCGGACGTACTGCTGCATCTCAGGGAACTCATTGTCAGGGTTCTGAAACCAGATGGGTTGGATGTGGGTGAAGCTGTGGGTGGGGTGAAGGTCGCACGCTTCTTTGATCAGGTGCATCAGCACTGTCGAGTCCTTCCCGCCATTGAAGGAGAGTGCGAGCTGACCGGGCTCGAACACGTCCAGGATGCGATCGATCTGCCGCAAGGTGTACCTGACTTTCTTGAAGGTGTTGGCGTTGCCCGGACCAGAGGAAGCAAGCTTCTGTAGCATCGGCCAGTGCTTGTCCTCAAACTTTCCGATCCCCTTGGCTGATTTCGTCCTATTGTCCAACCATTCCGTCGTGCTCACCCCGGGCATTGTCAGTTCAGCTTCGCTCAGTTGAGACATTTTCCGTCCGAAGACGTTCACATGATGACGGTCAGGAAAAATCACGGAGAAGCTCCGCCTGGAAGGAGCATTGCACGCTTGGTGCTTGGCTCTGCTGGTGATGCAAGAGGACAGCAACCTTCCTGCATGCACGAGCGACCGCATGCTGTCCAGACGCTGCGGCATGAAGAAGGCAAAGTTGTTGGACAAAGATACGTTAGCCCTTCATGCCTCAACGAATGTGCTTAAGATCGATCGTATTCGTTTCATCACTGTAGTCTTCCCATACCTGCAGTGACAGGTCAAACGGTTGTAGAAACAGCACAGTATGCAACAATCCAAGGGCGGGCCATCTAAATTTTCTTCTACCTACGTCTATCATTAAACTATATTACTGTATCAACACCTTGTGTTGTAATAGCATTCCCCTCATGATATTGTCATGTCACAATCCTCCTCTTCTTTCTCTCCTTCCCTTCTCCCCGTCTCCTCTGTCCTCTCCCGCTCTCTTTCTCCCCCTCTCGCTGTACTTTCTTCCCACTTCTTTGTTCCTCCATTTTCGCAAGGAGCCGCAAGACGAATTTGAGAAGACAGCAATTGTATCATAGGAAAATTCACTAGTGCTGTCGAGCTGCCCCTGGCTCGTTGCGCCCCTTACGGCATCGGGGTGAACCGAACGATCACAGGGACAGAGAAGAGAGGTAGGGAAAGATGAGGAGAGGAGAGGAGATGCGAGGAGAGAGATGAGGAGAGGAGAGAAGATGCAGAGGGAAGGGAACGGAGCAGGAGAAGGCCAATGCGAGGATTCGAGGAGACAAGTTTTGGCGAACCGAAGAAGGTGTAGGGGATGACAAGGCTGAAAGTAGGAGGGAAGGATGGGGTCAGCTGAGAGTGCAGGAAGCAACGAGATGATTCACTCTCAATACTCACTTAGCAGAGAGTCTCAGACGATCGCATGCTGCGCGTTCTCTCGTGAGGGGTCTTCTTACTCGTGCCCATTCAGGCTCCCATGGACTCGTTCGAGCCGGATGCTGGTAGCGTTGAACTTCACGACACTGCTGGAGCCAGCGAATGGGAGGACGCTCAGCACAACTCGATCGACGGGACGAATGAGGACGACGCAGACGTCATGGCGTGCCAGCAGCAGGAGCGACACGCTCCGCGCTTTGACTCGCACTTGTCACTGCACAATGCTGAGGAAGCGTTCTCGACCAGGAAGAAAGCGAAGCCTCGGGCTCCCAGGGTCAGGAAGTTCTCGTCGCTCGGGTTCCGCCTGCTGAAGCATGCGGTGATGAAGAGGAAGGCGGGCTCATGCTCGGTGTCGTGCGACTCTCAGCTCAGCCCGACAGACATCAACGACGCCATCGCAGCCGCCATCTCCCACTACATGCTGCATGAGCCGTCAGATCTGCAGTACCTGACCTCAGACTCCAGCAGAGACTTGTGTCTGGGAGGAGGACGAAACGCGTCCAAGCGGGAGATGCTTCGATCGCAAGGAATCTTCGATCATCTACAGAAGCTGTGCTCGGACGGCGCTGTCCCTCGAATCTTCGGAGAGCGCATGCCCTCCCTTGCCAGCACCTTGCAGACTATCCTAATCGACTACATCCTCACGGGCTCTCCCGAGGCAGCCCCATCCTGCAGCGCAACACAGCAGCCGCTGCTTGCTGCTGCCTCGCATTTTCCGGCTCCGTCCAGTGCGCATGTCTTGACAAGCTCTCTCAGGCAGTCAGCGAGCTCATTCTGCGCTCCTGGCGTGTCTGCGGAGGCCATGGAGCTGTCGAGCGCTGCTGAGGCTGGAGGCTACGCGAGCGTGCTGAAGACCAGCGCATGGCCGCGACCATCGGAGCATCGGCAGGAGACCAACCAGAGTCTGATACGACACTGCGGGGTCTCAGTACCTCAGCACGTGCTCGTGAAGATGCTCTCGGAGAACTCGGTTTAGGTCAACGACAGACTGACGCTCGGACTTGGATGTCTTCAACTTGTTTACTGTATCTTACATATTGGTGGTTGTTCTTGTTGAGTTGTATTTATACCTTATCGTGCCTTGCTTCATCATAGTCGCTGCCCATGGACATGTCTTCATCATGCGTCCGTTCTTGCTCATCGTCTTCACCCTCCTGCTGACTTACTTTCGTCTCTTCCACTTGCTCCTCTCCAACAGCACTACTCTCCTGTTCAACAACTGCGTCCGGGTCGACCAGTATGCCTTCCTGCAACGAGTTTCAGTGAGCAAAACCAGACCACAGACTTGTCTGCAAGTGACTCTACCTTGGAGAACTCATCCAACAGAATGTCGTTGAGCGTGTCTTCTTCTAAACCATTCATGGACAAGCCCGAGAACTTCCTGTAGATTACAAATTGCAGCAGCCATCGCCACAACGACAGCTTCTCATTTCTTGTGATGCTTGCCCATATCAACCTCGTCGTTGACGTATCAACCATGACGATGATCTTGGGTTTGCTGGGCCCCCATACCCTTGCAGTTGGTACGAACTGGTATTTCTTGAAATGGCGATTGAAATCGTTCTCGACTTCAATGCGCTTCTTCTTATGCCGCAGTACGAAGGCATCAAGGTTCTCAAGGTTGACATGTAAATCCGTTTGAATCTTGACGTCTCGGACCGGATCATGTCGTCGATGACGGTAAGCTCTTGCTAGAAGCACGAGGAACAGAGCACAAAACACAAGGTGCAACACGATGGTGAAGAAGGGGATCTTGTCAAGCTGAATCGCCCACTGCAAGGGGAAGTATGAGTTCGAGCTCAGCGGACTTCCGATGCTGCTGGTGGAGACGACGGAGAAGCCAGCGATGGTGGGAGAGCCGGTAGAAGAGTTGGATGACGAATCGATGAGGGCAGCGATCCCGAAGTAACGAGACCTTGCGGTGATGAAGCTATCGAGGAAGACCAGCAGGAACTTGAACGCGATGATCCCCAGCATGATCTCAAAGACGCTGGTCTGCTCTCTCTCAGAGATTGAGTACTGAATCATTCTCCCGGTCTCTTGCTCCAGCTTGAGGACGGTCCCTCTCTCCCGCTTGTTCTGAGCAGTCCGAAGGTTGACGCTGATGCTCCGCACCTCAGCTTTGTAGCAGCAGACAAAGCTGGTCAGGTCCTCGATTTGTCTCGTCAGGTTGTCGTGAGTCTTCTTGAGCTCGAGGAAGTCGTAGAGTTTCTGCCCGAAGTCTTCGAAGGGAGAAGGAGGGACGTGGACCTTCTTCAAGTTCCCGCTGAGGTTGATCATGATCTCTTCCAGGCACGCGATGTCCTCCGACGTCTCGTTCCTCAACTGCCTCGCCTCGTCGAAGTGGTTGGGGTTCGGGTCTCGGACGTTTGTGAGCATTCGAAGCCTCTGCAGGTCGCTCTGGATGTTAGAAGTCCATTTGTACAGCACGACTGCGAACTGATTCATGGCGATCAGCTCGCAGAGCATGAAGATCAAACGATCGTATCTTCTCAAACGGTCGCCTACCACGAGCATTCCCCTCTGTGCAACCACGATAAAGTTGTTCTTGTTCCCGAAATCTCTTGCTCTGACCAGTTGTCCTATCACCTGCGACATCTCATTCTCATACTCGCCATGATCGAGGTAGCCGTCTGCTTTGAGCAAGGGATCAATCTTGGAGGTGAAGAGCAACACGAATCTCGATCGAGAGCTTGAGTTGCCCCAGAAAGCGCTCTTCAGCATGTGATTCTGAGCGGTTGTCAAGAGGTTTTCCATCATCTCAGAGACGTCGACTTGCAAGTCTGTTAGCAGTCTGCTCAACAAGTCCATGGAAATATCGTCGGCCAATCGGTTCTGAATCGCCTCCACCCTGGCTCCGAAGGCGACGATCCCATTTGCGTTGATGTGAGCAGCAACTTCTTCGACCTGGCAGATCCCCTCATCGTTCTTGAAGCTGCAACATCATCACCATCAGGTATTCGTCTATCGAAACAAGCGCTGACCCTATCTCTGCTTCGAAGTTAAGACAATCGTTCTCTTTGTACTCCAAGATGTTGATCAAAGGAACGTCTTTCCCCTGCGAATGATCTCATTGGTGAGAATTACAGCTTTTGAGGAGCTTACAGTCTTTGATAAAATCCCACTTCCGACTTGTTGAAACATGTTTGTAACTCTCCGTTTATGGTTCCTAGTGACAGCATCTTCAGAGGGTTGAAAACGAAATGCAAAACGTCGGTTACCCCTGACGTACATCAAACTTTTCCAGGAAGACTTCTGCGAAGAATGTCATCACGCGTGAAATGAGTCCTGTGTTGATGACAACCGAACTCGTTCGCTGACATTGGAACCCATTCCATCAGTATCGCGTGCACCTGACGAGCTTCACACAAGAGGAAACAAACTGACACACAGCTGACCTGAGAGAGGATCAAAGACTCATGTAGATCCCCTTGCACTTGCGACTTGCCGTTCCCAGATTCCCAAGCCTTCACAGAGAGGTGAGGAGGAAGACATAGCGTCAGCCATCTACCCGAGTCGAGTTGTCCCTCATCTGAGCTTCGCTTCTTCTTAGCGACCAGGGTAGAAACCTTCGAGTGAAACTTGAGAAAAGCGCGAGGAAAGAGCTCGATCTCACGGGCTAGTCACGTAGGAGATGTCTTCAATGAACAGAACCTGCCCAAGACATGAGATAACGCATCACATCCTTACAAGTCAGCTTCTACCTCTGAACGTTCTTCGAAGCCATTTTCAGTCACAATCAGGAAACCTTGCTCGTCAATTATGACGTGTTTCAGATCTCGAACCGGATGCCTTCCATTTCGAACATCAACAACGCGATATGATCAACAACGCGATATCATCGAGTGTAAATTCTTGCACTCACATATCCTTTAGGAAAGCTCTCATATGGCCAGGCTTTGAAAACAGAAACTCGTCCACCTGTGTTTGCAGGATTGAGGTGAAGAAGAGCAGCAGAATCGTAAAACTCACATCATATCGTAGGAGCGGCGGAAGAGCATCCAACAACCTCATTCCCTTATGGGAAGCTTGCAGTGCCTTTGACGAGGTAGATCACTAATGATGAATGGAAAGGTGTTGCCCTTACAATGGTAGAGAGTAGATTCGTTGATGGCAGTCGCAAGGTATTCAAGAATCCTTGCTCTGTCAGATCATAGATAGCGCTTCGTCCCTCTTGGCTTCTGTAAAGCCTTCAACGTGGAGAGACGCGCTGAAGTCTCTCACATATTCATGTATTGACGCACACATCTGACTGCCTCCTCCTCTATGATCGGCTGTCTGCATTCCTCGTCACATCTTTCCGCGAGACGCATCATGTTTGCACATGGTAGATTCAGGCGCATAGTCGAAGTCGAGCTTCCTTGCAAGGATCTGACAAGTTGTTCAGGTCGTGTCGCTCATGGCCAATCGCGAAGCCTTTACCCCTTCGAAGATCAAGACATCCAGTTGCAGCTGCCGCATCCATGTTTCCTGCCATGCGTTCAGATGGACATGATATCGAGAACTTCACACGTCACGTTACCGGCTGATTGTCTTTGATGGATGCCCTTGCATAGTGGGAGACTATATACAAAAGTTTGGCCTGATGACTCAAGTCTCAGATGATACAACCGAGCAGCACAGAGACAACAGAAAATGATCATAATGCAGAGATGTGAGGAATAAGTGAAACTTGTAAAGAACAAGAGTCCTCATCCTTACATGTTGGAAACTGATCTTGTAGGTGATTCCATCCCTATCCGTCCAAACCATGACATCTTCAGGCGGCAGATCGTCCGCCATGCTTTTTGAGAAGGAGGAGGGAGGAGGAGGAGGAGGAGGAGGAGGAGCTACAGGGGGGACGTGAGGCAGACTTGGCGCGCCTTGTCCTCTTTCCCTTCCACCATGTCTCGTCAACAACCCGCCATTGCTGTTTCAGAATGCGTTAGTAGGTCCCGCATCTTTCAAATAGTATTTCAAGTCCCCCTCAGATCAAACAATAGCTGGAGCTCGAGGCACTAAAGTCTGTCCTGCCGGCACAGATCGGGTCACAGCACATGTTTCCTTTGTGATGTGAAGACAAAAACTGTGATGCTGTTCCTTGCTTGCTCCTCTCTTGTACTTATCATCCACCTTGATGCTCCACCTTCATATCATCCACCTTGATGAAGGTGGAAGAAATGATCCTTTCTAAAGAACATTCTCTCGTTTTGATGAACCAATCAAGACGACTCTCACAACTTACCTTTGAGTAAAGAGGTCACAGTAACCTGGTAGTCAGTGACAGCCTCGTCACTAGGTGGCTGCGGGGCCCGTGGCCACCGAGACGGCAGCCGGCAGGGGCCCCGCGTCCCCCCCGGCCGTGATTCACAGAGTCAGCCTGGGCCAAGCCGGGGCTCACAGTCACCAGCGACTGAGACCGGCTAGCTGGCAGTCCAGGATCAGGACAGACGTGGAGGAAATGGGAATGAGCGAGGGAGCGACGGTGATGGCGAGGATGATGCTTGTTGCGGTAAGTTGGTAGAAGATGGCAGGCAGAGCGAAGGAGCAAGATGTTTGGAGGAGGCAAGGGAGGAGGCAAGGGAGAGAGAGAGGGCAGGGGAGGGAGGAAGCATAGAGGGAGAGAGCAAGGGAATAGGAGGAACGGGAAACTGGTAGAGGCGCGATCGTAACGATGTGAGTTGCAGTTGATTCTGCAAGGGATGGTTCCAACTTATGGTATGATAAAAGAGCTCACGGAAAGCAACTTTTACGAGGTGATTGATGGCTCAAACAACGTCTTGGTCCAATTTTATGCACCATGGTATCTCACAAGTGAGCCAGTCCTCGGTCTGAAAGGAAAGGAATTCTCAGGTGCGGACACTGCCGGCTCATGGAGGAGCACTACGAAGATTTGGCCAAGTTGTACAAGGTCAGAATTGAAAGCTGCTTGCTGCAGTAGTTAAAAATCCGCCCAGCCGGTAGCAAACACCATTATCGCCAGGATCGATGCGGACCAGTACCGCTCTGTCAGAGAGTGAGAGTGTCTCCTGCTGTCTTAGTGAGGAAGTGTGTGATGCGTCAACAGCAAATTCGAAGTGAACGGATATCCCACGATTAAATTCTTCCCGAGAGGAGCAAAGATTCCGTCGGATACTTATATGGGCGAACGAGATGCTGAGACCATGGTGACTGACTTGAGAACTCTTCGATTTTGAAGTTTTGATGTGGTGAAAGGTGAAATATCTCAACTCTCAGACAGGAAATGCTGTCAAGTACTTGAAACCTGCCCGGGTAAGGAGAACAGGCGAAAACCAGCTCTCTGTTGATTACCTGTCCCCGCAGAAGACTGTAGATTTAGATGACAACAGCCTTCAAACCCTGACTCTTGACAGTGGAATGTTCATGCTAATCAAGTATGTTCATGTATGCTCGGGTCCCTTCGGTAGATCCTCACCATCTTCACGTGCAGTTTCTACGCTCCATGGTGTTCCCACTGCAAGCGACTCATGCCGGAGTTTGAGAGGGTGGCGGTGGCGTTCCGGCATGAAAGCTCGGTAAGCAGCGTGTGTCTTGGTTTGTCGGTGATCAGATGCAAGGTGGTGATAGCCAAGTTCAACGCTGACAGCAATCTTGAGCTGGCGAAGAAGGTATGTGGCCCTGCAAGAAGACAGTGACTGATGTCGGGCGGAGCAGCACGGAGTAGAGAGTTATCCTACAATCAAGCTTTATTCCAACGCTTCCAAGGTCAGATGCTTCAAACTGATCCTCCTTGTGTCCCTCCCCTTGCTGACGTGCAACCAGGGGGGAATTGTGTACGATGGCGGAAGGTGCAGTGGAGTAGAGGAGGCAAGGCAAAGCTGACTGTTGCTGGAAGGGATGCCGAGTCGATGATCGATTTTGTGAACCGCCATGCTGGGACGCTGCGGAAGTTGGGGGGAGGACTGAGAGAAGAGGTAGACGCTTGCTGCTTGCCTGTGCTGGTCGGTGAAGGGCAACTGGATGCAGGCGGGGATCGTGGCGTCTCTCGACCGTCATGTTGAAGATTTCCTAAGAGATCGAGACCCGAAACAAGTGCGACTTGCTGACATCGACGGCTGTCACTGACTTGAGCTCAAGATTGCAGCAGCACAAGAACAACTGGAGCATCTCGTAGGGTAGCGACGAGGCTTGTCAGCCTTCTCAGTGATTGCTGCAGGAAGCTCCTCACGCGCAGGATGGGTCTTACTACATCCACCTGATGCAAAGAGTGCTTGAGAGGGTAGGCAGATGACCATTTCTTCCTTGCTTTTCTCATCTTCTCGCTCAGGGGGAGGAGTTTGTGAAGGAGGAGCGAGAGAGGCTGGCAAGGTGAGGACGGTGATCTGTTAGTTTATGAAGCTTACAGGGGCGTGTAGAGTTGCAAGTGGGTCGCTCACCCCTCGCAAGGTCTGTCTGCGTCTCCTCCTCCTCCTCCTCCTTCCTGATTTGTCTTCAGCTCACGGAGATGCACAAGAAGCTCCACGTGCTCGACGAGTTTCTTGCCAAGCTGGAGGGGAGGAAGCAGGGAGAGTGAGCGTCTTTTCTTCGCCTTCCTGTGCTAGTGTACATTCTCAGCTTCTCCTCGCCCTCTTCGATCGTCTCCGTGGGTCCTCGTTCTCGTCGTTGAACTCGATCCGCTTTGAGGTCTCCTCCAGTTCTCCCCTCCTCTTCTCTGCCATCCCTTTCCCCGCGCTCTTCGCCGCGCTCTGGTTCAGCTTGGGGATGGAGAGCGGAGTTGCCGCCTGCTGTGAGCGGCTCGTGCCCGGAGAGCAGAGTAACGAGCTGCCGGTCGCTTCCCCGCCGCCTCCCGCCGCCTCCTCAGCACGCGGTCGAGTCTCCTCCAGACGGAGGTCGTAGAGGAGCTCTGAGGCGAGCTGCCGGTTGGACGCGAGGATGTCGTCGATCTCGGAGCGGAACTCGCGCAGGAGGGAGGAGAAGCAGCGCATGAGGTCGCCGAGGAGGCTCGAGTGCTGCTCCTCCAGCACCACCTTCAGCCCTGCCAACGTCGGCACCACGTTCTGCATCACGTTCTTCTTCACCACCTGGCTCAGCAGCTTGTTCCTTGCTGCTGTTGCCGCTGCCTGCGCTACCTCCTCCTCCCGCTCTTCGTCTCCTGCCTTGGTCTTCTGCAAGGCCGAGAGTTTGATCTCCTTGCTCGAGAGCAGGTAGAGTGCGTCTCCCAGCACGTCCTCCGCAGCATGCAGGCCCATGGTCCCGTCGGCGACGGCTCCAAGCACCTCCTCGCAGAGCTTGGCGGTGATCTGAAACTTCTGCTCGTCGGAGCAGTGGGCGAGCATGAGAGTGTAGATCTCCCTCCTCCTCCTCTGGTTGTCTCCCTTGCCCGGGAGGGAGAAGCGAGTTCTCTCCTCGGGGGAGGCCTTGAAGCGGTTGAAGGACTCGTGGGAGGTGAAGTCGTTGAGGACGAAGAGAGATTCAACCAGATGGGCCGAGCAGATCTGGTGCCCGCTCTTGGGAAGCAGCACGTTGAACAGTTGCTTGCGCGCCTGCTCCATGGTCACATGTTGAAAAGAAGAGACGAGAGAAAGTCAGGAGAAAAGGGAAAAGGGAAGAGAAAATGAGGTGTTGGGAGGATAGGAGGAGGAGGAGGAGGAGGAGGAGGAGGAGGAGGAGGAGGAGGGAGGTGCGTAGGTAGATACGTAGGGAGGGAGAAGAGGGAAAGGAGGATGTTGAGAAGGACCTGGTCGCGGATGACTTCATTTTCGTCGACGAGAGCGAGGATGTAGCGGAAGAAGAGAGCGCCTTTCCACTTGACGTAGTCGGTACAGAGCAGAGTGGTGATGAGCGTCTGCGATTCCAGTCAGGCACGGAGAACACGGATAGAAGCAGAGGAGGGCAACGATAGATGAGCGAGGTGGTGAGGGAGGGGAGGAGAGGGAGGGAGGAAGAGGGAGAGAGGGAGGCTGTGGTGTGAAAGAAGAAGCAAGGGAAGAAAGAGGGGGTGTGGGGCAAGAGGAGTTGCAAGGAGGAGCAACCAGCGCGTGCTGACGAAGGATGGCGTTAGGGTCCCGAAGGCAGGAGGCGAGCTTGGAGACGTGAGGGTCGACGAGGGAAGTGAAACGGACGCAGAGGTCGGAGAGAATGACGAGGAGATTGTTGCGGATGACCGGAGAGCTCGTCAGCTGCAGCTCGCGGAAGAAAACTGAACTCATCCTGTGAAGAGCAGTCAGGCGAAGAAGAGGAGAGGAGAAGAGAGGGGGGGGAGGCGTTCTAGGAGAAGCAGTCGGAGGGAGAAGATTAGGCTGATGGAAGATAGGAGGAGGAGGAGGAGGAGGAGGAGGAGGAGGATGAGGATGAAATGAAAGGAGATGTTCTCACTTGGAGGCAAGGGATGCATCCTGCATGCACATCTTTCCCAACGCTATGAGGACGTGCGACTGCAGCTCCTGTAGGGCGAGGGCGGAAGGAGGGAGGAAGGAAGGTCAACGTCAGCTTGCTAATCCCATCCTCCGTCCTCTCACCTGTTCTGCTCCATCCTCTTCCTCCTCTCGCACTTGGTTGGCAGGCCTCAGCAGCGCTTGGATCGTGTTGCTCAGCGTGGTGGAGATCTTCGCACCCTCGAGCGCCATAGCTCCCACCACAAACACCGTGCGCACCATCCGCTCCTCCTCCTCCCCCTCCCTCCCTTTCGCTCCCTTCAGCCTTCGCTGCACAAACGGCTGGAGGCGCTGGAGGCTAGAGTTGCAGATCCTTTGTGCCCAGCTGGGGTCGAGCTGAGGGTTGCGGGTTTCCCGCCTCGACAGGCTGAAAGCTGCCTTGCACTGCCAGCACAATGAGCTGAGAAACTTGAGGAGGAGGGAGAAGGTGGAGAGAGCCTGGGAGAGACCCATGAAGGGCAACTGAAAATGGAAGCAGAGGGAGAGGGATAGAGGAAGGGGGAGAGAGAGACAGGAACAAGGAAGGAGAGACAGAGGAGGAAGGATGATAAGGGCGAGGTATAGAAGATCAGAGCGAGGGGAGGAGACAGAAGATGGTGGACAACCATGTCATGGAGCAGCTGGGGAGGGCTGTCAGCATGCTTGAGGTGCAGCTGGAGCGATTCGAGGAGGGAGGCAACACAATCGTCTGAGAGATGCGCTGCCGCCCTCGTAGCAAGACGGAGAGCTGCTCCCTGCCGCACAGGACAACCTGTGGGCAGAACCGATGAGAATGAGGATCAGGAAGAGGATCAGGAAGAGGATCAGGAAGGTGAGGACTCGGAGGAGGGGGGCGGAGTGAGGAGGAGGACCTTGCTGGTAGGTGTGTAGGAGGACTGAAGAATCGAGTCCTGCGGGCTGCAGGCATGCGATTTCCTCGATGAGTCTCCACATGGTGACATCTTGCTCGTCGTCAGAGCTCGCAACTCTCTCCTCTTGCTCCTCACCGATTCTCGTCTCTTCCTCCTTCTCCTCCTCGCTGATCGCCTTCAGCCGCGTCATCATCTTCCTCGTCAGCCCTGACGGCAGCCCGCTGGGCTTCCTCCTCCCCAGGATGCGGCAGGCGACCTGGAGGAGAGCGACCTGTTCCTACGCGAGAGTCAGAGGAGGAGGAGAGGACAGAAGCTGCCAACGTCGGTGGAGAGGAGGAGGAGTGCGCGGGTCGCCCCTTGCATGGGGTGAGAGCTCGGCTGGTTGAGGGGATGCAGGAGGAAGAAGCAGACAGCCTCAAGAATCCTTTCCTGGACCGTTGGCTCCTGTTCTAAGATGAGGAAGAATGAAGCACAGAAAGGAGGATCAGGAGAGGAAAGCAAGAGCAGGTAAAAGCGAGGAAAGGAAGAAGGGAAAGAGGAGCAGGAGCAGGAGGGAGGGAATGTTAGAATTGGGACAAGACCTGATCCTTAACAAGAGGGAGGCAGCTGCTAAGCCAGCAAGAGCAGAGGGCAGGAACCACCGACTTCTCTTGCTGTGCTGCCTCCTGAAGGAGGTTTGTGACCGAGTCCAGAGCTTGCTTCCGCACTAGCACCTGCGCAAACAAATCATCTCCTCCTCCTCCTCCTCCTCCTCCTCCTCCTCCTCCTCCCCCTCCCCCCCCCCGTTTTCCCTCCCCGCCTTTCCCTCCACGCCTCCCCAGCACGATAGGATCACCGAGATGTCTGTGCATCGCTTCGTGAGCAGCTTCACGTCCTGCAGCAGAGAGCTTTCTTCCTCTCCAGCCTCGATCCTGTGCCTCAACAATACCTCCAGCACCTGCGGAGTCCATCGGCTTCGAGGAGATGTGAGGAGGGAGGGGAGGAGAGGTAGAGGGAGTAGGAGGATGGGGGACCTGCACGGAGGACTTGCGGACAAAACTTTTGCTATCTTCACTTCTCCTCTTCATGATGTCCATGAGTGAGTCGAGCTGCAACTTGACCTCTTGCTCGGAGGTCTGATTGAGATCTCTTGACATTGTCGACAAGTCTCCTGCTCCCTGCTCCTCCTGCATGTGTTGCAGCAGCTGCCCAACGATATCAACCCCGTGCCTGCCCCTCCCCCCCCCCTCGTTCTCACCGCATGCAGCAGCTCCTCTCGCTCCATCACGCACGCAAGGTTGGCAATCGCCTTGGCTCGCACTGATGGCATCTTGTCCGAGCATCGCTGACAGCAAGAAAGTTGGCAGAGGAGGAGATGAGAGAAAGACAGCAAGTTAGAGGAGGAGGAGAAGAAGAGAAGAAGAGGAGAAGAGAGGAGGAGAGAGGAGGAGAAGAAGCGAGGAGGAGGAGAAGAAGAAGCGAGGAGGAGGAGGAGAAGAGAAGAGAAGCAGAAGAAGAGAGGAGGAGGACAAGGGAGGAGGAGGAGACGAAGATAGGAGAAGGAGGAGAAGGAGGAGGCGATAGGAGGAGGAGATAGGAGGAGGAGAAGATAGGAGAAGGAGAAGAAGAGAGAAGGTAGAGATAGGAGGAGGAGAAGATAGGAGAAGGAGAAGAAGAGAGGAGGAGGAGAAGGAGGAGGAGAAGATAGGAGAAGGAGAAGAAGAGAGGAGGAGGAGGAGAGAGGAGGAGAGAGGAGGAGAGAGGAGGAGAAGGAGAACCTGCAGCAGCATACGGAGCAATGGCGCGTTGACTTCCCGGAAGTGCTGACTTCTTCTTCCGTCCTTCTCCTCCGAAGGGCCTTCATCACTCTCTCCGCCGGTCTTTCCCATCCTTGAGGGTTACTAGAAGTCAGTGCCACCCTCAGCCTTCTCCTCTCCTCTCATCTCACCCCTCTGACAGCAGCAAGCTCCCTGCCACCTCCACCGCAAACATCCTCGTCGACTGCTTCTCGTGCCTCGACAACTTGCACGCAAACCTGCAGCCGGAGTTTAGCAAGACGGTTTACCCACTTGCCTCTTGCACCCTCCAGCCCCCTTCTCCTCCTCTGGTGTCTTCGCCTCTTTACCTCACGTAGCAGCTGAGGAACTGCTGCCCTCCTCTCGCTGCCATGAGCTCGAGGATCCTGCAGATGATTCCAGCCACCTGATGCAGGAGGAGCGTTGAGAGGCAGGGAAGGAGGAGAGGAGGGGGGGGGCAGGGAGACTGACCTGGGCTCGGATAGGAGCTCTGTCAATAACCCTCACACTTGCTTGCTGACAGAGGACGATGAGGTTGGCGAGGAGCAGTCCGAGTCCTCGATCCTCCCCCCCTGCTGCAGCAGCTCTTTCCTCGCCTCTGTCTTGTTCCTCAGCTTGCTTCTCCCCTTGTCCATCGACTGCGCTGCTTCCTTTTCCGTTTCCTTCTTCGTCTGGACTGTGCTTCAAAACATCTGACTCTTGAAGACAATGATCGACGATGTTGACGATAGAAGAGTTCTTTATGCAGGCTAGTTAGGAAAACAAACAATTGAGAATCGTTTAGAAGACAGTCAGATATCAAGAAAAAGCCAGAGTGCATCATGACAATATCATTACGGCATGAAAGATTACCGTGTTGTTTGATAGCGCTGGTTTCAATATCCAAGGTAGAAGCTGCTTGATCACAGACTGCAATCAAATCACTTACATGCTCAACTTCGTCCTCTTCTCCTTCCATCCTCCCTTTCTTTTGCTTGTTTTATCTAATGTTCACTCCCCTTCTCTTTCATCGTTGGATCTCCTCATCTCCATCTCCTCTCCTTCTCTTCCCGTCCCATCCATCAAAGACTTCTGAGTGCAACCTTGCTAGTCGTGTCTGCATGTCCGTGTTTCGAGCCAAGAAGATCGACAATGCAGGCGATCGCATCCGCCTGTCGACTACCACCGCATGTGATAGCAACGTGTGTTGAGATCTTCCCCGAGAGTCAAAGAGATACAGAGCACAAGTAAGATCTTACCTCAGCAATCAATTCGTGTGTCTCCATCATCGTCTGCAACGAGACATGTTCGACGAACATTCGAGCTTGCTTGAAGGCTTGATCCCAACAATGCTCGCTGTTCACAAAAGAACCCCCCCGCACCCTATCCTCGATCATATCGTCATCTTCTTCGTCCTGCGATTAGAATCATGGCAGATTATCACTAGGTAACACTCTCAACATGCTCATCCAAGCTCTCATCCATAGCGACGGCTCTTCTCTTCCTCGTCTTCGTTTTCTTCTCTTGCTTCTCATTGCATGGTTCCGCTCCAAACATCAAGCTCTTCAGCATGTAGTGCATCGCAAACTCATCATAGAAGTTGGATCGAGATCCAGGAATGCGCATCAAGCAAAGATAGAGGGCAGCAGACAAGTGAGCAAGGTCGAGATCACTCTTCCCTTCCTCTGCATTCTTCTGGAACTTTTGTGTTCCCGACTGAAGGTCACATGTCAAGGTGGTGACTCCAAGACCATGCTCAGCTACCTTGCAGATGTGATGCAAGAAACTTCCTAGCAGCTTCGGGTCCACCGATTTCCTCACAGCATTCCATATCGACGATGAAACTTCCGATGAAGCTAGTGTTTCAGCAGTGGTCAGAATGCTTGCAAGCACTTGGTGGAGGTCATTCATCAAAGACGCCACATGCCGATCCAGACTGAAAGTGAAATGGATATTTTCTAGGCTGAAATCATCTCCTTCTTCCTCCTAGCTTGCAGTTCAGCATGAATTCAAGAACAACCCCGCTTGCAACCTGTAGTTGTTCCAGTCGAAGGCTTGAGATTTCGTTTTGCAGGTCTTGAAAGATGCTGTCATGGTTCGCTTCCTCCATCCCTGCTCAGTTCCACAGCTAGTGCCTGTCAAGACATCGAAATATCATTCAGCGACACTGACATTTTCAGATATCTCAACGCATCTTGAAATCATCTACTTCGATCAGATCCACCTGGTAACTACATCCCAGGCACTGAAAAGAAATTTGACATCTTCTTTTGCTGGAGCACTCTGGAGTCATACTAAGTTTGCATTCCAAACTCCTGCTACCATAACTCTACTCCTTGCTTCGCTCTCCCGCCCCCTCCCTGCATCTAGCCACTGTCTACACGCCATGGATTCGCGGCGTGGTGGGGATTCAATTCAAACTCATTTCTTTGTTCTTGGAGTTCGTGTGTGAGCGGGGAAGGGGGCCGCAAATATCCCCCACCCCCAATGTTTCGATTCATACTACCCCTTGCAACTCTAACCCCCTCATTATATATCATTTTGTATTGAAACTACCCGGTACTTCATCACCCCACCCGTTAGAGATGCAAAACATTCCCTAGTAGCTAAGAAACCTCGGCAATAGGAGAGGAGAGGAGAGGCGAGTGGAGAGGAGAGGAGAGGAAAGGAGAGGAGAGGAGAGGAAAGGAGATGAGAGGAAAGGAGATGAGAGGAGTAGGATGAAGGGGAGGGGAGGAGAAGGAATTGCCTGTGACCAGGTTCGAGGGAGGAAGAGCAGATGGGCCGCAAGAATTGAAGGGGAGCAGAACAGAGTGAAGGAAGAGAAACAAAGAAAAATGAGAGAGGTGGAACGGGAGAGATGAATATTAGAACAGTAAAGATAAAGATCGAAGCAAATGAGAAAGTATGGAAACACAATCATTTTTGTTTTTTTTGCAGGGTTAAACCCCTGTCTTCTGCTTACTCTTCCCTTTGCCTTGATCTTTCAGGTTTCCTCCCTTGCCTTTCGGTTTCCATTTCTCTTAAAATTCAGCGTTTTCTGGGACTAGTAAGAGATTCTTTGATGCTACCAGGTTCAGAGGAGATGGTAGCAAACGAGGAGGCCCATCGGCCATCGACTGATCACTCGGTCACTTTCAATGAAGAGAACTTGAAGTCGACAGAGCACAACCAACCAGGTGAGCTCGGGGATGGAATAAGGGTCGGGCGAGGCCTCTGTGAAAGACTCCCTCTAATCTGCCGTTGAATCTAGGATGCGAGGAAGAAGCATCGATTGAGGAGCAGACAGAAACAGATGCAGAAGAGAACGCCAATCACCTCAGTGCTGGAGAAGATGAATCTGACAACGATGAGGAAAGTGAGGGAAGCAACGACGGGCAACAACTTCAGCAAAATGCAGAGATGTCAAATGATGTTGGCAGTAATCTACGCACGAATGAAGAACTGTGCGGCCCGCGCATGAGCACGAGTACCAATGGCGAGAGAGTTATCAAGAGGAAAAGGCCGAAGAGAACTTTCTTGAGCACCACGAGACAAATGAACTACAAACGAAAATCCACCAAGCAATCGCTGAGGAAGTCACCTGTTGGAGGGAGTGCGGAAGGCAACTCGTTAGAAGAATTTGCTGACACTGTAATGAGAAACGGCTCGGCGATGGCTCATGAGAAGCACACCATCTCTGGAGTTCATGAAGTCAATGTTGAGAATGGTCTGCCGTGCTATTCCTGTGGTGAAGGACCAAACTGTCCGAACTCTTTCTTTTCCGAATTTTCGAGTCGGTTCAAGCCAACCAGCACCATGGATGGGATCGGGGTCTGTTTGCAGGCTACCTCTGACATCCCAGCAAACACATGGATATGTGGGCCTTGTAAAGGCGAGGCGTACAACTGCTCAGTCTCGTCCAAGACAAGGTCAGAATCGCTTGAGGATTCGATCTTCATTCGGCGATTTGCAACAAACACGCTCTTTCAGTGCGTGTTCAGCCGCAAAATATCAGACCAGACGCTTCATGCCGGTTACTATGTCAACCACACATGCCAACCGGATCGTGTAAACTGCAAACTTTTTGTATGGAGGATCAATGGACACTGGAGATTCGGCTGGAAGACCACAAGGTTGTATTCGTTATGGTCATTACTGCGTTACTTGCTGACTCCTTTGTAGAGCAGTGCGTCAGCTCGAGGTGATGTGGGGTGACTACGAAGAAAACATTTCCTTTGAATTGTGCTATTGCAACTACTGTGGAGGGTCTCCCATCGTCCCTCGATTTACAAGTTTTTTCGGCTTTCCTGTGAGCAAGAAAGCAAAGTCCGTCCAAAAAACAGGTCCTCCTGACAGCTCAGCAAAGAAGCGTGAGATTTGCTCTCAAAATGCAAAGAAAAGGGTACGAGACGGTGCAGGAAGATTTTTGAAGAAATCAGAACAGATTCAGAAGAACACGAAACGTTCCCCCAAGAAAACGAAGTCTCCCTTGCTATCCGGCCGTCGAATGCTTACCAACAAAGCGACTAACGTGGCAAGAAACTCCGATGTCGACCGGTCGATTGACAGGTTCAGAGACAAAGTTCGCAGGCTCAACCAGCTGAGTGAGGCGGACGGAGTAATAACTTCCACCTCGACAAGGACACGCGAGACTGTAAACGATGCTACAGCTTACACGCTAAGATCCTCTGGCGTGCAAGATGCTCTCACAAGTCTGCCTGAACCCTCCATCCGACCTCGCTCGCGTAACCGGAATGGACAAAGAAGCCCAAGCCCACATGAGGCAGAGGATAGGGCGATGGAATTCGATGTGGATGAGCCCAGTTCTCTCCGACGAGGACAAGCAGAACAGAGGAGAAACCAATACACATCGTCAACTTTTGCTAGGCAGCCATCTCGACAGACAAATGCTGAGGATCATGGGAGGGAAGAAGCGGATTCTTTGCGTCAGTCTAACGTCCCAGTGGATCAAGAGCCTGAGGCATCGCCTGGACAATCATCCCTACATTTTGCAAGAGAAAGTGCAAATCTCTGTGAAGGCGAGGCACAAGCAGTGTCTGCGGATGGTGAAGGGATGGCAAGGAGCTTCTCTTCCCTCCGAGAGGAGGCTGTGAGGACAAGAAATCGCAGGCTTGCTGCTGGTTCAGAACAAAGAAGTGCAGCAGGAGGCCAGCCTTCTATCGCTACTGGCAGGCCGCGTGCTAACCATCCAGCAAGCAGAGCAGAGCACGGTCCACAAGCTGAAGGCTCCTCGGTTACATTTGGAGCTGCAGCTTCTGCTTCTGCACCAGCAGATTCTTCGGATCGTTTCACCGGACCAGCAATGCCGGAGGAGGGAAGGTTTGCGAGGAATGGGTTTCCCTCTGCCTCCTCGGCTTCCGACTCTAGGGCTGGAGGGGACCCCAGCAGCGAAGAGTGGAAAGAAATCATGCTCAATACCAGCGTTGCTTTGCGAAATTGGACGAGCAGCCTCAACCACGCCATGGAAATGCGACGCCAGTGATACCACCTGATCCCTTTGAAGCAGCTGACTATCTTCATTGCCACGCAGCCGGCACTGACCATGAGGATGATTGGGAAGCGACATCAGGAAGAAAAGAGTTCTAAACAATGTCTAATGGATATCAAAACAAAGTTGCTGTCACGGCTTATTAAAAGATGACAGCCCCCATGTTGTCTCGCTGGCTGCCAAACTTGATGGATCGCATGCCAGCCGTGCCAGTCCGTGGCAGATAGCGCTGAGATAACAAAACTCTCCTGTAAACCAAGACGACCCTTACGTGTCGCAGTGTTGGTCTGGACCGTCGGCTGTGCTTGTGCTTGGGTTTCACATCCTAGCATACAGTCTATCTCTCATGTGCTCCTCAATCCTTGTTTCGTGACGGCGTGCCGCTGATTAAACTCGGTCTTAGTGAGCAAACTTCACTGAGGCTTGCACAGACAATTTACTGGGGCTCTTGAAACGGCCTGCCTGGCCCTGGCGCGGCTCCGACGGCCGCTCAGGCTAGACTCCGATCGGACCGTTCCCGGAGCCTCCGAGTCCGAGCCCCGGCGCTCCCGGACCGGGCCCGGCGCCAGCGGCCCGGCGGGCAGCGGGCCGCCGGGCCCGGTGGAATCAGATTCCTCAGGCAATGCCGGGTATACCAACTAGTGAAACGAATCATGGCGGGGGGGCGGAAATGGAAGTGAAAGGAGAGGACAGCTGTTGTTTGAGAGGAGGTGTGAGAGAAAGACGAAGGAAAGAGCAACTACTCTGAAACGAAGAGTGTGATAAGAAGAAACAAGAAACAATGGTTCGGCTTAAAAGCCGATACCTTATTGTCGAAATGATCTGGAGCAGCACGAACCAAGATTGTGCTTGTCCATCGGGAGTATCGAAAGGCGTTGTGATGCAAGCAGTCAAAGACTCGGTCCTTCGGAATTTCGGCGATGTGGGGATGGCTCGACTCCAGAATAGGATGCAGAGTATTGCTATACTTGATACACACTTGGACGGTACTGATGCTCATTCTCCTCCTCAGTCAAATATTTTAATCCGCTTGCCAACATCTTCATCATCCGTGAGCCAAATTCGTAGTGTGAAGATGCAAGATCGATTGAACAGCTTCTTCATTGCAGGGTCAAATCGAGCCTGGCACTCGATGCTTTGGAATGCGATCTTTTTCATTAGACACGTGAGGATTAAGCAAATAGGCCAGATCAATGACTTGCGGTTTCAATCCAGATAAAGGATCATGACGTCTGTTGCATGGTTCATCGATCAGTTGCCATGCCAAGAAGGTGAAGGATGAAAGCACTGCTGTACATTGAAACGATTCCAAGTTGTCACAAAGAAGCTCTTCCCATCATTCAGGCGAAGCATAAAGCTACAAGGTATGTTTGCATAACGAGCCGACACATGCATGATCATATTTCTACCATAGAGCTCTCACAAAGATCAAAGTTGAAGAAAAGGTAAGCCGTGTTCAGCCCCGTCCCAAGTGAAATTTAACACACGCTAACGCTCTGAACTTTCCTGATGGATTACAGGAGTTTGATGCCGAAGCACAACAGCACGAAGAGGCGCTCCTTGCGATGGACTTCTAGTAACGGCGAGGTGAAACTTGGCACGTGTGGGTGCTACACGCTTGTTCATGCATGAGATAAGGGAGGCGCGGTGACTTGTAGGAGCAATTGACATGAGAATATCAGCTCATAAAAATATAAGCTCATATTCCTTCATATCAAATATGAGCTTTCAAGACTGAGTGATCGTGAACCTTACACAGTTTACACTCATAATTGACATGTAAAAGAACCATCATCCGTGGTCTATGTCCAGCTTAGCATAGGCGACCTTCCACCTTGTCGTGACTGGATCATCTTAGTTGTAAGGATAGTTCTCCTGATCAGAGACGTTGTTGCCAACGCCGTCGCCGTCGAATCCCTCGCCGTCTCCGAAGGCATCGCCGCTGGTGGACCGTTAGCAGACGCTAAGAAGCAACTTTGAAGGAGCCACTCACGAGTCCGTGCCCCAGGGATAGGTCTGGTTCAACTTGATGTGCTTGCTGATGGCTTCAAGCGAGTTGGTAGCAAAGAGCTTCTGTGCGTCAACAATCTATTGGAGCGCAATCATCACTGATTATACGAACTCACTACAAAGTGAAACTCACGGTAGCGAACTAGTTTGTGGTAATCCGCCCAAAGGAGAAGAAAAGAATAAGAAACAAAAAATGTCAGCATCCCAAAAGCCATCATTCTGAGCGGATGGTATCGAGGACATATCAACACAATCGCATCTCTTCCACCTCCAATCGTTGATCATTACTGTTTCTAAACTTCTTCCAGGCCCAGCCAAGCATCTCGATAGCGTCCACATCTCGCATCCTCCTCTCTCCTCTCCTCCTCTCCCCTCCTCTCCGCTCCTCTCCGCTCCTCTCCGCTCCTCTCCCCCTCTCCGCTCCTCTCCGCTCCTCTCCGCTCCTCTCCGCTCCTCTCCGCTCCTCTCCGCTCCTCTCCGCTCCTCTCCGCTCCTCTCCGCTCCTCTCCGCTCCTCTCCGCTCCTCTCCGCTCCTCTCCGCTCCTCTCCGCTCCTCTCCGCTCCTCTCCGCTCCTCTCCGCTCCTCTCCCCTCCTCTCCCCTCCTCTCCCCTCCTCTCCCCTCCTCTCCCCTGCTCTCCGCGCCTCTCTCCGACTTCCTTTCCTCTCAACGACCGCAACTCACCATCGTCAATCCTGAAATAGAATGACACTCATCCCCCTCATACTCCAGAATCCCTCCAGTGACCACCAGTGACCACTGCAGTGACCAGTCCAGTGACCCTGCAGTGACCCGGTGACCTGCCCGATGATCGGCCGGGCCGAGTGTCACCGGTGAAGATGGATGTCCAGAGTAGTGCTCCTAAAGGAATCACGCAAGGCCTCTTCTGTAGCTATGCGATGATGGCAGGGAGGGCTGACTGAAGGGTTGAGAGTCAGGTGTGAGAGAGAGAGAGGGAGGGAGGGAGGGAGAGCGAGAGGGAGAGAGAGAGGAGACAGAGCATGAGACAGGTCAGCGACTCTCGTATCTTGTATGCCTACGAAGAAGATGCAAGGCAGGGGAGAATGAACGAATGTACAACTGTTGAAAAGTGATTCTTTTCGTGAAGTTGTTTTTTGGGAACAAAGTCGACGGGATCGACCGCCACTAGATTGGCCTAGATCTTGGAGTTTGAGATGATGCAAGGAAGTTTGTTGATGCAGCAAGTTGATGAAGGTAGTGCGAACTCAGCGAGATGGATAGAGTGTAGGTGCACTCTACGTGAAAACGTGCTGTCTGTGGTGGATCGAGACGGGTTTGAAATCGACAGCTTTGTCTTCGGGAGGAGTATGAAAGTCAAGCTGGGAGTGAGCAGCACGAGCAGTAGCATGTTTGGTCAAGACTTTCACCTCAATATCTTCAACCATGACGACGTAAGGATCCGCCTGTACTCGTTCAGAGCAGCCACCATGAACGATGTTGAGTGCTGGACGACGGCGTTCATGGATCTCCCTTGCGCTGCTGAGATTTTCCCCGAGACTGACGAGTCTAGGACAGCAGAGAAAACCTTGATCCACTCGTTGGGCATCGAGCTGCACAAAGACAAGCTGACGCAGCGTCTCGTCGTCTCGACCATCCTTGCGGACTCGCTCGTGTCTCGCAGCGGGCCGGTGCAAGAGGGCGACGTGCTGGAGCGCGTGAACGGCGGGAGGATCTCAGATGCGGCGGAGCTGCTGGCCATGGAGAGATCGATCCTCGACTCGTCCAGCGAAGACTGTCTGAGCATGACCTTCTTGAACCCCAACAGCAACAGCTCCTACCAAGTCCGCGCAAGCCTCTTGGAGTGGAAGAATCTCGACGTATCGGGCGAGTCAGAGGCCTCGGGGGACGCGCATGGCTACCTGCAGGCTTCTCTCCCCTCTCCTTCGGCTCCCGAGATCTCTCTCAGCGTCGTGAGGGAGATGGAGCAAAGGGATTCACAGCAGCCACCACAAGGGGGGCAGGGCGTGCACGTAGCTGGAGAGGTGGTGGAGGTGGAGGCCAACAGGGAGTCAGACAGCAAGGCAGAAGCTCAGCCTCCTGTGGCAGATCTCGAGCAGGTTGCTGTTGACATGCTAGCTGCTGATGCCGTTGGAGCCAAGGACAAGAGCGCAGCGGCTGCTCCTCTCATCGTCCGGAAGGCTCGTCTGGGCTCGTTGGTGGAGGTGAAGGGCATCTTGGAGCGGGAGAACGCTTCTGTGCACAGCACCGACAACAAGGGAAACTCTGTGCTTGCAGCTGCTGCAGCCAACGGCCATCTCAACATCGTTAAACTGCTCCTGCGGTACAACGCCAACATCAACGCCTGCAACCAGAGGGGACAGAGTCCCTTGTTCCTCGCTCTCAAGTATGGCTACACCGACGTCGCCGAGTTCCTGCTGCAGAACAGGGCAGACAGTTCGTTGAGAGACGACGAGGGGCTCGACTGCTTCGAGGCGTGTAATCCCCTCGTCTACGAGTCGCAGACGGCTCAGCTTGCCAGCATGGGGTTTACTGAGCGGAGGAGCGTGTTGAAGGCCCTGCTGGAGAAGAAGGGGCTCGTCCTCGAAGCTGTCGGAAAGTTGGTCTCCGAACAGTCGTGACGGTCAGCCGTTTGTTTGTTTAATCACTTTATTGCCTGCAAGTAAACAAGAAGGCGGGGGGCATGCAAGGGGGAATCAAGTGTTTTTAGACCGGCACAAGTTTTCAGTCTTCGGGCACCTCATGGATCGATCGATCGCCGTCTCCTTCGTCTGAGAGGTCAATACAAACTTCCTCCTGCTGCAAATCTCGATTCTCATTCCCTCCCGACTCCTCTCCACCCTCCATGTCCTTGCTCGACTGGTCTTCGACCACATCGTCGTCGTCAACAACAGGCAAAACTTCTTCGCATTCCTGTGACTCGTCCATCGATCTTGACTCACCGCACATCACCGATGTCGACGCACTCTCATGCTCGTAGTCGTCCAAGCAGATGTATTGAGACGCAGACGGCTGGACTAAGTCTTGCGCATCCGCCGGCTCAACATGTGCAGTTCTAAGTTTCTTCGCTCCCACCACCTCGTCCACAGCCTCCTCGTCTGCACTCCCGCGAGACACCAGGAGATGTTTCCGGCTCGTCTGCTTGCTCGGGGACTGCGAGGAAGCTGAAGGTGCAGTGGGGAGATGTGCGTTTGAGCCGCTGAGGATCTGCAACTGAAGGTCATCGAGGATCTCACGAAATCTTGTTCTGCGATCCTTGAGGTCAGCTTGTCTAAACCACGAGCTCTTGACGAAGAAATCGTTGGGGTCGTCTATATGCTGCAGCTGCTCAAACGTTGGCTGATAGTCTCTTATGCACATTCGCTCCATGTACTCGATCACAAAGATCCCGCAGTCCCACTCGTTCTCCTGCTGCGGACAGGAGGGATAATATCCCGGGAACAAGAACTTGTCGAATTTCCGATCTCCCTTGGTCATGGCATGCCGCGCGTTCCATAGCTCCTGCAAGAACTTCCTAATGCATTCAGGGACCCAGTGCTGAGTTTTTCTGATTGAGTTGAGGTGAAGGATGCAAGGAACTTGCCAGTGCGTGTCTGCGAGTTTCTGTACCTTGTCAAGGAAGGGATAGCACACCACGGCAAGGCTCCAGTGCATCCGCTCGCAAATGGGAATCAGGAGAAAGTCCTTGGAAAACACGTCAACATTTTTCACCCATGACAGTACTTCGCTAGGCCTCTCCGAGCTGTCGGTCAAGTCCGAGTCTTCTTGCATGAGCTTGGTGAAGAGGTAGGAGTTGAAGATGTGAAACCTGTCCCTCGTCTTGGGGTTCATCCTCAAGGTAACATATCTGCACCAGAAGTCGATAAGGCTGTCATTGAGGAATTCACCCTCGTTCAGTCTTTCGACATCGGCGAGAGTGAGAGTGATCGCGTCTGGGTCACCAGGAGGATAGATAATGAACTGCCATGGTCGTCCTGCACTGCCATCATTCTCTTCCATGGCATTGTGGTGTGCAGCTGCCAGGTTTCCAAGCATCGGGTTCTCGGCGGTTAGATCGACAACTCCAGCTAAAGACATGACTGATGTTCTTACTTCCCTGCCAGCACGTGTCATGTCATGAAATGAATGCAAGATTAGACGAAATCTCCTTCTCAAACTCTTCACCTCTTCCTCCTCTCCCTCTCCAACTTACGCTCAACCCTTACTTTGTTGCTTCTTCAAACTCCGTTTTCCTTCTTCCGTACATTGCCCTCCTCGTCTTTCAACTTTGTTCTATCCTCTCGTTGTCTTCTTCCTTCTCTACACATTCTTCTCCTCTCCTTCTGCTGCTTCCTCTTCCTTTCCCCTCCCCCTCCCTTCCCCTGCCCGCCCTCCCCCACACGTTCTCAGCATCAGTCCAAGTTAGCAGGACCCCCACCCCCTTGTGTCCTAAAAATCACCCCCCTCATCTAGGCACTTCGACCTGTACGAAGCGCACAAACCGAGATCTGATACGCAAGGAGGGAGGGAGAGAGAGCAAGTCAGTTTGTGTTAGATCAGCAAGTCAGTCAGCCTGTAGAATGACAGAGGTCTTGTAGATAGCATTGCCATCACGACATGTCTCAGGTGAAAGCTGAAGTCCATGAAGAAGACCCCAATGAGAAGAGGCGCAAGCGGAACCGCTTGTCCTTCCAGGACTTCTTCTGGGTTGCAATGGCGATACTGTCAGGAATCTTTGACATGTTTGCATTCTATCTGTGTCTTCGGCGCAGGTTCAGGGGTGTGTACTTGTTTGGTGGGCATACGCAATTCCTAAGCACGTGGAATTTTCTTCTCCGCATCAGCAGCCTCGTCCTGTTCGTGATCTCCACCCTAGCGTTTGAGCCGCATCCTGACCGGTTTATCTTGAGACGCCATGAGCGGCGGGACTTCTTCTACAGGAACACAGCAGTGCTTCTAGGGCTCAGCGTCACGTTCAGTCCTGTTGTGGCGGTGTGTCATGGGGTGTTGATGCGAGCAGGAGAAGATGTCATCGAGCAGGAGAGCATCGCTGCAGACTGGTGGATCAGCCTCGCCATGCCCCTCCTCGGTTGGGTCTTCCTAGTCTTCTGCAGGCCCAGGCACTGGATGTACGGGCCTGCAAGGTACGTGGCGAGGAGCGGGAAGCGGCTCGGGCTGACGGTCGGGGCATCGCGAGTTCACAAGCTAGTCGTGCTCTTTTGCCTATGGACTCTCATTTGTCGCCTGCTGGGGGGGCGCTGGGGTTATCGGTTCTTGAGCGAGTATGAGCGAGAGCTCTCGGCTGCTGGGCTTGTGCTGAACTTGTCCGGTCTCTTCTGCTTCCTCCATGCGGTCGCATGGGCGTCATGGTGGTTTGCTTACTGCATCTCTCCCCCAATCGACTCCACCTGATCGCTTAGACCCCCTGGCTTTTTCCGACTTTATTCTACTCGCCGCCTGCTGGCCAGCTCGACATGTTCCCCAAGACTCGTTTGAGCTGTGAGCCTACTTTCATCATGGCTCCCTTGGCCTGGTCCACACGAGCTTTCCAGACTTGGCTCTCTATTCTTCCAGTGAATGCTTCGATGACGTCATCTTGCGAACCTTTTTTCTCCTCATCATCGCTGTCAATCACAATCCAATCATCAGTCATTGACTTGGTCAGGTCGACAGATCCCTCCATCCGACTTTTCGTGCCGTAGCGAGCCATACTTCGCTCCTGCCAGCTCGCGTAGTTTACAAACCGACCGGCTGCCTCTCCGCGACCATCAGCAACGCGCTGGGTGCTCTGCTTGGGGTCGATCTCGACAGTCTGCAGCCCCCAATGACTCGAGTTGAGCCCCACAGCCGCTGCTGCCTCTCCCGGCTCCGTCACAGGCAGTATCGAAGGCGACAAGGGGCGAGCAACCCACACTTCTCCCCTTCCAGTCACCATGTCCTCGTCCACCGGTGCGTTGAGCATCTGAGCGGGAGGAGGGCGAGAGGTGGGAGTCCCAACCTTGGCATTGTCGGCAGCCTGATGTTGACGAATCGGAGGCAGATTCCCCTGGAAGTCAGCAAGATTCGGGTCTGCCCCAACTCGCAGCAGCAAGGAGCAGATTCGATTTCCAGCTTCAGAGTCGTTGATGTAGTGAAGAGCTGACTTACCCTCTTGATCCTGAAACAACAAAACCGTCAGGTCTGATCGATAACACGTGAACAGGACCTGAAGGTTCAAGGCGTCAATCGAGAGAAGTTTGACTAGGGCCGTGACGGCTTCTTCGCGATCGTACATTGTAGCAAGATGCAGAGCCGTGAATCCCTCACGAGTTTCAGATTCAACATCAGCATTTCCCTGTCGCACTAGTTGATTGATGATGTCAGTGCGCCCAAACTTTGCAGCATAGTGAAGCGGACAGAACCTGTGAAAATTTAGAGTTACCGCCACCTCCTTGATAGACACAATCACCATCTCTTGTCACGATGAGAGACATCTGCATTGCTTTGTAGAAGCTCTGAGACAAGGTCACCATTGTTCTGCACGACAGCCTGGTGTAACGCCCCAACGTCTATTGCACACTGCATGAGCGGGGAGTCCTTGCTCTGTGTGGCCTCGTTAGTGAACAAGTTCTTGGCTACTGCTCAAGGCAAACCATATTCAAGCTTCCCGTCGTGTGACCAATCCCTACCAAAACAAATTAAATACGATAAAATGACAAAGAGAGTCTACCACTTTCTTCAGTCGGGACGATCTTCTGATCAATTGCAGAGGACAGATACAAATCACTTTCATCCAGCATTGACTTGCACAAGAATGAGGAGGAGAAATCACTCGCAGGAACGTATTCTTCATCGTCCTCTGAGTCTAAATAATCCTCATTGATGACGACTGGGGTGATTGCCGACTCAAAGACACCTAAAGGGTCTTGCCTCTGACCTGTAAAAAACATCATGGTGATCTACACTTCCACAGACAAAGAAAAATCGAAAAGAAATACCGAGCGTGGCAGACTGGAACGAAAACAATCAAACGAAACAAACGAACAAAATAACGCCAAACCTCCATGGCAAACTGATCTTGAAGATCTACAACAAGAAACTTTGGCTTGTCGTTCAAATGCATAGCCTCCCTTGCCGCCTCGTTGCCCTGGGCCCCTCTCTCCTCCCTTCTCGCTGCCTCCTCGATCCGCCCCCGTAGCTCCTCTATCGAGCCCTCCTTCTCCCCCAGCGTCCCGGCCTCGCGATATGCCGCCTCCGCAACCTCAAGCCGCTCCATTGCCTCCCGCATCTGCCCCTGCTCTAGGCGCTCTCTGGCCTCCCTTGCCGCCTCGTCGCCCTGGGCCCCTCTCTCCTCCCTTCTCGCTGCCTCCTCGATCCGCCCCCGTAGCTCCTCTATCGAGCCCTCCTTCTCCCCCAGCGTCCCGGCCTCGCGATATGCCGCCTCCGCTGCCTCAAGCCGCTCCATTGCCTCCTGCATCTGCCCCTGCTCTAGGCGCTCTCTGGCCTCCCTTGCCGCCTCGTCGCCCTGGGCCCCTCTCTCCATTTTCAATTTTGTCTTTCCCACTTCCGTCTTTTCCTCTTGATGACTCTCTGTTGCTGGAGTTATCGTTTCTTTGTCTGGTTTTGGTAGTGAATCTTTGAACTGTCCATTTGACTTCTTTTTCTGTTTGCGTTTTTGTTTTTTGGTTGTTTTTGGAGAAAGCTTTTCTTGGTTGATTACTTGAATCGCAGTACCGACAACCTCGGTTGGAGAAACTTCAGGCAGACTACCACGAGCCATTGCTTGTTGGCTTTCCAGATCAAAAGTCTTAGATTTCGGACAGGAATTTGCTTCACTTTTGTCCTGCATGCATTCGAAAGAAATGCCAGGTGCCTTTGGGCGTGGATTTTCAATATGAAGGGATCCAGTAACATATTCCTTGTGATTGATTAGCGACTTAGTCATCCTCAAGCAAGACAGGTTTTCATCCAGCGTTGTGTTACTTAAATTATGAGTATCATGCTCGGCAAAAGCACTCTTCTCGAAACTCGAGCTCAAGAGGTCTGACACTGAGGCATGCAGCAGCTCGTTCGCTGCCCCTTCATTGTAGTCTTCATGCAAACTCTGTCTGGAACTTACATCACAATCACCATCCATTGCATGTGACGCTCCTGACTCAAATAGATCTGCCTGTTTGTGCAGCTTGTGACTCAGAATCCTGCCTCCATCTCGTTCCTTGAAAAGCTCTTTCGATTTACCCTCACCGAAGACATTTGGAACAATCAAATCCTCATTGGCATTGCATGCAAATGGAGCGTTTGGCGAACACTCATCCCCTTCATTGTCAGAAGCAGAGTAAAATGCGTCGCAGTCAGAGCCCTCCTGCTCTTCCAGCCTGAAGCCCAAATGCGGCTGAGAAGACGTCAAGGACACCAGAGTCCGTCGGCTTTGCGATAGACTACCAAGCGCCGAATGATAAAGACTGACACTCGACTGGCAACTCCAGTCGGTCAGTTCTTCTGGAATATCTTCTGTTTCTAAAGTTACATAGTCAGCCTGTTCATTTGATGAAGTCAACAAGAATGTTTACCTTTGGCCATTACGATGGTATGCCTTTCAGCGTACCGAACTGTGCAACACGCGCGTCAGGGCATTATTTCTCCACGTACATTCCTTCATTTTTCTTTGTCTGCATACTCCTATTGCCCTCTGGCCTCCCATTCTACCATCGCTGCTCGATCTTGCAATCGCACGGTTTGATTGAGACTCGTTCAGTTGACCTGCATTCCTTGTTTCCATATTTCTTTTTGTAAAAGTCGATGAACAGTTACTTCAACTCTTTCTCTCAGATTTCTTGTCATGTACGTGCTCTATTCAGTGCTCTTCTCCACCGACCTCTCGCTCTATCCAGCACTCTCTCCCTCCTCCTCTCCCCTTCCCCTGCCATTTTCTTCACCTGCAACAAACAACAAACAAACAGGATAATAAGCTATTTAGACCCTAATTAACTATTATGGCTGTTATTTTACTCAACTTCGGTCTCTAAAACTAACTAACGCCGTAGTAAAGCCACGAGCCCGGCCCGGCCGCCAGGCCCCGGGCCCCGGGGCGGCCGCCCAGCCTGAGGCCGGGTCCCGGTCGTCCCCCCGGCGGAGTCCTCCCGGCCCCGGCGTTCAATTTACGGTCACGTTGAACTTAGCTTGGACTGCCAGTCCGACTCCGAGCTCACACGGTCCGTCGGCCCGGGGCCCGGAACCCTCAGCCTGGCACCGTCTACGGGCCGGGTCGGCAAGTCATCAGTACCAGCAGATAATTAGTTATCGATGGTGACAATGTAGGCAGCGCCATGTTCAGAGGTGTAACGGAGAGAGGTTAGGGCCGTTCGCAATGGAGCCGCGATACAAGGAGTGAGCGACAAGACCGACATGGAACAGATGTGATGCATGTGATGACGATGCCACATCTTGACTCCAAACACGAAGATTGAGATAACATGGATGACCAGACGCGAAAATTTTGCTTTTCTATATCTGCTCACTTGCACGCCATCGAAAAGATGCGAACTTAATGATGACTATGAATTCATGATGATGAAACGAAAAAGTCGAGATTGTTATAGAGTGTTTGTTCTGTTGATGAACAGTCTGGTTTCCAGCATCCATCGCAGGGTAGAAATATTCAAGGAGGACCAAAAGTTAGCAGGAAGATGTTCGGAAATGATCGATGTACAACATCGCAAACAACTTTGCTACAGGATCATGTAGAGATAGCAGAGACAAACGATGAAGTCGAAACTTTGTTCTGGTGAGCTGATTGTGATGCAGCAGATCTCAATGCCGCTAGAAGAGCTTTCGACAGCCTTCACGCCGCGAGTCGATGCAGAGGCTGGCTGTTCGCCAGAGCATCCGCTGGGGACCAGCACGAATGCCAAGGACTTGATCGCCAACCTGAACCGCATCAGGCAGTTGAAATGCACTCCCTGCCGCTCCTCCGCAACCTCCGATGCTTCAAGAGCCCCTACGCCAGTCGACATGTTGGAATCAAACAGCGTCTTTGACCCGATGAAGACTATCACAGGCCTCCTCTACCCGCGTCAAGATCGCAGTGGGTTGCAAATACATCTCAGCTTCTCAAGCCCTCAACCTCAACCTTCGAAAAACGTCTGCAAGAGGCAAGACCACGAGAAGCAAGGACATTGTAGGCATGCTTGCTATCATGAAGATCAACTGAATATCAACGAGACTTTCACCCATGCCAAGAACAACCTAACTTCAGACCGTGAAGACGAAGCTCCTTCTAGATTATTCGATCATGTCCAAAACGACAAGCAGCGTTACCCGAATTCGGGGTTTTTGAACTCTTTCTTTCAGAACAGGACTCTGACCTTCCTTGAGAATTGGCCGTTTCAGCGAAAGCATTCCAAGTCAATGGACCCGACGAACATTGAGAGTGTCATAAAGCTGGCAAAGGAACAGGCCAGACACGACCTAAACAACTTGGGAGATGAACTGCAAACGCTTGTCTCGCAGATGGAGTGTGAATTGCAAGAAGAAAGGTTTGTAGCTACACAGAAGGAGGCTTGCCTGCAAATGGTAAAAGGATGATTGTTATAGTGAGCAAAATTGATCGTTACATGCAGATCAGCAAAAGATTTTTTACCCTGTTGGACTTGTATCAAAACAAAAGTCTTGTGCAGATGGCCCAAAAGCACATGATTATCTGTTTCAATCTTTGGGTACGCACGACTCAGCGGAATGAAATAACGTACGCCTTCTCCTCTACGATGTGATGTGTTATGATATGACACAGTAATGTGATGTGATGTGATGTGATGTGATGTGATGTGATGTGATGTGATGTGATGTGATGTGATGTGATGTGTTGGGATGTGATGTGTTGGGATGCGATGCGGTGCGATGCGGTGCAACCTGACTTTCTTTAGTGATTTTTTTTGTTTTCGTGTGGGTTCTTGTTGAATGGCAATGATCCTCCTTGTTGCTAGGTGCTGGCAATGGGGTCATATAAGCATGATGCTGTCACGAAAGCACAAGCATCGATGGCGTCGATTGTGCGTTTATCAGCACAGAAAAGAGCTTGACTCTGAAAGCCCTGGTGGCTGCCTCATTGCAGCTGGATCTGTACATGTCAACCACCAACCTGTAGAAGCGGAGCCTTTGCTGACGACAGACTTTGTGCAGAGTGATTTCAATCACATTTCAGCAAGCGATTCCCCAAGGTATGTAATACATACAGCATAGAACGGAAATCTTACTTCAGATCCGGAGGAAATCACAACAAGATTGGACAACATAAATATTCATTCACATCGAACTTCTTTTGTTTGAAATTAGATTAGTCTACACGTCACTTACTTTCCTGATTATGTGACAACAGCACATCTTCAGCCTCTGGTCTGTGCCTAGAGGTTCGTAGCTGTTGGGTAGGAGCCTCTCTCTTCGCTGACTCCACCTTGTCTCTGTACTCATCTTGTAACTCTTGGACCTGCGATGCAGCAAGTCAGTGAACAAACTCTTCATGCAAGTGATTCTCAACCACAGCAGGATCGTAGCTGCAAGCTTCATAGGTTGTCATGTACATCTCCCCTGTCAAGGGAATACCGTTCTTGATGGCTACTTTGAGAAGTCCGAGAGCAGCTTCGCTGTTTCTCACAGCCCCTAACGCTCCGATCATCTCTCGATAGACCAGCGAATTTCGACTTTTGGGCGGAATTGATCTGAAAAACTGCCAAGCGCGAAGAGCAAGGTGCTTGCTTTCTGCCAAGTAGGCAAATCTTGCGCACAGAGCTACTCCTTTAGACCCAAGATGCTGACCGGAGATGTTAGATGACTGCAGAAATCGATCCACTCTTGCCCATGTTTCATTGTACCAAGATCCAGCGTAGCCTGACCCTTCATTCTTTTGCCGTCGATGAAACGCACCCCACACAGCAGATTCAAGAATCCAAACTGCATGTTTTGACGACAAATTTCCAATCTTTCTCTGAAGAGCTTCTGCAGCTTTACAACTATCAGAGAAATTTCCGACGTTTGCTTGCACAGAAAACTTTGCAATCAGTAACAAGCGCTCCAATTCCCTTTCTCCTATTTCAAAGCCGCAGCCTCTCATTCTGCCGATAACATGTTCTCCATCCTTCATGGCAGCTTGGCCTCGACCGGCACCAGACACCACCACATCAAGCAATACTGAAAGCATTTCCTTTGTCGGTCGTTCTCCCCCACCCTCAATATACTTCATAGACAAGTCAGCATCGCTCAAACTTGCCAGTCCCTGATGTGCGTTGGCTTCCAAGATCGACATCAAAAGTTGCTTCTGATGTTTTGATAGCTCGCCTTTCAGCTGTACAAGTCTATCGACAAACGGAATCAATTGATTCATGTGAGCTAAACCAAAAGGAGCAGCTGCAGACGCGACTTCTATGAGTGCACCTAGAAGCTCGGCACTCCCTGTGACCGCTTCTTCGTTGCTCAGGTACAGCATCAAACTTACAGTCTGTTCAAGAGAAATCTGTCCGTGTTTGGCACACTGACACACCGCATGCATCGTTTGTATCAGCAGAGCGCTGTCGAAGTGCACTCCGCTTGCCTTTGCCTTGTCGAGTATCCTGGCAACATCCTCGATTGAGCCTCGAGATTCGGAGCAGACGACCGTAAAAATCTTCATCAGCTGGGTCAAAGTCAAAGTATCGGGCTCATGGCCAGCGATCATCATGTCCTCAACAATGCATTCTGCATCTAAACAAGATACAGTAACGTTTCTATTGAGATGCTCTTCAAGCGCCACCTCAAAGAAAAAGTCAAAGAAGCTTTTGTCAAAGGTGCCTCCAATCACAAGCAGTTGACTCTTTATGAGTTCAATCTTGCTTGTTGAGAGATTGAGATTTCGATATCCATATATCAGTGCGTCTGTGACCTGATTGAACAGTCTCTGCTCAAGAGATACTCGTTGCCGAAATATAACATTGAACAATTCCACAATGTCGTCAATACTAGCCTCGTTCCTCCGGTATGCAGCTAAAGTTCCATTCAGCCAAAGGGCAACCAACAAAGAGTCAAGCTGCAGACCTCCTACTTCACAATATGCTACAGTCTTTTGAATATCTTGCAGAGTGGCTTTGCCTTGTTGAGCAAGAGCAACAACAGCACCTACCATTGGATAACCGATTCCATGTTCCAATTCCACATCCGGCTCCAGGAATTCTGTCAATCTTGTCTCAACTTCCTCCAAACTACTATCACCGACAAGCGAAGCTGCTAAGATTAGCTGCATCCTTGCAGCAGATATGATGATGCTGTTCGACACGTTGTAACACTCCAAGGTCTTAATCAGATTGAATTCATAATCACGCCAATTGAGATCTGCTTGAATATACGAGGATTTCAACCCTGGAGCAGCCTGCCCGACATATTGCCTCTTGTCCATGGAGTTCTTGAAAGAGCAGGAGACCAAGACAGACCAGGTGCAACTGTGTAAGGTAGGGAGGGAGCACAGCTCAGTCATTCTCTCGGAGACAAAACAAGATTCCATCATTCTCAACACCATGACTTCGGCATCGTTCATGTTTGCCTTGCCATGATACGCAGCCCATGCTAGAGCCTCAAGGGCAGGAAGATACATGCTCATATCAGACCCTATTCCCAGGGATTCGATTGTCTCAAGCGCCATGTCGATCTCCTCTGGACCAGCTTCACCTCTCCGTGCACATCCCACCACAATGTCCATGAGAAGGAGTTGTGAAAGATAAGATGGAACAAGCCCCGCATCGTTGATGATCTGAAAGATCTCCTTGCCATCCCCAAGATCTGCTTTGCCTTTCTTTGCGTCCTGCGACACTTTCCAGAGGAGGTAATCGAAGGATAGGGAATCGAGCTCTGTTTCCAAACTGCTTCTTTCTCGGCTGACTGCGAAATTCCCACGAAAGATGTTGGAAATGACAGCAGGATTATTTCTTACCAATGGCCAATGCCAGCGAATGTCCGCCGAGACCATATCCATGAAATGATCAAAACAAAAGAAGATTGGGTCATCAGGTGCGGGTTTTCTATTCCAAGGTCCCTGGATTTTCGTGAAAGCATGATTCCATTCCTCTCCGCTACACTTTTCCAAGCGATAAATCCACTGAGGTTCACTGATTGATTGATGCAAAGGCATGCAGGCAAGATAAGTCACATTCACATACTTTTGCTCCAATTCAGATTTTTCAAATGTTTGGTTGGCTACTTTCCAAAACAATGCATACTTTACTCCATGCCCTCCAGCGTACTGCCGTACTGCGACTTGTGGACCTAAGCATGCCAAGAAATGAAGGCGAGCCTCCAGGATGTGGCGGAAGGCATCTAGCTGGCCCCAGGTGTCTTGACCACTTCCTTGTTTTATCTTTGGATAAAACATGTTCAACCTCAAATCCGACAATTGCTTTGCACACAACGATCGCTTCTCCTCAAGATGACCATCTCCAAAAGCAAAGCTCTCTAAGATGTCAGCTGTCTGATCATTGAGATGCTCTCCGTCTTCGTCAAGCCAAGAAAGCGCATCGCTCAGAGGCGGGGCCTCCACTTGTTTCGTTCTGAGTGCAAGTCCTTTTGGAATGGGCCAGACATTGAAGAAAGAAGTGCCGGGGAATGCAGAGGGATAGAGACCAAGAAAAGGTGAAGCGCAAGGCCACAGGCAAAACATAAAGACGAGCAGAAGCTCTCTCCTCCCCGCCATTCTTGATGCGGCTGCTCCGCTTCCTCACCGTTCCCCTCTGGTAGTCTTCTGCCCTTCTTCAGCTTCCTCCTCTCTTTTCCTCCTCCTTTCTTTGTCTCTCTTCCTCCTCCTCTTTCTCCTTCCCTTCCCTCTCCCCTTGATCCTCCACCTCTCCACCCCCTCACTCGTCTCCTCTCCGCATACTCTGCCCAGGATTTCCGTACTACCCCAGTACCCCCTGTTTCAGCGGTCTGTGTGAAGCGGTGGGGTGGGGACATTGCGATAAAATGGCGGGATCGAGCGCAGAGGCAAATTCGAAGATTTTCGTGTCGGGTAAAAGCGAACAAGACATCATGTGATATGTGATGTGACGTGACGTGATGTGACGTGACGTGACGTGACGTGACGTGATGTGATGTGATGTGATCTTGTATGGTGTTGTGTTGTGTTGTGTTGTGGTGTATTGTAATGCGATAGAGGAGAAGAGCGGGAGTCTTAGTAGAGTATTACACATGAACAGAAAATAACAAACAGTTAGTAAAGAGGCGGTGCATGAGCCGAATTTGTGGAAGATTCAGGATTCGTAACCAGATGAAGCAGGGTATGGATTCTACACGCCATCGTTCACAAGTCTTGACCCGACAAAAAACAGAGCCCGGGCAAGATGGAAGATGGTTGCAAATTTCCTGAGGCCGAAAAAGAATAATTCAGTTAACGTGCTTGATCGAGAAGAGATGCAGGCAGTTTCAGTACGAAGGCACAATACTTTTGACCTCTTCCATGTATTAGCTTCCCTCGCAGTCTGAGAATCGATGCCTTAACCAGAGATTCAGGTAGAAAGGATTGATCAGACGTTGAATGAGAACACAAACGTTTCTCTGGTAATAAGAGCTGCCTGACTTAGACCAAGATAATGACATCATCATGCTACAGTATGAACAAGACGGAGACATCCAGTACGAACTGGTTGAGTACAAGACCGGAGATCATGACAAAGTGATGTATTCAAATTCGATCTATCTTGAAATTGAAACCCTCATCTCGTAGAATATCATTCTGCGACAGCGAGTCTCCGGAAAGGCAAGCCTACCAACTGCAATTGATAAATCTTCGTGCCACAAGTTGATCCTTCCATGTGAAACGTCAGGTCACTATCAAGGATTTCCAAGCTTCACAGAACAACGGTGTTGACAGCACAGGACATGTCTGTCTTTGGCCGGCTGAGGAGGTAGAACATTGATTCCAGCGTGGGTTTGATCCAAAAAGAGGTATCAGGTGATGGCACATTGTCTGTTGAAGATGTCTGCAACGCTCGACGGGAAAAACGTTTGCGAAATAGGGGCAGGGGTATTCTACAACAGCATTTGAGTTGGAAATCTGTTGAGAACATTTTTCAAGGTTGGACTTGCAGGATTGCTCTTAGCAAAAGCTGTTTGTATGAACTCTATCCTGATTACCGATGGTACATTCAATTATCATTGTGTTTGAATGACTGACGAATGAAAATTGTGATGAAAGGAAATGAGAAGGTATCTTCTTGGGGTAACTTTTCGCCTGTTGACTCTGCAGCAGGTTGTTGAGGGATTGAAAGAGAGTCTCAAGACAAATCAAGGGCCTGAACACTCCACTGTCTTCTGTTGTAAAGAGGTGTTCGATGCGATGTTGCTTTGCAACCTTGCATAACATTGCGTCAAGATAGGAATCAGACAGCTGATATGGTCGGAGAAGCTCAGTTCACTGCAGGTTTTGCTGTAGTCTAATCCTTTCAGAGATTTTGATATGGAGCGGAGGTTCCAAGAGCAGGGACTTTTGATTTCGTCATTGGCGCAGATTGTTTGTTTTTTCGCGACTACCACAAAGCCTTAGGTCTCTATCTTCGGTCCAATTTTCAAACTCTGACAGTGTTACTCCAGTTCACACCTTAGATGTTTTGTTGTCTTCAAACGGGCAAGCGTTGCTATGGGCGCCAAAGAGGGGAGGGACTCTTGAAGAGTTTTGTGCCCTTGCGCAGGTAGATATGTGTACAATGGTGGGTGCTTTGGTGATTCTTGAATCTTCTCAGGAGAAATTTGAGGTCCAACAAGAACAAGTGTACGACGATGAGGTGATGCTTCTTATCACCTTTCAGGCATATTCAAAACAGTCGCCCAGGTCTGGAGCAAACACTTAAAAGCTCTCAACGTACGGCAAGAATGCACATTTCCGACGGTCTGACAGCATTGTTTGTGTTTGACAGTCGAATCAAGATCAAGGTGGGAAAGGGCTTGCCTTGCAGTATGACGAATCCATTCATTACCCGGTGCGAATCTCACAATTTGACGCTTAGTTTGCTCATTTCTTTTTTCTCTCTGGAAACAGTTGAAAATCGTTCTAAAAAAGAAGCGTAAAAGCATAACGCCTCCCTCATGGGTGAGTGACTGGATCTCTGTCGTTGGAGTTGATTGATGTAACCCCAGGCGATGGGCCATCGAGGCGGTTCCGGTTGTCCGTGTTGCAAGGGAAGGAAGATGCCCATGTTTTGAGCAGTGATAGGAATGATTGAATGAAGCAATGCTAGCAAGGTGTTCCCAGCCTCTGATGACGACTACCTGACACCATGTTCCTGAGCTTGATACCCCGAAGACGAGTTTCGTAGTAGCATCTCTCTCACGGTTTCCTATTATGTCTGCGGGCACCGGAGGGAAAACCTTACACAGTATTTGATGTCTTTCTAGTATCTTTATATGTCTGTCTGAGGTTGGCTTGAATTGTAGTCCAATCACAACTCCGCCCCACTTTCCCATCCCTGCTGCGCTTCAGTTGAACACTTGAAGCTGACATGCGCTCATCGGTGAAGAAACAACGGTTGTCAACATCTGCCATGACCATCAGATCGCATTGAGATAGAATACGATCACGCAACCTTGCTGTCTACAAGAGCTGATGTCATCGGACACAGCAACTCCAGATGTCTCAGCTGACAGGAAGGAACGCAGGAAACAAGACATTATCAGAGTCTTTCAGCGCATATTTGGTACCTCTCCATTGACATTGAAATCGTTTCTGATGCTGCCTCGTCAGATTACAAGACGAAGTTGGACATTGGAATTTTGCAAGATGCTTTTCATGAGCTTGGAGTGCCTCTCGAAAAGATCGAGGCATCAAGGATATACGACAAACACTTCAAGTCAGCTCCGAATCAACAGATCACGAATGAAGACTTCATTCGCATAGTTGAATCCATTTCAAGGTATTCGTATTGTTTGTCTGCTCAGCAATCAACGATACTGTTGCAGGAAGCGATACTTGAAAATTTTCCAGCAAATGGACATCGATGGAAGTGGGGAACTTGACCTGAAAGAAGTCAAGACAGCTTTCTCTCTGCTCGGGCTTGAGAAGTCCGATGATGATTTGCAAAGAATATTTCATGAGTTTGACACTTCAGGGGATGGACTCATCCAGTTTGACGAGGTATGGTTGCTTGCATCTTCTTGCAGAGCAAGACGAAGGCCACTCACATGTTGTCTTTCAGTTTTCGGAGATGATAGAAGCCTGTCTCTTGATGCCTCAAGAGGAGCCTGAAGTGGAGGAGACGGAGAAAGACCTTCCATGGGCTGACAGTCATGCTTGCTTTCTTGAAGATGAACCGAGTTGGGACGAGAGCGTCAAGCGATGGTGTTGGAGTGTCAGAGGGGGGGTGGATGTCTTCGATGTAGAATCTCAAGACTTCAACAGTTTGTCTCGGACAAGACCAACTGCCTATCTTGGCAATGACGACTCTCCCTACCAGGGGCCGCATCGAGGGCTGTATACCGCTCAAGGGTGGAGGGCTGAATTTCACGCATCGCGCACAGTGCGATGGAATTATCCGGAGAGGAGAACCTTTCGTTTGGCCAACGGGAGTGTGAGGGGCGATGGCGTGCCAGTGCCCTGCAGGATTCGTCTCACCAGAGACACTGTGAGCAGCGTGAGTGGAACTTGCTTCGAGATGCCGATAGCGTCAGGCTCGCCCCTTCCTCTCGGAGTTTTGTCTCAGATCATTCCACCGGCCGAGGTTGAATCGAGCCAGAAACCAGAAGTCACAGGGGAAGGGAGGGAGCTGGGGACAAGCGATGGAAGGGAGCTGGGGAAACCGATCAAGATGTCAGCCCAGAACGAGAAGAAGTCTGCCATGTACGCCCAGATGAAGACTCGATTGGCTGAGTTGGAGTACAAGCAGAAACAAGGGGGAGAGATGAAGCCGCAAGAAGTAAAGGAGATGAGCCTGCTCTTGAGGCAGATCAAGAAGATAGATGACGAGAACGACAAGCAGAAAGCAGAAGCTTTGAAGCAAGCAGAGAAGGAGGAAGCTGGCAGACCCGTCGGAATGATCTCTTGGATGCTCCGTGTAGACGAATTGGATCCTGACGGAGGAGGAGTGCGCATAGGGGTTGTGCATTCATCAGTGGGAGTAGGGGCTGACTGGGGAGACTTTGCTGTCGCCAACAACAAGTCTTTCTGGTGGAACAGTTACAGCGGTTGTTTGTTCATCGGAGATGTCCTGGTCCCAGAGAGTGGAATGTTGGAAAACTTTGCTTGTACAGACGCTTGGAATCAAAGAAGCTTCGAGATCTACAAAGGGACTTCTTGGGGCAAAGGAGACATCCTGACGGTGAATCTCGATCTTGAACTTGGAGAGCTCTCCTTCTTCAGGAATGGAGAACAGACAGCACACACTATCTGCGGGGTTTGGGGTGAAGTCTTCTTTGCTATACAGATGTCATCTCAGAAAGACTGTGTATCCTACCTTGAGACTGACGACAGGAGGGCTCTGCGATCCAAGAATGCTCAAGAACGAACTCAAAGGCAACGAGAACTCCAACGTCTCGAGATGGAGCAAAGGAGAATAGAAGCTTTGAGGAAACTCGGTCTCCTTCCAAGCTGATTTACAATATTCTCAATGTTATAATTTCATTCCTTGGTATCATTCGTTCGTTTCAAGCAAATTGGTTTCATCGTTCCTGTGATGTCTAAGCTACCTCTGACTGTGAGAAGCTCATCTACCGATGTGTATCCTTCTCCATCCTCCTCCAGCTCTATCCCATTCAAGTCACGTACGACAGACAGCCCGAATCTCTTCTTGACAGCATTCAAGTTCAGAAGACCCGTGTTGCTTGCTGTGAACACGTCATAGTCGATGGTTCCGAGCCCCTCCTCCCCCATGTGCGTCACTACGATCGATCGCTCTCCTTGCCCCTCCTCTCCGCCACTCTCCGCCCCCACCATGGCAAAGGTGCCAGCAGGCGCTGCCAGCCGTCTCGCCATACTTTGAATGTTTTAGTCAATTCTCCGACCCAGCGTGCAATGTCGACCAAAGATAAGGGAGGCGACAAAGATGGGAGAAGAGAGAGGGGAGGGGAGAGGGGAGGGGAGAGGGGAAGGGAGGGAGGGAGAGGGAGGGGAGAGGGGAGAGGGGAGAGGGGAGAGGGGAGAGGGGAGGGGGGAGGAGCAGAGGGAGGGGAGGCGGAAGCGAGAGAAGCGGTGAGAGAGCAGACAGGGGACAAGGCGAGAATGGTGGGCGAGGGGGAGGACGTGGAGGGCGAGGGGGAGGACGGGGAGGCAAGGGGGAGGCAGGAGACAGACGGCTACCAGGTATTGGAGGAGCAGGAGAACGAAGCAATGCATTCGAAAACAGAACGACAAATCATCGCGATACCGAGAATCTTCTGTCGCTGTCAGAGATCGCAACAGCCCAAGAATCGTAACTTCCTTTCTACACCCACACATGGTGTTCAAAGTTGACGCAGGTATGCCCCAAAAGGAGCATGGGCACGGGGAAGTGTGCACATCCTGAAGAAGGATCATGATCCACTGCCAGCAGGAACTTGTTCTTGTTGTTTAGGTTGTTTTTGTTGATCCATGAGCTGCAGGAGTGGCGGGAAAAGATGAATGGGTCACCGTTGGGTCGAAGTCAAAGTCGTCAACGAATGAGGGCCGGAAAAAGAACGCCATGAATGAGTCCAGGCATCAGGAGGGAGCAGACAAACGTGTGAAATTGATTATTCATTGCATACCTTCCAAACTCCCATGATGATTTGCTTTCCAGAAACCCAATCCAGTACAAAACCAAAGAAAAGTCCAATAACGCTGTTTGAATTGCTTCCCATCTTTAATAGCAGAGCCTCGAAAGCTCCTTCGGCTCCACAAGCTCAGCAGGTTCATTGTTTCGTAACTCATGGACTACTGAAACACAGCAGAGCTGTAGCGCCGCTTCCAAGAAGTCCACACCTGTCTTGAACCCGAATGCCGCCGACAGTCAGCGGACGCTTGTCTTGAGGAGGTAGCCGTACTGCTCTACTTGCTCTTGATGTGTCCTTGCTCTGATGTAATAGTACCTCCTTGTACCTCCTGACCTCCATGGCTACTAGAAAAGAGCGGACAGCAAAGAAGAACAAGCTTTCTTCTCTCAAGAAGCTGATTCTCAAAGACCGGTGATTGCTCAGTGGATGCAAGTAGTTGGAGTGATGCTGGCCATTCGATCATCAGTGCTGAGAGACTTGTCCGTGAGGGAAAGGCCGAGGCACGAAGCACTGAAGCTGCGACTGCCGTGCCCGAGGCGAACGTCGAAGATCAACAACACGAAGATGGTGGACAAGAAATCCTTGAGCTCTCACACGGTCTCTCACATGACGATGGTGTACATGAAAAACTAACTTTTCCTTGATGCAGAAGCTGCACACTTAGCAGGTGGCAGACTTTCGATGATGACAACACTTGTTCTTATCTTTATTCTAGAGGCTTGGCTTGAAGACCATGGCATGAATGCTACCAATCCAGACCATCTTGAGGTCATCTCATCTCATCTCATCTCATCTCATCTCATCTCATCTCATCTCATCTCATCTCATCTCATCTCATCTCATCTCATCTCCTTCTATTGATACGCAAGTGTTGCAGCAACTCTTGGAAGTTCTCAACCAGGTTTGTCTTTTGCGCTCCATCTCCTCACCCCGAATTAAGGTCCGACTCCAGGACTCAGAGTCATCCAGTGAAGATGAAGATGAGGCAGTCATGGTTGTCCTGCCTCCACGAATTTTCTGTCTTTCTCACTGGTTGGACGCAGGAACCACAAGGGTTGTCTACCTTCTGGTCGTTGCCTTCGGTCGTGTCCTGGACATGTAAAAGTCTCGATTTCAAAGTCTCACCGTCCTGACCTCTTGCAGGTCGTCGATCGCAACAACTAGCCACCAAATCCCTCGTGCAGCACCTTCCTGTGAAGAATCTGCTCAGTTGGGCGCGTCCGACTGCTCCGGAGTTCGTGCCTTCATTTTCTATGGTGATGATTATCAGGCGCTTAGCACGTGCTGACGGAGCTAACAGGAATCAGAGCATCACTCGGATAATCAAGTTGATCGCCTTTCTGATGAAGATGGTCAGAATGTCATCTCGCCGATGTTCTGCTGCTCAGTCACCTGCTCAGATTCCCTGAATACGTCCACCTCGATCTCTCACAGTTGTGATCAAGCAGCCCAGCAAAGTGTGAAAACCGTCAACATTGGCAAGGGTTCAGTGTGTGAAGGAGAGGGCAGAAGTAAGTGACTACATGCTGTGATATTACTTGATGGTGAGGCTGCATCAAGAAAATCAGACATTAATACGGGAATATTGCGATCAAAAGGTAGTAATCTCACTCAGGACTGATAGGCTGCAATCCTGACTTTTCTGCAAGTTGAGCGAGGATCTGAACAAAACAGTTTTCAACTTCTTGTCCAAGCTGAATGCATTCCAAGTACTGTTTGCAGTTGCACTTGTAAGTTCTTCTCCTTAACTTTGGAATCAAGGAAAGAATGAAGGAACGAGACCCCTTGAAGGCGAAGATGAAGAGAAGGTCTGCACCGAAGCAGTGATGCAGGGTTGAGGCTCAGGAGCATGACAGGGTTTCTTCTGGGCTACGAGAAGTATATCGTAGTGTTCGCATTCAGGTTGAAAGGACGTCATGAGAGTCTGTTGACGACCTGCAGGAAGCGAAGCTTGTCGTCATCGCCCCCAACATTGAAAGTAGCCCGGTGAGCTGCGGCTTTACTTGCACCTTGACAACTCACGTCGAGTGCAAGAGCGAGGGAGGGCTGGACGACAGGGTCGAGGAGATCATAAAGGCAGCCAAGAGTAAAGGGGTACAGGAGGAGAGTCTGAGAACACAACCTGATGAATCTACCAGATTCCCATCGTGTTTGCGTTGAGTAGGAACAGATTGGGAAAGGCTTTGGGAAAGGTATTTGCTGAATGGTTTCAACAAGTTGTCATGTTTCATGCAGTCAATGCGAATGAGTGCGGCCTCTGTTCACAATGTGGATGGAGTTCACGAGATGTATGTGTGCTCATGTGGTGAGTTCGTTTTGATATCTTTTGTTTTGGATCTCGATCAGGTACAAAGAGATCCTTTCAACAACGATGGAGCTTAGAGAAGAGTTTCGTCGGCAATCAGAGTCTACGTAACTTTGATTCAATAGAAATGAGAAACAACACCTTCCCCTAGCTAACCTCTCCTCTCCGGTCTCATTCGTCCGGCTCAATTCTAGCTGAATTCGACTTGATGAGAGTCGCTCTGCTCTTTCTCAGGGAATGTCGCGAAGGCACTTACAAGGCACGGCAGCTCCAGCACGAGAGTCTGTGGAAACAAGAGTAAGAAGAAGCATCGAGCTCTTTTCTCTGCCTACCTGGTTGTACTCCTGCAGCGCTGTCGTTTGGTTTCGCTGCGTGACCTGATAGTAAATGCTTGAATCGGAGTGAAAGCATCTTGCGCTTAAGACGAAGTCTGGTGTCTGAAGGAGAGGATTCGGGGGGTTGATGACGACGAAAGTCACGGAGTAGTATCTTCCTGGCATGATCGACTTCCCTTCTGCGATCGTCAGCGTCAAACTCCCAGCACTTTCATTCCACACTCCTTTGTGATCAAACACGGCAGAATCAGTCCCGTTGACATCCACTTGAGTGCCAACGATGGTCATGACTTGAGCGCCAGTCCCTTTGAAGCCGCTCACAACCACAGCTGATACTGCCCCGACCTCCATCAGCACGTTGGCAACAAACGTGACGCTAATTTGATTCAAGGAGCCAGGGGTTGGATTGTTCTGAGCCATCCTGATCACTTGAAATCCTGGCGCTAGAGTTTGCAGAGGGTTGACGTCGAGAGTGGTTGTACCAGGAAAGACGTGACACACTGGTGTACCTGCCTTGTACATGGTATTTGAAGAAACCTTGTGCTTCATTTCAATCTGAAGCTGTTCCCCCAGCACTTCATCAACAACAATCAGATCACCTTCAATGGAAATCATTGAACCTTTCTGAATTTGTGCCTCTTCCACAGATACTACCTCCATCGCATGATTGAAGCAAACGTAAAAATCGTACATCAGACTCGTTGTACCAATGCAGGGATAGTGGTGGTTGATATCAAAGGCTGTAGGTGGGATGGTGAGATCTGCCGAGCTGATTTCGATGAGGGGAGTCAAGACCAGGTTCTCAAAGGGAGGATTTCTCAGGGAGAACTGAAACGAGATGGTGGCTCCTGGCGGAATGTCCTTGTCACACGGGACTATGAGCTGGCCTGACGACTGGTTCCAACGAGATTCGGTCGGAAGGAAAAGTTGAGAATCAGAAGAAGGTACCAGAGGTAAGACATTGTCATCAGGCGTTTGCGACCCAGTCAAACCATGCAGGGTGAGGGTTGCAGCTGTAAGCCTTGAGCTATGAGAGAAATGAACGGTTATGTTGTTTAGGGCCGAGGGCAGAGGAGTGCTTTGATAAGCTGTCTTGATCAGAAAATGGCTCTCTTGGACGATCAGGGAAGTTTGTTGGAGGGTTTGCGGATCTAAGAAAACACCCTGAAACGTCAGGCTTGATTGAAAATCTCTGAACCAGAACTCAACCAGATTATTTCGAATGGAGTACTTGGGATTGACAAGATTGAATGAGATCCAAGTTGTTTCATATGGCAGCCACGTCAAGTCAGCAACAACTCTCAGAATCATCTCTCCGCTTCTCGGCACCAACTCTGCCTCTTCCTCGAATACCAACTTGCCCCCTACGTGTTGGATGCGCACTGGCTGCACTCCGCTCATGCCAGAGAGACCTGTCACAGTCAACGTTGCGATTTGCCAAGATGACATGAGCATGCTTGTAGCAAAGATCAAAGAGACAGAGTTGTTGGTGTCTTGAAAGCTCGACTGCTGTGAGCAGAGAGCAGCTGAGATTCCTGGCTTGACTATGAGGAAAGGCCGCGCGTACCCCCTCCTAGCTCCAGGCACGATGACACAAGCTTGAGACCCCTCTAGGTGCGGCTCCGAGGAGGTTTCTCCCTGCGCTCGCTGCACCCAAACGGTGAGATTGAGGACTCTGACAACACCAACAAGCTCATTGTCTAGCCTCAGCTGATACCCAGCATAGACTCTCGACGCGTTGGATACTTGGATGGCATTCTGAATACTGTCAACACTGCTGAGCAGACTGAGGTAATCAAGGCAAGGAGCCCCCTGATCCCACGACATGATGACAGGAGGGATGGTTCGACTGCTTGATGACGAGATGAAAACATCAGGAGGACTATGACCTATCCCATACTTCGGTTCAGATGTCAGCAGCGGATTCTTCAACGCAAAGCTGAAGGAGTAGATTGTATCTTTTTCAATGCTTCTGTTTGCCGTCACCCTCAGAATCAAGGTCCCTTCGCTCTGGGTCCAAGCTCCGTACGGCCCGAAGATTGACGCGTTGCTTGTTGAATATTTCAGAGGAAGAAAAGGAGAATCTTCAGTGCTTGACGACTTCAACCCATTGATGGTGATGGATGCGGCGATAGGCAGATCAACGTTCGTCCCAAGCTCAACCGTCATCCGATTGGTGACATCAGCATAGAAAGTGCTCTGCTTGATCGCTTTGAGAACAAAGCCAGGTGTCAAAATTTTCAACGGCCTGCAGTCACCCTGTTGAGCGCCTAGTAGAATGCTGTAGACTGTCATTCCAACGCTGTGACAAGTTGCGTTGCTGCCTCCATACCCACGAGAAACTTGCAAGATGGTATCATTGTGAATCCTTTGAACCAGCATGATTTCCTCATCACACTGTATAAGTTTACCATTTTGAAATGCAGCAGTACTCATTACTGCTAAGATACTTGTAACAGGATCAGGAATGTATGCAGAAAGCTGGGATTGTCCAGAAGAGGGGATACAGAATGCCTCTGTTTCCATTTTGCCTTGAGCTGAAATCTTCTGATTTGAGAGAACGATGTAAACGTCATTTGCATTCTGAGATAAGGTCGGGTTGGTAAGATTGAAAGTGAAACAATAAAGCTTGTTAGCTTCGATCAGGCTGTTGTTCCTTGTGAGAAGCGAGATCGTTCCGGAATTCTGTTGCCACCTTGCCTCTATGTCAAACACGCCTACTTCGTTGAGATCGCAAGGGCCGATTGCAAGATGATTGTCATCATGAGTCAAGCTTCCCACAAGGCCAGAGACTACAACTGCAGATGGAGGAGAAGCATCGAAGTTCACGGCAAACTCAACCCGGATGACATTGGTTGCCTCAGGATACGGAGAGCTTTGACGGATAGTTTTTACGATGAAGGCAGGAGGGTCGACTTGGAGGGGAGGCGAGCTGCTGCTGACACTCATTGTCTGCTGTAGAGAAACTGCTCCACAGCTGAGGATTAGATCAGGTGTCACGGGCCCTTGAGGTGCGGCAGGGTTGAGTAAGGGGAAAGCAAAGGAGTATGCAGTATTCTTGATGAGGCTAGTTAGAACCTTGATTGCAAGCGTGCCAGTGAGGGGGTCCCAACCATTTGGAGCGAATCTGTCAGGAGACTGTGATTGTGAGATCAGAGGTGTAGTCGCAGAGATCTTTGCGCCTGAGTGATGACTCTCAACTGAGGAGTTGTACATTCCTCGTTTTACAGTCAAACGGTTTCCTTCAACATCCGTGACAAAGAGGTATTCGTTTCCTAAGATCAAATCTGACCCGGGCAATATTCCTGCAGTTTTTGCTGAGTATACATTAATCTCTTCTGAAACAATGTCCAAAGTATAATTCATGAACAAGCCTGTTCTCCGCACCGCAATCACGATGGAATACTTTGAATGAAAGGAAGCAGTAGTAAACCTCTGAGCACGCAGTACAGTAACGAGATCCCCAGTCTTATTTTGAACAAACATGATTTCTTCGTCAATTTGTATGTACATACTGATGCTGATATCAGCTGCTGATGCGTCTTCAACACTGAATGTGCTTGTTGTAGCTTCTAAGTCGTTCAAAAGAAAAGTTTCTATTGGGATCGACACTTTCGCCTTGTCAGGATGGAATCTTGGAACAGTTCCTGCTTGTCCCCGAGAGATAAAAACATAAGGGTCTGCCACGCTCGATACACGGACAATTTCATCCTCAATCTCCATGAACGTTCCCACCCGGATCGTACAGAAGTAGGCGGTTCTTGATAACATCGTTCGATTGTCAAATTCTGACAACCCTTCACTGTGATTCAAAACAGTCATACGAAGTTGAGTGATGATCGACCCGTCGGAGTGTATTGAGACAGCAGTTCCAGCAGACCCTCGCTCAACCACATACAAGGCATTGCTGAGATTTGCCTTGACTAGTAGAATTTCCTCGTCAATCTTCAGGTAAGTATATGGTTGAAAGGTGAGAGGAGTGGAAGCAACACTTATGATTTCATCTTCAATCGAAAGTTGGCCAGGATAGAACCCGGTTTCTTTCATGGAGAGCGAGGCGCTGAGATATGGAACGATAGTTCCATTGCTGTGAAAGGAAGTTGCCGAGCTGAAAATTCCTCTTGTAACAGTGAGATTTGAGATGTTCATGTAGGAGATACCAACTAATTCATCATCGATTTGTAGGATACCCCCAACAAAGAAAGCTTCCATATCCACGCTATCGATCATCATCCATCCCTGAGCTTGGTCCATCGGATACTTCACATTTAGTTTGTATGTTTTCACAGATTTAACTACGCTTCCATCTGGATGGTTGACGGCAACAGTCCCTAGCATACTCCGCTGGACAGTGAATGAATTACCAGAAGTATCGATATGACCGACTCGCACGACTTCTGCTTCAACCTGCAGGTAATCACCAACAACGGGACTAAAGTTCCACGATGACACGTCCAGAGAGAGTGTTAGAGATGAAGCGGCCATGTCTGATCCGAGGATTAAGAGAGTTCTGTCGCACAGAATGAGCTGAGATCGCGAGGGGAAGGCAACAACTTCCGTCAAGTATTGTCCTCTTGCGACAGACAAATAGTCCGCACCGACCTGCTCCACTCGAACCACTTCTTCCCCTACCTGCAGATATGCTCCCTGCTCCAGATTTGGAATGTCAAAGCTGGATGAGATCGCAAATCGATCGTCCGTCGCAGTCACATCTGCCGTCAATCGAGCGCCTGTCGTCGGCTTGACGATCGAGCCACCTGCATGCTCTCTGGGGTATGTTCCGGCTAAGCCTCTCACTACCTGTAGCTCCAAGACCGCGTCGGATACTGCTCTGACATCACTGACGAGGATGATTTCGTCCTCGAGCTCCAAGAACAGACCAGAAGATATCTCGAACACACTTGTGTTGAAAACACGTATAGCCGTATCGTTGTGCCATATCCGGCTCTCTCTGATGACTGTGGTCATGAGCACCACAGTCACGGTGGTTCCCCCGGCGTGTGCCACGACTTCAGTCTGCCCTACTCCTCTCTCGGTCTCTACTCCGTCGGTCGAGACGTTGGTCACCAGGACGATCTCGTCCTCGATCTGAAGGAAGCGACCGACCTGTATAGAGGGCATGTCGTACGATTGTAGCAGAAGCTTCGTGGCGGTTTCCAGGAAATTCCATCCCTGCACGATCGCGGTGCTGTGGATAGCAATGACGGCAGCTCCTGCAGTGTGTGACGTAGCTGCGCTCGAGCTTGCACCCCTGGAGACCGACAGATTGTTTTGGCTGATGGCAAGAATGAGCAAGACTTCGTCATCAATCTGGATATAGTCTCCAACGAACACACAGCAAGATGAGACGGACTGTAGGAATATTGTGTCTGCTGACGCATCGGTGATGTCAGAGGATAGAATAGATTGTTTTGGAATCTCGACCAGAGTACCTAATGCGATTGACAAAGGTCGTGTGCCCACGGTTCCTCGTCGGACGCCAGCAGTTGGAAAATTGATCGAGTTTACAAACAAGATTTCTGTTCCTAATTTGATGTACTTTCGATACAGAAAGACCCCCTCGATTGTCAAATCCCGCTTTCTTAAATTCAAAAAAGTGTCTGATGTCGAAACAGGATGATTTACAATGTAGTCAACGAATAATCGCTGAATGACAGCGTGATTCTTGTGAGAAGTCGGTAGAGTATTTCCTATTCCTCTTTGAAAGGAAAGTCTGTCGTATCGACTTGCAAAACACTGGCATCGAAGGTCAATCTGTCTTTCGCAGCCTTTGGGGCAGATTGAATAATGAAGATCCACATACTCTAAGAAAATCAATTCTTGATCAATCTGCAGGATATCGTTTGGTTTGATGTTTGCAAAGGATGCAGATTCAACAAGAGAAGTACTATCGCTTTCATTTAGTCCTTCTTGGATGAATGCGACATTCTCCAAGATTACGTTGGTCAGGTCTTCATGTGATTTCTGTAGAGAGCGAAGAAATCCTCTTTTGACATACAGCAGGTTTCGTTTTTCTTGAAACAACATAAGCTCTTGATCAATTCGGAGAATCCCAATCCCTGCATTAGAGAACAACTGTGAGTCGCTTACTTGTAATACTTGGACATATTCATCAAGAGGAATTATGCTGGTAAACCCCTGCGTGCGTGGGCTGTCACTTCCTGTCAGTCCCTTGATTGTCAACCCACATTCATTCGGATCATAGGGAACGTCTATGTTTAGAGCTATGGATACTTTCAGAATATTGATTGATGCGACAGATGATGTGCTTTGTGAGATTAAATTCTCTATAAATCCAAGACTCTTCAAATTCAATGGCGAGCTATCATTGTAAGTAGAACCAATGATTCCACTGATTGCAGCGTCTTCTTTTTGGATGAGAATGTTGTTGATGTCATAACAGTGCAACACATCTAATTTCAATGTTGTCGTGTTAAGAAAGATGCTTCTGAATATGATACCTCCTCCAACTTTCAGGAGGAACTCATCAGAGGATATATCGCTTCTTAACATTCCATCCCGTGTAGCAAAGCTCCGAAGTCTTGTACCATTTCTTTGCACGCTCAATCTCACAGAATTTGATTCGGTCGGAAAGAAAATTTGTGAAGGAAGGAATTGAATCAATAATTTTGAAGCACGGGTTTCAGAATTTACAGTAATTGTTACGAAGTCAAGATGAATGGTTTTATCGCTTGTGTCATAGCTTGGAGGCAAAACCTTACAGTAATCCCTCGTAAGTGGAGTGCCTCCGATGCAGGAGTAGTTGAATTCTATCGCACAGGCTGAGCTACACCCGTCTCCATCGTACAAGTTGCCATCATCACATTGTTCCAAACCTCCGTACTCTAAAGAAACTCTCCTACCATCCCCACAAATCGTTTTGCAAAGACTTGGGGTGGAATGGCATGAATAACCATATTCAACGCTGCAGCTGCTCGAACATCCATCGTTTGATTCTGTATTCCCATCATCACATTCTTCTGCCGATCTTGAAACAAGCCCATCGCCGCAGGCGTACACATTGATCTCAGTCCCTATGGCTGCTTTACCATAGTACAGTACTGAGTTTGGAATAGGTTGCAAGATGCCAGAAGACGATTTCCATTTCAAGCTTACTTTGGCTAGTCCAGTCAATTCCTTGTACTCCAACCGGAGGTCGTGTATGCCTTGATCGAGGTAGGCGCTTCCTGAAACCTGAGTGAAAGTGGAAAACCATTCTTCGATCACTGGATTGCCCTTTAAGTACAGTCGAGAGCCCTCTCGCGAAGTCAAACTGCCGCTAGAATCATCTATGAGCATTTCCGAAGCTTCTGCATCAAGATCTGCAACCAATATTGAATTTCCGCCTGAATCGGATGTCGCAGACCCTCGCAATCCTGAGAGAATGATTTCACTGTTCGTCAATCCAGATGCGATGAAGTTAACAGCAAGTGTAACATGGATATAATTTTGCACGCCACAGCTCTGACAAGGCCAAGCATAAGATTGTGAGACCCGTTTGATCAGAAATTTAGGAGCTTGAATTTTGAGAGGAGCAGCATCACCTTGGGATGCACCTAAGATATTAGTTAAGATCGTTGTAAGATCTTTCGTCATTGCTTTACGAAGAATTCTTGATGGGACTGGGTATACGCCACCAGTTATTCCACTGGCGCTCAAAGAAATTGGTGGAGAGCTTTGCCCTGAAATTGAATTCTGCAGGTTGAAGCTGAAAATTTGAACGGAAAAGACGGACACATTGGAAACTACAAATAGATTCAAAGTCTTGCGATTATCGTTCCAGTCCGCTGTTCCTGGTATTCCAGTTGCCGCATTCTGAAACGACAGAGCCCCTGGTCCCTCCAAAGCCAGCGCTCCTGTCGGCGAGCTTCCTCCCGTGAGACCTTCAATGGTGATGATAGCAAGAGATGTGAGCAAGAGATTCGCACACAACGTTACAGTCAAAGTGTTTGTTGCTGCCGGGTAGGGACTGCTCTGCCCTATAGTAGATATTACAAACTCAGATCCATACACCTTGAGAGGAGCCGCATCTCCGATTTGTGGCTGCGGGATGGCATTCGTCACTGAAGGGATCGTTGCTAAATCTGGCTCGAGCACTACAGGAGGTATGATGGACTTCGGGAGATTCGGCCGGAGAAGAGCTCCGGACGCACGGATAGCAAGGATCCTGGCTCCAAAAGCTCTTGTGAAGTTGAAGGAGGCTCCAAGAGCAACTATCGGTTTAAGACAGTAACGAGCATTGCCAGGTTGATCTAGCAGTCGATCTCCACAGAAGCAAGTTGAGGTACTAGCTACGAACAGAAGTGGGTCTTGGCTGAAATCTTTTCCATGGTCTAGGATTGAAATGTTGAGGATTGATCCAGCGGTACTCCGCATTGGACTTGAGACGATTGAAATACCTCCTTTCACGGTCACATTGATAGTAAGACCATCTTGCAGAGTGAAACCATTTGTGAGTAGGAAACGGAAACTGTAAGTCATGTTTGATTTCAAAGCTCCCCCAGCCTTCACAGTCACGGTTAGAGATTCTACAGTTTCATTCCACAGAGCCACGTCATCGATTTCAGACAAAATCTGCGTTTGAATTACAAATGTGCCATTCATTTGTGTTGGTTTTAGAGGAGAACTCAAAAACGCCATCCCTCCCATGAAAGCAATTATCTGTCTAGATTCCACTCTACTTTCTTCTGACTCAGTAAAAAGTAAGATCTCACATCCTTTATAGTAATCAATTTCTTGCTCATTTGCTTTCAAATTTATGGCAGTCTGATTGAAAGCAACAAAAAAACCAGATGTTATTGTGACCTTGTTTTGAACAATTGTCGTGAGCTCTTCTAAAACCACGCCTCGCAGCCCTTCAAGTATTATTTTTGATCCACCGAGGATATTGAAATTCGAAGCTAGCGTTACGTAAATATTGTTCTTTCCACCTGTGACCAAACATCAATAACACGGTGTGTGAACAAAAAGAAAATCATTACCTATTGTCGACGTACTCTGGCTAATTTCCTTCAAGACAAAGGCAGGAGGAGCAACATAAAACGGCCTTGCATCTCCTTGATTACTGCCCAATACATTTGGAACAGAAATGTGATCAGAATGCATTGGCTTCCCTTCAATATGAAAGTCGGAACAATTTGCGGAAATTTCAGGTTGAATCCAATCAAATCCTTGAAGGTTATTTCTGATCTCAAAAAAGAATTTGTAAGGCAGGTCGGTCTCCATTTTTTTTTCATTTGCAATGTACACAAAGATCTTATCTCCTGTAGAGAATACTTCTGATCCAAAAACTCCAAACGAGCCTTCATGAAAATCATGAATTGTCAAGTTTCCAGACGATATGTTCAATCCAGCAAGATTGTTCACTTGAATTTGGCAATCAGATTTGAGTTGAATATTTGTCGCAAGCGTCACATAGATTTTGTTTTTGGATCCAGGGAATGGGTTGCTTTGCCCAATATTTCGCAGGACGAATTCGGGGTTATAGACCCTCAAAGGTCGGGAGTCTTCTGTGAAGAGTAAACCAGAGACCAAAGGGAACTGGATTGTGCTCGAGTTTGAATGATCAGCTTGCAAGCTCCCGGCTACCCCTCTGTCAGCTTCGATCAACGAGACATTGCTTGAAATCACACGAATCAATTCATCATCGATGAAGAACAGCTGTCCTTGGGACAACTGGTAATTTAACTTCACGCTGAAAAATCTGTCCTCTAGCCCCAACAATTGTGATTGAATGTTTAAGCTTCCTACAACCAATCCTCGTGAGGGTCCAATTCTCAGAATGTAAGCAAGCGAGCCTTTTGGATGGTGAGATAACACTGGCCCTCTGCTCACCAGAACATATTCATCTTCAGTTGCAATGACTGTCATCTTTTCGTCTCCGATTTGGATTGAATTACCAATGAAGACTTTGTCTATGGAGGAAAGTAAAATTCTTGAATAGTTTGTGCAGCACTTGTTATTTAGACATTCACATTTTAAGAAAAGCGCACTTGAAGGAGCATCCTCCTCCAGAATTAAGACCGAAGTGAACAATATTTCAGAATCGTCATGAGATATTTCCTGTAGCACACTGAATGTATCCATTTTGACTTCACAGAACAATCGTACCAAGCCGGGACTGAGATCTACCATTGGATTCTGAATGTGGAGTGCAAACGAATAAGGCAAACCCTTATGGAGCGTTCCATTCCATTGGAGCTCCACAATTCCGTGGTGAATGCTAGCATACGTTGAAAGAGAAGGCAGTACACTCCAAATAGAGTACGAAAACTTGGTATCATTCTGGAAATAGATACTCTCATTCAGCAAAATTGTAAAATTGCTATCATAGTTGACAATCTCACGCCAATGAATGTTTTGATTGAACGACACCGAGACGAGACATCCAACTATTGAGGTGTAAGAATTCACCACAACAAACGAGCTTATTGTCCCTTCAAAGGATTCAATATCTCCTGACTGGATTTGATATGGGACGGGGACAACATGAACAACACCATCCTCGGAATTCTGACTTTCATTTAGCCCTAAAATGCGAATGCTGAAATGTGAACTGTTTATGTCTATACTAAGGCCAAACGTCACCTTAATGAGATTGGAAGCATTTGGGTAAGGGTTCGTCTGGGATGCTGTGAGTACCGTGAATTGAGCCGATAAGATTTTCAGGGCTGCAGCATCACCAGGTTGAGAACCTTTGAAGCCGAGGATAGAGTCGCGATCAATTTGCGGCAAATACTCGAAGGGAAATTGTAAAGCGATGGAGAGTTGCGGTAAAATAGGTGAAAGCGAAGCCCCTTGCACCAATGGAAATGAAATTTCGTAAGGGACATCTGGAAGTAGTGCCACACTAACCTTTGACCCGGAAGCATGAAAGGTGTTACAGGTGGAGTAGACGCCTCTCACAACAGTGACAGCATTACTTGACTGGTTCAGCACTTGAAAAATTTCGTTCTCAACCTGAAAATAACTCCCTGATAGAATGCTAGATTCATCATACAGATCTAATTCAAAGTGAGTTTCAATGCTGTTCAGATTTCTCGAGATGAATCCAATCTCCTGTGGGCTGATGACAAGCGTTCCACTTTCCTGATTCCAAATACTAGCTGTTGTTGCAATCGATTGACTGTTGTTGTTTTCACGAAAGATAGGTAAAACAACTTCGACTTCTGTTCTTCGCTGATGATCACAGAGTTTGGAACCAAATTGAGCTCTATTGACATAAATTCGTTTGTCACCTTCAACTCTGATCACTCCAAGGATTTCATGGTCTATCCTCACAAAACTCCCTGAAGATATCCGTGCTCCAGAAGCTGTGTCAATCTCAAAGGAACTATCATTTCTGAATAGATCATAGAGGAGATAAGAAATGCCTCCCGTGCTAGGCGTTTGCATTCCAGTCAAACCCGATATCGTAAGGTTGACTCCATGATCGTCAGATACAGCAATAGACAGTCTGAATGTGATGCTGACATTAGTGGCCATGAATGGCAGGACATTACTGATTGAGAGTTGCTGATTAAGCAGAGGTTTGAGTACGAGATATCTATTTTCGCTCAGAAGAGTTCGAATTGAAAAACAACTTGTGTCCAAGAAAGATGCATTTTGTGCATGAATCGAGGACGACAACCCATTGATTATTACATTCGAAGATCCGGATTGCAAAATGGCTAATTCGTAAGCTTCAGTCAAAGTTTCGACCATGACCTGCACGTTCTGTAGTTGCTTGGAGTAAATGCTATTGAAACCAATGAACGAGAGCCCGACAATCATTTCTGGTGCCACATCTTCCATCGCATAGAGTTTGAGAGTTTTGTCTGCCTCTGACCACAACGCAGTCCCCTTTTCTCCATCGACGTTGGCTGCAAACCCAAAAGCACCTGGACCTTGTATTTTGAGAATGCTATCTTCCGATTTCAAATGTACTTCAAAATTTGTCAGCTTTATTTCAGTTCTAGCAGGAAGTAGCGTAGAACGCACAAAGAAGAATGCGACTTGATTGAGGGCCGAGGCAGTGCTGCTATTTATGGTCAACTCCAAGGCTGCAAAACCACGACACCGTATCTGAAGTGGAGCAATGTCCCCTGGAAAGGCTCCTGGCTGGATCACATAGATCATTGATCCTTCAACGTGTTCAGTTACAATTGAGACATCGAGATTGCGCGAGGCTGTTATAGTTGCTCCGTCAATTGTCAAGATCTTCAGCAGCTCTCTTCCAAGCTGTAGACTCTGATACATCATGAGATTTGATGAATTACTTATATTGAAAGTGATGACGGCATCGAAATTACCAGGAATGTAATTTTGCAATGTTGAGTAACTCTTGTAGGGGAGCTGATTTGGATCAAAACTAAGCTTGGTTGGAACTATCTGTACTGCAACGCAACCTCCATCGAGACCACAGGTTTGTATATCTTCCAAACTTTGACAGCTTATTCCACTGTGCACACCACCAATGCAAATATAAGCGTTCGAAAATTGTAAATTGATGCTCGAAAAATTCCTTCCATAAGCGGGATTGATCATGCGGAATTGAAATGCAAACGATCTCCCAGCCAACAACACCAATGATTGACTTGGGTCGGTGCTGAGTATCAGCACACCCGAGGTCTCGTTCCAAGCTTCAGCTGAGATACTTAAGACTTGAGACACATCCGAAACTATTTTGAAGGAGATAGGAGATAGCAAGGCAATGGAAAACGGTGAATCGATTACAAGCACGTGGTAAGAATCGTGACTGACGATTTGCCTTGTCTGACTGAGTCCGGCCTGGTCACAACAAACTTGTATGTAGTATCCCACGTATATTTTTGAATAGGATTCTATATAGTGATTCATCTCAATTGTAGTTGATGTTAATTGCGCTTTGATATATCCTTGCAGAATGACGACACTTTCCAGCTGAATATTTGTCTCTGTTTGAGCCATGGTCAAGCCATGGAGTCCTGTGATGGTAAATTCACTCTTTGACCTTCCTCCAATCGCTACAGAAGAAGTCAATGTCACCGCCAAGACATTCTCCGCACTCGGCAAATACGAACTTTGACCTATCGAAGCCTGCAGGAGCTTTTGTCCAGTACAAAATAAAGGTTGAGCAAAGCCGTATTCTGATTGCGGTATTCTGATTAACGTGGTAGAGTCTCGATTCATTCTTTGCGATTGAATCTGATTATGTTGGACTGTATCCGCTTCATAAAAACTTAACCCATACGCGCTAATGCTTACTTGTGGACTTTGTTGTTCGTCATTTGGATTGAGAAGTTTAAAAGAAAACTTGAATGCTTCGCCTGCTCGCAAATCTGCCGTTATACCAACAATCACGGTGCCACTCAACCTGTCCCACTTTCCATTTTGACATGCTGATATCGGTTGCCACTGATAACACTTCAAGCCATCTATACTAAAGGACGTGCACTTGTAGACGTCAAACACTGGTAATATTACGTCAACTGCGGCACCATTGTAATGTCTGCTTGCATCTGTATTCATTTGTGCACGCTCCACGGTTAAGTCCCCGATAACTCCATCATTATTGCTGTCATAATCCAAAATCCTCATGATCTCTGAATCAATCTGAATGTACTGGCCAACCTGAAGCACTACATTCGGCAGATCTGAGACTTGCACCTGAGTGTCAGAGATTGCATTCGAACCGATACTCCCAGAGCTTGCTTGCAGATATGTTCTGTATTGAGGAATTTTACCATCTGCCTGAATAATGCCTGTTGCATCAGTGGTTGCTCCAGTCAAGCCTGTAATCGTGATGGCAAAAGCATTTGAAAATGGAGAAGCACAGCTAGGTAAAGATGGATATTTTGTTTGTGCACGAAATGACAAAGTGACGGTGATCGTATTTTCAACCGAAGGTAAGTAAGTTTGTTGACCTACGCTTGAGAGCAGAACACAATCTTCTTCTGTACACGGCAATATTTGAAGCGGAGCGGAATCGGCTGATTGGAGACCAAGTGCTGGAGACTGGATTAATCCATAGGTCATGGAAGCTTGATATGAAAGTCCATCTTGTGTCGAAACCGAAACTTTCACATCAGCTGGGGGACAAGTGATGTTCTTTGTAGAAGTTTGTGGGTTATAGATGTCAAATCCGAAGTACTGGGCTGAGTCTTTTTGCCAAACGAAATTAGACTGCATTGTGAGTCGAAGGTAACCTTGACTGGAAATCATCTGCCAGTTCCCCGAGTTTCCAAATATTTTCTGAACACTGGCATCATATATCAAATTGAGGTTCCTGTTGGATCTGCAATAAGACTCGCAAATTTCTCCGCAAGGAGAGTTTGATTTGATACCTGAGATGGTGATGACGGTGTTCGAATTTCCATACAGGTTGACATTTGGAACAAGCGTTATTGACAAATGATTTCTGTCTAATATTGCAGAGGACCGAAAGGGATTGTTTTGACCTATGTCTCGAATGACAAATCCCGGAGGGTTGACTTTCAGGGGCTTTGAGTCACCATATTTAAACCCAGAAGCCACAAGGAATACAGGTGAACCCAACGCATGAGGCGCAACACTTGTGTTCAATGACGCTCTTGTTACCGTCAGGCGATTTGAAGCTTTGCTTTGAATCTGGAAAACTTCCTCATCAACTTGCACGAATTTGCCTGGAGTGAAAAAGGGCAAATAACTGGATGAGCCCACAACGATATCGACAAGACAGAGCGATACAGCGCTCTGAGAGGGATGATCACTTATTTCACTTGATCGGAATCCTCGTCTAACCAAAACAACCTCACCAGTTCTTGCAAAAGGTAGCATACGTTCTTTCTCAACAGTAATGCACTCCTGCATGTAGTTATCAAAGAAATCAAATTCGAGCAAATTCATTTGACAAGTGTGAAATTGGGAAAAGGATGCGTGTCCTGTGATGGAGGATCCGAAACTTCCTCGTTGCAAAGTGACATTGAATTGGATTTCGGTCAAAATCTCCACTTTTTCTATTTTCACAATTTCTTGATCGATTTGAAAGTATTCTCCAATTTGAGCAGAATGTGACTTTGAATCCATTGCAACGATTGCAAATGTAGAGTTCAGTCCTAAATCTTCTGCAAGTATAAAACTTAGCATAGGCAAGGATAATTGCGTTTCAGATGGTTGGTCAATCAAGCTGATGTTGCAAGGAATCCAATCCATCGAACAGGAGTAGCTATACAAGATACTATTGGTATCTGACGACATGTTATTTGTCCACTGCCATGTACCTTGAGCATTAAGAGATATTGTGGAAATATCGTTGAAAACATTTGGATTTTGAAGAGGAAATGAAAAGACGTATTCTTGACCGACTACCATTGCCTTGTACACCACACTTGAATACATATGAGCATTCACAGTTGTGTTTGCAAATCCTCTCCTCACAATAGCAGTGGTGTCGTCCAAAATACTTTCAACAAAAACAACTTCTTCATTTATTTGAACGGCCATACCTTCAAAAATTGTTGCTTCCTTAAAAGACCAGACTTTGAGAACATCAGAGCTATCACTGAGATAGTAATTGCTACGCACGTGAGAAGTCGTTATGACGAGCAACATGCTGCCAATGGAGAAATTCTTCCTCTGTTCTCTTAAAATCAACAAATAGTCCGCACCGACCTCCTCCACTCGAACCACTTCTTCCCCTACCTGCAGATATGCTCCCTGCTCCAGATTTGGAATGTCAAAGCTGGATGAGATCGCAAATCGATCGTCCGTCGCAGTCACATCTGCCGTCAATCGAGCGCCTGTCGTCGGCTTGACGATCGAGCCACCTGCATGCTCTCTGGGGTATGTTCCGGCTAAGCCTCTCACTACCTGTAGCTCCAAGACCGCGTCGGATACTGCTCTGACATCACTGACGAGGATGATTTCGTCCTCGAGCTCCAAGAACAGACCAGAAGATATCTCGAACACACTTGTGTTGAAAACACGTATAGCCGTATCGTTGTGCCATATCCGGCTCTCTCTGATGACTGTGGTCATGAGCACCACAGTCACGGTGGTTCCCCCGGCGTGTGCCACGACTTCAGTCTGCCCTACTCCTCTCTCGGTCTCTACTCCGTCGGTCGAGACGTTGGTCACCAGGACGATCTCGTCCTCGATCTGAAGGAAGCGACCGACCTGTATAGAGGGCATGTCGTACGATTGTAGCAGAAGCTTCGTGGCGGTTTCCAGGAAATTCCATCCCTGCACGATCGCGGTGCTGCGGATAGCAATGACGGCAGCTCCTGCTGTGTGTGACGTAGCTGCGCTCGAGCTTGCACCCCTGGAGACCGACAGATTGTTTTGGCTGATGGCAAGAATGAGCAAGACTTCGTCATCAATCTGGATATAGTCCCCAACGAACACACCGCAAGATGAGACGGACTGTAGGAATATTGTGTCTGCTGACGCATCGGTGATGTCAGAGGATAGAATAGATTGTTTCGCTATGTATATTGCCGCGTATTGGCGTATTGGTTTGGGATTGCTTTGTGCCGCACCTCGTCTTACTTCCACTGAAATATTGTTTAAAAGTTTTGTGACCTGCATGATCTCCCCGTCAATTGTTAGATAGGTTTCTAATTTATTGAGGAATATCGCAGGGGGGTCAAAGCTGAGTATTGTTTCACTCTCATTCATGGACTTCAAAACCAAAGATAAGTCTTGCCTTTGTACTGTTGAGAATTCTGTGTGCGGAGTAGAAGACGTCAGGGCCTGACGGCGGTTTACAAACAAAGTTTCCCCAGAAATGTTGATAATTTGGAGAATTTCTCGATCTATTTTGATATAATTTCCACCTTGCAGGAAGGCCAGTGAGTAATTTTCAACCCTGAGGAATTGTTCTTGCAGTCCAAATCCATTCAATGTTGTATTTCCAAGAAAGTTTATTGTTGCTGATCCCTCTGTTTGATTCCATGTTGAAATGCCATAATTGAAAAATGCAGACTGCTGTCCCACTTTGCCTAAAAATGGTATTATGCTTGTAACCAGTGTCCCCCTCGTATGTCGACTTGGTGTGGTTGAAAAGCTGTTACGTTCCACTCGCAATATATTCGACATGGAGAGAATCGGATTCCATAAGAATATTGAACTTGCAAACTCATGATAGGCAGGTGCTGTACCAAAATATCCCCTCTTCACTTTCACGGTTGTTTCTGTGATTTCAGTTACTTGCATAAGTTCATTCTCTATTTGGACGATACTGCCAACAATGGCACCATACAAAAGTTCGAAGGAGCCAGATGTAAAGTTTGTGGAACTCGAATCCAGCACTTGATCTAATGATGCATAATTTTCTATTTCTAAAATGGTACCGTTTGCATGATAGGCAGCTTTTGTTCCAAGCTGCCCTCTGGCAACTCTAATGAATCCACTATCTATGCTCTCTATGCGAAAAATCTCATTGTCAATTCTAAACATATTTCCTGTCTTGAATCCATATTGGCTCAATTTTGGCTGTTTCGAATATATGCGGGTTTGTATCTGCAAATCAGTCTCTCCAACATTTGCATTCAGCACATCAATATCGAGCCGGAGTACAGTAGAGTTGACTTCGTGATCCTGTGCCACTGTACCAATTTGTCCTCGTGAAATCTGTAAGATGCTTTGATCATCGAAACCAATTGATGCAATGTAGATTATCTCACTGCCTATCTTAACGTACATATTGCTTGATACTCCAGCAACTTCCATGCTTGTAAGGTTCATGTATGTTAGAGTAGACCAAAGCTTAGAGGATAAAGATGTACTACGAATAGCCGTCACAACATCATTCTTCCTGTGAATTGGAACACCTTCTGCACATGTACCAAGCATGCACCTTCGGACTGTCACATTATTTGAATCGACCGAAATTACTTTCATGATTTCAGCATTCACTTGCAAATAGCACCCTGAAGTTATTCTTCCTATGAAAGAAGATCTAACTCCAAATGAGAACGATGTATTTGGAATGATAATATTTACTCCCGGTGTGTACTGTGCTAGAGACTCGCTTACGTTTACAGTGAAATTGAGACTTGTATTCAACGTAGAGTTGATTGATGTAACGTTAGCCAACGAAGAATTTTCATAATATGACTGCATGTCAGCTTCTAATAGGATGTCATCTTCAAGAATCGTAGATGGCTCTAAATAAATGATGCTTTCGTTGTCATGATGTTGTCGGTTTGAGATTGCATATCCTCTTTGTACAAGTACATGCTCTGAGTCAATGAATTTTATAACCTTGAGGAATTCATTGTCTATTTGTAAGCAGCGCTGATTTATACTCAGGCTTCCAAGCAAACCTCCAGCATATATATTGATGACATCTGTGGTTGAATTCAACTCGGATTTAAGAGTTCCGAACCGAAGCAGCAATATGGTACTCTTTGGTTGGTGCAAAGCCCTGTTTGAGCCAAGTTGTCCTCTATCTACGTAAATTGAAGCATTATTATGAATATCAATCTGATTTATCCGCATAGTTTCATTCTCAACCTGGACATATTGTCCAACGTCAAATCCAAATGAATAAGTACTTTCTACTGTGATATATCCTTGTTTCTGCGTTGTATTTGCAAATTCTTGTATCCTGACGATCTCCTCATTCATTAGAAGATAACAGTCGACATAAAAACCAGCGTTATTGATTGAAGTGACAGCTATTTCTGTCTGGACAAAATCAAGCGCTGTTAGGAGTACGACGCTCGTTCCTGTTGATTCGGTTAGAGTGCCTCGAAGTCCTGAAATCTGGAAATAGCTCAAGTCTTTTCCCAAAAAGTTTGAGTTGAGTACCAATGTGCTTGTAATATAATTTGTAACTCCTGGATCTGCAGTACTTTGTCCAATATTGGAAATTATAAATCCAAGAGCAGACTCAGAATCTTGTCCTACACTCAATCTTTGATCATTGGAAAGAATCGTGCTCGATGATGTCACAAAGGGAATCATCAGCGTGTCTTCTGGATGAAAGACTCTTTTTGATCCTTGCAATCCGCGATTCACGGTCATGTACCCACCGGAGACGGATTGCACCGACATCAATTCTTCATTTGCCTTAAATAGGAAATCTTTAGGGTAGCTCAGCGCGAAATCAAAATAGGGCCAGAATAGAATTGTAGTATCATTCACATTCAATCCTCCGAAATTCTTAATCATCAGCATCAAATATACTCTCGAGCCAGCTACATGATTTCCTGCCTTTGTATCCAATTCTGCCCTAGATAACTTGAGAATACCATCTGGCATAGCATCGATCACTTTTAAAACCTCGCTATTGATCAAGAAGAATGCTCCTTTGTAAGTTTTGGGGAGGGAAATGTTAGCCAGTGTCACTTCGCTTTCATTTGCGCTAATCCCCTCAGTCAATTCAAAGATCTGCCCTATCCTTGGAAAAATTGAGTATGAAAGACGCAAGTCAGGATTGCGTTGTCCTGCATTTTGATTAATGACATCAAAAGATATTCTGTATAGTCGTCCAGCTTCAAGGATCTTGTACCCGTCAAACGTAATTATTGCCTGAAGTTCATCTGGCATATGGATTGTTTGAACAATGTCTAATGTACTCACAACACTACGAGGATCTGACTGTTTGATTCCTTTGATTCCACTTATTGTAATCGTGTTGCTGATTGAAGTGGATGACATTTGCATTCCACCAAAGTTGACTGTACTGACTAACAAGATTGTAATTTGATTTGTTGCACCAGGGAATGGATTTGCATGTTCGATTTTGAAAATCGACAGGCCAAGAGATTCAATTTTCATAGGTGATGGGTCATCGGTGTGGGAATCAAACTTGAGGATATTCACCACCGAAAGATTTGCGTGAAATTGTGGAGCACTGTTTAGACCTCTTTCAACACAAAGATATGAATTGTTCTGTATTTCTATGACTTTCATGTATTCTTCTTCGATTCTTATGGTAGAACCAACAATTGCCGACAAAACGCTGGATGAAGTCAAAACACAGATGTCATTTTCATTCATTGAGCTGGCCAATTTTGATGTTTCTAAGATCGAGTCCTGATCAAGTGTCATCAATGATGTTCGTTTGACAAACCAGCTCCTGATTTTTGATCCCTGTGCATGCGCCGACGGAAAGGTTTGACCAAACCCTCTGCAAAGTTGATATTCTCCACTGATCGGAGAAAAATGTAGTATGGCAATATCTTCGCAATCAATTGTAAGAAAAGAGCCCACAGGCTTGGAAATGCTCATAGCAGTTGTAGAAAGACTGAGCTGATAAATCTGAGTCGAAGAATTCCGACTATAATGAATCGATGAGGAAAGCGAATTCGCGATTCCTCTTTTCACCAATATTTTACCAATATAGCAAGTACTCATAGATACATGTGGAGCTGCAATGCTTCCATATTCTCCTCTTGAAACAATTACCAGACTGCCTTCGATTGACTGCACTCTCATGAGCTCTTGATCTACTTTGAGCAGAACACCTGGTGAAACTTCGCTAACTGATATCAGGTACATCACGTTTGACAGAGCATCGACATAATCTCGAGAAATAGTGGAGTATAGTTCTTGAATCTGCATAATTTCAAACCCTATTTTGATGTAGGTTCCTTTTGCAAGTCCATCGTTAGGATTGCTGACAAAGACTGTGGCATCGTTTGGGTTCAAATCGCTGACAAGAAACACCGTTTTAGGCGGTGGAAGATCATTTAGCAAGACGGCATCACCGCCCAATAAAGCTATTTGAGCATTACAAGAAGGTCTTTCGCGAATAGAATTGAGAACTGTAAAATTAAAAATGATATCTTCAAACTCTGTAATATTTCTTAATGAATAAAAAGACATGATTCTGTCACTTTGGTTCCAGTAGAACGTTCCATTGGGACCAGAATCAAAAGCTGAAAATGATTCAGAATATGAAAAGAAGTTGATACCATGTCTGATAATCGCTCCATCAATCCCGCTTATTTCAATGCGGGATCCTGATTGGATGACACAGGATGATTGTAGTCTGATTTCAATCGTGTTTGAAGACCCAGGATATTTCGAACTCTGTTTGATATTGTACAAGACAAAACGGCATGCCTCTACCTTCAACACGGACTTGTCCTGAAGTTTGGTGCCATGTTCCAGCACATACACTTTGGTGAATGTCTGAAAAAAATCAGATCCACTTGAGCCATCAACTTTTCTTCTGACAGAAGTTTGAAATTCAAAATGCTTTTGTATTTGAGATCCCATTTGTCCTCTGCTCACATACACCTTATCACCAGATGTACCAGTCACGTACATGATTTCTTGATCAACTAAAATATAAACTCCTTCTACAAGACCTGATTCTGTCGATTCACTTACAATCAAGCTACCGAAATAAGTACTTGGTTCACTGGATATGTTTGAGCGTAAAATTGTATAATTCTTGTAGAAAGGAAGTTGACTGCTTTTTGCAGCCGTCTTTGGAAGGATGGGATTTCCGTTGGCAGAGAGGTTGTAGCATGCCATATACATGGTGGGAGAGTCTTGACTCAAGGGTGGGTTATATACCTTGATGACCACTTCAATCAGTTTGTTGGATTGAATTGAAGCTGTAGGGTTCAGGTACACAATATTGCTTGAAATGTTGTAATTGGCAATCGCAGATTGATTTGACGTGATGTCTTCAAACATATGCGCATACGTACCAGAAAGTTCCAGGGGACACAACAAACTGTTCGGATCGCACAAATTCTTTAGATGGAATAGATTCATCCCTGTGATTTCGAAACGAATCGCACTGTTTTCATGAACAGCTATATCTATGTTGGAGGCAAAACCGATTGTCAAGTAATTGATCTTGTCTGGCATTTTTTGACTCTGGCTGATTTCCAAAGCAATGAATCCTTGATCTTGAATGTAAAGAGGAGCTGCATTTCCAATCGTGGATCCGAGGAATCCCAACACGCTCTCAACATCGGAATCCATCGTAGTCCTTGCAATAGAATTCTCGCCGTCTGCAGCAATTCGTACAGTGGGAGAATCTTGGGCTTGTGGCCCATTCAGCACAGCCATCGTAAATTTATATGCATGATACGGTTCAAAGTTTTGTCCCTCTGCTATGGAAAACGATAGGAAACCTGACTGCATTGACCATATGGCATTACCGAAGTCAAAGAGACGGGAAGGGCACTGCATGATAGCTTGATTGCATTCATAATCCTTGAAATTTGCAAGATTCAAAGTTTCTGACGCTGTTCCAGTCAATCCAAAAATAGATATCGTAGTACCTGATGTCAATCTCGTATTGGTAACAAGTGTCAATGAGATGTAATTTCTTGCGTTGGGAAAATCGCAAGTTTGTCCAATGCTTTTCACAATGAAAGAATATGGCTCAAGAAGAAATGCCTTCGACGTAACGTGCTGGGCAACAGCCCTCAGACCATTCCCGGTTGAATCTTCGGCATGAATCACATCAGCGATCACCCTACAGCCTTCCAAATTTACATCAGCAAAAGAATATTGCAAAACCTCAGTCAATGACTGCGTCATGAGTACAGATGAACCAGGATAGAGAATCTGAAGGTTCGCATTACGCGTGTAATTGGTCCCATGTTGCAGAATCCCTACATTGACGATTTGTCCTCTATCTCTTGCAAATACTATTGAAGAATTTTGTGCATCGAAAATCCCGGAGCTTACTTCAAAAGAGGCTGAGAAGTTTGACCCATTTATATCCGTCGCTCCGATCACTCCGACAGTATATCCTCTCCCAGGTTGTAATATATCAATCGAAACAATAGAATCAGTCATCTTTTCAGCCGTGTCAACATAGTAAGGTTCAGCAAAAGGGTCAACAAGGAAGCCACTTCCATGGCGCGACAATGTTATAAGATCCTGCTTTATTTTGCCATCAGAGACATTGAACCTTGCTCTGAAACCAAATCCATGCACTGCATTTTCAAGTACGATGATCCCAGGTATGTAATTGATTCCTTCATCAAGCACGACCAGGGATGTTATACTGTTCTCCATCTCCGGTGGGTATGGGTAAACTCTGGTTCCTTCGGGGTGAGAATCTGCAATCGTGCCCTCCTGTGCTCTAGATATGGTCAAATTATTTCCATCAACATATTGAACCAGAACTATTTCGTTTTCAAGCAATAGCTGACAATCTGGAACAATGCCAAGTTTGGCAACATCTTCAGAATTCAGCTTTAGACTTGTGCTTGTAGCCTGAAGCGACATGTTGAGAAATCCGCCTAAATAGTAAGGGATTATGGATGGTAACGAATTGAATGCATATCCATGATTTGTCAATTCAACAGAACTTATTCCAAAAATCTCTCTTGGTTGATTTTGCGTATCAACATATTCTTTTACCTTTTCGACAGTAAACGTTCCTTCAAATCCTGAGCCTCCACAAGCTGGGTTACACCAAGAAGCCCAATCGTATGCTCCTCCACCTACCGCGAAAATTTCGCCTGCGATGTATCCAATACCAGTATTTTGGACCTCAACGAAATCGATTCCAACTCTAGTTTCTACAACTATTGACGGTGAAAGTTGAGAATCTATTGGATTATAGATATTGAAGCTAAATCGGTAGATTTTGCCGGCTGGTAAAGGTTGAATCAAAAACAAAGTTAAATTTTTTGTTCGATCATTCCAATTTCCGTAACCTACATTGGACCTGTTCATAAACGAACTGAAGTAATTGTCCTGATCAAGACTTGGAAAATCGAAAATTTGCAGAGAATCTTGAATATCAAATGCTCCAAGAAATCCACTCAAAGATATTGAAGCAGATTTTGAAAGCTCAACATTTGCACTTAGAGTGATGATAATAGTATTTCGTGCAGCTGGGTATGGATTTGTTTGAGACGCAATCTTGTAATTAAATTGAGATCCATAAATCTTCAGGACAGTTCTGTCTCCAGGAGATCCTCCTGTCTGTATCAACCAAACGGGTGACTTATCCGGGTGAAGTTGAGGTGTCCATTTAGAATTTGTGACGATTTCAAATTTGCTTCGTAGTGCTATCGGTTTCAAATCTAGCGGATCAGAGATCTCCACAAATCTTTGAGCGCTGTAACCTGTTATTATTCGAGTTTCTTCTGATCCAAAAATTGTCGTAACAATGATCTCAAAACCAATATATGCTCCTTGTATGGTTGACGCATTGCTAGACAACTGAAAATTCAACTCTGGAACAGAAGGGTCTACTTGTTCGATGTAGCCTTGAACAAGAGAGAAGTTGATTCCTCGCTCAACTTGTAGCATGCTTCCATTCGCTCCCACAATTCTCATGATTTCCTCTCCGACAAAGATCAACCCACCAACAGACAGTCCAGGATCACTGCCATTCTGAACGTAAATCTCGTGGTCTGATTTCCCCACTGGGTATTGAAGCGTTGTGACCTCCCTTGAAGGGAATTGAGATTGTACTTGACAACAAATTGGCTGCAGCTCAGCTTCATAAACACTCATCGATGTTAGGATAGAAATGTTTGTCTTCGTAGATTGAAAAGAATTGGTGTTCTTCACGATGATTGCAAATGAATACGTAATGTTCGTTACTATTGGCAGTTCAAATTGAAGTTGCAAAATCCCTGAGGCACGATTCCAAAGTTTTGTTGACGAATAATCAAGGCTAACCAGGCTATACAATTTAAATTCAGTTCCAACTTCGAACGAAAATGAAAATTCATGGGACACAACAACGATACCATTATGATACGAAATAACATTCCTACTTTCAGCAAGTGGTCCGACGACAAGACTTATCTGAAGTGACATGGTGATTTCATTCTGCATGTAACACCCTGCAACACGGAAAGTTGTATTTGATACTGTTGTGTCTAACCATGCTATCGTCCCTTCACAGAGAAATTCTCGAACTGGATTAATTGGCAAAACAAAAGTGATATTCGTCTGATTGGAATGTTCACTTGCAACAGAATTTCCTATCGCTCTAATAACTTGTAACATGTTTTCTTTGATATTCACAATCATCATTATTTCTTGGTCCACACGGATATATCCATGGGAAGTTTGAGGTAACTCTGATGATATTCTCGTGTTCAAGTATAGACTTTGGTCATAGGATGATATATCCTGTATGAGATACGCAGAAGGTGCCCCGATGGTTGAAGCAGTTTCAGTGCCAATCAGTCCACTTACCTGAAGGATAAATGGCCACTTGGGTTGAAAGTTGATGGCAAATGAAAATTGTAATGTATTGTAAGCTTCTGGATATGCCGTTGACTGGCTTCCAAGTGCAAGGATCAATCCTTTTTTCAGAATCCGAAGGGGGGCTGCATCTCCCTTAACTGATGAGATCCATGATAGGATACTGCTTCGGTCAGCCTGCAACTCTTGTGGCTGTATATCTGCAGGTGACACGATAATAAGAGCTTGGCTGCCTCCTGCAACGTGAAGTTTGAATGAAGCTCCATGCGCTCGAATAGCTTGGAGAATTCCTCCATCTGCTCGCTTTGGTATCACCGATGCTCCACAAGGTACAACAGCTTCAAACACTTGATCATAGCCATCGCAAAAAACTTTGGGAGGATCCAAACATGAATAACCAACTCCATGATCTGATACTGATACTTCAATGATCAAATCTTCACCCGACCCTTGATATCCTTTCACGATTTTACAAAGGCCCTGAAACCCTTGACCAGTACAATTTGGATCAAGGGAGCAATTCTTTGAGGACGTGCAATTGGACGTATTCGAACAATCTGTATATGCTTGCACGTACTCAACTGGATAGAGTGGAAGGTCGGGAAGTTGAAATTGCGTATATCTTACAGAAGCTATGCTTCCTTCTTGAGTGCAGATGGAATTATTGAGAGCCAAAGAGTAATTGCATAAGGAAGTATCCAAATACAATATCACAAAATATTCTGGATCTTCAACATAATTTGATCCATGGCTTGAAGCTTGTTGAAAGTAGATGGCTGAGATACCACCCTGTGCATCGACATCAAAGTTTGCCTCAAATCCTGTGCCTCCTCCGCCGATAGCAATAATCCTTCCAGGAAGGTATCCAGATCCTTTTGTCCTGATGACCATTCCAGTGATAGTCTTGTCTTGAACAGTGCTAGTACAAGCAGAGTTGTCAATTGCGCAAGCTGAACTGAAAGGGTATGTCATGAGAATTGATGGGTCAGAGCTGCGATATATACCCCGAGATTTAATAGTGGTGCCTGCAATACTGCCGTTGCCATTGACCGTATATGTTCCTTGAAACGGAGTTGTAGTAGACTCACCAACAGCCAAAAGGTTTCCATCAATATAATTACTTCCTGATGCTATGATGACAATCGATGTGATTGTATTTTCCATCTGATCTTGTGTTCCAGGATAGAACAAAATACCGGTTGCTCCAACACTGTATCCCGATCCATGATTCTCAATCACCAAAGTCTCAGGCTGCAATGATCCATTCAAGTTGACCCCGATAGTAGCGAGAAAGCCCAATTCAGGTCCTCCAGTTCTAATCTCAGCCGACGTGTATCCTGTCCCATAATTTTGAAAGGAGACAGATGTTATCGTGCTTTCCTGTAAGCAATCACTTTTAAGGACGTCGTCCATCCCACATCGACGAAAACCTTCATACAAAAATTTGGCATTGAGTGAACCTCCATATGAACTTTGCGTTTCATTCCTTTTGAAATATTGAAGAGTACCCGATTTTATTGGCAATGTGCCAGAGAGACTCAATTCAATTTGATAGTCCCTACAAGATGTATACTGATCTGTGATTCTTGCAGACGGCAATCTGCAAATACAACTGTTGTTGGTGTCAAGGGCATCGTCACAGATTGCCTGATTCTGAACGCAAATGCAGTTTCCACTGCAGTTTCCAGATGGAACGTACAAGTAATTGTTCCCTTGATTGAATATTTCCACCGAATATATCGCTCCAGCAGTTGCCAAAACGCGACCTGAAAATCCCTGTCCATCGCCATCTACAGCAGTGATATTGGATGGAGTACAATTGACTCCGGAAGAAATGACCTTTGCAGTCGCAATGGAGTACGCCACATAAAAGGAAAACGAGGCGACTGTCTCCTCAATGCCTCTTCTTCCAATGCTTGTTATTTGAATGATGCCAGGAATGAAGTTTGAACCAGACTGCAAAAATGTAAAACCGTAGATTCTTGGAATAGCCCTGATGTAAATGTTTGGCGACTCTTGAGGGTATTCAAAATTTTGTAGATCAAAGGAAAATAAAATTTTCATAGTGGCGGGTAGGATAGGATAGGATTTTGTTTCCTTCGAATGTATCGTAGCTACACTATTGTATAATCCACGCAGAACATAAACAGATTGGTTGATCAAATCTGTGATTTGCATGATTTCGCTGTCTATTCGAAGAAACATGCCCTTTTCAATCAAATCCACCGAGTCCAGTTCAAACGTATTCGAACTTTCGCTAATATCTTCCTTCATCTGAACATCCTCTACGAAGGTGAATGTTGCAGTAGTATCGTTCAAGTCCCAAAAACCATGATATCCAAAAATCTTTGCTGATGCCCCATAAATCGCATATGTAGAGTTTGAATTGGCCTGCACTGGAAGATCCTTTGTGAGCAATACGACAGATCCATCCATGCAATTCTGAATGATATCTGAGTACCGATCGCTTTGAGTGGAGTCAATGCCGTCAATGTCGAAGAAAATTCTGTAATATTGATACGAATCACATCGGTTGTCTATTTGGATTGCAGACTGGTTGTAAACGCTGATCACCACTCCGGTATATAACGCTCGGTCTGTTAATGCAAAATGCTGTGAGTTGATGACAGCACCAGTCAGGTTTGAAATTTTGATAGAAATGACTTCGTCATAACTCAAAAGGACGTTTGAAGCCAAAGTGAGTGACAAGGTATTGTTAGCCCCGGGCCATGGCGAGGATTGACCAATTGATTTTGTAGTGAATTGAGCGAACGAAATGGGCAATGCAGTGCTGGAGTTCAAAACTTGAGGAGGAACCGACTCATTTCCTTGGCTTTGTATTTGGATTAGGCTTGATGTAAGCTGGTTTCTGTTCATGACTTGAAACGAGATTGTGATGTTTTCGAAAGCTGGTATCCATGCAACTGCCATCAATTTTAAAGATTTGGCCGATTCATCCCAGTTACCCATACCTGTTTGATCATTCGATATGGGAGAAAACGATCTACACAGACTGGAAGTCGATTCAGATACGCAAGTGTTGATCGATGCGTTGTTGCCCGCAAGCCATATCATGAACTTTGTGCCCTCCAATGGAGAGTTGGAGAAGGAGGGATATACTGTAACGCTCCTTGCCTGCGTGTACTTGACAATCTCGCGTATTTCTCCGTTAATTTCCATCAAGTATCCAAGATACGCATCGTCTTCTTGGAGTGATGAATCGTCAATAAAAAATGAGGATCTACTTCTTATCGAATTGAGTTTAATTTTTGCCGACAGAACAAAAATGTTTCTTTGCTCAAAACCTGAAAATTCTATTATAGTTCCAGCAGAGATAGCAAAATTGGCAGAGAATGTAATTGAAATCACATTCAAAGAATTTGGAGCATCTGTTTGTTGTGAAATTGTTCCTTCAAAGTGAGGATTTTGAACAAGAATCGACGACGAGAAGCCTGTCTTTGGAATTGTTCCATAATCCACCAAAGCGTGAACCAAAGCACCAGAAGCCCTAACAGCTTCAAGCGATAAGCCAGATGCGCGTCTTACCTTCAAACATTCATTTAAGACACCAGTGATGCTAGAATCTCTTCCATTGCACTTGCATGCAGAGTCATCGGATACCAAATCAGGATCCTGTTGGTAACCCACACCATGATCTAAAACAGTGATAGCTGTTATTGCACCATCTTGAGCTGCACTGACAACAGCATCAAATCTGTAGCCACCTCCAGAAAGAGCATAAATGTGAATCCCTGCACTGCATCCTGTCATGTTGGAGCCAAGTATTTGTAAGTCGGATATCGAATTCATTTGAATGCTCCCAGAGTCTGCATACAACACCTCGATTACATATGGCTTATACGTGGGATCATAATCATCTGCAGGATCTCGGAGATATCCGGCTCCATGGTCGTATATCTCAATGTTTGTTACGGATCCATTCGTGTCCACTTCAAATATTGCGTACGCTTGACTACATACTGCAGGATCGCAACCTCCAAGGACACGAATACTACCGGACACAAAGTTCAATCCTGTTGAAATAATTTTGATGTGGGTTATTGAGTTTGTCATAAGATTTCTCAACCATCGTACTTCAACATTTTGAGGATGAAACATAGCCAATGTACCTTGTATTCCTCTGTCAACCCTGAGACTGCTACCTGCGATGTCGATTTCAGCAACTTGGACAATTTCACCTTCAATCACCAGAAGTGCCCCGACAACAAAGTTACATTGTAGTAAATTCGAAACATTTAGAATCTGGTCATACGAAGTTGCACTGGACGTAAGGCTGCCTTTGAAATATTCTAATGTTGCATTGGGTGCCAAGGTAAATCCATGTCCAACGTTGGTAATTTCAGTGGCTCCAATGGATCCATTGGGAAATACAGAAAAGACTGCAGAAGCTCCATATCCATCGCCTCCGTACAAAAGTACTGATCCATCAATGTAACCACGGCCAAAGCTATCTACTTCGATGCTGCGCAGGGGTGCTGTCGCCTTGATCGTGATCTGGCTTTGATTGGTGACCACTTGAGAAGGGTTAAAGAGGTTGAAGGCAATTATGATCCCCAGATCAGGTGGCAGGATCTTAGAAACTACGTCACCAATCTGGTGGGATGACAATAAGCTAGAGCCTAACCCCCGATGAACAATCAATGCGTGACCTGAAATCGTCAAAACCTGGACTATCTCCTGATTTATTTGCAAGAACGATCCGACACCTACTTCAAACGTTGATACATTCTCGATCAGGATGATTGAACTGGAAAGATTCACACTTTCTGCCAGATATGAAATATCTTGGAACGAAATTTCCACAGTGCCAAGGTGCTCATCGCATCGCGCATGGTGGGCTATTGTGTTTTCAACATTCAACGAGATTTCGTAGTGATCACGTTCAGTGACATTGTTGGAAAAACTGTAGAAAACCTTTACTCTGCTTCCATCCATGGCTAATTGGATGACTCTACTCTCGTTTTGAATCGAAATGACATAAGATTGCGAAATGTTCTGCAAATATGATGAAAACGGAAGCAATTCAAATTCACTTTGGCTGAAAACTTTGCCTATTTGCCCAGTCTGAACAGGATAATTGAAAATTTCAACAAAGCTACTACATCTCATACTGGACAGTCCAGCAATGATCAATGAATTCGGAATTCTAGAGGACAATGGGACATTGGTCGAGATCAGAACCTTAATGTTATTTGTACCAAATGGAATTGTTGAATTTTGAAACAACAAAGCTTTCCTGAACCTGTTATTGTACAGTCTGAGAGGCAAGGCATCTCCTGGCTGTGCTGCCAATTGATCTAAGATTCTTGCGAAATCCCTCTGCATTTCTGTTCTTGGGATGTGGGCAGTTCCGTTGGCAGAGATGAAGATCCGTGGAGATTCTTGCTTGACATTGTTTGGAAACGATACCGGATTCAACAGAGTGAAATAAAAGCTGTACAGGACATCGGGATAAAAAGCTCTGCCTGGTTTTACAGAAAGTTCCAATCTACCTTCTGCTTGACTCCAGGTGCCCTGTAGATTCAAAACAGTGGACGCCAGGCTGAAGATCTGATAGGTAGAATCAATCGAAGGCAAATGGACAAGTTCGTTATCTAGAGTGACTTCTCTACTGAGATATTGAACAATCATTCTTTCTTCAGCCGGAAATGCTCCAGTCTGTACTGAAATCCTAAATCCCACGTATGCCCCGCTAAATTTTGATGCATTGCTAGCCAGAAACAAAACCCTGGATGGGTTCTGATGATCTATTTTTGAAAGATGACCTTGTTCAATCAAGAACGATGAATCCAATATTTCCAAGTCTCCATCTGGACTTGCACTCCCACTAAGTCCTTCTATCACGACATTTCCAAGGTCTGATATATTGTTTGAAGCTAAGAATAGATTCATTCCCAAGGTAACAGTCAACGTATTCAATGAACCTGGATTTGGATTGTTTTGTCCAATATCTTTCCCACCACTCACGAATCCTTTATAAGTTTTCAATGGCGCTGCATCCCCAGGAATCGAACCCATGTCAGAAGTGAGAGAAATCTGATCTCGAATCATTCGTTCGCGGGTGGAATCGATATTGCCATGAGTCTGAATGTAAATCGGCAATGAGTCCTGAGCGTTCCAGGAATTCGTGAGTTGGAAAGAAAACTTATATACCACTCCTGCCATCATGATTGCATCGACTCGGGCTAATTGAGAATGACCTGTAATCAACGAATTCGCTGCCCCTCGCAGTGAAATGAAGCAGTTTCCCTCCTGTGCTATCAAGAGAATGATCTCTTCATCGATCTGGACGTACAATCCTCTCATGTCCAACTCAGAATTTACATTCTGTATACACAACGTGTTGTTTTTTGAGTCCATCGATTTCTCAAGTTTCATTCCCACAAGACCATCTCCAACTTTTAATGAAAGATTTCCAGTCTCCCTATACCAAGTAGAGCTTTGCCCAAAGAGAATGGAAGATTTGCTTAAAATTTGAAATCTAGACTCATTGCTTGGCATTTGTGACAAGCCTTGGTAAAGGTAAAGCTCTGACGAAATCTGTTTAGAAATGAGTGATGTCTCAACATCGGGTGTTGAAGGATCCCCATCAAAATCTACCTGTATAACATAATTTGACAAATTCATCAATGGAGCGATATCTGATGAGTCGAATTTCACGCTAACCACTGAATCTGAGTTGGCATTGATAATTATGCCTTCAATCAGAGGCTTATCAAAAATTGGTAGCCTCTGTCTGAAACTTGTCAGAGCAGAATGAAATGTTGCCGCAGTATTTGCTTGTGCACGGACCATTTTCAAGGAACAATGACTCATGTCAGAACATGCTACCTTTGTCACCAAAATTAATTCCTCGTCTATCTTCCAAAACGATCCCGAAGTAATTGACAGATTGCTCAAAACATTTACTGTTGCATCTGTGTCATTTGATTTAATGTTGTGCAAGAGAATTATTTCTCTGTCATCTGCAGTCTCAGTTTGAGAACCAGTCAAACCTGTAACTGATATCATAGATCCTGAACCTAATTTGTGGTTGAATGCAATTGTTATTGTAATTTCATTTCCTTGGAAGCACCATAAAGTTGGATCGTAGGATGCGCACGGCCCTGTTGAGCTCTGTCCAATATTTTTCACTAGGAAAGAAAGTCCATAGGTTTTCATCGGAGACGTATCGCCCTTTTGTGATAGTAGGAACGGCAAAGTGGCATTGATGTCTTCGTCATACACTTCAGAGACATTTGCTGCACCCTTGGTCACAACATGAATCGTTTGACCTGATTGTTCTGAATCCTTGTTCTGCAACGGAAATGCAAAAGAATATATTCTACCAGGAGCAAGGCATGTTGCGACCAAGGTACCGGCAGAGTGCTTCGCTCTTGCTGTCTTCATCTGACCCCTCATTGAGAAAACTTTATTCTCAATTATATTCAAAACCAACAAGATCTCATCGTCAATCACAATGTAACTGCCTGAAACAATTTGTGGAGAGATCGTATCCAGAAGGATCAGATCCTGTGTGTTTTCATCGATGTCGTTCAACAATGAGGTTCCAGGTTTCATTTTTAAAGTCAGATTTCCATCAGACCGTGTCCAGTCTCCGAGATTTTGAAAGATTCTATCAAATGCCGAAAATATTTCATAAGTTGAAACATTTGGAATGATCTGATACTTGAGCGCCTCCTCAAGTTGTAATGTGTGCATATTCGAAACTGAAGTGATAATGCGGACTTCTGCATCTTCTTGAGTTTCCGGATCACCATCATAGTCTATTCTAATTATTCTGAGTGAGTCAAATTGAATTCTTTCCATGTCTTGTTCAATTGTCAAAAAATTTGTGAAATTCGTCAGAAAGAAACGGCCCTTGAGCAAAGGCAATTCGAAAATTGGCATGACAACTTGCATTTGAGTTCCCAATTTGTGGACACTTTTTGAGAAGGGGAAGACTTGTCGATACAGGTTTATTCTGGACAATATTGATCCAGTAAAGGATGTGTTCTCGACAGTGAGAGTTTGCATGGTCTCGTCATCAAGTCGTATGTAAGTGTAAGGACGGAGTCCTCCGTCCATTCCTATCGTCGGTGAAGTCTCAATTTTGAATGTATAGTGATCTGCATATTCCGTGCGTACTCCGCCAGACCATCGCAATGAGAAAAAGTCATTCGGAATGTTCGATCCTTCTCTGGGTGAATGTCGGTCGAATGAGAAGTCAATGTTTTCTATAACTAGAGCATTCACTGGACTACTCAGATTGAGATCTCGATATGTTGTTTCTGTTAACCCCCCGTTAATAAAGAGTGATAGCGATATATTGATATTTCTTTTCAAAACTTCACCCAAAATGTAACTGTTATCACAGCTTCCTATTAGAGAACACTTTCCAACGTGCAAGACTGCACATGATCGATATTCTTGCAAATCGTGTGTCGAAGAAATATCGCTGACTCGGCAAGCTATGCCGACTTCATGACCTTCAAACGGGAATGCATTTGATGTGATATTATTTCCGTAAGCATCTTTTAATTGTATGGTGATGTTGACTCGTTGTCCAACATTTTCGAATGGCAAATTATTCGTGGAAATCAAACTTTGGTCTGGCGAAACGACGTTGGCAACCGTCCTGACATTGAAAGGTGAATTGCGAACAAGATGACAGGAATATAGTCTAGAAGAGGAGATGACAAAAATTCCAGAGTTGTAGTCTTCGTCAAAATTCCAGAACAATTGCAGGTAGGATTGAGAATTCCCTCCATTGCGATATTCGATGTTGATTTCGTACAAAGTTTCTGGGTTTTGAAGGGAAATGGTTCCTGTGATGAATGCGCTTTGCAAAGAAGACCATTGTTCAACTACGATTTTGTTGTCAATCCACACTTTTATACGGTCCATGGGGTCTCGTGTCGCACCAAAATTCACGTAAAAGGTGTGCAGACTGAACAGCTTTGAACGTACAAAGCCCTGCCATCGAGCTTCAAATGCACCATTTATCGTATTGAAAGATAGCTGAGAGTTTGGCCAGTGAGCTGCTTGCTCGATGGAAACGTCTCTAGAAAAGTCAAGAGTTGAATCTATGCTTGTTGTATGTGGCAACCAGTTCTGGTAGTATGTTGCAAACAAGCCCCCTGAAAGTGCAATGCAACTGTATATCTTTTGTTCCACAGCTCTGGTATTCAGGTACTCATAATGAAAACGACCCAAGTTGACTTTGACAAGGGGGCGCAAAGGAGTTGAATTGTCAGCAAGTTTGAAGTAAGACAGAACCCCGAAAGAAAATATTTGATCAGTCTGCTGATATCGAACATTGCCAAATTCATCTCTCACTACCAAGGTAAAGGTTGCTTGTATTCCTGCAGTCTGTATTGATAGTGAACTTCCTGTACATGAGCTCGTTGAAGCACACGGAAATGCTGGATAAATCGTGATTTGAAGTTCGCTGACAAACAATCTTATGAAATCGAATGTTGCGTTTAAACCATTACCCCTAACATCATACCAAGATATAGCATTTCCGGTACCAGTCGGTAGCACTTGCTGTTCCAAACGAAAGTAAGTCTCATGCGCTGTCAAATCAGTTTTGATACTGGTCGTGATTGTTTCCAAGCTGTCCCATTGATCGATCAATAAAACATTTTCAATCCACAGTCGTGCACGATCCATAGCACTGCCAAATACGAAATTGCAGGTTGCATAAACAGCACTCTCAACATTCAGATATCCCTGCAGACGTGAATAAGTGCTGAATCCCATGTATGATGTTGGACATGGATTAAGATTTCCTCCAATGGAAGCTGCTTCTATGTTGCACGAGGGATTATCTAACGAGGAATCGACATAGTAAGTTGCGAGTAAACCTTCTATTTTCGATCCCAAAAAGAAGTCAAACATTGACGCAACCTGTGGAGTCGCCTGATAAATATTTGTGCCGTTTACTTGGCTAAATTCAACTCGATCCATCCTTTGGTTTGTAGGAATTGGATTTTGAAGGGTGAAGCTTATCTGAAACGGGTGTAAGGCACTCGAATCATTCATGGTAAAAGACACAGTCATTGATCCATGTTCTCTTGACCAAACTGCAAAGCTGCCAAATGCTGTGCTGCTCTCATTTCGTTGTTTCACAAATATTGGATATTGGCTATTGCTAGAATCTTCAAAGCCAATCAATCCACTTATGACAATCTTCTGTGTGCTGTTTGGTTTGGCAACAAATATCAGAGAAAGTTCGATTGTATCCAATTCGGAAGGGTTTGGACTGCTTTGTCTAAGCATACCAAATATGAAACCATTTCGAACTTGCAATGGCCTTGAATCACCAATGCGCGCTCCTACAGCGTAAGCAAAAACAGTTTCGCCAGCTATGTGCTTGGTACAAACTGTGTTGTGAACACATCTTTGAACTATAACCTCACGCTCCGTCGATTCTACAATGGTCATAAGCTCATCTCCTATTCGAACGTACGAATACAAAGGCAAATCATGATTCTCTGGAACGAAAATTTCCGTGGTCCACCAGTTTTCAACTTGCACAGTCAATCGAAAGCGAGAAATGACCGGAAGATTAGGAAGGATTGTTTGAAAATAGCTCATTTTCACATTGTAAGGTCCGACTGCCATTATGTAAATATCTGGTGATGACTGGGGAGTTGTGGGATTTACCACGTCAAATCCAAACGCATATGAAATACCCTTGTGCAAGTTGAATTCGAGATTTACGCTCAGAGATGAGAATTCGATGTCCATGCTTGCCGAATGTGAAGGAATCCTCAAATCATCGCATGAATAGATTGGAATGGGACCGATCGGATGAGTAATTCCACTTAAGTTTCCGATCTTGATCGTAAAGTTTTCGGAAACAAAAATATCAACATTCAGAGCGAAGGTTACACAAATAGAATTCGACACTCCGGTATCGATTCGAGATTGTCCAATGTCTGCTCTTATGAACTTTGGCTCGAACACACGAAAGGGTTCTGAATCTCCGAAAGATGAGCCTAGGAGAGCCAAATACACTTGTGCACCATCTTGATGAGGTTGACTGATTGTTCCCATACATCCCCTCCGAACTGACAAAATGTTTCCGATGACATCAAGCACGATCATCAACTCGCTGTCTACTTGAATGTAATGTCCGACGCTTATGTTGTCAAACCTAGGATGCAGAAAGTCAAGGATGGTTTCAGAAATATTGTATGATCCATTCAAATACGCAATCAGCGTTCTTGGAATCCCCAGCGAGTCATATTCATATCTTCTTGGCGAAATTTCAAACGACCCTCCAGCCTCTACGAATATTGATGAAGGAAATGACTGAAAAGGAAGGTTAACAACTTGAATTGAGAACGAAGAAATAACTCCAGCCTCTATATACGCGTTTGAAAGCAATCTCAAGGTGATTAATTTTTGATTCAAGTCTACTTCTGCAATTGGCTCCAACGGATTTTCAAGATAGTATTGAACCCAATATTCGGAGATTCTTGAAACTAAATCAGGCACAGATGCATTCAATGTCACGATTCCATCACGTGACAACGAAATCACACTTCTTACATGAATTTGAGAACCAAAAATACCAGACATGTTTGTCCTGATGAAGATATAGTAATTTTTAAAATCAACTTTGAGCATCATAATATCAAAACTTAGTCTGTATACTGAATTTGAAATGATGTCCAACACCAATCCCTTCATAACTGGCACATAGGTTACATGAATCGCCTGTGAAGTAGAAAATGTCAGCTGAGTCAGCCTTATCTTAAAGGAAGAATTGTCTGTTCCTTTCAGCTTGCAATTGGTCATCAAAGAAAATATTACATTGTTCTTCGAATTTGGAAATGTGCTGTCCTGCTGCAAAGCAAGGTACAAAAAGCTGGCTCTTTGAATCAGCATAGGCAGGTTGTAAAAGCTGCCGAACATACTAGTGGACAGCTGTGTTGCAGTTCGCATTTCATATTTACCACTCAATGCAGCCACGCCAATGTATGGTTTTTGAGCTATCTGACTGCTTATGTTATTCCTTATGACGAATGAAATCTTGCATAATGTACCTGCAATCAAGGACACATTTGATTCTAATTGCATGACACATCGCCCAGCTGCATTACTCCAGGTTGCATTAGCATTGAATGGACAACGGGATATTCCGTCTTCAGGCTCGTATTGCAAGTAAAGTATCGAATCAATGGTCGTACTTCCACGCAGCCCTTCAATAAAGATGATTGTCCCTTCTAAAGTGATGGATGAACAAAGCATCACAGTTATCTTATTCATTTCACCAGGAAATGAAGAGTTTTGATATATCATCGCGTAAGGCAAAATATCGCTGGTGTTGGTGAGATTCTGATCAGATTGAACATACATCTGACATGGGTAGTCATATCCTGTCTTCTGCAGGTTTTGTCGTAAAATTCTCAGACCAGATCTTTCAGAATAAGCCTCGATGGTTGGCTGAGTAAGTGTCTCATCCTTGCGATTGATCAGCAGAGACGTGTTGTATACCACTCCAGCAATCAATTTTTGTGTATCATTTATGTGAAGTTTTAATGCAAACAACACAGAATCCCAACTAGCTTCCCCACCAAATGGTGAGGAACCATCTGACAGCAGTACCAACAGAATCCCATCAAACATCTGACTGTCAGCGAAATAGATTCGCACAATTGCTGGACCCTCAAGGTCCACATTTGAGCGCAAAGTTAAATGGATATAAGTTCTGGATGATTGGAATCCGTAAGAATACTGTGCAACATCGAAGGTCGGGTTATCAATAACGAAAAAATTGAGTCCAGAATTCATGGGGGTGGGATAGATTACATTCTTTTGATCTTCAATCATTGAAACAAATACAACATTCCCAGGGTTTGCAGCCTTCGGGTTTTTGAGATTGAATTGAAATGAAAATTCAGTCCCAGCAGCAACCAAATTGTCTGCCTTGGTGTGAAAAATCAGTTCTCCTTCTTTTTGTCTCCACTGTCCAAACCCGGATTCAACATTTGCAAGATCGAAAATCGGAACCACTAAAGACGCCTTGGCCAGGTCTGGATGAGAGGAAGCTACAGTTGAACCCTGTCCTCGCTCAACAGAAAGCACATCTCGCGTGATGATTTTGGAAGATGTAATGATAGCAATAGACGATCTGTAATCATGCTCTGATGCCAGAGTTCCGTTCTGACCTCGAACGACTTCAAGGTGATTGTCATCCGTTATTTTTGAGACAAACAGAATCTCGCTTTCGATCATTATAAAGCTTCCTTCAAAAATATCTGCTGCAAGGACAGAAATCACTGGAATGACTGTGGATGCTGAACTAAGGTTTCCGGAAAACCTCAAGTCAAGGTAAGTATGCGGAATGAGGCAAACTAAGTCTCCATTGGTATGTCGTGTTGCAGAGGTCCCAAGCTCTCCCCTAGATACTGTGACCGTGTAATTACTCACATCAAGCACGCGAATCGTTTCGGCTCCTATCTGAATGATTGAGCCTTGCCGTATGTCGATGACACCGGGAACAACTTGGAATCGCGAGGTGTCATATTCCAAAACACTAGCATTTGCTAGATCTAAGGCCGAACAAGGCAAGACGTGAATATTTTCGCCTTGAACGTGATATGTAGCTCTGGTGTTGCCTTGGGCACGCTGTATCACTATCTCTGTACCATTCACTCCAAGCACCTTGACAACTTCATTCCCAATTTTCAGAAATGATCTGACAGATGTTGCAACACTCAAATTAGAGAGGATATGGAGTTTTGTTTGATTTTCGTTCAAACTCATGGACAACGAAGATCTTTCGACTTTCACAACTGGCGTGCTTGATTGGTAAGATGATGAGGTAGATGTGCCATACGCACGTAAGCAACTTATTGAGTATTTCATGGATGTTTCATCCTCAATCACTGCAACGTTTTGAACCAAGATCGATTCATCGAGCACCTGCAAAACCTCCCCAGCCCGCACGGATTGAACAAAGTCATAATTCAAAGTCAAAGTGGTGGAGGTTTCGTTGAGATCTTGCATGAGGATGAAATATCGCTCGACAGAAACGATCGAATCTGAAGTGTGCGTCTGAGCAGAAGTTCCTGCTTGAGCTCGAGCGACTTCGATTGTATTCGTTCCATACAAGATTGATACGACTTTCACAATCTCATCATTCAATGCAAGAAAACAGTTGACTTGCAATCTTCTCATATCCAATTTAGTAACAGAAATTTCAGTTTGTGCAGTATCTATACCGTTGACCAACAACGTTGCATCCAGATACTGGATGGTATCCAAGTGCCCTGGTAAACTGTCACCCCATTCAATATGTTGGACAAGAAAAGATTCTCCTATTCCAAAGTTATCATTGCCCAAAACTATGATACCATTGTGTAGCTTTGCGTACGTATTTGGTAGAAAGAGATTTAACCATGAGTCAAGAATGGTGATGACAGAAAAGTTTTGCGACAAAGTTTCCTTATTGATTGATCTGATAACAAGAAGTTCTTGTTCGATCCTTAAAAACTGTCCTTGTTGCAATGTGACATTTACAGGTGATAGAACATGTAAAATTGTCTCGTTCGCTGAAATGTTTCTTCCGTACTCATTGAGTCGTACTGTCATATATGCATCAATTGTTTGTGAATTGAGAATACCAGAAAAAACCAACTGCGACCTATTTGTAAGATTTATGCTCAACTTTAGATTTACAGTGATGAGATTTTCACTTGTACAAGGTGTCCAGCATGGAGTTTTGGTTGATTGGGAAATTATGCTCAGCAGAAATGTTGGTGGATAGATCTTCATTGGAGCCGAGTCGCCTTCCTTGCTTCCTTGCAGGATCTGATATACCAGGGATCCCTTTGCATGTGGCCTCATGTGTGGAAATTCCATCAGACTCTCGACCACGAAAAACCCGACTGTTTCGTTTACTATTTGAAATCGCTCGCTGTCGATTTGCAGCTGGTCGCCAATTTTGACTGAGGATGTTGGCTGAAACACAAGTACTTGAGAGTTTGAAGAGAAGTCATTTTGTAACTCGCCGATGACCGACCTCGCGTATCCATACTCCTCGAAAGCCAGTTCCAGGTAGCCTGAAAAAAATCTGTTGCTGGTCTTCACGTTTATTGTTTGAGCCTGCTGTCCCTTCATTGAATTCCTCAAGGAGAAAGAAAATTGATAATGTTCGTCTGGAAGCATTTCTTCCGTGAGTGATAATGAGAGGGTCCCTGAGGTAGAGTTCCAATTAGCGCTTTGGTTGAAGACCAGGTATTCTTGAAATACTTCGATGTATTCGTCATTAGTTGAGCTCCCAGTCATTCCCTGTAGGATGATTTCATCAGCAATATTCAGTTTGCAATTGCACCTTAGTATTACAGTCAAAGTATTCAATTGACTTGGAAATGGGTTGCTTTGAAAAACATTTGCAAGCGTGAATTTGCATGGTTGGACGCTGATTGCAAAATTTGACTCAGGTTTGCCGATATAGGAGTAAATTCGAGAATTTTTTGGATGGGAATCTGGATACGTACCTAAAATTCCACGTACAAGCTGAATCACATTCAAATTCGAAAAGCTTTTTACGTAAAGGATCTCACCACCAATATAGATATTTTTGCGCAAAAGACTGAAATTGGATGCATTCATCACAACCTTTGCAAACGAGACATCAGGTGATAAATCTTCCTCCAGCATAATTCCTGTCGATTTCAAAAATTTATCTGTGTCTAGACCAATAGACTTCTGAAATGAGTCCAAATTAATGTTGACTACTGGTATTTGCATCAATGGTCTTGAATACAGATCAACATTCATTTCGTGAGATTCCAGATACGTCTTAAGTATTGAGCCACCCTCACTTGGATTCTGAATCGTGTTGCCGTAAGTATCTCTAAGAAACAGAGAGAAAGTCATAGTTTGTCCTGCTGTTGCCAATGTCAGACTTGATCCGGTAACAATTGCCAGATCCTTGCATAAATTGCTTGTTGGAAGAACATTAAGGATGCTGGCTTGTTCGCATGCTGTTTCAACCGGATACATAAATCTGCTTGAAGGTATTTCCTGAAGCATTTGGGATCGACTCATCCAATAAAGATGTAATTGTGTTTCAGAAAGCGTGTACCTTATTTGAAAACGAATGTAAGTTGCTTGCGAATCATTCAAGAAAACTTTGCCTGATTGTATTCGATGTACCGAATACTGAGCATCTGAGAACAGCTCTTGATTGTCAATTATGAGACTTGGCGCACAGTTGTCACAATCAACAATAAAAGAATACAATTCAGAGTATGTTGGCCTCAAGAAACCCTCCCATGAGCAGCTCGAACCATTCTGTAGAACGTTTTCAAATCCTAACAATGTGATAGATCGTGTGCTCGTCAAAGTGCTTGGTATCGTCGAAGTGAACATCAAACCACCAGGAATGTAGCGCTTGATGGACGTAAAATACCATCCAGACAAAGTGAGCATGTACTGTATGGAGTAGCTGGAGTTTGCTTGCTGTACAGCTGGATAAAACATAAGCAGCGGCGGATTTCTTTCCTTCCATGCTACAAGGTACCAACTGGAATCCCCAGACCCACTTGCAAATCCCTCTCTGTTCGCCAACAAGGTGAACGAAGCTTGTACTCCAGCAGTTGTCAGTGTCAAGAAGTCACCCTCGCAGCTGTAGGTATTTGAAGTCAATTGAGACCCCGCCGGAAGTTCGTATGCCCCTTGGCTGACAGCAAAAGACGAGTAAATAACGCTAGGAGGAATACACACGAATTCATTTGATGTCTCAAACCGCCAGCGCAAAGGAATGTCGTGGTAAGCTGAATAGCTGGATTGTAGCAAGACAACACTATACAAGCAGCCAGCACATAGATAAATATCAACTTCTCTCTCTAGACAAGATGTCAGCCTGTTCAGGATCAAAGGATGATCGTCCAACCATATCGAAATTTCATCTTCATATGAAAGTCTTGTTGACGTGAACGTGTACTGACCAGTGATTGTGGGAATTATGTAGAAGCTCCATCTTAAGCTGCCATAATTCTTTAAGCCAGATGGAACAGGACTGCACATTGATGATGAAATATGAAAAATTTCACTAAAATTGCCCACATCGATTTGAATATAACCTCGAGAAAAGTACATGACCATGACTCTTGACATTGATTCGTTGATTCCATAAATTTTTGTGTAGAAAGTGCTATTCACGATTTCTGAAATTAAGAATTTGCTGATTGTAGTATTGTCTTCATTGACCAAAAGTGCACCAAAATTCTCAGAGGGAGAGGTCACAATGTTGTTAAAGCTGTCCTTTGCTAGAATAGAAATTTCAACAACTTTGTCGAACTTTGCCCGTAGAAAATTGCCTATTACGATTGAACTCGACGCACAAGTAGACGAACTTTCAACGACAATTGAAGTGGGCTCTGCTCCTTTGAAATAATTCTCATAGTAAGCATAAATTCCTCCCAAAGCCATGATATTATCCTCATGCTTCAGGGACACCTGCAGTTTCCTAGAGCCCTCCAATTCCTGGTATTCGAGCTGGAGTGATATCGGACGTGCATCTGTCGTTCGGAAAGAGGCTGAGAGGTTGAGATCATCCAGACTATTCCACTGATCAATGAGCATGATGTTGTCGAGCCACAAACGCAGTCGCTCATCAGTTTCTGCTATGGAGCAATGTATTTCAAACCTCTCCTGCAGGAAAGGCGTGTATAACCATCCAAACCAACGGGCTCGAAACGGATTTGCATCTCTCAAAGCGTAATTTTCATACGGAAGATTGGATTCAGTCGGCCATGTTATGTCTCCCGCAGATCCAAGACTAGAAAATCGATTCTGCGTCAATTACAGTCTTAGCTGGAGTTCCACAATCCAATGCTAACTCTTCTGAGTAAGAACACAGATAATATGTCGCCTGCAATCCTCCAGAAAACGCTGTGGCTACCGAAAACTCCATCGTTCCAGCTCGAGTGAGTGATACGCTGAGGGAGAGCGAAGCAACATTCATGTCTGCACAGGGATCGGAAGAGTTGCAGATTGCTTTCTGCATTGGTGCTTCGTACATCGGAAGAAACAATGCTCCCTCGGCGATGTTGACTTGGAACTCTTGCCCTGATCCATCCTCACAGTAAACAGACGGCTTTGCTATTGATGAGAAGTTGCTACCGTGATCAATAAGCACGACACTGGTGACATTGCCGGAAGCGGCATAACAAATTCCAGCCAGCCCAAACCCCTCACAATCGGTTATGCCTGAACAGTTCCAAATAAGATTTCCCTCATGTTTGTATGGTAGAGAGGCAGTTCCAGAAATAGATACTGATGTAACGGAACCTCCTTGAAGCGTGTTTGTAGTAGAGTATAGAGGAGTTACATGGAGCCCATGTTCATGAGAAACTTCTCCGCAATCGAAAAAAGTGTTGTCGATGCTGTTGATAGATCCAACGCTGCTGACATTGAAGTTGGAGTAAAATAATTGACTGCAGACTTCAATTCGAAGAGATCCAGGAATGTAATTCAATCCACCGTTCACAATATCGATCTGAAAGCTCTGGATACCACCAGCCACAGGAAGAGCTCTTGCTACGAAGAAAAACCCATCGGGATTCGCACCGAAAGTTGGGTTGAAGAATTGATCTTTATAGAACGCTGTGAAAGTTGCAGAATCTCCTGCTGTCACTTTGGAGGGCACTTGACCGACAGCTTTCGAGGCCGTAAAATCTATGTTCAAATTTGAAGCCAGGATATATGAATCAAAATATCTGGATGGCTCGGTAGAGTAAAACAGATAAGAAGATGAAATAAGCTCCTTCGCCATCGAATTTGTGCTCCAAAGCATTCTAGCATTGGCATGCACTTGCTCTTCTTTGTAGAGAATTTTGATTTGATACAAGTTCTGCGCTAATAGGGGATATGTCACAAAATATACGTATTCGACTCTCATTTCTTCCTGTGAAGTGTTCAAGACTTTTTGTCCGTCGAAGTAGACAACGATTGAGTCATCTGCAATAAAGTGCAATTGGTAGATGTCATCTACCTTGGGTTGAAGAAATCCTTCCCAAATCACGCTGAAGTCATCTGAAGGGAAATTTGCCATCGGTGCTTTCGATCCCCATACAAAGTTCACCTCAGGATCGACTCGTCGCAGCTCATTCCCTGTCAGCTGCCACAACTTGTTTGGAATGTACGTAGCCGAAAGACCACCTCTGTAAGTCAAAGCCAGAGCGTTCGAATATATTCCAGACTTTGTGCTTGAAAATTCGATTTGGTACGAACCATTTCTCATGTCTGAAAGAACTGGGTGAGTCACATGCAATTGAGAAGCAAAAGCTTGAAGCGGAATCAATTCTTCTATTGTTGTGACATTCCATTTCAAGCTCAAGCAATCAAGCGGGGTTCCTTTGTAACGGATATGAATTTCATGCGCAGAGGATGCTTGGGATGGCGTGAAGGAATATGTCATTATCCATGCACCAAGACTCGTCCATGTATCTATCACGATGCTTTCATCTATCCACAGCTTTACTCGTTGTCCAGATCCAGTTGCAGCAAAAGAGATGGAGGTGTAACCTTGATTGGGCAGTATCAAAAAACCTTTGAAGTCACCAAATACGGAAGGATTCAGATGATTTCCTAGTGACTCCTTTGTCCTGATGGAGCCTGATGTAAGGCAAAGAACATCCTGCACTCCTTTATTTGACCAGGGCCCGGAAAACGCAGGCACGGTGAATTCCTCACTCTCATAGAAGGTTGCACGCAAACCAGACACCAACAAGGCAGAATAAGTGATGCTCCATCTTTCGAATGACTGACTTTGGAACACAGGCCTGAAAATAACGCCTGGAGCAAATGTCGCGTTCCCTATCTGGGGAGGAAATTTTGGATCGTAGCCACATCCACAATCAAGTACTCGAACGTTCCCGACCTCGCCCTGCTGCACATCAAAGGTGGCGCTGAAGCCGCTTCCAGTACAAGGCAAGATACAGGTCACATCCACTTTCACTTGAGATGCGTCTACCAAAGCACCTTGGACCTGATCATAAAGGATTTCAACGGAAGCAATGCGATTTAAACATTGCACTTGTCCAGCAGAATTGAAGGCATCAATGACTTGTAGTGCAGGGGTTCCAACGCTCAAGTTTCTGTTGGTCAACTGAGGGAAGAATGAGTTTGAAAGTGACGCTCTCTGCGGAACCACAGTCAAGCACAATGCCTGCAGGTCTGGAATGATATCTGTGCCATTGATCTTCAGAGAGTGGCTGAAGCAAGAGCAGGAACCTTTTTCAAGATAGTATTGGACCAGGAAGACAGGTAGCTGCATCCCTTCTGAGAACATGAGACTGTATGATCCGTTGAACACGACTTGCAGATATGTATCAAAGATCTGATAGTTCACGATTTGATCATCAAAAGCCTCAATAACATTTCCATACAAGTCTCTTGCTAAAACTTGGAAATGAGATTTGAAACCAGCAGTAGCCAAGGTCAGGCCCTCCCCCACAACCTTGTTGTTGCTCAACGAGAAAGCAGCTGGCCTCACCCTTAAAACGAAGGGCGAGCCGTGGAGTGGATAAAACCCTCCCAAGCTCACAGTCACAACATAAGTGCCGGACACGGTGAGCTGCACGTAGGTGACGTACTTTCCCGCTTCACAATTAGGAAGGAAGAGATAGATAAGGGAGCCAGGAAGATGTATGCCAACAGCACCTCCGAACTGTCCTCGTTGAACGACAAGAGAATTGCTGGAACTCGAGACAACTGACATGATCTCAGAGTCAATCAGAATAAAATCTCCAAAGGATGCAAACGATTTTCCAGTCCGGAGGTAAAGCATCTGCTTATCGAATACCTCAAGCGTGGCCTGCAGTATTCCTAACTCAATAGAAGGATTGTTCATGCTTGATGGTCTGTTGCAAGTGAAATTCAAACGATCCATAGATGCGTCTAGGACAGATCCAGTGGCGTTTGCAGCAGTAGAATTGAAGGAAACAAAAAACTGGTCGCCACCTGCATTCTTGTTGAAATACAGGGCGTCACGGGTTTCTATGAAAAAGAATGTTTCAATGCCAACTGTTGAAAGAGTAAGAAGTGGCCCATACACTCTGCTAGTCCCTGCACATGTTGATCCAGCTTCGACGTAGACTTGCAAAGGAGTTGAGCCTACAAAATGGAGTTGGAAGACAACTTCCAGCGAAATGAGTCCCGGGGTGTAAGCAAGACAGGATGCTGAGTAGAGTGAAGGGAGGAGTTGATAGATAGGACAGTAATTGTGTACGGTAAGATCTTTCCGCAACCATGCAGAGAACCCAACACCAGAGGTAGTTGTGACATTATTACCAAAGGAATCTTTCGGTTGAATCAGAAAGTTTGCAACTTGGCCTCTAGTCATAATGAATTCAAGGCCTCCATTACAGTTTCCAATGACAGCCGAAATTTTTGCGTCGACGGAGCCTGGTTCGAAGATCAAAACCTTGGGTGAATCGTCAAGCAGTCGTTCATTGACAAGTACGTTGAAGTTCCAGGACCCTGATCGTGTGACGAGGGCCGAAACGCGATAATTGCCACTGCCCTGGTAAATTACGGTGCAATTCACGATAGAGGCGTTTAACTCAATCCACGAAACTACTGTCAAGTTCGTCGAAGAGCATCTATTTCCGTATCTATCCCTCGTAACCACTTCGGCATTCCAGATACCAACCCTATACGAGCTGCCATTCTGCGCCGAGGTCGTCGATGTTGCTGTTGAAGCCAAGCCCGGCAAAATCAACATTGAAATGTCATTGCTCATAATGTCTTGAGAGAAAAAGAATAAAGCATCGGGAATGTGTGTAGGCGATTGGTACTCGTTAGCCCATTTGAGGTCAAAGAAACTTCCGATTCCAACATCTTCAAATTGTAACTTAAAATCATAAAACTTGCCGTAAGTCATGTTCCTGCCGCCATGAAACACGGACAATTTTAGATGAGCTTGAGGGTCAAAATTGTTAATGACAGAAATAGCAAGATTGTCAAGAGGATGGTAACTGTACTTCAAATCGGAATCCTTGCAATCTTGGCTAATTTTAGCAACGTACGGATTCCGGTAAATCAGATTTGGCTGGAATAGACAGGCCCTGAAGCACGAGATGGAGAAAGGATACTTCGACCTGTAGTGATAGTGATAGAAGTTGTTTTGAGAGTCCACATGGCCTCCACATTCGTCGAGTTGATAGCGACCATGAATGTCCTCCGCCTTTGCACCTCCGACATCGAGTGGACCGTAGATTGGAATTCCATCTAACATGAATCCAACCAGAGGTGAGTGTGCGACTTCCGGATTTGGAAGGAGACAAGACGGATACTTCACATAGGCATATAGTCCACTCGCAAACAGAACGCCTCCACATGAATCGATCGAGGGTACTGCCCCAGAGTTCATGCCCAAATGATATATCACGACTCCGTCTCTTGCTATCCCAATCACACCAGGTTCCAGGATGTCAACTTTATGTACAGACATGGCTGGCAACAACAAGGTTTGAAATTGAAATTCATGTATTTTTGCAGAAGATGAGGCTGCACTTTGTAATGATTTCATAGGGCAACTCATTGATGTGAATGAACGAACGCCTCTATCCAAATCTGAAATTACTTGAAAGTAAAAGGCGCTATCAATCGTTGTACATGCCTTTGAAATTGTTGAGTGGTCTTTGTAGATGGTGTCAATGACAACCTCGCCATTGATCCAAAGCCTGATGCTAGAGCTTGTCCTTACTGTGAACATCACATTGCCACCCTGTAACGACTGTAGCTTGCCAGCCCACTCTCCTGAAATGTTGCTGAAATCATATGTGAACTCTCGTCTGGAAAACCAATTGTTTCTATCAACTTTACTGAATATCCAATTTCCATTTTCAAAATTTCCGAGATTCAATCCCAATCCGCCTTGAATCAACTTCTTGTGTAAAATCAAAAACTTTCCACTCAACGTGATCAGATAATCTACGTAATGCTCATCCCCGCGGCTTATCACTGGAAGGAATTCAAAACCACCACAGCCATCTCCTCCTTGCGCAATCCAGATCGTAGGGCTTGATGTATACGAATGTCCAGGGTCAATGATGTGCACGTCTGAGATTGAACCCCTAGAATTGATTGAAAAGTCTGCCGAAAATTGAGATCCACCACCACCTTCTGCATAAATCTTGCCTCCAGTCAAACATCCTCCTCCTGGTTTGACGATTCGGATCTCAGTAATGCAATATCCACGAGAATCAGGACAACTTTGAGGCATAGAAACAGAGTCATAACGAACAATTGGAGATCTGAATTTCTCATTTGAAGACCAAGTTACGTGAATCAACGCTGAAGAGAATTCCTTTAATCGGTTCGCAGAGAGATCACTTGATACCAACAAATATCGTCCCCTGACACCAGCAGTTGCAATTGTCAATCCATCCCCATACGGTTTTGCATAATCAAGATCGTGTCGTGATGTATCCGCGACGTCAGAAAGCAACAAAAGAAGCATATGAGGGACAAAGTGTCTTCTAGACATCATTTTGGCCAAAATCTCACAGCTCAGGGTATCTTTGGATGAGGAATTTGTTTTCGATCGCTCATCAACCTGTAGTTCCTCGTCAGTGTGCTATAAATCGGCTCGCACCCTTTGAGATCCATGTAACATGCATATGAGGCTTTCTCTGCTGAAAGTAGATCTATGCCTGCGGTGGGGAGATCATCTCTCCAATCGTATCCTTCTGGTTTGCAATATGTTGCCTGTTTGATCAAAATGTTTTCTTCATTCTTTTCACTAACTTCAAATACAACTTAAGCTTGCCTCCCTTCTCACCATTTGCTGCCTGTCTTTCCTGTTTCCCCTTTGTTACATGTCTTCCTTTCTCCTCCTTTGCCACCTGTCTTCCGCTCTTCCCATGCTTACCTGTCTTCATCTTTCAGCTTCATTGGCCGCATCTCGCACATCAAATGCGCCAGGGAATCCTTGATGCCCTCAGATTTTAGGAGTTAGTTTTAGTTGAGCCAATAAGTTGACTAAAAATTCAATACCCACCCACTCTCCCTCCAGCATACGCGCTCTGCTCTCCTATATTATATGGCCACCCCCCACTTGACATAAACAAAAAAGTCAAATTCTATCCTTTACAACGGAAAACCGAAGATTTCATAGTCCTACTCGCCGTACATGGCCTGTGGGACAGTAGTCAGGGTCCTCTTCGACTCTCGTAGTCCTCGTGTCAACTTATTGTTGAAGAGGTTCGCGAACAAGGGATTAGTCTAATGCATTCTACCTACTACAAGTCTACTGAGACGACCTAATGTCGCTCTCATCCAATAGACCCTTCCCTCGACGGACCATACGGTTTTCAGAGATTTTTCTGTTGGATTACATTGATGTGATGAAATGTTTCAAGCCCGTACAGAGATATGCAAATCAGATGATGTTCATTCTTTGTTGAAATGCACAATATGTAAATGTGGAGCTTCACTGCCCCTTCCTGCCCACCTTCTTGTTCTTAACCTTCTTTTCTCCCTTTCTCGCCATTCTAGATTTTGATTCCTTCTTCTTCTTTGCCGTATGCTGTCCCTTTGTCACGACCTGGACTTTTGTTGACTTCTGAATAAAAGAGGAAACCGCTTCAGTCCACAATTACAGATAGAAAAACATATTACGCTATCAGATTTCAATTTCTCACGCTGCTTGTACGCTCTTTTCTCCGATCGTGGAGAGTCTTTCCCGTCCTTTGACTTCTGCTCATCAGACTTGACATTCCACACTTGTGCCTGTTACCTTACGTACCCCGGTCTTGACCTCGAAACGCTTCTTCTTCCTTGCCTGGGTGTGAAGTAAATTAGACGAAGAAGTTGAATGGCAAACTCTGAACATTACCTTCCATCTTTTCATTCGTTTTTGGTAAGCTTTCTTCCCTCCTTTCTCCAGGAATTGCTTTACTTTCTGTGCATCAAGTCATCAAGGCAGGTTATTCAGAGATTACAAAATGTTCATCCGAAATGTGCATCACCTTTTTTCGTTCGAGGTGCATCGGCTTCATAGCTGCCTGAATCCTGAGCTGTACGATTGTGATACCTCAGAAACTGTACTTTCGAATCAGACCTCATAACGTCTTTCACCAACACATAGGCTAGGAGGACGATGCTTGGCCATCTGAAGTGCTGCATCGTTGAATGCAATTCAATACTCTCAGATGCCTTGAACCTTTCACCTTTGTGGACGCTAGTTTCGTTCACAAACTGTATGTAGCCAAAGCCTTTCCCTGCACAACAAGTTAGAAACTTTCTCAACGGTCAAGTCTTCGTCACCATATCCCGTCATCTTGTCGCGGACTAGCCGTACATTCTCTATATCGCCACAGGAACGGAAGAGCAATCTGCAAGATTCGTCAAACGAGATTGTGACAATGTGCCAGATGTTCCTGATAGAATCTTCACTCGCGTTTACGAATGGTACATTTCCTGATAGATATCAGAACCAAGATGTACCGTGTAGCAACATACCCAAGAATATAGAGCGGGCGCTGACATAATTTGCACCCGTTGCAATGTCGCAACGAATTACACAGCTGGACTTTTGGAGGATTTTTTGTTGCTCTCCACCAGTTCCTGACACACCTGGTAAAACAACCTTGTGGATACGTAATCTCAATCTTACGATTGTACGTAATAGTAAGATTAATTCCGTTGCACGCTTTTGCAGCGCTTCTCGCACAGTTTTCATCAAGAAATACAACATACGCATTCATGTTGCCTTTTTGCATCCCAAACTTCAAAATGAAAAATTCAGGTAGGAAATTCTACATCAAGAAGTACCTGATATCTTTTCAGCGCTTCTCGTTTCAATATCTTGGAATTGGATACAGCAAATGAACGGAATCGCATGGATTCAACTTTCTATATCAAAGTTTGCATCAGGCTTCCATGATGCTCGTCAATATTCTGATTGCACCCCATATTGCTTCAGTACTCTGAGGAGTGAGCTTCGGATTCTGTGAAGCGGAGGGCCAATGGGGAGGTTACCAATAAACAGTGTCCTTCGGTCCTTGATCTTGTCTCTAATTTCCATAGAATGAGAGGTGGGCACTTATGAGGAGACACTTTTCTACCAACCTGTAGGTATTGCTTGCTTCGCGGAGAAAGTTTTCTCTTCTCCTCTCTTTTTCCTGATTCTAATATGAAACTTGATTCAAAGCAGACAGCTTTTACCATAATCCTTCTTGTTAGTCCAAATTCGTTGTATTCGTTAATTCCAGGGTAGGATTCGTTACCCCGTTTCGGCTGTTTGACTGCATCTATTTCCACATTTGCAAAATTATGCCATGTCAAAAGAAAAATGATATCTTTACATCGAGTGCCACAGTGAATGCTGGTGTGGATTGGATTTGGCCTCAACCCTAATTTTTGGATCCCTTCATTCTTCAGTGTCCTGAAAGCTTGCTTAGATGTCATGATTCAAGCGTTAAAAACATTACGCTGAGTTCTTCTCTCCTTTGTCACGTTTAGCCTTGTCTGGTATTGAATGTCTGTTGCTTACTTGCAGTTTCGAGTCTTTCATCTGGGTTTCTTGGAGAAGGAGAAGGAAAACTACAGTCATAAGGAGGTCGAAAAGTTTCATGCTTGCTGGCAGTTATACGAGTGGACAAATGGCAAACTCTGAATTACATGCGTGTTTTGCCTTTCGATGCGGTTGTATCAGACGAAGCAATATCGAACCAATCCACTTCTTGTTGACCAGTCGCATCTCCTCATATCCTGATGCAACTCTTCAGACCAGATCTTCATGTTATTTCTATCGAAAGCAGGCAAGCAAGCAGGACATTGAGTTTGGTATCAAAGCCTCAGATCCCCTCATTGAATGGCTTCAGTCCTCCAAAACTATCTGCCAATCGTCCTCTGTGCACGGTGCATTGTGAATCTTGTTTTGATGCGAATCCGTTACAAATCCGTTGTAAACGTGAAACCCTCCTCCCCACACTGACACCTCGGCCTCCCGCTGCAGGAGTGCGCGCTGGGATGGAGGGGTGGAAGATAACGAGACAGGAGCAGCGGCCCCGCAGTCAGGAGAGGCAGCAGACCCATCAGAGGACTTATCGCTTCTGTAGTCATGTACCGGGGAGGCATTCAAGCGGTTTTTCTTGCGCTGTGCTTGATACCAAATCGTTAACGACCAGCTTGCTGTTGCTGTTGGTAGTTTCGTCGCTCTCTTTTGCGACATCAATGTCAGAGATCCGTGCAGGTGCAGGGGCCGGTATCCGCATGTCGGCTTCAGATGGGTTCATGCACTGCAATTCAGGAAACATCAGGCTTAGAGGGGGGTACTCTAAGTTTCTTGACGAATTTCCAAACACGGATGATGAAGCAGAAGGCGGAGCCAACTACGAATTCCATGAAGTTGCAGAAGAAATGAAGCAAATGCTCTTGAACGGCACAACTCCAGTGGACCCTGAGCTCGTGAAGAGAAAGAAAGACCCAAATGCGTTACCAAAGGTACGATCACTCTTGCCTTGTTTCGGTTTCTGATTCCCTGTTGCAGAGGGGCAATGTGCCTGATGAATTTCAACGCAGGTTCAAGAAATGTAACAAATCTCTAGATCCATATGCTGGAGCAAAAGATCTTACATCATAAATCATCCAATGTACTCTGCAACTTGCGTTGTTTACTGCCGACGAAGACAACTTCGTCGATGAAAAGGACATATGATCGCCTCAAGTCATGTGTATAAATCTAGTGAGGAATGATGGCTCAGTATTCAAAATGAAGGGAATCGATTTCGTTTTATCTTGCAATCGACTGCCAAAAACAAACTTCATTATGATTGCAAGGCGGATGGAGTTGCATTAATCAACAGATGGAGTTGTGATGAGAGATAGTGGGAGTGTACCTAGGTGTAGCAGCCATCTTGTTGTGTATTTGCATTCATTATCAGCATCGATTTGCTTTGATGGATAAGCAAAATTATTTCAGGTTTGTCCATGTTTGAAATGGAAAAACATGACTAACAATCGAGTTCACTGGCCACACTGTTCCTTCGGACTGGTGTGGGCTTCGGAAAGTTTCACTGGCCGTAATTTCCGTCAATACGTGTATCATCGACAAGCAGCGCCAGACTCAGATTCAAGAGCGGCCCCGCCTTCCAATGCGAGTTGTTGTTGCCTATTGAGCCCCGCCTGTATTGTGCAGTTGGAAGGATGAGGGTTGGCTCGCTCTGTCTTTTCAAGCCACTCTAAGATCACCGCCGCGATGCTAGACGGAAGGCCCAGACATAATATGGCGTGCCAGCCTCAAACTTGCAGTGATCAAAAACCAGAGCTCGGAGCCAGGCCTAGCGTAAAAAGAATTGTACAGTCGGGTACACCGACCGGGAATCGAACCCGGGTCTCGCCCGTGGCAGGGGCGTATTCTACCACTAGACCATCGGTGTGCAGGGCTGTAAAGCCCCCAACATTCGATGCTGTACATCGCAATTTATGCGTATATATATAAGGTTTCAGACATATGATCGTGGAGCAGATGTTGCCGCTTGTTACGATTTATGTTGAACCCAGCAAGTACTGAAAGTTGTGATTTTACAATCGCGCCTAGAATGTCCTCAGTAGAATCAACCCTCCATCTCGACTTGATTCTCTCACTTGATCACTTCCTCCTGTCCACTTTTTTGCTGCTAAATTCGTGACCAACAACTAGAAATACAGAGGATTGACCAGATACACCCGTCATTTTCATGATGAAACGAGCAAAGGGCAATGGTGGGGTAGGGTGGCAAGTGTGTGGTGGGAAAAAGCAACGCAAGTGGGGAGGGGTTTAGGGGAGCAGGTAGAAGATCGCACGTCGCTCATAAATCATGCAGGGGGGAAGAGAAGGACGACAAAACATTGCACGATTATAAGCAAGCAGTGAGACCATGGCAACGAATTCATGCTTCAAGTGAAAAAGGAAAGTGATCAGCAACATCTTGAGACCTGAGCCATTCATTGCTCACTTTGCCGGAAACCATGGCATGCACGATAGAACATTGTGTGGAGGATGAGAGTGTGATTGGAGTAAAAATTTGCTTTCAACTGTCCGAGGCTGTGCCAAGTAAAGACTACCTGGATCTTTTAATCAAACAAGACGGGGAAGACGGGTCATACATCTTTTGTCTCCGTCAATCGACCGGCAAGGACCACGCTGATCATGAAATCTTGTGCAGATGTCCATACGTGATCAATGAGGAACATGTCAGGGCAAAATTGATTCGAAATCGTTCGATGCTTCGTGTGTTCGCACCAATTCTTACCCCGAATGAGGAACTTGCTGCTGCACAAGAATGCGGATCGAAGTCATGGAAATCTATCGGAGAAGAAGAGAAACGTCACGTTGAACTGGATTCTGATGCAAGAAATAATGCACTTAGGCTCAAGGTATCTTTGAAGTATGATGACATGCCTTGGGTCTAAATGTTGCCCAAGAATGAAGGAAATCAAGCTTTTCGAGCAGGGGATTTTCAAGAAGCGCAAAGGCTGTATACCGAGTCTATTCAGGTATGTTTGAAGAAGATTTTGTGCTCAAACTGATTTGTAATTACAAGATCTGGCAAGAAGATGAATTTGTATACACAAACCGAGCACTTTGCTTTCTGAAGCAGGGAGCATTGGAAGATGCTACTCGTGATTGCATGGAATGCACAAGGAAATTTCCAAATTGTGCAAGGGCATACGAGCGTCTGGGTGACATTCACCTTTCCAAGGGAGATTCGATCTCTGCTGAAAATTTCTTTCATGTGAGCTTGGATCTCATTCCTGATGATTGAATGCCTGAAGCTTGCATTGCCAATGTCTGTCATATCACAGGTCGCCTTGAGAATACAGCCTGATCATTCTGGGTGCTTGGCAGGGATAAAACAGCTCACATCGCAGTTTCAAGAATGTAGCATTTCCAGAGCATCATCCAAGGAGAGCAGAAGTGTTCCTGGTAGCCTGCAGGGTGCGATTCAGTACGTTTCAGAATGTCTAAAAGCATTTCCCATTGAACTCCAGACTGATCATGAAAGAGGGCGGTGTATCAAGTCAAGGCAAGATGTGCAAGAAGGGGAAGTATTGATGGAAGCATCAGCACTTGCAGCGGTTGTAAATGACAAGTATTCTGGAATGATTTGCTCAAATTGCTTCAACTCAGTTAAGGTGGAAGAATCAGTAGTGTGTGCGAACGAGTGTGGAGGAGTTTTGTACTGTTCAAAACGATGTCAAGTGCTTGATTCCATTCATCACGACGGAGAATGTTCTATTCTATCACTATGGAACAAATCGACAGATGCAAATCAAAAGGTGCTGTAGCTTGTTTCTCTCAGTTTGATTGTTCGAATTCATAAAATAGCAGAGAGGCGTGCGGGGGTTGAGGTTGTTCCTCCGTTTGGTCTATGCATTTTCCAGGAGCAACATTTGTGCAGGTCTGTTAAATCTGCTTGAGCATGACAAGAGTGCTTCTAAAGATAGCAACCTTCTAGGTAAGTCCATGCACTTGCATTGGATTTTGTGCATTACTGACAGGCTTGTTCAGGGATGGCGCGTGTTGTGAATCGGTAATTGTTTTTGTTTTCTGCAGCTACACAAATGGTAATCAACTCTCTCAGATTTGTTGATGTGAATTTCAAATTGCAAGATGAAGTCATTGCTTCCATGATTTCTAAAGCTCAACGAAATATGCATGGCATAGTCGACCTCAAGGGTCAAAACTTCGGCCATGGATTGTATCCACTTGCTTCTTTCATTAATCACAGGTTCAAATACATCTCTGCCATTGAAGATATTTTGACTTATTTCTTTAGCTGTGAGCCTAATGCAATAATTTCCTTCGATGGAAACAAATTGGTAGTTCGAGCTCTTGAGAACATTCCCCGAGGCACCGAGATCACAATAGCATATGTCGAGCTGTATGCTCCTCTGGACGTGAGGAGAGACGCCTTGCTCTCGCGCAAGGGATTTCTCTGTAGATGCTCGAGATGTCGCAGGCCCATTGACCATCCGCTTGAATCTAGAATCGCTGCCGGCCCAAAGGAGGTGACATCCTATGCATACATGTTCGCTCTCCGAAATCTTTTTAATTGTGACGAATCCAATTATTCAGACAATCGTCAGGGCCCAGGAAGGTTGGAGCTCCGCTTTGCGTGAATACCAAGCTCATCAACTCAAGTCAAGCCACTTCATTCTCATGCAGGTCTCTGAAACCTCATCGAAGATACACAGTCAAAAGATATGTGTGTTGTTGCTTGCTTTATTTCGATCGACCATGTTGAGTTTAGATAAAAGCTGACCTTTGATTTAGACCTTGCACGAGGTTGGCAGTGTGCTGATGTACGACAACTGGATAATGTTTGATATTTACAAATTGCTCGTTGATGTATGCCTGGTAAGGAATCTTTGTATCAACCGTTCGTTGATACTTTTCAAGGGTCTCAATCTCCATGACGAAACTGTGAGATATTGTCGACTTGTGCTGGGGGCAGCCAAAAATCATCTGCACAGAAACCATCCCATTCATGCATTGATGGAACAGCACTACGCCGATGCCATGATGAGATCTTCTGACCCGGTTTGAGTGGTAACATGCGTTGTCAGCAGTGATGAATGTCTTTCACTAGAGCAAGCAAGATGCCATCGCTAGCTACGACAAGGCGCTTCGTGTTCTCCAAAACATCTATGGCAGACATCACCGAGAGACAGTTAGGCTTAAGCAGAAACTTCATGAGCTTAGCAAGTGCAGCGAATGAAAGGTAAACTGAATAGAGATCGCTCAAGGAAACTCGCTGGCAGCTGCGGCGCAGGCCACTGCCACTCTCAAAGGCTCACTGGCACTACTGAATCATACCGGCGGCCCGGGCGACTCGGCGAACTGACCCGTGCTGAGAGTACTTGGGTACTACGGTACGGTACTACTAGGTGCGTTGCGGTACATTCGATGCACTGGTTGCCCAAATCTCAAGGGTCTTTTCGAATTGTTTAACACTTAATTTCAATATGTATCGACATATTTGAAATCATATCACAGCGTTTGGCGGCAAAGGGATCAGGCGAACATGCAGTCAGTTCATACTCACAGTGGCGGTAGGTGAAAAGCGAAGATGATGGCAGTGGGAACAAAGATGATGAGAGATTAACAGCCAAGATTATGGCAGGAAGAATCCATGACGATCTCTCTCTTCTTGTGTATGATATGACGAACAAGTGGAATGCTCTGAAAGCGAAGCTTGAGAAAGAGTCTGCCTCCATATCAGCGAGTACACGCGCTTTATTGTGCGACTTCGAAGCTCCTTTCAAAGTCGTCGTGAAACAAGTTCATAAACTGATCGAGATACATCATCACAGCAAAGGTCAAGAAGTGCCGCGCTTGAATCAATCGGACTTGAGTCCGCCATGCCTCGACAAATCCCTTCGACTTCTCCAAGAATTGAAGGGGATGCTGTTAGCCGAGAACTTTCTTGGTACTCAAGGCGAACTTTATGGTCACAGGAAAGAGAGCTCAGAAGAATTCGACGACGAAGCTCTGATGAAAGCACTGAAGAAGGAGAAATCTAACAATGCACAGCGTACTCAAATTGAGTCTAGGCGACAGGGGACAAACAAACAGAGCAAGACCAAGACGGTTGAATCATGGGAGCTTCTTTTGGACAAAAACTTTGTTGCGCATAGGGAATCGGTAACCAAGCAATGGAGCACAATTATATCTAACAAGACTTTTGTTGCACTGCAGATTTGGGCTTTAGCCATTGCACAAGGGTTTTTGTTTAGCGGATCGCATGATGGTACAATAAAGAAATGGTGCATGAAGACATACACCTGCTTGAAGGAGATCAAGGCTCACAGTGATGCTGTTCTTGGATTGATCTCGTTGGAAGAAATACTAGTTACCGGATCTGCGGATTGTAAAGTGTGCATCTTTTCTACGGACGAGCTTGCCCTTCTGGAGAAACATGATAAGCACTCACAACGAGTTGGTGCACTGGAGGTATGATGCATTGATCAAACAAGACATTAAAAGCTTGCAGCTCCTGACCCCTTGCTTCTGATCGCTCAGGTCATCGGACGAAGATTTGCTACTGGATCTGCAGACGATTGCATTTGCATTTGGAGGCAGATTTCAGATGGAAAGAAAAGCTGGACTTGTGATAGGGTTTTACGTGGGCATACAGACTCAGTGCTTGTCCTGAAGCACTCCAATGATTTTCTGTATAGCGGATCTTGCGACAAGAGCATTTGCATTTGGTCCACGACCGATTGGAGGCTGTTGTCGAGGATTGAAGGTCACAAGGGCTCTGTCCTTGGCATAACGACTCTGTCAAGGTAGATTGTATCGGTTGTATTGATGCTGCTTACAGTCTTGTCTTAGGTTTGTCATTAGCTGCTCGGAAGAAGGATGTATCGAAGTTCGGGTACCACCTCGTCTCACACGCTCGATTGCAGCTGATCATAATCGCAGGACTCTGACCAAGATTGGAGAATTGTAAGCTCATCTCATCAAGACAAAGTTTCTGTAACCTTCCTGGCATCTTGGTATGAAACTGACATGTGTGCAATATACTGATTTCATCCCGGTTTGCATGCGTCGTTCTGACTTCATCCTGTCACAGTGGCAGCTTCATCATAACGACCGGTGAAGATCATAATATGCGGATGTGGATGTTTGCAAACGGAGAAATTAAGTGTGTGGGAACTCGAATTCTTCCTGGTCCAGTCTCGTCTATGATATCGGATGGTATGTGTAAGAATAAGCCGCTTCAAGATGGTAAGATATTGTTCAGGGAGTTCAGCGATACTGGTTGCCTCTTACACTGGCGAAGTGACTCGTTGGATAATCAAGAGGTATGTAGATACATCGGTGTGACAAACAGATTTCTCGCCTTGGTTGGAATCTCGTTAACAACGTATTACAATCGGAACGATTGTGTTAGATACATTACAATTTAGAGCCACTCATCAACATACATGCGCAGCTGCTTCAAAGTTTGGTCGTCCAGCTCAATCAGCGACACCTTGCCGTATAGAAGTCTGTCTCCGACACAATCCTTCCGCAGAAACTCGTCCTCTGGCTTGGAACCATTCTGCCTGCTAGAGTCCAGTATGCCATCGATGTATGCTAGAAGCTCAGATTTGACATCAACGTCTCGTGCGCTCTCGCCGTCTCTCAGGGTCTCACACATTGACTTCAATGACAAGAGGATTCCTGTCCCATTGCGCATCAGCCTGTCAAAGCACAAGGAAACACCCAAGTACCTTGTCGGACTGCTTCAGAGAAAGCCAAACTCATCCGCTCGTTCGCAAGCTTTTCGGGATCCTCACTGCCCTTCTCCGTCGTACTTGTTTTGTTCTCTTGCTTCTTTCCTATAACAAAAGAAAGAGGTCAAACCAAGAGGATTTTTTAAGCTGCAAGACTAAACCTTTGCAGCCGCCCAGAGCAAGTTTTCCATGTACGAATAGCTCACACGCATTTATGACGAATCCCACAAAGATCACTCCACTTGTCATCAAGAACAGCCCAAGCATGTCTCGAAAAGAAAAAGAATTGTCTCCAGAAGTGACCGCACACGATTCTGTGGAAGTGGTTTGAAAGGTTCCCACCTGGATACAACCAAAATGATTCTTACAGGAGCAGATGTTGTAGTAGGCTTCGGCTTACCTGATAGTTCTTGATCAGCTGTCCAATTTCACCACTTTCCTTTAGAGATACAATAGCCTATCGTCCACCAGCAAGTCACGTCATCAATGGTTAGAAAATGCGACCAGTCAATGTGTAGCTACACAACCTCCTTTCAACTCTCATAAAAACGCGTACCTGTGAGAAGGGTATGAAGTCCAGGGACGCATAGTTGAATGCAAAGCCATATCCAAATACATTGAATATTTTCCCAGTTTCCATCACTTTACAGTTGAGCCCCTCACGAACGATGTAATCCTGGTCAAGGTGTTTGAACATGATTTCACATTGATTTTATCAGTTGCATTCTTACTTGCACTATCGGCTCATCGTGAAATGTAGCATCGGCTAAGCCGTCACCAACCATTTTGACTGCGCTTTCCCACGAGTCTGTCCAGGTGACATTGAACACCGCATTTGGATATTGTTTCTTTTCGAATTGTACGAAAGCTTGATGGAGCCCACCTGCTGGAAGTGCTAATTTGAACTTCCCCTTGCTATCGACAACGTGTCATCTGATACATAGGCAAACTGCAGATTACCTGTTCAAAACACTACTCCAATCACTGATTCCCGGGACGGAAAACGAAGCGGTCAAAAAACTTGCCAGATTGGCAGTATCTGTGTAATTCAAAGTCATTGTTTCAATAAGATACGATGAACGTGTACAGCTTGCAACGATTATGAGCATGAACCAGCCATGTGCCATCATCACCAACTTCCCTCCCCAGGTTCTTGGAGCTTTATCTGGATTTTGCAGCAGAAGCGTGAATGACCAATACAAGGAATCGACGAAGCCCTCCAACCCTCCATCTGAAAGCAAAGAAATCACAAGGAGAGAAAGGTAAACGACCTGATCCAAGTAATATCTCAAGTTCTCACCTACAATATCTGAATCCTTGATGGAGGAAAGAAAGGGAGATTCCATCAGGTAGCACAGAAGAGCCACCGCAACAATCTCAACAAGGACAGCTATCCAAAGCGTGGTTTGAAATGGACCGAAAAAGTGCCATAAACTGGGACTTTGTGCAGGCCTTTGGACTATCAAGATGTATCCTGAAAGGTACATAAAACAAACAAGCAAACATTCATCTATCTGACCTGTGTCATAGTAAGGAATGGTGAAATGTGCAATGCTCGACCGCTCTGTGGTGATTTCAAGAGCCCCACCCGCAATCTGCAAGTAGAGACGTTCAAAGGAGGATCAAGTGACATGTGAATATTCACCTGAGCTTGAGGGCTGCTGCCCGCATTTGAGACCACTGATTGCACTGCTGCTCTAGAAGATTCTGGATTGTTTCCATCGGCTAACATGAATTCAAATTTGCATGAAAGCTCATTCTCCAGAAGGTTCGCAATGTCAATGGTCAGCCCACTGAAGCGGCTCGAGCCTGAGACTTCCTTGTTGTAACTCACAAACGGCGGAGCCACGTGAAGCGCCATGGTGAATGTTCGATTGTTGAAACCCTTGTCGGAGGAGAAGACAGTTTGAGTGGGGCATACTTGAGACTCGGCTGCGGTTGCGAGCAAGGCAAGTGCCAAGGGCAGGGAGATGAAGTGCAAGGGGAACATGACGCAGTTGCTGCTACCTCCTCGACTTGTTCAACCCGTCAGTCCTTTACCGTCCTTGCATTCGAGCCCTCCCTTTATAGAGCGACTACGCTCACAAGATAATTTCAAATGAAACCGAACTATTTGAAACAAGTTTGATTCATCCTCAAATCACTCTCCCATCACCCTGAATGATTTCTTTTTTTTGAGCAGCAATGGGCGGGAAGGGAAAGTAAGAGCGAGACGGGCGCGATGGTGAAGATGAAGCTTCGCCTCATGCGTGATGGCTCGATCGCTCTCGCACTCATCACGTTCTCCCTCCTCCTCTTTCTCCCAGCAGTTGAGCCCACCGTTGACCAGACATTTCCTTACCTACAGCCAGCTATTACAGACACCTTTCGGTGCTACCAAGCAACAGCGATGGTTTACTCCAACTTTGATGCCGACACAAACTGTGGAGAAGCAGGTCTTATCTCAAATGTAGAGGCACACTTTCATTGATAAAGCCAACAGAATGTATCACGGATACTTCGGGTTTCGTTGCTTGCAAGTACAGGGGCACGTCTGACATTACGTTTCTGATTTTGACATTCAGAAATGGCATAAGCGAGCCAAGCGTGTTTCGCACTTGTACCAATCAAATCTTGTGATTCTCAGCGATTGATCTCTTTTTGAAAGCTGTTTGCGCGACCTCACAAGCAAATGCTACCCTTTATGCCAACAACATCCTCCGACCATCCCTGGTTTGCGTTTGCCCTGATCTGATGGAAACTGTCTTTTAAAGCCAGGAAAATCTCAGGAGGGAATGAATACGCTGACATGTTCTGGCAACTATACTGCCATTTGCTCAAACGCCAATGGTTTTTTCAGCTCAATCACAGACCGAGCGAGCGGGACGGAAAGATGTTGCAGGTACCCTCTAGAGGAACCGATTTACCGTTTGACGACTCGTCGAAGAAATCCACGATACCTTTTCACTCGTCAGAAAGATTGGAAGTCAATTGCGTATGGCTACTTCATCTATGATGCAGCCAATCCAACATGCGGTTTGATTCCATGCATAACAGCAAAACTAACACAAATGGGTAGGCTACCTCCCCTCTTGAAACAAGCATGACAAACTTTGCAGGCAATGCGTTTCCAGATAGTTTGGCGACAAAAACTCTGGCATTAAAGATAGATCAATACGCATCAATATTAAGTTTGACTGCCCTTTACGACGTGAACAAAGCTGATAATACAACGAAGTTTCAAACAACTTTGACGTTTGCAACGGTATGTCTTATGCCTCTTACCGACATGTAACGCCCTCTCAGGATACCAAATTTGATGTTGTGGTACCAGAATATGAGACCATCCCGGTGAGTTATAGCGAGCATACCAAGAAACGATTAAAGCTTTCTGACCATCTCGAAAGGGAGAGGTTTCACTTGGACAACATGTGATGTGCTACAGAGACGAAGACTGTCAAGGCATTAAGCAAACATTTCAGCCCCCATTGAATGCATGCTCTCAGTGTACACTCCTGCAGAATTTGATTATCATGCTAGGGCATTGGATTTCTTGAGATGTGTTGCGGATTTTGTGAGAAGATGCTTGCGTCAGAGATGTGCAAAGTGAAAGCATAGTTGCTTTCACATGCAAGGACGGCTGACCGAAGGTCTTAGGGAGACTGGGAGAGCTGGCCTGTAGGATCAGTGAAATATTACGAAACCATTCAAAAGATTAATCAAACATGCCGGTAAGACTATTTACACTTTTGAATGTTACATAACACATTTCTCAGGACGCAGTTTCGATGTTCAGATAGACAGCCATGCATGGGTTGCCCTGGAACCTGCGAACCTGTTACGAATCAGCAGATCACAACAACAGCTGCAGCAGCAACTACACAGATCATTGAAACAACCCCTGAGCCTGTCAGATCTAGCATTGAACTGAACATTTTAGGTTAAGCAAAGGGTTCTGTGAATTTTCATTGATTACCTGCTTTTCAGTTCACGGAGAAAGTGGCGTCAGCTTCAATAGGGAGAGGAAGTTTCATTTTCTTGGTGTACTTGCAAAGGCACTCGATATCGCGCAGGTGCCATCGTCTTCCCGAAACCTTCTACCCTTTGAATAATGACACCTTGGTTTTTAGATATTCCTCGATATCATTACAGCAACCGATACTGTAATCGAGCTTCACATATTTCTTATTTTGTTTGACTTTGACGAAGAGATCTTATCCACTTCATGCAAAGCTCACTCGGCACAGCTTCGCAAATTATGTCAAGCGCATGTAGCTTAATTTACCGAGGGTCAACGAACATTGAAGGGTTTGCAGGTTTGTTCGAGCATCAAATAATGTAGAGGTAGAAATGATCCATTTTCCCTGCGAAATGTCATAAGAGTGAAGGTCAAAGTTCGGGTGTCAACTGCTAGTGACGCCAAGAGTGAAATTCTTGTTGCTCTCATCGGTATGTGATTCAATGGCCGATACTCTACCCACTGATCCGATCGGGGTTGACTATCTACAGCGCAAAAGTTTAGTCAAGGCATTGTGGATCAATTAATGCGAGAAGTACTCGCTTTGCTACCAATATCGCGGTTCTAGTTTGAGACATTCAACATTCACAGGAAGGATTTCCCGGCGGCGTCAATTTGACAACGTTTAGGGCGATATCTATTGATGGTGAACGATGAATCTCGGCTTGCTTGAGCAATCACATGTGTCAGGTGTCACGACACTACAATCCAAGATTTGTGGAGACGGCAAGACACAGGTAACAAGAAGCAGAATGAAGTTTGCTTTTGCTAAATATGCAACAGACAGACACTGGGGAGGAATGCGATGACGGAAACCAAATAAATGGGGTAAGTAAGAAACGAATGCTCAAGATAAAGTTCGTGAGGGTGTGGCCAAGGACGGATGCTCTCAATCCTGCCAAGTGGAGTACAATTGGCATTGCTGGTGGGCCATCCTCCAACAAGATCTTCATGAATCTTCTGCAGGCACTGTCAGCCTGAAGATTTTGCGTGCAATGGATCAAACACAATTGACGGATGTACCTACCAGTAAGTCCTGCAAGGCTTCATAGTACAATCAGATGATTCAAATTGATTTGACAGAGGATGTCAAATCGGAAAGAGCATCTGCGTTCAAGTCAGTCCTTGTGATCTTTGGTATGGGAGATGTTTTGAAGGTGTTCCTTGCATGGACAAACAATATGTGTGAAAACGGTCAAAAGGTGGACAACAGACCTTTTTAGGAACGAAGCAACTTTATGGACGATGCTGGTATTCTACATCGTAATTGACGATTGCTGATTGCGACCTTGCTTTTGGTTTATAGGTCCTGTATGAAGGACAATCACAATTATTGTTTGGACTGCTCTGCTGAATTCGCCATCCTGCAACAAACGACACTGTCAAGGTTCATCCAGGTTTAGGCTACAAGCTGTCGTTAATGTATCACTGCAGAAAGGGGACGGAGAGTGCTTGGGCAAGAACGAGAGGAGACTTGACCAAACAGGTTTTCTTGGCCTTGGCAGATTTCAAACTGACCTCTGCCAATCCATCAGCCACTGCCCAAGTGGCTTGCGCCCTATGGCTTCATGGGCCCTTGTCTTCCCTCTGCAAACTCTACCGGAGAGTATGGATCTCACCCAACAACCTACGAGCTCAATCCAGCGAGTCCAAACTTTCCTGCAGATCCTACAGGTCATTCAGAATCGCGGTCGCTTGTATGGCTGACCCCTCCAGCAGGCGATAGCGGTGGATTCTCACCAGAGCTCCCATACGGAAAGCCACCTGTGAACATGGTCAGAATGTCATGTTTGAGAATTGACACCGATAGACAGATTTGTATTGAGTGGAGTCCGCCCATTCTCGCTCTGATCATCGTCAGTGCCTTCATTTTTCTTATCTGCTTTTGCTTGGCTCTGCATTTCGGGTGATGCCGACGGAGCATGGATAGGCTTTCTAACGTTTTTTCAGATTCAACGTGGCAGACTTGCACATCCGAAACTTGAAAACTGCCGTAACTCGCCCTGACTTGCCGAGACCAAGGATTTGGGCACCTGTATGCTGCTATTTCGAAGGATCGCGGTGCCACGGTGACCTGGTTGGGTGGCGCAGGTTCAAGTACCTGGAGAAGATGACGTCTCTGATTCAGAGTACTCCGAGGAGGAGGTGATTTGGTCCGGCAGCATTTGCATTCGCTGACGTTGAAGCTGCAGGATGAGCTCATCAAGGAGTAGAAGAGATTGCATTGATATTAATTTATTGATTGGGATTACTAGATATGATATTTTACAAAGTCCATTTGGGTAAGTACCAAGTCCATCAGTGGATGTCACGGAGAAGTTTCAGTATGAGGGGATCTCTCTCCTGGAGTTTTGCAGCACTGCAAGGATCAGCTCCTCCTGAGCCAGCTGAGCTTCCATGTTCCTTCGACGTTGATTCAGATTGCAGAAGCTGACCGGAGGTCGCGATGGTGACCTCCTCGGCCATAAATCCCGTTGATCTGCTTCCCCCCTTGTGCAACAAGGAGAAATAGGCGCTTGCACCTGCATAGGGCATGAAGGACTGCGAGAGATCGATGAGGCAGATTCATCAGTCTTGAATTGCTTCTCGAATTTGACTAGATTCTGATGCTTTATCTCTCGTTGATGACCTGCTTTCTTCGGTTGTTCATGGTTGAAAACATGAATTTTCATTCTTCGGTCGACATGCTCCCCTTGAGAAGTCTTTCCTCGCCCGTTTTTTGCGGCATCTGCTGTGGTTTTGTCTTGCAAACCGCATCGAGACAACCCACTACCCATGTTGACTATGTCGACGATGTTGACCAGACTGACAGAGCTGACTGTGCGACGGTGTTGAAAGCTGCTGCTTCCGCTGCTGTCGCTGTGCTCGTCAAAGATTTCCACACTCTAGTTTGAAAGGGACATTTTTTTTCTCGGGAAAGCTCAGTTCCAAAACGCTCTCTTTCACAGTTTTTGGGGCAGCTCGTGCGAGTCAGCAACGACCCTTGATCAGGTGTAAAAGAGCCAAGGTGAGGCGCACCCTTTTGGTGGCAAGTGGCTTTACGTTACTCACCCGTTACTACTGCCCGGCCCCACGGATGTTTCATCTGACTCAGTGACTGGTGCCAACGGGAACAGCGGTAGAGACGAATTTACTCAGTTATTACATTACATTGAATGAGAGCCGCAGCAGCGGCAGATCAGTGATCTTCGTCCAGTGAGAAACCAGCCTGCACCCGGCCCGTCAAGTCAGTGCAACGAATGTTCAATAACCTCAATCTTCAGCCTACCATTCTGTCCAATTCGATCTCTGCTTCGTTCTGGATGTCTAAGTTAGCGATGAAGTTTTTCGCACAATCGTTGTACCTGTTCCTTCAACACGCTGTACTCCCTATATATCTTCCTGTTGCGGAAGTATAGATATATCAATCCTGTTAAGAGGATTCCAAACACCGAGACCCCCGATACGATGATCATTGTCACCTACATCAGTCTGAGCCAGCAAAGACGAACGCCCATGAACTCACCTTTGACTTGTCAAGCAAGACAGCTTGACAATCTTCGTAGATCACTTCAGGGAGATCCAGTCCACCTTTCGTCATAACATGTCAAGCTGAGGAAGACGACAACTTTTCAAAGGTAAATGCAAGATTGGAGTTGTCTTACCATGACAAACCTTGGGTTCTTTCCACACCATGTGCACTGGTCTCTTTCCAGTGACTGAGCATTCCCCAGGCAGTGTTCGCATGTCTTCATTTGTGCACAAAGGACAAGCATACTAGGCCACTGTGAGCTGCAAACGAGACAAGAATCACTTCACCTGCGATCGCCATTGCAAAGCATATCCACATTTCTTCTGTTCGACTGGCATTCCAGGAATGAGAGATGGAAAGCCTGCGATAAGATAAGATGAGACAACCGCAACACTCAAGAAAGACCAGGTCCAGCTTCAGGGTCGCAGTACATCGTGATGTTCAACGATCGTGTGCCTCCATTCCAACACTTTTCTCCACCCTGAGCAAGCAAGTTCAGCATGCATATGTGAAGAAGGCAGCTGAAACCTGTATAGAAACCATTAACCCATTGCGAGGTCGTTGCGGTAGGGTGTAAAATGCCATGGTATCACCGAGGCTATCGTTGCAGTCAGGAACTTGATCAGATTGTAACACATGAAGTCGACTTGCATAGAAATCAATTGGGTGACAACCAACAAAAGTTCAGAGGAAACAGAGAACCGACCTCACAGCAAAAGCATTGTCATTGAAATCGTCGAAGAGCGTGCTCTCTTGACAAGCAAATGATCTGGCAGCGTCTCCTCCTCTCCCCTGGAAACAATTCAGATATCTCAAAAGCAATAATGTAACGTCAGACCGCGCAAGTTCCATTCGCATGGCTTTGACTACAAATGTTGATGTAATAGTTCATGCTGTTGTTGCTGTCCACCACTGGCCCCCACATTGGCTTTCCAACTCGCGCTAATTCTCCAAGGTCGTAGATGGTCTCGTCATCAACCGTGTACCGGCAGTTAGTTGGTGAGACATCGCAGGAAGCGGCGCCGATGTGGCTGAAGGTTCCATGCCCACACAATCTGCAGGAGCTCGATCCTGGAGTGGCAGTGAAAGTTCCCGCTGTACAAGGTGCACACGAGGATCCTCCGCCCGCAGCGAATTGCCCAGGGGGACAAGGTGCACAGATGGAGGCCTGCTCATCTGACACAAAGCCGGGCGGACAAGCGACACATTCAATGGCTCCGCCGTCTTGGACGCCAGTGACCTACGGAGATATCATTCAAGGCCTTCCGCGTGTTTCAAACCTATCTTACCACAATAGAATCGATCACTGCCCTGTCCTGCAGAAATTAATTGATTTGAGTGAGGGAAAGTGAATGAAATCTATTTCGACCTCTTTTGCAGCCTGCGAGTTGGCATCGCCTTCCATCCACGAGTACTCGCGTTCTTTGTGGAATACCCATGTGAGAACATGCGACCCGGGGGGCACCTGAAATCCATCTAAGCTTCCCCTCTAGCCCATCACATACGATCGACATCAGCAGCGAATGTGAAGCGACTCTCAAATCCACTGGTAGCCTAAAATTCGAAGAATAAGCAAGGCTAAAAGGCTAAGTCAAGATAATTGTCACCGTGGACTCATAGCCGCTGTCTTCATAAGCATAAAGCTTACACCACAGGTCATCGACTCGATGCAAAGAAGAATCTATCACCTGCTGAGTTTCAACACCCCATATGCGATCATCATCCACGAAAAATTGGAGTCGGTTTTCTGAATTTCTCACACGCGTACTGCAAACTTTCAATGGCGAATGCAGGAATTGCAAGAATGAGCATGCAATTACCTGTAGTTGAAGAACACCTGCCCTGTAGTCTCTAACACAACACGCACTGAAAGCCAAATATCTGCAACATCTCCATTGCCAACCCCTGACAAAGAAGCATAAAAGGAAGCTTTCTTAGTGTTGAACGTACCAGTGTCTAAACTAGATCCCAGCGCTCGCCAGCCATTCTGTGCACAAAAGCCATTCGCGCAACCCGTTTGCATTTCTCCTCTTTCAAGGTAGCTAAAATACGATTCAGGGAACGCCAATGTAGTTTTCTTTGAACCGTTTGAACATCGCAGGGGTGAATTGCTGGTCGTAATATCGTAGCTGCCACAAATGATCAAGGAATCTTGTACGTGTCAACTGAGGCTGTACCTTCAATGCAACAAAGCCTTTAGGACATGATTTGCAGACCTTTCACCAAATACTCAGGAAAATCAATCTCATAGACATATGTACAACATCGATTCCACTCCTTGTTGGATTGGGATTGTACTTGCCCGCTGGGCAGTAATTGCACACAGCTCCCTGGCGATATTCTCCCCTATCACATGGAGAACACTCGACCTAATCTCGACTTAGAACTCAGCATGAATTTTCAAAGAGTGTTACCTCCTTGTCTGGCTTAGGTTGGACACCACCACTGCATATCTTAGGCTGGAAATTCTTTTACAAACGTAGACAAGCCCGTCAAAGGTAAAACCTCCACGTAAGACTCATGCTTCGTACGCTTTCCATTATTGCATTCACTATAGGTGACCAAAATGTCGGTCTCCACACAGGGCTTGGCGGGCTGACAACGCGGTGAAAGAGAGTACTTTCAAATGCAGCACAAGTACCTTGCACTGGACAGCTCCGGGAAGTGAGTATTTAGCAGAGTCATGGCCTCCAACTGGATTACACGGCAAGCAAGAAGCCGTCCCGGATTTGTCAGCATATGTATTGACTGGACACTTAAGGCACTCAGCACTTCCAGGGGGGCTGGACACAAAATCAGGAAAATCACCTAGCCAGATTTCTTTACAGCAAGAACAGTAACATCACCTGTAGTGTCCCTTTGGGCAGACTGAGCAAGTTTCCGTGTTGTATTGCATTCCAATAACCTTTTACAACCAAAATTTTCAATCAAGTTGCATTCTTGGCATCACTGCGTGCACTTGCCTGTACAGATCTGATCCTTGCACGATCTTCTCCCATCTCGTATGCAACGTCTTTGTGATAGACCCATTGCAAAGTGTGCAGCCCAGCTGCAAGTGGCCAGGTGAACTGGGTGTACTTGAATTCGTAGGAATCCATTTGCATCACTGTCTCGCCATCCACCGCGAAGTATAGACCATCCCAGCGGCGTTCAGCATCAACCTAAAAAGGACACGATCATTGTTTCAAAACAAGATTCAGTAAAACGTTACCTTATACTCGAACGTGACAGATCCACTTCTTATGAGCTCCACTTTCATTGTCAGGGTTGAATCAACAAGACGCTTTCCGCGGAGCTCCCCGGAATGAATATATGTACCATTCAAAACCCACCTGAATATCATATCACATCAACGTGAACCCCTTAATCGGTATAGTTGACCCATTGCAGGTTTGGTCGTTGTCTGCTTCCAACTGAAATTTGCAGCTGGTGGAAAACCCTGTGAGGATCATTATTGACTCCATCTCAAAGATGGTTGGGAATGGAATACGATGGATAGAAGAATTACCAGGAGGGAAAGATTCCCAGTTCATGTACTTTTCTCCTCCACCAATAGAGTAGGTACCGGGTTCGCACGGTGAACAAGTGGGCTTGCCCAGTGGCAGGTATTGTCCGGCGTTGCATGTGATGTTGCACGGGAGATTAACAACTGTAGGAGGGAGTGCCTTTCCTTTCTTGCAAAGAGCGGAATAGAAGTACGTCAGAGACCTTTGAAACACTGTCAATTCAATTTGAATGTACGGCCAGTGAGATCCCTCACCTCGTCGAGGTTGACTCATCACAGCTCGTGTAAGAAGTGTGGATGTCGTTATCTTTGCACTCTTTGATGGTAGAAATCATATCAGGTTGAGGGCTGTCACATGGTTGTCATTGTTACAGCAGATGATCAGCACGATTCTGGAAGAACGCAATGACTCACATTGTCCAAGTTGCCACGCTGTTATCCGCGTTGTAGTAGTAGGATTGATGCCTGCAGGCAAAGAATCATCAAGCTGTTGTCGGAAATGGTTTACATTTGATTTTACGTGATCGGATCCTTCATTTCCGTCCAACCCTGAGGAAGACCAGGATTCACAGCTCCTGCGTCTGCCAGAAGCCCCCAGTGCGTTGGATTCTTCAATTATGAAACTGTTAGCCAGATGAGAGTATTCATGGTAGATAATACCTTGTTTGCTCTTGATTTTCGAGATAGCTTGGGGTTCCTGAGAGGAAAGTGCAGTTTGCTTGCGTTCACCTTTCCTGTTCCCAGCCTTTCTCTCATTGGGTGGGCATGTGCTGGAAACATGGACACTTGAGCCTACGGCATAAGAGTGAGTTCATCTTTTCGAACCTACTGACGTCACAGACCGCCAGAAAAGCTGCGAGGAGAAGAGAAGAGGAACGAGCAGGCCATGGTCTTGCTGACATATCTTCTCTTCCCCCACTAGCGAGCGCCTCCTGCATGACGCGTACAACCCCAGGAGAGGTGGAAATACCGTACTGCGGTGTTTGGAATTGCTAATCATAGAATATATTTGATATTAATCAATAAATTTGAAATGTTAGCTTGTGAGTAACTGAATCGTTGGTACTTAGTGAAAACTTGTGAAGCCTGGGAACCCACAGAGAAAATTCGATTTGATTATTCACAGATCTGTTGGGGAATTCTTTAAAACAAGATAGGAAAATTCACAATGTTAATCACCAAAATTTCAAATTCTTGCTTGCAACAAATCTTGAGGCGGGCTGCTTCGGATAGTCGCAATGTGGAAGGAGCTTGCAGTAAAGAACGCGTGAGCAAGAAGACGAGAGCACGCGAAGGGAATGTGCGATGCGAGATTGAAATTCTGACACGAAATGTCGAAGAAATGATGTCTGGTTTCATTGAATCATATGAAATAGGTAGATAAGCATACAAATCAAAGACTGCATCCAACTTGAGGTCATGAGCGACGTTGATCCGGAGGTTGGAGAAAAAAGGAGGAAAAATCATCAGAGTCACGGGACGAAAAAGAGATGTCAAGGAAAGAATTCCATGAATGGAGAGCACAAAGAGTCTATCCTCGAGAAAAGGAAGGAGCTGCCGGTGTACAAAGCAAGAAGCGAAATTCTCTTCGAATGCCGCCGACATGCTACACTCATATTGGTCGGGGAGACTGGCAGTGGCAAGACAACGCAAGTTCCTCAATTTCTTTTTGATGCTGGTTACGCAAAACATGGAATGATTGCGGTCACCCAGCCAAGGAGAGTCGCGGCTACATCTGTATTTTTGTTAGAACTTGATTTTGATTTTGCATGATTGTCGAACAGGTAGCAAGACGAGTTGCCGATGAGTTTGGTTGCAGAGTAGGAGAAGAAGTTGGCTACACAGTACGATTTGAGGACAGCACGTCTCATTCCACGAAAATAAAGTTCATGACGGACGGTATGTTGCTTAGGGAACTTATGCTGGACGGCGAGCTACGGTTTGCCATGACATGCACTTGAAAATCAAGTGAAACACTGAATAGAAAGATGAGTTAGGCGATATTCTACCATAGTTCTTGATGAAGCACATGAAAGAAGCCTTAACACTGAGGTACATCTGCATTGAGACTCATTGGATCTGAATTCCTGTAGCTTCTCCTCGCTCTTGTCAAACGTTTGCAAAAGTCACGCCAAGAATCTTCATTTCCATTAAAAGTAATTGCAGTCTGATACGTAACGGGTTGGTTAATGCTTCTCAAGGTGGTGATAATGTCAGCAACTCTGGAAGCAGAAGCCTACTCTCGCTTTTTTCTTGACTGTAAGATTGTCAAAGTACCAGGAAGGATGTATCCTGTCGAGGTTCGAAGACCTCTGATAGCCACAATCAATGACTTCTTATCCGCAGGTTCTATACACCCCGGAACCTCAACCAGACTTTCTTGATGCTGCTGTGGTGTGTACTTGCTTTTTCTGTTTCGGTTACGACAGTAAGTATGGAATGAAAAGGTGACCTGCTTGCAAATACATCTCGAAGAGCCAAGGGGAGACGTTCTTTGCTTCCTGTGTGGTCAAGACCAGGTAATATTCAAGCACATGTTGAACCGCTACCGGTATAGGTTACACCTAAACACTTCCGTGTCGTAGATAGAGGATGCTGCAAAAGTGTTGCAAGAGAGATCGAGGGCCTTGCCGCCTTCATGGTTCTCCGCAGGGTTGAAACTTCTTGTATTGACGGTCATGTTCAGTGACAAATTGATGCCCTGCCCGCTTTATGCTGCGTTGCCACCTTCAGAGCAGGTGAGTTTGAACCATCCAGCAGCTCAAGAGCACGTTGCTAATCGCCAGCTTCGGTGAACAGATGCATGCGTTTGCCCCTGCACCTGAAGGAACCCGGAAGGTGTTTCCCCTCCTTTACGAATATCTTCCAGGCTCAATGCATGACAGATTATTCTGGCAACCAACATCGCTGAGAGCAGGTGATTCAATTTCATCAAGTATCAAGTATCAGAAGATTGATTCAACAACCATTGCAGTATCACTATCGACAGCATCAAGTATGTCGTAGACAACGGCCTGGTGAAAGCAAGAATTTATGATCCCAAACATGATATGGAGTCATTGCACGAGGAATTACAAAACGCCTGTGTGATGGTCCGTTGAAAGCTTCCATCCAGATCCCTATCTCCAAGGCACAAGCAAAGCAGCGAGCTGGACGAGCAGGACGAGTCTCCAGTGGCAAAGCCTATCGACTGTACACGGAAGCACAGGTCAGTTCAAACAGTCTTGGGCTGCCGACAATCTCTTATATTTATACAAGTTTGAGGAACTGAGTGCAGCTGCTGTTCCCGAGATCAAGAGGTGCAGGCTATCAAGGTTGGTTGACCTTCAATTCGTTGGTGGATGACAATCCGCACTCTCCAGCATGGTTCTCCAGCTGTTTGTCATGGGGATTGACAACCTCATGGAGTTCGAATTTATGGATACACCACCGATACTCCTATTGACCAAAGCACTCGAGCAACTTTTCCTGCTGGGAGGTCTCATTTCCATGTTGGTACCGAAATCCTGACAGACTGCAAGCTCTGGACAAGAACAAAACGTTGACAGACCTGGGACGTAAAATGGCGGTAGGGTCCGTTACAATGCAAACTTCATCCTTATACATATTTGCAGATGCTGCCATTGGAACCACCTTACGCAAAATTGCTACTTTCTTCAAGCAAATTCTCTTGTTCAGAGGAGATTCTCACTGTAAGGATTTGAAGAGGACTTGAATGTTCTCACAGAGCCCACAGATTGTGGCAATGTTATCAGTAGATTCAATATTTTTCAACCCAGCAGGGAAGCGAGAAGAGGCTGCAAGAGCACGGCACCTCATATCGTCTGCAGATGGTGATCACATGACTTACCTCAAGGTAGCAAAGTCTGATGCATGTCAGTTTATAGTTTACATCTGTTGGATTTTTCAGGTTTACGATGGCTGGCTGAAGTCAAAGAAGGACAGAGAATGGTGTCATCAGTATTTCATCAACTCGCGGAACATGAAGAAGGCTTGACGTTGACTCATTGGCTCGCTATTCTCTGACATGTAGCAAGGTTGAAGACATCCGAAATCAACTGCAAGGATACTGCAAGCAGGTAGGTTTGCTTCCATGGCTTCCCTTTCCAATGCCTCGTCTAAATGGATTGAGACAAACTTCAGGGGAAGATTCCTCTCGTCTCTTGTGAGCAAGAGTTAACGGCAGTGGCGCGATGCCTCTGCACTGCATTTTACAGCAACACGGCAACCATCGCACCAGACGGTCAGGCGAATCTCCATTGCCTCACGTGCTTGAATCTCCATTGCCTCATGCTATCAGCAGGAAAGTCTTACAGGATGGAAGTGACAGCCCAGGAGGTCTATCTCCATCCTTCGTCGGTTCTTTTTGGGAGGCGGGCAAGGAGCGTGGTGTTTGATGAACTTGTAGAATGATGCAAAGAAGATGAAGAGCAGAATTTCACCATTTCGACAGGTCCTCACGTCCAAGCTGTACATGCGACACTGCACGGTGAAAACATACAGAGATAGAAGAATGACTAATATGGATGGAAGGTGATCGACGTTGGTTGGCTCGCTGAGCTCGTGCCATTGCTGTACAAGACAGCAGGCAAAAGTTGAATGTTGAGATCTCGGCCAACCTGGACTATTTCTTGCCAGTAAGGGGGGGCTTTGAAAATGATTTACAGAAATATTTAACAATCTACATACCATCTTGAGCCAGCACCTCTGTCTGAGAGGAAGTCAGCACAGCGAAGAGGTTGTCTGCGAGACCTGGGAGTCGCGCCACACGCTGCACTTGTGTATCGGATTCATGGCTGCTCCTTGCTTGCACCTGCTCAGATTGTTTAGCCAAATCGTTCTAGCTAAGTCTCACCTGAACACTTCTGCAAACTTGCTGTTCTGAGAAACAGCTCCGTTGGCTCTAAAGGGAAGAGGTGCGTGCTTGTCCGTTATGGCGTTCACCTTCGCCTGGCCAGGATGCGATTTGGTGCACCAGAGCTGAGCAGCATTAGCTTCTCTATCAGCTGCTCTTGAGCATCTGCCCCTCTTACCTGAGCGTAGGAGATGAAGAAGACGCGAATCAGAGACTCCACATCGCATGAGCATGGGGGAGCTTCTTTAACTGACTCAAGAAATGCATCGAGCGACACTTTGAGGCCTCCGTGATCCGCCATATTCTCACCGAGCGTGAGTTGACCATCCACCTTCGACCCTGTCGAATATCAACTTATCAACCCACGTCTGAATATTACCAGACCTGCAATTTCAAAGTTTGCGTACAATTTTCGAAGACATTCAGTCTGTTCATTCGCGTTAGAGAGAGTATGGCCCTTGCATTACACCTTGTTGTCAAAGAGTTGCTTCACAACATCTGTCCACCAATTCTTTCTATTCGCGTCCTCGTCATATTTTGCGCCATTTACATCAAATCCATGAGTAATTTCATGTCCAATGACTGAACCCAGTCCTCCATAAACAACAGCAAGGCTGTATGCATTGTCGAAGAACGGAGGCTGTAGGACACCAGCGGGAACAAAAATTGAATTAGAAAATTTCACGTAGACCGCATTGACGGATGTTGCTGCAATAGATTCAGAACGCATTCCAAGAGTGTCAGCCATACATAGCAACTTCCACTCTTCTTTGTCAACAGGTTGCCAGAGACGAAATAGCTACACTCAAATGACTTACTGTACTAGAATGGAATGTTCCAAGAGAAACAAGGGTGTTCTTACGCTTCGCAACAACATGTCTCGTGCCGAATGTAAAGAATTGTTGAAGTACGTGTCTTCAAGCACACTGAAGTTGGTGTGAAATAACCATTTTGGTCCACCAACGTGATATCCTATATGCTCTGCCTTTCGGATAGCAGCTGAACTTGTCTTTTCGTCCAACCAATCGACCGTTTTGAGATTTTGCATAAATGCCTGCGAAAATTATCAATGTTTGGATTCATGCACGACGCAATACAACTTGCTTGACATTCTTCAACAATACGGATGCATTTCTCAAGGTTCCCTAAGTAATTGTGCATTGTGAATTTTAGCGTGGAAACTTCGATTGTTTTACCTGACTGACATAATGCTGATTGAAAACGTAATTTGTTTCAGCAGGCAGAGCATTCATTGTAGCTTTTGTGCACTTCTCCCTGTAGTTAACAGGGATGATGTTAATCCGAATGAGAGTTGTGAACTAAAACGTTACCAACGAGGTGGTGCAGTTTTGACTCCTGTGATGGCGCGTGCGGTCTTGACATGCTGCTCAAAAAAGGCGCTAGAATCGGAGCCAATCAAGCATCGAAACAAGGGACTATATCCACTACCTGCTCAGGACAGGCGCCCAGTGACGAAGCAAGTGCGTCCTAAAGTAAGTAGTCCACAGCTTCGGATCGGTTTGCTGAATCATTTCTGAAATTTGAGCAATGTAGAATGGTGTATTGATGTTGATAATTTTCCCTGCTGATTGCAGCGTATCAATATTGAGACAAGAGAAATGGGACTTCAGGCACTGAGATTCAATCTACATGACAATGCGTCAAAATTGTGATCGTCACATCTCAATATTTGTACCAGATCAAATATTGTTTTCCATGGCAAATTTGGACATATCTTGAGCAATTCCATCACATCAATATTGGGGAGTCCGCCAGGATTTTCTTTCAAATACTTGTCTGTTTATCACCCAGTGGAGTCAAGTGAACGATTGTGTAGAATTATCAGGAAAATGTTACCAAACGGTTCCTTCGAAAGGATGCTGGCTAATTGCAACTCAATCTCGAAGGTATCTTTGACGGCTTGTTCAGCTTCGTTTTCGCTGTAGCCCGCAAGCATGTTCATCCTCTTGATGTCGTTAGCCAGTGTTTGAATCACTTGCAATTTCCATGCGGCGTCTGGTTGTGAATTGTTTGGCGTCTGTAAAGGCGAACCTGGAATCACTTCATACCAAGAGAAGTCAGGTAGACTGAGGCCACTAGAGCGGATTAGTAAAGCGTATCTCGAATGGTTTGCCGAATCTGGTTCGACACTCAATGAAATCAAGGTGTCGAAGTTCCAAGCTTGAAGGATAGATATAACTTCTCGCACGTCTTGTACACTCTGAATGCTATCTGCCAGGTTCAAGAGAAATCGCAACGGATCCACGCCTAGAGAATCGAGCAAGGAGACATTCATACAAGCCTTGTAATAAGCTCTTAGGCGTCTCTGGGCATCGTCACCATCATGACCATCAGACGTCATCAGGTCGTTCATCTCTCGCACAATCTCATCCTCTGCTGCGTCCCAGATCATGGAGATTGAAGCCTGGTGAGTGTGTCAGAGCGAATTCTGATAGTTCCATGATTACCTTTTCTTTCGGGATAGAAGTGTTTTCGATCCATTGTCCACATGCAAATTCGTAAAAATTGTCGCAGGGGTCTGCTGAGAAGTTTATGGCCCCTTCCTTGTACGGAGCTATGCTCAAAACTTCCCCTCGAATTTTTGAGATGAATGTCGCGTCCAGATCATTGTCTCTTACCAGTTCACCATTGGTGTACACTGTTGAGATAAGGTTTGATATCGTGCTACGCTTTTCTGCATTATTGCAAATAACGAAGCAAACTGCTACAACAAAAAGGATGGCTGTACAAACAACTCTAACCCAAAAACTTTGACGTGATCGAATGTCCATCCCCTCTTCTTCGATCAACCTCCACAGTCACTCTGTTATCGTGCCATCGACACCTCTCTTCGTCTACGACTCTCGCTAAAGAATTTCATCTATCAAAAGAGGTCAAGTGTTTTTTTGAAACACAAATAGAGCGAGTCCGGAGACTCCCTGAGAGATTTTAGTCAAAATAAAAGTGTACTATCGTAATCAATTCTTTTTTTGACGTCTGGTGAATCTATTTCGGGTGCGAAAGACATCACGGCGGAGGAGTGGAGCGGTAGAATGGTTTCACGATTCGAGAAAGAAGTACTGCACAAAGAAGTGATGAGGAAAGGGACAAGAGGGGAAGACCATGATCACCAACAGTCGCACGGAATACAGTTGATTGTCAATTATAATGAGTTTCTGTCGGCTTGCGTGAATCTTACCGCAAGTTCATTTGATGGCACTTGTAGTTCTCATGGAGAACTTGCACATTGTTGATTGCTACTGATGATCTTACACTCGATTTGACTCTCCCTTCTGCAGATGTTTGAGCTTTTGATGCAACAGAAATTGAGCGATGACAGCGCTGCTGCTGAGCGCTATCATTCGTCATCATCCCTGATGAATGGTGTGCCGGTACGTTCCGATGTTTTCCTGTCAATCCATGACCTCGGTTTTATCTGACCTGAACCTTGTACAGAAACCTCCACCAACATATGTCCCTCCTACTGGTGCATCGTTCATGACATGGCCGAACATCTACAAGAATCTCAAGCGTATTGATTATTGCACTGAGCAGTTTGACTACATCAGGTCAGTTGAAATCAAAATTGAGATTTGCTTGGTAACTCCTCACGTAGCAACCGCATCAAGTGCATTACTGCTCTTACTCATGGACCATTCCTTCAGTGAAGATCCCCTTGTAGAACTTGCAAATTTGCTTTGGTATTACTGTTTTTAGCGGATGACTGGAAGATGCTATTTCCTGCCCTGTAAAGTTTTCATCATACCCTTCTGGTAGTAAAACATGGCGTCCGTTTTTCATTTCCAATTCCCTACTTCATGTATTCTACAAATTCGTTCACAATCACATCCGCGCCAACATTTCTCACTTGAAGAAAGCGTTGCTTTGATCTTTATCTTCCAGGAAGTGGATACAAACTCTGAATACGAATGACTGAAAATAGTTTTAGAGAGCGATCTCCTAAATCTAGAGAACCAGAATGCTTACCTGCTCAAACAGCTCTTTCTTAGCTACCACAACTTTGTTTTGACCATCGCTTTCCTGAAAGTAGGGTGAAAACTGATTTTGAAACAAGATGCCAGTACTTGCTTCCTAAACCTGCTACGGATATGTAAATGAGAGTTCGTAGAAGCGTCGAAATGTACCTCTGGCAGGTGAGAACATCGAACGGCAATCGCAGCCTTGATGCGCAAACTCTAGATCTGTGTTTGTGAAAGCGAATCAGATTTTGTTCATGGAGCCAAGCAGATTATTTCACCGCTTTCTCTTGTTCTCGTCTGGATGCAAGAGACATCTTAAGAACAGCTCCATATACATGATCCAAATTGCGCACGGTTTCACAACAATGAGGATTATCAACCACAACAACTTGCGGTTGTAGTCAGCTGCAAATGAAACAAACTGCAAACCGTACCATATCAAATGCAGACGAGGGAACTAGCCTCAAAATTGATCGATAACCAAATGATCGTGTAAATGCACCTTTTGGTTTTCCATCTGTTGCAGCAAATTTATGCAGCAATATGTCGCTTGTTATTTGTCCATCCAAACTCTCTTGTTGTTGCATGCTCCATACTTTTCCATCATGACATCCCAAATGATACACCTGCGTTTCGAATCTAACATAGACATTTACAGCAGCCAAAATGCAGCAAAGGAGGGAAATAAATGTACATTCAAAGAAGACTAACCCATTCAAAATCTTCGACTCGTGGAGGATACAACGCCCACCATAGTGGAATATACTGCAAAAAAAAGTCAGGTTTGACTCTGGAAGGAAGCAATGACCTGTGAGGGTTTTATGTCAGCTCGAGAAAACCAAAAGGGTGTCACGCTGATCTCTTTCTTTTTCGAACTTTGATGACCCTTTGGTGCAGTGAATAATCCATTGTGAAACCTGACAATCCGATGTCGTTAGGAACTGTGTAAACGAGGAGTAAGTACCAGTCACTAACTGCTCCATCATAAACTAAATCTCCATCATGCACAAAAGGCATTCCACAGAGGGGAGCCATACTAGTGGTGCACTTAGAAACATTCTGGAAACTGCAACGCAACAAGAAGCAACCAGCAACTTGCATGCACGCTTTGCCGCAAAAATTCATTGTCCCTGAAGTGATTAAGCCGCTTGTTCCGGCAATATGGCAATGTGGAAATTGAAATTTCAAGCCTGATAGGTCAAGAGCGTTGGGGTAAATCACTCAATAGAATATCAGGAGATGACCTGTCGTTAATCTGATCGCAAGCTCCTTCAGGGAGCATCTGGTCCATGATCTCGTCCAAGTATGCCTTGAGCCTCAGCGCTCCTCTGATACTGCCATGCGTCCGTTTTACGCAGTTAAGCTGGAATTCCTTGATTTCTTCGAAGTCCAAATCTAACGCAAGTGCTAAACCCACCAAGGAACCTGAAATGAGTTCAGAACTTAGCAAAGCACAGTTGAACTCAAACCTGCCGATGAACCAACGAATTTTGCATTATTAGCCATTCCAGTCTCTTGGAGAGCTTTTGCGACACCAACTGTTGAGGAATCTTATCACTTCGTAAGCAAGAAAATTCGTGATTGCTTTGCACGATGCAATCCTTGTCAGCAAACACAGTTAGTGTTGGCGTGCTAGCCCTCCTTCACCCAAAAGTCTGCCACCTCACCCATCCTCTTAACTTACATAAGTATATCTTTAGCCAACCACAAGCAGCGAAGCTAAACAGCCGCTCCTCCTTGTTAGCCTGCTTGTTCCCGCTTGCCATAATGCACCCCGACCCGGCAGGCAAAGACAACAGCAGGCGCATCTTTAACACTGATCGTTACTTTCTCAAAGAATATAACCGTTTAGGGTTTAGGGTAGGGTTTAGGGTTTCAAGTTTACCGGCCCGTTCGTACAGGCACTGGCCCGTTAGTACAAGCGCCGTTATTTCAGGCAGGCGCCGTTCCGTTAGTAGAAGCATGCTGCTCTGCGGCGCATAGGGAGAGCGCAAGGGGACCGAAGGAAGCTGCCGTCTTAGGGTTTAGGGTTTAGGGTTTAGGGTTTAGGGTTTAGGGTTTAGGGTTTAGGGTTTAGGGTTTAGGAGCATGGCCCCTTGCCAGGTGTAGGGGAAGCCGCCAGGGCGCCAAGGAAGCTGCAAGCGAGAGGTTTGTATACTTCAAATAGCTTTCTAAGTATGGTTCTTCAGTATGATGAAAATGTTCGCAACCTGCTGTATCGGAGATCATGCCAATACACGCAGAGCGGACTTGTGGATGCCTCTGTCCTCGAAGCTGATCTCGTCGAGAGGGTGAAGAGCTTCGCGAAGCGTTATCCGAACAGCAGGACAGCCCAGGCTTGCAAGGCTGTGGAGGGATGCACCCCCGACGCTATCGCAGAAGCCATCCGCTCGACATGTCAGCAGGCACGACGTGAGCTTCTGCAAGAAGCGATGACTGGATGGAGTGACGCATCCAGAGAGTGGTTTATGCAGCAGATTGAGGAAGCCAAGAAGGAGAAGGTCGAGACATACACCGCCTCAGCAGGCAACGAGGTGACTTCCTTCATCTCCATGACTCTCCTGGGCATCTCCTCGGTGTATGTCAACCATGAAGAAAAGCTGAAGAAGAAATTTGAAGAGATCGGACTGATCGTAGACTCAGTGCAAGAGAGTAAAGCAATCATGTGGAAGGCTCCGTATAGACCCGAGATAGCGAGTGCTGAGGAGATCCCGGTGACTGTTTCCTTCCTCCGCAATGCACAAGCGGAGAAGCTCTGGCAGGGAAGAGAGGACTTCGCGATCGATGGTCGCAAGTTCACAGCTGTACATGTGAGCATCGTGCACGATAGATCTTTCAAGATTCGAGCCAAGAGAGGACCCTGGGGCAAAGGGGGCAGCTTGGCAGAGCTGACTCACCTGCTAACCTTGGGCGGCATGACAACGGCTGAGATAGCTGCCGTCTATCGCTATCAGCTGCTGCGCCAGTCCCTTGCAGCGGTCCAACTCCAGCCGCTGGCAGGCATGCTGGTCGCTGGGGCGCCAGGCCAGCAAGTCCACAAAGGCTTAGGTCAGAAAGGCTTCATCGCTGTAGGGGCCAACGTCATCTGGAGACAGAGGGAGGTGGAGTGGATCGTCTCCTCGAGCTGCCCAGAGGCGAATGATACAGCATTTCGAGCTTTCCGAGAGAGCGAAGCGATGGAGGGAGTACACCTGACTCTGTTCAGCGAGGACCCGAAGATCAGAGAGGCGCTCGCAGTCGAGTTGACAGCCGATCGCTTTGTGTCCAGAAATAAGTTGAAGAAGGCATCAAGGATGCAGAAGAAGGCAGGCGGCAAGGACGGCAAGGAGATCAAGATCATCATCAAGTCGACGGCGGCAACTGGTCGCTTCACGAGGAAGGAGATGGAGGGGCTGTGCAACGGCGGCAACACGTCCATCGCAAGAGTCAAGAGAGTCTTGTTGGAGATCGCTAACAGGCTCGAGATCAACGTTGAAGGCATCGACATGGAGGAGGATTTGAACACCAAGTCCTGGAACGGGTCCAAGCTATGCATCCTCCTCGGCTCCACGGAGGATGCTCGACGCATGATGAAGGAGCTGCCCTTCTATCTCGAAGGCGCAGCAACCAAGCTCGAAGCAGTCGGCTTCGACAAGGAGCCTGACTCTGAGGCGGCTGGTCAGCGGGGCACCAGCGACGCAGCGCAGCGACAGGAGGAGAGCGAGGGAGAGTGGCTGGAGTTTACAGACCTGGAGAGGATCACAATGGAGGCAGCATCTCCGTCAAGCCAAGAGGACATGCAGCTCGTCAGCGAGCTGTCAGCAGTCATCGAAGATGCAGCTTCTTTGAACGAGGCAGGGACGAGCGAGCCGATCAAGCTGGTCCTGGACAAGGCCGTCGGCAACCTCCACGACACCTTCTACTCTCCGGGGAGCCTGGAGTTCATGGCGCTGGGAGAGTGGGCGAAGATGCCAGAGGAGCAGGGAGTTGGGCGCAACGTTCTCAAGGAGAAGCTGGGGAAGTGGCTGCAGAGCAAGCGCTGGACTCGCGTGCAAGGAGAGAGCAAGAAGGCAAGGAGGGGCAGCGCGTTCTCGCCACGGGCAACGGCAGCTGCTGAGCTTGAGCAGGAGGCGGAGAGCGACGACATAGAGCGTCGATCTCTTAGCTTCCTGTTCATAGCACTGAGTAAATTCGCAGAGATGCATGTGCTGGCCTGCTCGCTGAAGGTGGACAAGAAGGACCGACTGCGAGTGGAGATGAGGGAAGATGACGAAGAAGAGGAAGACATGGAGGAAGAGCAAGGCGAGGGCGCCGAGGAAGAAGACGGGGCGAGCCCGTACCGAGCTTGAGCTGAGCCCAAGGTAAGGAGAGAAGGAAGGAGGCGACCGAAGGCCAAGGTGAGGAGAGGCAACTCTCCTGACTGAGGCTGAGGAAGCTGAATGGAGGACGAGTAGGTGGCGACCGAAGGCCAAGGTGAGGAGAGGCAACTCTCCTGACTGAGGCTGAGGAAGCTGAATGGAGGTAGAGTAGGTGGCGACCGAAGGCCAAGGTGAGGAGAGGCAACTCTCCTGACTGAGGCTGAGGAAGCCAAGAGAAGACAGCAGAAGTAGAAAGTAGAAAGACGCCTCAGAAGCAGGGTTCGCATTGTAGGCCGTGTACTCCCAGTGCTCGCGCGCCTCTTTAGACTAGGATCCAATTGCACAAGCCCACAACGAGGCCGAGCAACATTCTAGCATTCTAATAAACTCACATAATAATAATAATAGGGTTTAGGGTTTAGGGTTTAGGGTTTAGGGTTTAGGGTTTAGGAGCATGGCCCCTTGCCAGGTGTAGGGGAAGCCGCCAGGGCGCCAAGGAAGCTGCAAGCGAGAGGTTTGTATACTTCAAATAGCTTTCTAAGTATGGTTCTTCAGTATGATGAAAATGTTCGCAACCTGCTGTATCGGAGATCATGCCAATACACGCAGAGCGGACTTGTGGATGCCTCTGTCCTCGAAGCTGATCTCGTCGAGAGGGTGAAGAGCTTCGCGAAGCGTTATCCGAACAGCAGGACAGCCCAGGCTTGCAAGGCTGTGGAGGGATGCACCCCCGACGCTATCGCAGAAGCCATCCGCTCGACATGTCAGCAGGCACGACGTGAGCTTCTGCAAGAAGCGATGACTGGATGGAGTGACGCATCCAGAGAGTGGTTTATGCAGCAGATTGAAGAAGCCAAGAAGGAGAAGGTCGAGACATACACCGCCTCAGCAGGCAACGAGGTGACTTCCTTCATCTCCATGACTCTCCTGGGCATCTCCTCGGTGTATGTCAACCATGAAGAAAAGCTGAAGAAGAAATTTGAAGAGATCGGACTGATCGTAGACTCAGTGCAAGAGAGTAAAGCAATCATGTGGAAGGCTCCGTATAGACCCGAGATAGCGAGTGCTGAGGAGATCCCGGTGACTGTTTCCTTCCTCCGCAATGCACAAGCGGAGAAGCTCTGGCAGGGAAGAGAGGACTTCGCGATCGATGGTCGCAAGTTCACAGCTGTACATGTGAGCATCGTGCACGATCGATCTTTCAAGATTCGAGCCAAGAGAGGACCCTGGGGCAAAGGGGGCAGCTTGGCAGAGCTGACTCACCTGCTAACCTTGGGCGGCATGACAACGGCTGAGATAGCTGCCGTCTATCGCTATCAGCTGCTGCGCCAGTCCCTTGCAGCGGTCCAACTCCAGCCGCTGGCAGGCATGCTGGTCGCTGGGGCGCCAGGCCAGCAAGTCCACAAAGGCTTAGGTCAGAAAGGCTTCGTCGCTGTAGGGGCCAACGTCATCTGGAGACAGAGGGAGGTGGAGTGGATCGTCTCCTCGAGCTGCCCAGAGGCGAATGATACAGCATTTCGAGCTTTCCGAGAGAGCGAAGCGATGGAGGGAGTACACCTGACTCTGTTCAGCGAGGACCCGAAGATCAGAGAGGCGCTCGCAGTCGAGTTGACAGCCGATCGCTTTGTGTCCAGAAATAAGTTGAAGAAGGCATCAAGACTGCAGAAGAAGGCAGGCGGCAAGGACGGCAAGGAGATCAAGATCATCATCAAGTCGACGGCGGCATCTGGTCGCTTCACGAGGAAGGAGATGGAGGGGCTGTGCAACGGCGGCAACAC